TTCCCCACATAAACCCGAATACTAAATCCCTTCATGGAGGTTTTTAATACTGCTCTCCTAGGTATCGATTAATATCTAAAATTAAATATATGTATTTTTACATTTTTTTTTGTATTTTCATGCATTTTTCATATGTATTTACACTACGAATTAATTTCCAAATTTCTCAAATATCTTCAAAAAGAATTTCAATTAAATTCATATAATTAATAAAATTCTACAAAATAATTTATATTAAACCAATCCAAATTAAATCAATAATATAAAATTCAAATCCAAATTACAAAAAAATAAAATAATAAAATTTAATATATAAAATAAATATTCAAATATATTCCAAAAAAAAATAAAAATAAAAAATATAATATATAATTCAAATATTTATATTCTAAAATATAATAATAATTATTTTTTAATAATATATTTAATAATTTTATTTCTATAACAAATAATTTCCAAATTATTAAATATTTTCATTTAAATAATAAATAATAATAATAATATTAATATTAATAATAATAATAATAATATATATAATTTTCATTAAATATATAAATTTAACATAATTTATAAAATAATAATTTTAATTTTAACATATTTTTTTCTAATTATTAAATAAACTAAATAAATAAATCTAATTAATATTATTTTATTTTTTTTTAAAATTATTTAACAACAATATATATATTTATTCATTTATAATTTAATATTATTTAAATTATTATTCAAATTCTTTATATATATATAATACATTTTAATTAATTTCTCACTATGTCTCAAATATTTAATATGATAATTAAATATAATATCCAATTGCAATTAATTCCTTTCCATTCCGAAGATTACTTTTCAAATTTTATTGGATATGTGATATGTGCGATAAACATGCAAGAATTAATTTCATATTCCAATGGGATTTTGTGATTGTATCCAATATCCTAAAATCTTCCCATATTTTATCACCTTACAAACCCCCATTCCATCCCCTTACAAATTCCCCTTCCATCCCCTTACAGACCCATATTCCATCCCCTTACAGACCCACATTATCCCACATTATTCCATTAGATTCTTCTGTTGTTTATAGTTAGATCGTTCTTTTTTGGTATTTCGAATAATATCGCTTTGTATATCATGTTGGTTAGTAACTCATTGCAAATTTCACCACACATGTAGCAGGAATAATTAAACTACAAACAGCTACAGTACATACAATAGCAATGGATAATTAAATTGGGGAAGACACAAGATATCCATCAAGACTCCGCAAAACAATTTGACTGCAGCCGAATTCAATGGCCATAGTATAATTAGGTTTCCAGAAATACATATTCCAAGGCCAAGGAATGTGATTGATTCTTTCGAACCCTATCAGATTGTAATTGGGTTTCTAGAAATCCCGTCGCAATGCCCGCCAAGAAATCGGCGTCGCGAGTGTGATTGGTTCGAACATTTTTGAGAAATTTCATCCCAAAAAAGCAAAAACATACTGCACTCCACAGAAAAAGCAGGCCCTAGGGCCATAGAAACCTGTATGTTTGAATGTTCAGAGGCCAGACAGGTACAAGAGCCGCCCTTTTTTGCAGATTAAAACAATATGTAGCTATACGGCTATGCTTGCACTTGCCGCCGACAGCCAGCAACATTCAACAAAACCAAGGTCGAATTAGGGTCCATGTCGAGCCCAAGCAATTCAAATAGATCACGCACCTTCAGACATACAATGTGGGGCCCCCTAGTTATAAGTTGGTTTATAAGCCCCAATAACTATAGTTATAAGTACCATAAACCATAGTTATTGGAGTTATAAACCAACTTAGCTATCTTGGGGGCCCCACATTGTAGGCACAATGAAATATAACTCGACAGGGTCTGGCATGTAGTAGCTCGCAAAATGCCGCTTCACACTTTCGTAGGTAGTAGTTTTTACTTCTTTGAAATCCAACTTGCATACATTCGCACGCCATATTCATTCAGTGTTCCAAAAACCACTTCCACAATAGAAAGGAGCCAATTGCACTTAGATGCTGCTATTTTTTTTGCCATATATATATATATATATTGTAACTATAATATATAGATATATCATCATAAGATAATTATCATAGATGATGTTCATCCATAATTTTATATTTAAGTGGCGGACAAAAACTAACTACTTACTATTCGCAATGGACATGGCCAAAGTGGGTGGTCCCCTATTGGTTGTGAAGGTTTGTATTTCCATGCTATGTGTAAAAAATAGGCTATCAGTAAGTGGGTAGTCGCCTATCGGTTGTGAAGGTTTTCACACAAATTTGAAGATCCCAAGTCCAGTCCCTACTATTTTAGTTTTCCGCTAATTTTGTCGGTTACTCATATGTTTATTCATATGTCTTCCCGGAAATATATATATTTAATTGTAATAACTAATCGGTTCAAATCATTCATCATCATTCATCTTTAATTTTCATTGGTATTCCCAGGCCATCTCTTGCATGTTTTCTGCCTCCGATGTCACGAACTTCCAGGATTTTGGTGGCCAAGGTATTTCCAACGTTTCCAACTTGTGCCCAGCCTCCACATCAATGGCACCAGCTGCCCACCAGGTGAGTTCAGCTGGATCCTTTGCTTCAGCTGCCTGGCCACTGGCGAGGAGGTTCTGCCAGAGATCGTCTGCGTAAGATTCCATGCCAGCGTCCTGCAATGTTTGAAAGGTTCAAGGAATATTCCTGGAAACTAGTGGTGCCAAACAGTCTGCGGCTAAATTCAATAAGAGAACATAGATGTTCTGAGGATTTCTAGATTTTTCGAAAAAAAAAACCATCAAACAACTCACAAACAACCACGGTATTCGCGTTTTCCACGTGCTCATCATGCTGGTGTCCCGAAGGTAATGATCCGGAATCTCCAGGCGGTCCATCCTTTGTTGCAACAAGTGGATTGTCGACAAAAACGCTCAATTGGGGATGGGTCAAAACCCTGTACCCCTGGTGAACCCCAAAATAGCTGGTAAATGGATGTTCATCCCACTAAAAGTGGTATTAATGGGTATTGATCCATACCCAATTCCCCAAAGACAGTGAAGGGGCATGAAGGGGCTGATTTCTTGCTAGATAATACATGATAATACGGTTAACGCTCTTCCCCTTTCTACCTTTGAGGCTCCAAAAACACCTTATGGCAGTCTATTGGCAGTCATTTTGCGCACCGATCTCTCCCTTTGCCAACAGGACTTGACCAAGAGTTTCCAAGAGTGTGAAGCTAGAACAGCAGCATCTTGGTCATGGCAACCCAGCCAGGTGGACTAAGAATCGCACTCAAAGCGAAGGCCCACTGGCTCTTGACCTCTACGCACGAGATAAACGTTGTTTCCTACTCTACGTGCACATACGTGCACCATCCTAGAGCGACACACACATCAACGGAAAAACAACTCTAGATCTCTCAGCCATGCGCAGTGAAGACAAGGGAAACAAGTTAGCAAGAAAGGACAATAAGATAGATCTGGAACCTGTGGCACACTTTCTATATTTTCTACACAAAGGGGCAAATGTGTGTATGTGTATGTACATATATATATACACATACACATACACATGAATGATTATATATGCACATATAATTTGTATAGTTGTGTCAAATTAGTAATTAAGTATAATCAAGTGCCTACAAACAGGTCGATTGAAACAGACCACAACCAGCAACCGGTCAGGCCATCTCTGGCCTGGTAAGTTGCTCTCAGGCCCAGGAATCTTATCTCCCGGTAATACCACATAGAGCTCTTCTGCTGTCTGTCAAGCTGCAGGCAATGCAGCCGCAAGGATAGAGGGGAAGTTCCACATTTCATGAAAATGTCATTTCTGCTTTTGAGATCTTTGATGACCCAACGACCCTTGCTGTGATATTGTTTGATATATTTGCTCGTTGGTGGTTTCAATCCATCTCATTGGGAATCAACATCCCATTTCTGTGGTTTCTATATTTCTATGGTTGAACAATTGAACATATAACCTGTTTGAAACATTTTGAAACCACCAGCGAGATTCGTTGATGGGGTATGCGTCGATTTTACATTGCACATCATTGCACGCATGCTCCAGGTTCCTTCCTGGGGACTTGTCTCAGTGGTCTGCCGTCAAGTGTGATCGACTCCCCTGGAAGGTGGTATGAGGCTGCATGCCTGTGCCATGGGTATTTTTCCTCATCACATCATCCATCCCTGGCAACTTGGAGCCTCCCAGTTCTTTCTCTTCTTCGTGTGTCGGACAAGGTCTTTCAAGCGAGTCCTTGATCAACTGTACGGATTCTTTGCTGGAAAGTATCTGTTTGAATTCATGATCTGAAGAAAAAGGGCCTTTGACCTTAACCGCCACTGGAGTAGGAAATCCAGAGCCTCCAATGCCATCTTTTGAATCTATTCAGTACAAATTGATGTGGCATGTTCATCTCTTATCTCGTTCCGAAGCAATTGTGAGCAAGAAACTGATCCTCCCTGCTGTAGCACAGCAGCAACAAGCCCCCAGGGGCTCCGAACAACTGCAGAAGCCGGCGCTTGCGATGCTCGAGAAATTGGATGCCCTGGGCCAACATTCTGGAACCACACTCCATTCCCATAGTCCGACTATAGGAACAAGAAACACCTGGATACACGGAAAAAAGCCTGCTGGATTCTGGATATGTCTTCACTTCCGAACCGCAACAAACCACAGTTGCTTCTCCTGAGCTTATCTTACGTCTATATGTCTAGATGCACCACCTGTTGACGGTACTAGTTGGGCCACTTTCTCCATCAGATCAAGAACGACGCTGACATCCAGCTACTCTGGCACCTCCTCATTGAGAAAGAAACCCAATGGGACTGGCGAGTCCAATTCCAGGGCATACTTTGCCTGTGCAAGGACCTGCAAGGGGTGCAAATGGGTGCAACATAGACCCGGGGAAGCACAGATGAAACATGATGAAACAGCATCAAAGCACAAATAGCAAACCATCTGGGCTGGGGATTTCAGGTTACCCTATAAGACTCCGGTGAATTAATATGGGCGTATACCGTACCAGTATGCCCCCCCAAATGACTGTTTAAATTGTTTTAATACTAGAGATGATAATGATAAATCAATGGATTTAGAGGTACCCTATTTTCAAACAACCTCACAGGCTTATCCAGGCTTCACTGCCCTACGAAAGTTGGAAGTTCTCGCCTTGGAGGCCTGGAGTTGAGCTTCCTGCGGGGAGCCCTGGCTGGATTTGCGTCACGGCTTTGATCTTCCCGACCCGGACGCGGTTCCCAGGCTGGTATGACGAAAAATGCAGTATCCAACCGCCCAACTTCAGTTGGAGGTTAAGAAAGGCACGGTATTGTCCCAGCTGCTCCCACCATCTCCCTGCGGTTTCAATTAAATGACGGATATCCGATGACACACTATTGCTTCAGCACAAAATGACCTGTCCTCCCACATCCAAACAGAATGAATTCAGTCATCGTGCCTTATCCCTTTGAAGCCCTAGCTTGATATCGGCATTGAGGCCTCAAACGCATGCATTTTCGAACGTATTGGGCTCAGTTTCTGCTTCTTACAGCTTTGAATCAGGCTCAAACTAGAGCCCAATATAGGCATATGCAAGTGAAATGATGTTGCAAGCCAATCAGTTCAAGGAGGGAAAAGGCCTTGCTGGACCCGTTTATTCCATCGATGCATATTTTAAAACCCGAGAGTTGTGCTGCTGGAGATTTATTGCTGTTCGGAACTCCGAGGGTCTCTCAGCCCGAATGAAACATCAGGACTCATCATCAACTTGAATCATCTCAGAATCTGGCCCGGGGATTGCCCAATACATGTTCACATGATACTTTTTTCCAGCTCAGATGCCCAATCTCTCCAAGCTAAGACCCCAAGCTCTCGCGATTGCTCTCAATGTCTGAGGCATCTGCGACCTGGACACAAAGCTCTAACATTGGACTGCTGGGTCAAAGCCAAACAACAAAGACTGATAACTGATAATTAGCTACAATTAGCTGATAGTTGATGAATGTTGATGATAGATACCCCAATTATCCCCAATCCATCCAGTCTGACCAGTCTGAGTTTCCAAAGTTTCGAATGTTTCTATTCCATGCGATTCCCAAGGAGGCGGCCGCGAGCATCCGCGCGCCCGCTCGCTCGAGCCAGGAGCTCACCTCACCGAGTGTTGGCTAAGGGTTGGCTCACAGGGCTTGCAAAGCTAGTCTTATGATTCATGTCTGTGTATGTCTGTATCATTTATATGTCTTTAGGATGTTTCAAAATGTTTCATGTAGTAATTCAAAGTAATTCAAAGTAATTCAAAGTAATTCAAAGTAATTCAAAGTAATTCCAGAAACAAGGCAACGAGAGTCACAAATATACAAGCAATTCAAGCAAAGACGCTTGCAAGGAAGTTGAGTTGTCACTAAACCTACAGGTTCTGTATGTTTTGATGCTCCAAGTAGCAGGTCCCAGATGGTCGGTGTCCATAAGGGCCAAAATCACCTGCGCTGCATGAGGAGCGCTTGCATGCGTCAATGCAAAACCGACGTCTACACAAAAACATCGGTGCATGTTTGAAATCTTACCGAAGAAGTGCTTCAAGCATCAGACGCAACAGTTTCAACCTTTTGTGGACACCACTGGTTGGATCAATGAAGCTAGAATCAAACTCTGACAGGAAAAGATTGAAAGTGAAAGGAAACCATTTCCGTAAAATGCAAAAACCATCCAGCGGCCTTGTGGCCACCAGCAGCCATGGAGATGATTCCTCGCCTTGAAGCATCATTTCAGCTTCGAGCCAACCAACTTTAGGCTGGATCAGATTGGATCAGTATCATCGATGAATCGATTGCCTTCATCAATCCAAAGAATCTCATATTGTTGTCATCTGTGCAATCCCCACCTGTCACTATACTGATTTCCGCTCGTGCCACCGTCACAGCAACGTTCCGTTTGACCGGGCACCCCCGACGCCATTTGCCTAGCGCGAGAGGAACGTGTGGACTCCTGCACGTCAGGGGCCCATGGCAAAGCAGAATTGCAGGATTGTTGCTTCGTGGGGACTCGCATGAAGCAACCATTGCAAATGCTGGCAGTCAACCCATGTATTACACATTGCTACATCTGGCAAGACTTGAAACTACTTGTGGATGGTCTTCAAGGATCAACATTATTAAGCTGATCAATGCCGACGAAATTGTACCACCCCCAAAACCTCCAAAGGTCGGCATGTCGCCTGCGTCATGGATTCGTTGCCATACTCACGTTGAAGGCGTTCCATGGTGGAGCTGCGAACATCTCCCAGACCTTGGTACTTCGTGGTGGAAAGAGCAAAACGCTGAGCAGAAACTGAAAGACAAAAAGAGACCCGAAGATGCACATATATATATACCCGAGGGGCCTGGGGTTCTCCGATGGAGACAGGGGTGGGGTGGGGTGGGTGGGGTGGGTGGGGTGGGGTGGGGGGGATATCAACGTCCTGACGACCACGTCCTTCATACTACGTTGTCAGCATATATGCTCGCTTGAGGATGCAACATGTCACTTACGTGACACTTCGTTGGGTGGGGTGGGGTGGGGTGGGGTGGGGATATCAACGTCCTGACGACCACGTCCCTGATACTACGTTGTCAGCATATATGCTCGCTTGAGGATGCAACATGTCACTACGTTGACACTTCGTTGGGGTGGGGTGGGGTGGGGTGGGGATATCAACGTCCTGACGACCACGTCCCTGATACTACGTTGTCAGCATATATGCTCGCTTGAGGATGCAACATGTCACTACGTTGACACTTCGTTGGGGTGGGGTGGGGTGGGGTGGGGATATCAACGTCCTGACGACCACCTCCCTGATACTACGTTGTCAGCATATATGCTCGCTTGAGGATGCAACATGTCACTACGTTGACACTTCGTTGGGGTGGGGTGGGGTGGGGATATCAACGTCCTGACGACCACGTCCTTGATACTACGTTGTCAGCATATATGCTCGCTTGAGGATGCAACATGTCACTACGTTGACACTTCGTTGGGGTGGGGTGGGGTGGGGTGGGGTGGGGATATCAACGTCCTGACGACCACGTCCTTGATACTACGTTGTCAGCATATATGCTCGCTTGAGGATGCAACATGTCACTACGATACTTTGGCCCCTTGGGTATTTATAAACAAATTATTTATATGTATATATTTATATATACATATCCGCATATATAGAGATATATGTTTGTATGTGCATATGTATTTCTATTGTAACATGTTCATACATAGATGGAACGATACAAATGTGTTGAGATCCAGAGACATATATATGGGTATAAATATATTTATACATATGGTCATACATGACATATATGTGTTGTGGTAGAGTACTTTGTCATTCGCTTCGCTGCAGGTGCGAAGCTCAGTGGCACAGGGTCTTGGCTTTTTTAGTGTCGCTGCGTGGTGGTTGTGCGGATGTCTATTTTTGGAGATATTTGACCAATATGAGAAGACTTGAAAATGCTTCATTCTGTTAATCGTTCAAAGACTTTGCAGAGCGCAAACCTTTGTCACCGTGGCTGCAGCTGTGTTGGCACCATGTTTCGAGATCATACCGTTTCGTATCCTTTGCTTGAAGGGGTCACCCTCTTGCTTTTGCTGCGATTCTTGGGTGTGAAAGACCCGCCTTGCCTCTATGCCTGGAAAGATGCCTCCGCTTGGGATTTGGATGGTGTTTACCAGGCACATTTGGATTTTATACATACTTGTATATATGTATATGTATATATATATATACATATACTTATGAACATCTGTTTCAGGATAGACACTGTTGGCTTTTAAGTATATATACATATATACATATCTCTTTGAATATGTATGATTTCTATATCTATAGATTCATAATGTCTATCTGAATCTTTACATAGATATATATCGATAATTATCGATATGTATATATATATATACACATACATATGTATATATATATATTTATATATATATATATAGACACATAATGGTATAAAAGTGACTGTGTGCAATGTTCCCGGAGGTTCTTGCCTCCGTTTTGGCCGGTGACAGAGCGGCTTCCTTGGTGGCTGATGTGATGTCATCAGTGGACAGAGAAAAGTATGAGAATCTTCTCCGTTCTGTGCCAGTTTTGCGTGACTCTCTGGCACGATGGCGTCGGCAAAATGCACATGCTCCGGAGATGTTGCAGAATGCTATAGCGGTGTGGCAAGCTCGTTTAGCACTTTCTTTTCGCAAGACTTTTGTGGAGCAGTTCTACGCATCTCTGGACGCCTTGGATGAACGCTTGCCTCCGGTGGATCCTCGTGACACGCTTGGCAGTGATGCTGGCTCGCACATGGGGGAAGATGCAGACATGGATGTCGCAGAGGAGGCTGCTGCGGCCGCTGGTGACTCAGAGGGTCGTGACTCAGATGCCAGTTTAGACTCTTGGCAGAAGTGGGACATGGAGTGGAATGCGCAACGGGATGAGACGCCTTCCCGAGAAAGTCTGCCTTACAGGGACTTCATGGCAAGCACGTTGCCGGCGAGTTCATCAGTGTCTGGACAGAAAGTCTATGGGTTTCAAAGTTGCTGATGTTTGTTTGAACCTTCGAAGTGTGTTTGGGAGAAAAGTCTTGTATGGGAACATTCTCCATTGTGTTGCACAGCACCGTGCCAGGTCACTGCTGCTCCTGCTTCGTCCATGATTGAAACAACCTGCAGACCGGTGGAATCGGAGAGTGAGTCGCTGAGCCCTCCAGGTCCGTACGACTCGCCTCCTCACAGACGAAAGAAGATTGAGCATTGGGATAGGCATTCAGTTCCTGCAGTTCCTTTGCAGAATTCTTTTTTGTCGCTGGCTGCATCTTCTTCGGCATGTTCGTCTACTCCCATGGCCGTCTCTGTGCCCGATCCGATTGAATCGTTCAGCGGTGATGAATCAGTACCACTTCCTCCAGTCCCAGTGGTTGACACGTCGGAGAGACAATCTTTGGGGGAAAGGCTGCGTAGGAGCTTCAAATGGGGAGCTTGTAGGGATCACCCGTCTCGATCGATGCAACCCCATGTTTTGGGACCCAATTCGAAAAATCCAGGCACACTCATTTTGTATTGTTCCATGTGGCGTAAGAAAGATGCCGCTGGCAAGCCCCTATGCTGGTTTTCTCGACCTTTTCCCCGCGAACGCTTTGCGGAGCTTGGTCAGTTGCATAAAGATAAATATCAAGATCTCCAGTTAGCTTTGCGACGCAACTCCGTGCGTTGAGAAAAAAAGGCACGCAGACCAGTTGCAGCACGCAATGACGTTTTTTTGCTTCTGACTGAACAAACATGCTGCATTTTTTTCTATCAACATTGATTTCTTGATGGGTTCTATGTCACCCATTGTTGCGTCCAACTTTCCTGAAAACCTGCAGTTTTGATAATGCCCAAGAAACGAGTAAAGTTGGCCGAGAAGACGCCAAAATTTTCCCGTAGAGCCAGTTGCCAGAAAAATTCGGAACACCATGACCTGGGCTTGACCTACTCCACAGCAGACAGAAGTGGCTCACATGTGTTGCGTGACTTGAAACAAATTTCGTATCCGGAGCTGTGTGAATGGGGTCCGAAGGTCTGCAAAACATACCTGTGGGACCATGGTGTCCTTTCTGCTGATGTACCTTTGTGCTGGTATTGTGGAGAAGACATGATTCGCACCGGGAGACGCATGGACGATGAGCTCAAGTGTGGCGGCACCAATTGTTACGGACATCCCGTCCTGCAGCGACCTGTGGAAGCTTTCACTCCCTTGCACAGCCAAGTTCGTCAAGGCGAGGATGCTGACTACGTGAATTTTTTACGTTGTTGTTACTGCATCGGTATTCGCACTCCTCCCGATTCACTTCGACATCTTTTGACTGGAGTGTCCAAAAACAGGTTGACGCGTTGGACACAGGACATTAGACTGGCCTGTGCAGTGGCCGAGTTCCAAGATTCGTCCTCTTTCGAATTTGGTGCTGGTGTGCTCGAATTCGATACCGCAACTGCAGTCGTTCGCCGCAACGCGTCAAAGCTTGAGATGACCCAAGCTCGTCTGAAACGGTCCAAAGTGGAGAGAAAAGGTCTCCAGTCGGTAAAAAAAACAGTTCGCAAGATGTTGCGAAAACGTCCTGCGAGCAAGTGTTCTTCCAAGAAGATCTTCAAGGGGAGACATATCGTCTTCAAATTGCGAACTGTTAATGGTATCGACAAAAGCAGGAAGTATGCCATCCTGCCTTTGCCTCCCAAAGCTGCTGAACGAGGACTGTTTCTTTAAGGTGTTCCAATTTGCTAATTCGAAAGGTTCAAAAGAAAAATGGTTTACCTTGCCGAGCTGTAACTCTGCAGGACCTGGCTCGGGGGCAGAGTCATTGGGTGAAACTGCAAAGCATGTGACTTCGAAGCTGGGTAAAAACAAACATGTTGCCGCCTGCGATGGAAGTCCCGCACTCCATGCCGCTGCTGCCCTCTCCGGAACTCTTGCCTTACGTGGTGTATCGCACTTGCAACATTTGTTTACTCCTCTGTGCAACATACCTAAAAAGGGACTGTCCAGACCTCAGGAGGATGTCTTGCGTTCTTTGACAACACAAGGGTGTTGTGTAGAACGCAGGCACTGCTTCACCATGGTGGGAGGCGACAACGTCGCTGAGAGCATGGCCTCTGTGACCAAACATCAGCTCCGAAGACACGGACTTAGTCGTAACGCAAAGGATCCGATTGAACACAGAAATACGTTAGCTGTTCACTATTTAAATAAAAACCCGGGTCTTGAAGCCGTGCTCTCTGCCTTAGCACGGTTCCGCACGACCGTGTCTCAAGGACTGGTCGCACCAAGCCGTGCATTCCTCGAAGCACCGTGGGAGAAATGAAAAAAAAACTGACCACAGGGCCGCATAACTGTCACCAAGGATAGTCCTCTCACCTTAGAACTCAATTTCATAGTGGTTATATCCCCCACACCACACACACACTCACAGAATATATATATATACATACATATATATATATATTTATTTATTTAGTTCTTTACACTTGCAGAGCCAGTTGTCCTTTTACGCTTCTGAGCAAATGAAAAGTCTGACAGCATCCATGTCATGTTAAACGGACGAAAAAAAATTGATCCGTTCAAGATGATGATGAATAGCAGAAACTATATCCTGAAAAACTTGCAAATTACCTAGGCGAGAGCGCAATTTTCACATGCTCACCATGAAAGACACATGACGCCATCGGAGAACCGGAGAACCTCAGGCCCCTCCCGTATATATATACACAAAAACATACAACAACATACAAAAACATACAAATACTACTATGGTAGTGTTGCAGCTATTTGAAATGACTTGGTGCAAGAGACATCCCTAACCTTCCACTGTTCGCCAAGCGGCACAAGAGTCGCGGAATGGGGCCAGGTGGTTGAGAAGCCTAGGAAAAGGTTGTTGGGGACACCAAGGAATTAGAGGAGTACGTATTATATATATATGTATATATATATATGTCCGCATGATATCTGATTCTTAAATTGTTTTAATAGCAACATGTTATATTCATTTTATACCATTGTAATATATTTTTGACACAACTATGCGTCTTGTCTATGCCCATTCACAAGGAATTATTCGGATCTATTTGGCGGCAAATCAGACCAAAGGTTTGTGAATGGCCGCTTCTGAGACACCAGAGCAACATATCATTTGATAATCCCACTGGCACAATGTTCAAACGGTTTTTAAAATCTCTTTTTGGAAGACCCCTGACCCCTGAACCCTAAATCGATGTCTTGTTGTATTCCCGGGACATCCACAGCCCACTTCCTTCATGGCTGGTGCTCCGCACGAATTCTTGAACAGCATCACCATAAGGTTGGCCCTTGGTCCATTGGTTTAAGGCCTAGCCGAAGACAACCCGATTCGACAACAAAGTAAGCACCTGATAGTACCATTTTGGAGTGAGGCAACCCCCATCCACCCTCTGCCTCCGCATCACCCTGAATGTTGTCTAAATGATGCAGCCAGGCATGGTGTCGATGAGGATTTGCTGGCGTAAGACACAGCTGGACAACGTATTTTCCATAACCAAGAGAACACAACAGCCAAAGGTCAAACAGAAAAGCCTTAGGAGAGACGTTCGCAGCAAAATACGGATCATGAACACAGGCACCACAGGCACCGTTGAAGCGTGGCAGGGATCACTGGTGGCGAAACCACGAGCATAGTTGGCCACGGCCTCCTTATGCTCGCGCGGCCTTGGAGCATCGAGCCAGCCAGGACATGATGTCGCACGAACCTCCAACAACACTTATTGAATTCTGTTGGGAGAGATCATTGCCGGAGCAAGCCAAACAAGTCAAACGTTGGAAAAGCCTAATTGGGTTTCTTGATTTGGCTCATTTTGGCTCTATATTCAATCAAAAAAAAACATGTTATCTGTCACGAGTATCACCCAAAATGGTTTCTGTGCACTCAATGACATATACTCACTCCATAGATATCCGTAGGAAGTAGAGATGTTTGTAGTGTTATTCTACACGTGCACATGCATCACTTGCACAGTATATGCAAAGCATCGTACTGGTAGACTGGTATGACAAGATGATGGGAAGTGCCCAGCCAGTCGCTGGCCTTGCCCAGCACTTTTGGCGCGGATTCTTCTGGATGGACCCGAGCCATGACGGAAGTTGCCACCTCTGAACCAGTCACGACCAATCTGTGCACAAAGCCTTTCGCACCTTGCTCGTTCCATCGCATGACCCACAGAATCACAGGATCATGATTTCACAGGTCTCAGGCGATGCTGTCACAGCTTGAATCTTGTTTGATCCCTGGGTCCCAGCTGCCTGTACAAACTTCCGAGTTACGGAGAGATGCAGCAACAGCATGCAACAGCGGAAAGAAGAGTAAAGAAGACGAGAAGCTGTGGACGCGAAAAGGTAGAGTCGCGAAACAGTTTTTCTTTTTCCAGTGTTGTGGCTGGGGATGTTCGAAAGGTAGGCTCGGTAAAGCGGCGAGTGCGGAGGGCACTGCCGGGGGATGAGTCTAAAAAGTGCACGCGGTGTGGCGCGGAGCACATTTGGAAGTCAAAAGTGTAAAGAACTGACAGGTTCGCAACACTTTTGTGAGTTTAATCTGAGATATTCCGAGAATTTCCGTAGAAATGACAGGGATAACATTTAGGATATTTCTGGATATTCAACTGGAAGTACCTGCCTGGTTAAGCAGGGTTTGTCAGCCCGCAGTTGACCACGACCACGCCTAACCCTTATATTAAGTTGCCTTTCTAACCCTTATGCTGCAAATTCATTACCATTACACGCATGCTTTTCTAACCCGTCAAATTTCCAGCTTTCCCGTCAAATTTCCAGGTTTCCCGTCAAATTTCCAGGTTTCCCGTCAAATTTCCCATGGGGTTAGAAAATTTGGATGTTAAGGCCAAAATTTAGATGTTAAGGCAAAAATTTGGATGTTAAGGCCAAAATTTGGATGTTAAGGCCAAAATTTGGATGTTAAGGCCAAAATTTGGATGTTAAGGCCAAAATTTGGATGTTAAGGCCAAAATTTAGATGTTAAGGCCAAAATTTGGATGTTAAGGCCAAAATTTGGATGTTAAGGCCAAAATTTGGATGTTAAGGGCAAAATTTGGATTTAAAGGCCAAAATTTAAATATCAAGATATATCAAGGAACATTTTGTTGTTGCAAATTGATTTCATCACATTATTCCTTAGGACTGCTGCTTTTAGGCTTAGAGGTTAGTGAAATGCACAATATTGTGGTTAGTGAAATGCACAATATTGAGGTTAGTGAAAATATAAGGGTCAAGATTTTTTTGTGGTTAGCAAAATCTACCTTGTTGGGTGAGGGCAAAGACTCTTGAGGTTAGTGAAAATATAAGGGTCAAGATTTTTTTGTGGTTAGCAATTTAGCTTGTAAGGGTTAGTAGTGCGTCTCTGACTTGACAAGACCAAGTCCCTGCACGATGGATGTCTTGGCTTCAGCATGCTTCCACGTGCTTCCAGCTGCACAGTCGGCGCTGAGTGCCCCCACATCACCAACTGCTTGCCAATCTCAATCGCCAAGGTGTGATGACACATGGGTTGAAATCACCACGCAGTTTTCAAGATTTTTCAGATGCCTATGGTGTTAAAGAAGAGTGAATTCTTCAAGTTCGTGTGGGTCTATCACAAACACTTGCAGCTCACATCGGTATGAGGCAGACTTGGGATCCCTACGCGCTCGCGGCAAAGCTCCACCATCAAGCCGGAGGGTTGGACCTTCAGGGTCCATCAGATTGATACCCTTCTGCCATCCGCTCTGCCAAAAATGATGTATCGATCATTGGCAGACCATCTATAACCTTCTACCTTTTACCCGTGTCCCCTGAGTATTCGCAGAGTCCTATCATCCTTTTTGATTCCGCTGTGATGTATGCATTGGTATGACTGGTTTCTCTACACTTCACCTCGCCTCGTACACAGCTCGTGCCGCCAGACGTGCCGAGCGCGTGGACATGTCGCCCATGCCGATTCTGGCCGGGTAGCACATGAGGGTGCTGAAATGGAATCTGAAGATGGATCACAGTTGGAATTTCAAACAGATTACGGCGTAAACATCAGGGAGACATCAAAAATGGGCTGGGAGCACGGTTCAAATGTTACCAACGACATCCAATGACCGAAAATGAACGCCGTAGAATATCAGATGATGTGCCCCTGCCCCTTTGCTTTGGGGTGTTTTGCTGTACCCACTATAGACATGGAGAAACCAGGATAAAAAGTGAGAACAGGGCACACGCAGTGAGGCGGAATTGCGAAAGGCTGTCCCCCAAACGGGGTAACGTGTCAACGAGAACGAGCAATATTCTTAAAACCAAGATCATGCATATTATGTATTTATGCATCCCTGAATGACGTCCGTTTCTAGCGGCTTGATGTGTCTACCGTCTCTTGGCAGGCGGACAACATGATAGATGTAGGTCCACCACCATCTACACCACCTGACGATGCGAACAGAGACAAAATGTGCAGCCACAAGAGGCAAACTTCAAAAGGCAGCAGCGGAAAGGAATCATACCAGTCTTCAGTGGATGCAAACGTCCGGCCAACAAGGATTAGCCGAAGATTTTTGAAGTATACAGTATAGATTCTATTTTGGGCAAACAATGGCCGAATCAAACAACATGGGGTCATTGGAGGCACTACCACCCTCCAGCGTCAAGATCACCCTTTACTGTTATCTGTCACCACAGCAACTTCCCACCTGCCCATGACAAGGTCCGGATCACGCGGAAGTCGTCCTTGAACGTTGGCATTTTGCCCATTGTTTCATATTTGTTCCCGGTGATGTTTTGAATCTTGAAATTAAACTGATCCCCTATATCCCCTTATTTCTGTGGCGTCTTTGAATTGAAACGCCTTGAATGATGAATCAAATGCAGCTCTCCTTGCCATCGTATTGTGCCAGGTTGGACCTGCGAAGCCAATACAGCCAGGCCGGGATGGAGAATTTGAACCTAACATCCCCAGGTCACAAACATCAAATTAATATTATTGCTGGATTTTATTGGGCCAGAGATTACAAAACCATACAAAACCTACACCTGTTTGGAAACCTTGGCATCTTTTTCTGCAGCAAAGCCGACACGACAATGAAGTATCCAAGTGACTGGAGCTCAGTGAGGGCTCTTGGGCCCAAGGTGCCCTCGACACCCTTGTCCATTTCTCAGCGCAAGATGTCGCAAGAAAATGCTCGGGCTCAACACGGGCTGAACTTCTTGAAATCTAGGAATGGTTACTATATGTTCATAGCTTCTACTCTAGATACTTGGTAGCAAGTTTTAAAATAGGGATCTTCGCAAGCGAGGAGTCAGGCCAAATTCAACAGATTCTGGACTCGGAGGAAGGAGGACTAATGCAATGTGAAAAAGCGAATTTCCTGGCATCTTTGACACTCTCACATTACCCTTTGGTATCCTTTGGTAATGGAACAGTTTGCTACAGTATGGGACACCTTTTTTGCGATGAATTACCTTTACACAATGGTGATTTTCCATAGCCAAAATGCCAAGAAAACTGCCCTCCGTCTGAACCCACATTTTTTGAGCATCTCACTGCCGTATCTGGCATAAAAGTCCTCCCAACCTTTCGGTGCCTCAGAGAAAACATGTCAATGGCTGTTGAAAGGATTTGCAAGAAATGCAAAGGATCTTTGGATTGAGCTGAGAGATTCTCTAAGCAATGATTATGATTTACTATTGCAAAATAATGCAAAGTACGTTGTCAATTTGGTCAAAGAATAGCCGTTGTCTCCCTGCAGCATTTCTCCCAAAGATATAGTGTCAATCCTGCAAGAGATTCTGCCACATCTCAGCATGCATGATTGGAAGAGAGTATTTCACAAAACTTGCCCAAGCCCTGGCACAAAGAATCAAATCTAAAGTTTGAACAGCCGATGCGGCAAGGCTCGAACATGCGCTGCTATAGATGTCTTTGACTCGAATTGCAAGTTGAGAGATGCATACCGTCTGTCCCTGCCTGGGCGGAGTGTAATCCTTGACTATCTTTCAATGACCAGGGCATGAACCTCGGTACGCTTAAAAACCGTGGATAAACTTCCGGACCTACAACAAACGGCAACTAGCCAAAAGCGCGCGCTTAGGAACCCATCGACTTTGTCTCCCTCCTTGATGGCTCGTCCGGATCTGTCTAACCTGCAGGCGTGCAAGGATTGAAACACAAATCCCCTGTGGTGGTCAAAGGTGTCAAAGGTGTCAAAGTGCAACACGGACTGTGATAGTACTGGTCTCCTACTTTGCGGAACTCATTCTTGCTTGAAGCTCTTTTGTGTTTTTGATGTGTTAAGTGTACTGTACATATAAGGACCACTGTGCAAAGTAATTAGACAGCAAGACAAAAGAATCGTTGAAGGGAAGTCAAATGCACCTCAAAACTCAAGCTGCGTTGATCCCTCTGACTCTACTGTAAGATTGAGGTTTGCCATGGTTTACCCAATTCGAGAAGAAAATTGGAAAGCCCGGCCTCAAAACCACTGGTTCTTTGGCGAGTTGTTCCATGGCTTTGGGGTCAACTGCAAGGTTCTCGCCGTCCTTTGTGCTTTGCTTGCATGATGGCTCCCTCATATCCACGTATCCATGTGCCATGTGTATGTGCTCATATGCGCAAACCGTACCTAGTAGCAATTGATGGCAACTGTCAACAGCAACTCTCGACATCTGAACATCCAGATCATCCCATTATATAAATAGCTCAAGGTTCAAATATCCATCTCATGTATATATAATGTGTAATTATGTGTATATATCATATTCTCTTGTTGTTATATCATATCATAGATCATGTCCAGTGCCCCATTGGCTCCGTTGCCGATCTTAGCTTTCCACCTTGCCCAGCTGCACACCTTCCTGATGGGTGACCTTGGTTTTGCTACCCTGGATTCCATGGATTATTTTGATGGGTTTCTCAGTGAGATTTGATTAGATCATTGACCCTGTTGACCCTGTTGATCATTGATAAATCCATTGATTATATATCAAATCCAGGATAGAAACTCTACTTATGACTCGGGAGTGGCACCCAACTAGATTTGATAAACTAAGAACTCCTGGTCTTGCAGTGGAAAAATCAATTATATAAGAAGTCCTGGCTGATTATTTAAAACGCTAGCCGGCTGACCCCACAAAAGTATCTTATTTTGCGGTTAAAATGGTTTGCCCAATATAACCAACCAGGGGGTTGTCCAGCCTGGTTGACATTACTATACATATCTATGCATCATGATGATCACAGGTGGAGGTTTAATGAGAATCATAGAGCTCTGACAGCTGGTGTTTCACAGTCCTGACAGCTTGATCAATACTGTACCCTTCTCCACACTGGTTTATAGCAACAGTTGTCAAAGCTTTGTGATTTTTCTGGCAAGGCTCGTGTCCCACATGGTATCCTGCTTCCGTGAACCTAAGCTGGTAAGAAGCAATGGAACTGCAAACAGCAGGGAAGCTGTCCCAAGAAACCTCTCTGCACAATCTGCTTCAAGACAAATCAACACATTGTTGCAAAACCAAAGAAAACCACATCGATTTTTCTCTTTCAAACATCCAATCGGCTTCTTGTACCCTAGCATTTCAGGAAGGTGCAATAGCAAAGAAAAGATTATCGTACCTGTCTGCAATGCTGATCCATATTGGTATCTTTTGAAAAGGTGGAACTGGATAGACAGCGGCGTGCGTGAAAAGCTTTCGTTTTTGTAGTGAATCCTATTACTTTGAAAAAGTTCCTGGTCAAACGATTGGCACATTTCCAACAAGATCTTGAAGATCTTGGGGAATCGGAATATAGAAAAAGAAGGACACAAAATACGAACCTTTGTCAGGTCAGAGTCACAGTCTTCGCACATCACTGAACTGCAGAGCTGATCTCAAGAATGAACCACGGAATGTCACTAAGTAGCATGCTTCAGTGTTCTATTCTTTGCTCGGTAGCACGTGTTTGATAGGAAGAGCTCAAACATGAAGATATGAAGATTGTAGTGATTGTATAGGTTTACAATGGTTTACATATACCTCTTGTTGCCTTTTTCTCTTGTTTTGGACACGCCATGGAATGGCACGGAAGACGGCCTTCGAGCACTTTTCTCTCATTGCTTTAGTCACTTTAGTCTAGAAAAAAACAGCAAACACACATTTTCTCTCATTGCTTTAGTCTAGAAAAAACAGCAACCACACATTAAAAACATATAAAAACACATAACAACCCCATGGCACAAATTGGCGCAAGAGCTGTGCAAAACTGGAGAAAAACGACCGCTCACAATTCCGGCGGAAACCTGGAGACAATAGGTTTGGAAAACAACACTCTTGCTACGCACTAGGCAGTCATAGGTATGTCATAGGTATGTATAATGCTAGAATTCTGTCAGTCAAAATGTGCAAAAAGTGAAGAAAACAGGTACGTCGAACGAATTCAACACAAAGACATGTCTGCAAAGAGCATATTCTGAGTCCTTCTCCCTTTGCAACTTTATCCGCATGTCGTTCAAGAAAAATGAGCCAAGCGTCTTCCGGATCCGTCTCTTCTCAAACTCCTTGTAGACGTTGCTCCTGCCACAAGTTAGGGCTTTCATCCAGAATTTCCAGACGTTCCTATATTGCCAGTGTCGTTGATCCAAAGGATGTGACCTCGCCAATTTCGCCCATTCTTCCCAGGCACAGATAACTTGCAACTGGTTTCAGTGCCAAGAGACGCATCCCACTGCTTCTGCCAATAGTTCACCTGGCATGTCAGAACTCTGGAACATTCTGCTGCAAAAGTCTGCAAATACCTTTGCCTTTCAACTCAAACGCTCTGTGATATCAAGCTCTCCTATCGATTTTGCATGTTCATGCCACCATGAAACCCAACAAAGCTGTTTGGCTTGATCCAAGCTCTTGCGACCAACACGGCTGTCTGAAAATGGAGTACACATTTTTGACTCCCCAAATGGCCATTTAATAGGGGAAATAATGGCCATTTGGATTTTGGGGTAGCCATGGGTAGCCTATTTTCAGACAAACCCATTCTTTCTGAACCATTCCCTTGAGCTTCCAGCCCTGGCAAAGGAGAGCCCCCAGCCAAGCAGAAGCGACAGCCTTGGGATGCTGAATGCTGAGCTTGGCGGATCCAACTCCACTAACAACAGGTACCAAGTGACAGAAATATCTCAGTTGACTCAGTTGACAAACATTTGGATTCGATGCTTGTTTGTTGCGGAGTGCTAATGAGCTCTGTCCCAAATGATGATACAGCATGATACAGCATGATACAGCCGCAGAGTCAAATTATGTCAAATTGCTGAATTTCCAGACTGGCAAAACCTGTCGTTGGTTCATCATGCCGAGCAATATGGGCCTTCCTTGGCTGCCCCACCCGAGTGAAAAGTGAACATGACCTGGCAAGGATTTCAGAGCAAGCTGACTCATGAGTCAAGAGTGCAAGAGTGCTGGTGCGCTTGCGCACATTCCGCAGAGCAGGCAACCCTTCAAACTCCTGTTGAAAAACACCATTGCAACAGGTGCAACAGAATTAAATCCGCTTAGGACTTGATTCCAACATATTTCAATCCCCCCTTGGTGAACTTCGGCCGATTCTTTTTTCTGCAGGCCGTGCTGATCACCGGGCCACGGCCGGCCGCAAAAAAGGCCGCCATGGCCCGGGCGCGCACGGAGTCGGCGACAAAAAATCTCGCCACTTCGAAGGCAGGGGAGACGCTGCTGACATTTTTGGACATCTTTAAAGATTTTAAGGATTTTAAGGGATCTCCTTAAAGTAAGGATTTTAAATGATTTTAAGGGATCTACTGAATCTACTGTTTGCAGAGTAGATGTACATTGGATGAACATCGGATGGAATTACAGAATCAAATCCAAGGCATATGCAGATGAGACCCCTGGGCAAAATATTGACTATATATGAAGGATTATGAAGGCAGCTCAAGGATCTACATAGCTTCAAACCATTTCAAAACTGTGTCACCAAATAGCAAGCTGAACAAAATCTGTCATAAAGAGGATTGCTGGCACCGCCATCAGTGTCATCCAGTGTCATCCAGTGTCCAGCTCCCTGCGTCTGCGTCTGCGGCCGTCGGCCGCACAAAATTTTGGGCAGTAGCCAAGGCGTGGCGCAAGTTGGGAATGCAAATCACAGATCGGGACACGAAAAATGAACATCAACATCAAGAGTTTATATACTCTTACTTTCCACGGATATGTACATGGGGTCTCACATACTATACATATTATACATTATGACTATATATCATATACATATATCCTGGATCTTCAATTAGCACTTTTTTCTGCTCAAAGCAGTTTTTGCTCACTCGAACTTGAAAACGTGCATCTGAATCTTGACGGACAGGTATTTACGCTGGTTGCCCGGGACAATACGCTCACATCTTTTGCCTCAAAATGCATAAAGTGCAAAAATGCCAAAAGTGGTGAAATTACGCTCATGTGGAGAAAAACCGCTCAAAGAGCAAAAGCCTCTCAAATTCATGTGCATCTATTTGTGCTTTTTCGAGGATGCAAATGCAGGTATGTATGTACCAATGATTACCAATGTAAAGTTTAATGTGATATCATATTATCATTGAATACTCCTTTGTGCGGTCGCACTGTGTTACAACTTATGCTCGGGAATCATTTCGATTGCCCTCCGAAAGCTGGTCACGCTGAAGCCATCCTGAGATATCAAGAGGAGTGATCCGATTCACAATCCCTGGATTGCCACATCTCAAAAAAAGGATGCAATTCTTAGGCTCAGGGTCTTGTGATGCCCCGAGACTATTCTGCATCGCTCTGAACAGTTTGAAGTCGCCAAAAAGATATGCAAAGATATGCAGAATAGCCAAGCAGAATTCTATCCCCGCATTTCGATCCTGTTAAATCCTCGCAGTTAAACTAGGCAAGATCAGCCATTCCATGGCTGTCATTCGAATGAATCTGGTTGGGGATATATAAAAGGTACTGGCCATTCTGCATTGTCCATGGTCCCAAAAAGAGCAGTAAACACTACACTCTGCAAGGGGTGTCTGGTTCTGGTTGAGGGTGGAAACTGCTTCAAGGTGTGGTCCCCTAGGCACTTTATTGGTAATTGCTGCTGCCTGAAGTACTGTACATGAGGAACAGAAGAAGCACCAAATCGACCGTGGGCAGGTATACAGTGTGGCAGTGTGGCAGGAAATAGAAGTCAATCTTTTCACTCAACCGCCTAGGTGTACGGTGTTCGCAAGTAGTGTCTGTGTCCCATTTTTGGTAGATCCCGTAGATCCCATTTTTTGGACGCCCAGAGAATAGCCTGAGAATGCCATCTTCTAAGTTTGACTGGCCAAAGGGGTTCAGAATGGTTCAGAAGTGAATCAAGCATCCATTATTATGCCATCATCCAATCATATCCCTGCATCGACCCATTCCGGACTGAGCTCACAGGAACCTGGAGAGAAATTTAGTCAACTCCAAGAAGAAAGCTTGCCATCGTGTGGCTAGTGCTGCAGTGAAAAAACCTTAGAAACCTCAATTGATCTCAATTGTCCATAAATGATATAAATGTGATATCTATTGATGTCTGGACATTTTGACATTTTGATCTTGCTGAGCCGGAAATTTTGGGACCAATCCATGGACCAATCCATGGAGAGCCGATCAGCCTGAGGCCATCTGTTTCAACCTCTCATCCGTCAGGGTGACGAGGAGCACAGTCCCATCCTGTGGACTGGGCTGATCCAGCGATTTCATCATGGAACTATACCCAACCATCATAGATTAGATGGTTATTATATAAGATATTATATGATGAAAAAATCATGGAATTATACCATCTATACCATTATATTTCTACCACCATCATCTAACGAGTTGATGTTGAAATATCATGAAATCTCCATAAATCTGGGACATGGACCAATCCCTGAAGGTCCAGCCGCTTTTTTAAAACATACCCAGCTGGCTCAGTTGACCCTTGAGCATGGCCAATGATCCAATCGAAACGGCAGAAAAGGATGGCATTTTAGAGCTCCGTTGTGTTTTTGTAAGTTCATGACCTGTGAAAAGGTTATAACATGTTAGAAAACTGTGCGCCAAGACACCCAAACTTGTTTGTTCTTTGGAGTGATGAAAGAGCACATGTGTCTTGTCCTGTTGCTTCTCGGGCACAAACATGGTATCCACTGTGCCGTTGGAAATCATCTTTGCCACGTCGGACAGGCTGATGACCCTTGCAAAAGCCATGTTGCTATCGATGCCCTTCGACTAAACTCTCCCGGAATCATTCATGAGCAGTGTGTGCACTGTTTATTCGCTTGCAACACCATAGTAAATCAGGCATGTAGGAGTCAGTTGTAGTCATTTCCGGCTGACTATTATTTCTTCGCGTGACTTTTCAATTCCAGAACAATTCTACTGAAGAGGGCCATTTGTTGAAGCATATGGTTGGTAGTTTGAACCATCTTCATCACAATCGCTGATTGGTGGTTTCAATTTCAACTCGTTCCCCCAAATTGGTGGCCAATTGACATCATTCGAAGTAGGATCCAAGGATATCCAAAGTAAACACCTTTGAAACCAACCAAATCACCCTAGCAATCCGCAAGGAGTACGGATTGAACTTCCCCAAAGATGCGAGGCTTCCAATGCTTCGGCAAGGCTCTCTCCAGCTCCGGGAGTGTCATAACTTGCCGCCTTTGGGAGAGATTTTCCAGCTGGGGCATTTTGCCATGGTCCATAGCCATCTTCCGAGCTGAAATTCTGCCAAGCCTGGCAGACGACGTGTAGGAACGGTGGGAAATTCTGCGGAATCAACTGGACTGGGATGGCAACGGGATGCAACTGGTATCCTGCCTGGTGGTTGCCCACAGCTTCACTTCTGACCCACGTAGACGTTCGGCCACTTCCGAAGCGCCACAGCTGCGAGCATCGGGGATGTGGCAAATAAGGATCGGCCAATGGATTCAGGTGGTTTGAGGATGTTTGAGGGGCTGCTTTAGTAACAAAAAATCAAAACCCACCAAACATCTACAGGCTCCATATCTTCTTACTCTGATGTTGTTGGTCTTGAAGTACTGCTACTGATCATCCGATGAGGATGGTCTCTATCATACACATTCACACATCAGCATCATACTACAGGCAGTGCAATCGTAACCTCTCTGCAATTCACGCCAGCAGCCTTCAAGTCAAGTTTAATTACGTCAATCGATTCACTGCAAATCGCTTGGAACATACGAGAAGAGTGTTTAGCCGCGTGTAACATTGTAGACAATGGCAAAATATGGTGTAACATGGCATAATGGGTTGTATATGATGAATAGTATATATGATATGTGTATATAAATTATGTATATATATATATATAATTGTTTTTTTCCATAACCCCAATGATATAATTTTGCTTGTAATACTCTTGTAATACTGTTCTAGTTTGCACCGCACCAGTTTTAAAAAGGCCCAGTGACCAATTGGTCTCGAGCACATTCTTCCAGCCGTGCGTTGCCACAGACCCACTGGGAAGTGGCCTGGCCCGGGAGCAGGATGCTATATAGCTCAGCATTATCGACACCCACAAACTTTTCATAATGTTGCATGATGTTCCAAAAGCAATCATGAGATATGCCAACTTTATCTAAGATCTTTAAGATGATCTAACAAAAGTATACAAAAGTCATGATCAAGTCATGACCTGAAAAAAACCATGTCAGCCAATTTGCTCCAACGGTCCCCAACTGGTCACCTCCGAACGCCATAGGTTGAGGCGAAGCTGACGCTGCCCTGAACGGTTCAGATGAGCCACCTGGGATGCTGGTTGATGCTGGTTGATGCTGCTTGTTATGATTAAAGATTTAGTTAAGAGTTAAGATGATGATGCTGACCTGATTTTTTTTTGCATCCTTTCGACATCTAACAACTCGAAGTTCTAGGATGATTGTCAAAAGCCTCGCACAATTTCTGAGAAGTGAAACCGGCCATTGTTTGATGGGACGCAATGGTTTCGGGGACGACAAACCATTGCGACCCAGTGAGCTGAATTGAAACTATGCCGAGCACTGACAAATACTGACAAACAAATAGTCAGTTTCTGGCGGAAATCAACACTTACATTTGTGAGGGGATGAATGGCCTGATCCACTTGGCATATCTGCTTAGTTTGTTTCTTACGTATACTGTAATTCTCTGTAATTAATGCATGTTTCCTTTCATCTCAATACATGTTTATAATATTTTATAATTCTTCATACATCTTTCTCGGAGTGAAAGATAAAGTGAATTGCAAGAATGGTGCGTTCCGTGCAGTGCAGTGCTAAGACCCCAGGCCAACCAGCTGTTACTGGCTCTGCTGGGCATGACATGGATGGTGTTTCCATTGCTGTCCAACCAGCAGCCAACGAAGTCCTCAGTGGAGCAAGCAGGTGGAGGAAACCCAGCAATGTCCACCATGGTGTAGCCGCTTTGCTGTTCCAAGTCTCTAGCTGCGCTCTGAAGCCGAGGAGCAGCTGGGCACAAATCATCTGGGCAGAGCTCTTCGGTGGCAGTGCTTGCTCCCGAGTCCGCCACTTGAGCCTGCACCGAGCGACTTGGGGGCACAGCTCAAAAGTAAAACCACAAACTTTGATGGGACAGTCGGGACAGTAATAAAGCATGCAAACAACAAGATTCAAGAAACATTTGCCATGATATCTTTTGTATCTTTAGTCCATGCAGCTGAACGCTACTGCGTCGTATTCCCTTTGGAGCAAATCGGTCCTCATTGGTCTCAGAGCTATTGGGGGTGCCGGCAAGCGAGCTCTTCATCTTTGGCTCCTGATGTTTTTGGCCATTGGAATGCCAACATCCAATAACGTTGCCAAATGTGCTATGAAAACTGTGGTTGGTAGCTATCATGGTTGGTAGCTACTATGTATTCACATGTTATCATGTGGATCTTTGCGGACGGACAAAAATATCAGGCCACTGCTGGGTCCATCCCCTGCTTGTCAGTATACCAGGCTATGGCATTCTGCAGCCTATGTCCAACTCGGAGTAGTTGCTGATCATGAAGAAACGGGTTTGCCTGAAAATAGGGCACTCCAAATTCCAATGATTTTCTCCATTTCAGTGGCCATTTGGAGGTATCCATTTTCACTCACAACCCAATAGACATGATCCAACACAATCAGCCATCACCCATCGATGCCAAGTTTCACATTGGCCATGTGCTTGGAACAACCAAGTTTTCCCCTGGCAACGCGACGCGGCGTTGCCGAAAGCGTGCAGTTGTGTATCAGGATTCACAGAGATTTGTTGAGAGTTGTTGAGAGCTTTGCAACACGTGGCTGCGTGTTGAGCTTTGAAAATGTTACAGCTCAAACCGTTGCCACCTGCCACTCAAGACCGTTTCCCCTCAAACATGTTGGAAACAAATTGATTGGTGCAGAAGAAGCAAGCGCCTTCAAGACGTTCTTTGTTTGGAGCAAGCGCTGGTCGAGAGATGACACAAACACCTGAGCAACTGGCAAAACCTGGGATGTGAAGCTGACCAAACAGTCCAGGAAAGTTGACACATCAAGTTGCTCGATTCAGTGATCTTACCATTGTATATTCAACATCATGTATAGTCTTGCGCCTTGTGACAACAATATTATGATATATTATACACGTCATGGCTTTCAGCAATCTTTTTATAAGTCAGACTAGACCTGGGCCAAAAAAGACATCTAATGCATTCTAATTCCACCAAATCAATCCAAATCAAGGATTCATTGATAACATTTAGCAAGTTTTAGCAATAAGAGTTCCTCCTCCGTGCCCATCATGGTCAAGTTGCAGTGGTGCGACGGGCAGATTTGTCTAACTTCGCGAGATTCTTTGCTAATCGCGCATCCATCATCCCGACTCAGGGAAATTTCTAAAGCCTCCGCGATCGCAAGAAAAGTGCAGTGGTGGATCGGCGGGAAACGAGGCCGAGGCCAGATCAAACCTAATTACCTGTTCGATTCGTCGCAGGGAACTCTGGCAAGATAATAATACATTATCATATTCTGCACATTAGCTTCAAAACTTTCATCTCGCCTTATAGAGATTCCTCAATATTCCTCACACTGGGCATCTAAACCCTGGTTCGCGAATGGGCTATAAGTTACTACACCCAAGTATAAGCACCCCCTGATTCAAATAAACAATCCCAGCATTGAACATATGGCACCCAGGATGTCACAATCCCCAATTTCCCCAATGCCCTGGCCTGCAGTTTTCGCTGGCAGCTCGACACGGGAACTACCCGGAAGCCAAAATGGTACCGGGTTGCACGGCTCGGATGTGAACAGCAGAATGGCAACATCGGATGGAAAAACATGTGATTCATCCTCTGGATGCCCATGACATATCATGATATTATATGATATGATATGGATATTATATGATATTATATGATATTATAAAATATTATATGATATTATTGTGTTCTTAAATGCTACGATATACATTGATATACTGCCTTCAGCCACATTGTGTGTCACATATTCAAGGTCAACACGCGCAGGACCGAACGTGGAACAGGTTGAAAACTGGTGCATGATATTTGCAGCTGCTTAGGCCATAGCTTCAACCTAAACGCCAATGCTACACTTATCAGCACGCTCAACACACAGCATTTGCACAATGCCCATACCTGATAATATCTATGATATCTCTGGATGCCACTCTGAATTGAACATTCTGTCACTTGTCTAAAAAGGATTAAACAGGAAAAAAACACATGATGTGAAAAACTCAACCTGATTGAGAATTTGAAACTTGGACTGATACTTTGGAAATCATAGCAACAAACACAGCATCTTAACAACCAGCCTCACCAACCCAACATGAAGATCATGAACCGCAATTCAGTGTGTTCAGTGTGTCCTATATGTGCTTTCAAGGCCTCCACGGCGACTCATGAGGAAAATCCGGTGGTGAAACGACGCGCCGGTGAAGTTTCTGTCTACTATTTCTGTGTTTCGTTGTATCAGTTGTATCCCTCTGATTCATGAATCTTGAAAGTCTCATTGTTTCAGAAGCAATCGCAATATTTGTTTAAGTATGTTCAAGGGCACCGTTGATGATTTAATCAGCAAACTTGCAAGTAGAAATAGTATCGAGCACGGATGACTTTATTCTTTATTCTTATGAGATATCTGCAACCTGTAAACTGCTATTCACATCTATTCATGACTCCTTCTGAAGTAACAAGTTCCTTTATGATCAGCCCACACTGCCTGCCTTATCACCTGTAAAAGGGGTCCTTCCCTGATGGAGGACCTACGCTTCATCGATGTTCATCTAAACTGCTTCTATGTGCTTCTGGCCGCTTGGCCGCTTGGATGCCGAGTGAATATGAAACGATTGAGAGCGAGGTACTGGGATCTCTTGAGACATCTTGGGATCTCTTGGAGAATTTTGCCCTCAAATTGAAATAGTCAGAGAGATATACCGCAATACCTCTCCCACTTCAGCGCAAATCTTCCCCACCTCATCACTTCTCTAGGACATTCTGCTGGTGCTCTTTTTTGAACCCTCCGTGCTGGCTAATTCATTGGCAGGTTCACTGGATTCACCAAGTGAACTCTGATCACCCAGGGGTGCCGAAGTGCTTTCTTCCTTCGTTGATTGGCTTTCCTCCTTGGGCTCAGTGAGGAACTGACTCCTGGCGTTGATCTGGATGTACTTCAAGGTTTTTTTCGGGAGCATAAAACAGCAAAGTCAAGGGGGTCAACATGGGCACGCTCACAGCTTATCGCCGAAGCTGTAGCACCTGTAGCAACTTGCCAGTAAGTCCCACCTTCCAAAAAGCTCTCCATGCTGTAAATCTGGCACCCTCTGGCACCAAAAAGTCCTATCTATATATATACAATATAATACATTATAAAATCCAATATATAATATAATATAATATATATATAATATAATATATATATAATATATAATAAATAATATAATATATAACAAATAATATAATATATAATATATAATAAATAATATAATATATAAAATATAATATATAATATAATAATATAATATATAATATATAATATATAATATAATATAATATATAACATAATAAAATATAATATAAAATATATAATATGATATTATATACTATAATATAATATAATATAATATGATATAATATAATATAATATAACATATAATAATAACATATAATATAATATAACATAACATACAATAAAATAAAATCATACAATATGATATAATATATAATAGAATATATATATATAATATAGCTAATGATGATCATCAATGATAAACCTCTGGATTTTGGGGCTGGAATCTGCCTGAGCGCCAGGTAGGTGGGATTCGTAGGCTCCACCTCCAGCGCTTTGGCAATGTACCTGGGGTTCACCGGATCTTCATCCCACCCAAATGTGGTAGAGGCTTTGATACATCCCCCAATGAGGATAATATGTATATAAATATGTATGGGATTGCAATCCAAGCATATGGGTTACAACCTGTTGCAACCAAGATTTAAAATCACCAGTGAGTTCTGCTTCGGGCCCATCCACGCCGGGCCGCTTGGTGGCTTGGCGGCTTGGCGGCTTGGCGCACTTGAGGGCCTGCTCCTTTTCGTGCAAATATGCATGGAGCGTTGCCAGATTTGCAAAGCACACCTGAATAGCTCAAGGCATCTGGTGTATCGGACAAAAACAATGGTACGTGATGGTACTACTGGAAAAGAAAGGTGGAATAGGACTTGGGAAAAACATTGGAAAATGCTTTACAGTCTGGGGTCAATGCTAATCTTTCAGTGGACACTGTCATCCCCGCCCTCTGAGGGTGCAGCATGTAAGCCAGCATCCATGGCAACCTGGGAAGCTGATGCATCACAAATCTTGTCCCTTGCCTTGGCACATTGATGGCCATCAAATAGCAGCTGTAATGTGGTAAACGCACTGCCAGAAACCATCCTGGTAATAAAAAATCATCCCAAGCAGGGGTATACCCAATGCCATGCATCTCTTTTGGGGATGGCTCATAATACCAGGTGAACCATTGTTTATGAGAACATTATTAACCACTCTTAACCATTATTAACCACTATCAACCATAGTTAATGGTTTACTCATTGGATTGGCTTAAGGGAAAATCTACAGGAAACCATAGATTTTCCCATTAAATATTGGGCTTTCCTGTAAATTTTCCCTTACACCAATTCTATGATTTACAGTACCACTATCAACCATTCTTAACCACTCTCACGGGGAACCTGATTTTCTCCACCAGGTCTCCATGCAGCTCGTCGGTAGCTGTCAATGGCCTCGGGTACACGATCCAGTGACCTGAGCGACGATGGATGTTTGGAGCTCTACATTATATATATACATAATTATATATGATATGTGTATATATATATGGCATATATATGATATATATATATACATATATATATATTATTGAGTCATAGCATATTATACAGTCATAGTATATTATATAGTGTGGTTACTATTAATTGTCCAATGCGGGAAACTTATGTCATCTTGGGGGTTACAGTGGAAATGATTTGTCCGCGAAGATGACCTCACCAGGTTCCGGTGCCGATGTGACCACTGAGCCCACTGGCTGCATTGCCACGCCCAAATGAGCCCAGACCTGCAGGACAACAGCCAGGAACCGCAATACGTTTGAGAACCAACATGGAATATGGTGGAATATCATGGAATGGGTTTGGGTTTTTGGGTTTTATGAAGTTTAAAAATCATTCCAAAGCCATGAACCAAACCATTGCAGCCACTTTCGTGCACCTCGGCGGCAGCAGCACAGCTTCCGCTGCCACTTGCATCCTGCAGTGATCGCAAAGGTGGTGGCTTCCAGGTGATGGGATACGTAAGATGTTACAACAATCCCCAATAAATCAGTTAGATCCAGTTAGTACTATAACTAAGTTGAACCGATTTCATCCGATTTATATCTTATCCATCAATCAACCATCATCAATAATTAAACCCCAACATGATGTTGTACTAAAACCATCTAAAATTAAATCCCGATCAATGTTCATCGTTAAACAATCTGATAAACATATAAAATAGCAATTAGAATATTAGAATAACCAATCAAATCCAATTAACAGCTTTTGTTCCCGGTTTTGTTTCAGGTTTTCTCATTGCCCGTGGCTGGGCCTGCAGAATCTCCAGCGTGCGCCGGAAGAGAGGCACGGCCTCTGAGAAGCGTTGACGCGCACAAAGGGCCTGGAGCCGTTGGCTGGATGCCTTCATCCAAAATTGGTCAAAGATGTCAAAGTTGGTCATTTTAAATGGGGAACCCATTTGGAACCCATTTGGAACCAATGCTTTCAACATGTTTTTTGAAAGGGCATCACAATTTTCAGAAAGATCCAAATGGTTGATGTCTCAAGGGACTTATAACTTTTGGATACTTATGAAGGATTTATGGATGAATCAAAGGGCAAAAACTCAATCTGAACAATCTGACAGCTGCGATGTGTAACCGCGACACCTCTGCTTGCTGGAAGCACTCTTGCGCTGCGAGAGGTAAGACACTCTTTGACCTTAGCCATCATGGTGAGTTTCTAGTGCCTTGAATTTTGATAAGGGCAGGAAAACCAGCCGATGTAATCGAAACTGTCACATGGCTACCCCGTGTGCTCGTCAAACTTGATTGCGATTCTTTCGCAGCTGGAAATGCTTTGATTCTGTGGCTCAGCATCTAGCTTGTGACGACTTATAACAACTTTGTTACAGTGCAGTCTAAATAATCGAAAACAACTTTAAAGATAAATAGTGTTAAAGAATGTTAAAGACAGATGACAAACGAAAATCGTCAAAGCAAGGGAGCTGGCGATGTCGTCTCTTGCTCCTCAAGGTCTGCCACGGTTTTTACTAGCCATATCTCATGTAATCTATCGAAGTTCAGCCATGTTCAGCCATGTTCAACCTTCGGTGTTTCCATGCCCAGTCCTTTGGAGTCACACCTAGCGTTGCAGTGATTCATGGTGCCCGGACCCATCTCAATTCCACTGCAAAATCATTCTGCGAATCATTCTGGTGCAAAGGATTTCTCAAATTTTCGCAAGCTCTAACTCTACACATGTATCGTCGCATATATAATGTATATAAATAATATTAATATAATAGATATTGGTAGCTAAACTAGCGACAGTCAAAACACATCACAGAGAATCCATGCGAAGTTCCAATCGGGACTCTCCAAGTTCAGTGAGTACAAATCATTTTCATTCATTTTCCACTAATTTGCAAGTCCATATAGAATCCAACGCAGCTGGCAACAGCTTCAGCACTACCAGAGACCAGCAAACTTGAGGATGAGGCCGCCCAGGGCCCCAGCCTGCTCCAGAGGACTTCCAAGGAACACCACGGCGTGGTGGGCTCGGCCTACAGCAGGCAGACTTTCTAGCATATGCAGCATAGAGCATTGAACATCATGCCGTTGCCAAACAAACAAGGGGATCATATATGCAATCTACTGAATACATCTGGATACACTGAATCTTGCAGCTTAGTTGTGCCATTGCCATTGTGAGCATCTTCGCATTGGCACGTCTTGCCACAAACCCTCACTCCAGCCCCTGAATGCCTATCAGCACCTTTTAGTGACAGCCAGTGGTCAGCTATCTTGGTCCTTTATATTTGAAACAATTGCATCAGCAGTACCTCTAAGCACTGGCTGTGTCTCAGGCAACCTTGTGACACACCAAATGCATCCAAATGCTTCATCGTTGAGCAAACCAAACCTGTTATGCTTCAACATGTGGGGGTTACCTAAAATTGGGTGCCCCAAAATGGATGATTTATAATGGAAAATCGTATTACAGTGGATGATTTAGGGGGTACCCCGATGTTAGGCAACCTCTACTGTATGTCAAAAAGTCTGAATCATTCAACCTGTCTTTGTTTCTGCAACTTGTGTCGAGCTGGACACTGAGACCTCTCACCTGATCCTGCACTCTATGTACACGCTGTATCGATTGAACCCGCGCTACCGCCTTCCACGTGGGCAGCACAGCCACACGCGGATCCCGGCGTTTGCATTCTCTGGCATTCTCTATGACGCGGATTTCTGATTCTCCGGCACGGCCAAACGGGCTTTTGAAGATTCAATTCATATCACATATATCACAGGAACACCCAGCTGAGACACATCATGAAACACACACGCCATTTCAGCATATCGGGAGACGACCGTAGAGTCACCCTCCAGTTTCCGTCTTGATGACCCAATTGGTCCACGTGATTGGGAGAAGCTCCTCCCCTTCACAAGAATAAACAAGTCCTCCGCAATGTTCTCATCAAAACACTTCCTGAAGCAACGCTGGAGTTTTCAGCATTCCTTTCACAATTGACATTTCGCGATGAGCCGCTATCCAAACACAGTGACTGCTATGTACCTGTACCATTGGCTTTTTGATCTATACTTGGATGACTGACTCCCCAATATGTATATATATTAATATATATATACGTATATATAATGTATGAGTGATCGTGATCGTCAAACCTCAAGTCGCTCTTCTGGAACTCGTTGTAGGGTTGTTGAATTTGAGGATTTACTACATATCGCATTTTTTGTTGTTGCTTTACAGCATCTGATTGGGACACGTACTTCTTTTGATGATATGGATGTTCCACAATTGACACGCAACTTGATCGCCTGCAAAAGAAACACCCTCATCATCTACAAGGCATCTTCCCAAGGAAACAAACAGCAGGAAACAAACAGCAGAAACACCTGTGCATCGCTTTGATTGACCAACTTATGGAAAAGCCCTGGCATTTGTGACGCTGAATCTGGTAACTTCGGTGAGCCAACTCTGTGGTCAAGTTCTGTCCAGATACGCAGGTGGCAAAAAATGAGACATCTACCAATCATTGTTAGTTGTCTTTTTAGTAATAATTGTCAGTTGCTTTCTCTCAACGAATCATTGTTAGATGTTTCTAACTGATTCTGGGCCTTTGGTTCAAACGTCATCAATTTGTTGAAACAGTTTGAACAAACATAAAGAAACACAATGGTGTCTCGCTTCCAGGAATGTAAGCACGCCTTGGTGATCCTTGGTGCCTTCGTCCGATTGCACCTCTTGGCACCTGTAAACTCTGCATCCGAGACTCCATCTTCCTCTTGGTGTTGCCTTGTTGCCTTGGGTCCATCCTTCCTTCAGCTTCAACGCAGGAGTGTTGCCAAGTGCCCTTTTGAGGACTTTCACGACGTCCCTACGTCATTGCAAAGCACTTTGTAAAGCGGTTTGTGCTGCTAACCTCTTCATGCCCCCTCGCCCTCGACGAATGGGTCGCTTGTTGAGAGCTGTGTAGGCACTCCTCAGAGGAAAGGAACACGCGTATGGCTACAGTATGGATCAAAATCATTCAAAATCCTGGTGCCCTGCTAAACAATGCTAAACATCAAAGCAGCTGGCAAATGAACGTTTCATCATGTTATCCTGCAAAATATGGTCCCATGGGTATTGACCTGGCCCATATCGAATTCTTGGACTGCTTCCAAGGTGGGCAATGCTATTTAAGTTGAGCGAGTCCAGCACTCTTTCTTTTTTTAACCTGTGTCAATTTATTGACTATCGATACACCACGAATTCAGTGCTGACCGCCTTGAGTCTGCCCTGGCACTGCAATGATTCCAGCATTAAGCGAACGTGAATCTTTCTTTCCAGCGTCGGCCGGCCCAGCTTCAAACACTCACTTCAAGAATTTTTCATGGGCACAACACCAAATTGTACCAGGTACGAGTACCAGGTACCACCACAACGGCGGCCCAGCAGCAACAGCAACCATGGCCACTGAACGAAGCCAAAACAGCGACCCAGGATGCTAGTACGTCTGAACACTGGTTCTAAAGATCCTAAAGCAAAGCGAACAAAACATCGAGCCTAGATCTGTTTCCGCTGACGACTGGGTGATTGATCGGGCATCCCGCACATGGCCATTTCTGCCATGAATCCATGAATGCAATGAGTCAATCACGATAAAGATCGAGTTTCTGTCTTTTGCCAAGAATCCTGTGTTCTTGTATAATCTCGTCGTCATCTCCAGTATCGGAGTAAGCATCTCCAGGTAAAATCTTCAACTTACCTTCGGATCAAAATGTAGTTCTCTCAAATTCTCGTCGCGCTTGCAGCAAACAAAGAACACAGCCACGACGTAAGCAGACACGACAAATACCAACAGGAAATTGCAGGTTGCAAACAGCGTACCCTAACATTTCCTGCTTTTCCTCTCAAACCAACTGAACAACGCACAGACTGAGGTCCTGACATTTATCACAATTCCAATTATTGAGGCAGTGAATACCTGGCACAGGAGCATGCCTATATTCAGTGACATCTGTGTGGCTGAAGTCTTTATATATCTTTATATTATTTTATATTATATTCATGTGTATTCCCGGTCAACCACCTTTCAAGATGTGATTAAATGTGATGAATCATTGCAGCATGTACAATAGTACAAGCTGCAATGATGCCAATGTCATTCCCATATATTCCCATAGGGCATCCGAGGCACAAAGCTTTGATGCCCATCCACATCTCGAACAGATATACATTTTGCAAGGCAGCCGCTCGCACTCCAAAGCCAGTCGATTTTTCGCATTGGGACATTGGTCGATGTTGGCCATGACAGGTCAAGAAGGGGATTTGGCGGTTTCAACGTGACAACAAATGAGAGGGTCTCTCAATGCTGGATACCAAACCAATTGGCTCAAAGAGACATGGGAACACATCCTTTAAGCTTCGGTTTCAAACAAGTTATTCATAATCGAAACACACATGTGTTCAGTATTCTCTCGCTTCTTCTTCTGTGAGGTCTGGCTGGGTGAGATTCATGAGACCATGTGGCTGGTTCTGCTGTTTGCGTGTGACAAACATTCCGCACAATTGTGACCAGCCATTCAGACACAAGAACAGTTCCCCAAGTGCGCAAACACAAACAACATGCAGACAACATGCAACGGATGCACATGCTAGCAACCACGGAACACACACACACACACTGCTTGGAAGGAGAAGGGAAAACACACCTGTCCCAAAGGAAAGGATTGTCGGAAAGGATTCCACCATGTTTCACCAAAGCAAGGCACAACAAACCCGTTTTTTCCGCAGCGATGGTCAGGGCCCGTCAAAGGCGTGGCCAGAAGAAGCACACGAGCTACAACAGCGTTGTAAACGAGGGTCACTTGTGGTAAAAAAATCTGAAAAAGTCGACATATGTGTTGCCACCTGCACGCCTTCACCATCAGTTCGATATTTATCACCATGCATCAGGCTAGCAATGTGCCAGAACGCCAGTGAACCGTGAGTTGGAGAAAGATGATCACACATCAAGACTTCCTAGAACAGTCATTGATTCTTAGCCAAAGTATGATTGGCGCACAGGCTCGCGCACACACACAGACATCAAGTGAAATGTTGCGAGCAACTTGGAGCTGCTCCATAAACACAAATCCAATGGGTCAAAACTCAGGGGGGAGCCATATGAAGAATCACGAAATCCATGCGGACCAGGAGTGACGAATTGATCACTGGAAAACGTTTATGTTCTCAGCCTTGATGGCAGCGTCGCCTCGATACCCTCAAGATCCGGAACACGAACATCTTCGCAGTGGCTAACTCTAATACTCTGACTGGTGGGTCCCCCGTGCGTAGCGTCTGATCTTAAAGCTGTTGGCAAAGACGTAGAAGAGGGTTTCCTCAGCCTCAGGTCCGCTACAGCTAGGAGAGAAGTCAGCGACTGGAAATCTGAACAACGTGTCACAAGACATCTTAGTTATGACTCAGTGACGTGCGAATCATTGCCAGACCATGCTAGACCGCTGTGTGCGTCGTGTGGAGATGCAAATAAGGCTCTTCCCCTTCCCCCCTCGACGTCTCGGTCGCCGGTGCTCCACAGCATACTCTGCCCTCAGCTCATCCATGATCGATGCGAAAAAGAGGATCTGCCGCTACCAGTTTCAATGTTCCAGAATTTCCGGAGTATCACCTACTGTCCATGCAACATCTAGTAGTCTGTAAGGATCACCATCACACCAGGGGTAAGGTTGTAAGAAAACTTGAATATTCTGCATGACCGGCTTTCCCTTTACAAACACCATCTCCTGATATCTCTTTCGCACTTGTGAAGAGCTGCTTGCAACACCCCTACTGCCCTACGATGTGACGTCAACAATCTGCCAAGATGCTGCTTTTCTTTTATAATCTCATCATCAATTTCAGAATAGGCGTCCGCAAACGCAATTTTGCGCTTGCCTCAAGCCAGCGTGAGCAGTTGGGGAGTTCAAGGCTACTTGCTGACGATCCAAAAAATCAAACCACATCAAGCCACATCAAACCCACATCAAATGAGTTAATTGTAAATATAATTATATTTATATTATTATTATCATCATTATTATTATATATTATTATTACTATTGCTATCATTATATAATTGTATTGCTTGTGAGGCTCCACTTGTCTCTGAATGGAATTTGGGACCCCTGAGGCGGACGCATTTTGGGCATACAGCAGTGTTGAGGCACTCGCAACCTGGCAACTTGTGGGACTTGGCCCTTCAAAATGTCAGGAAATTGCATGACATTGATAGGGATTCTATACATTATAGGTTTTGTATTTTTTTGTGATCTGTATATCTGAAAAAATCCAAATAATATATCCTAAGCCTCCTGCTCTGAGATAAAATATGATCTTTGAATCTCAAGCTCCCAATCTCTACTAAGTACGTTATTCTACGTGGCTGTCTTTCTTGCCCGACATGGTCCGATGTCTTGGCCATTGCCTGCTGTGTTTAGCTGTGCCACTGAATCTCTGGTCATGGCGTCCCCAAACAGGCGGAAGTCACACATTTTGCACGGCCAACAACAAAGAGAGCAAATAAAGAGCTTGCAGGGCAGCTGCTGGCACTCAGCATTGACCTTTGCGTACCAACATCCATCATTCGCCATAGCACGTGTGAAACTTGCTGCAACCAACGGTTGCAGGTGGTAATACGGTAGGTGAAACCTGCTAAACTAACACCGCCTGCGCATGTGACTCTGAGGACCCTGGAATGCAATCTGTCGCAAGAACCTGCATGTATGTCCTGCTGCAAGCAGCTTTCAAGCCCATAGGATCCATGTATGCTGTATATGATAACATTTACCATCAATATACCCCAAATGTTTGCATATATACCATACATGGATCCTACGGGAATGTGTCTGGCTCAAAACTGTGGTGCGCGGTTTACTGCCACATTACACTTCTCTGTGGGTCTCGAGTCCCACGGTGTGAAATTTTGAACCATAGATCAGACTCAAACAAGCTCTTGAACCATCTCATTTTTGCCGATAGACCCATTGAGCCCACCAGCTGCAATCGAACAGACCACACCAAGACATGGCTGAGAAGGCTTTCTGGGGTTCTTCCTGTCAGATTCTTTCCTGAAGTCAGTAGACCATCCATCAACCTGCACCAACTAGATAAAATATACTCCTGGAGTTTGTGTGCAAATCGAGTACTCCGGTATCCGATGGTTTATCATCATCTTACATACTAAAATGACACATATATTCTATATTGCTTTAACTACATATTATGTTATGTATACGTATTAAAATAGAGCCACACATGAGGGGTATCTAACCCATTGTTGAACACACCCAGCGAGAGCATGTGCAACGCACTGCCATCATCGTTGAGCATCCCGAACACATCACCACTGTCTGCTGAAGGTCGCAGTTGGACATCCGCAGCCTCGAGGAATGTGACCCAAGTCATCCAGGATCCAGCTAGAGATCCCTTTTGATGGGCTATTAGAAGAAAACCATGGACAATCGTGTAATAGAATCATCAATGTGTTTTATAAATGAACACAATGTGTTCTTGCTCTTGAGATCTCTTGAGACAATAGAGGCCCGCTCTTGTATTTTAGCTTTTGCAGCCCTCATGGCAGACTTCCTGTTTTGATGGACAGAGCCAATGATGCGCAATGATGGTCACTGGGCTTGCTGCACCACTGGGAACACCATTCTATGCTCATCAAATCTCGAAAGTCTGTGACAACATTCCACAAACAGCTTGGGTGCGGACCACTGGTCGTTCATCGCGGCGCGCCTTGGCCCAGTTTGGTCTGCCAAATCAATCTATGTGAGACCCCTGGGAGGCACAGCACATGACATGGATATACTGTGGTGTCATTAAAACTGTATGTCTGGTCAATATTTCATGATTGACTCAATGATACATATACCAGTCGACTTCTGCGGTTTGTTTTCTTTTGACCAACGCTGCGAGGCTTCTTTTGACCAACGCTGTGAGGGCGAAGCTTTTTGCACAGAAGCTTTTTCTGCCTGGAGCAGGGACGACAACTTCTAAAGGATGTGCTTGAAGAAGCAGGCGCGGACGTCACAGCATGAAAAGAAAAGGAACTGAAATTCACATATTTCTCATTGCAAGATATTGCAAGTATACGCATGTTTTCACAATAATCAACCATCCAATGAGGACTTTCACATTGTTTGGAAAATGTCCTTCCATAGCCTATTCCGTGTTGATCACATTGGATCACATTAAAACAAATAGTCCGAATATTGTCTGACTCATGACTTGATCTATCTCATGCGGTTTACTTGAGAGATTGCTTAAGCATTGCTCTTGATTTATGATGTTTTATAATCGGACGTGATTGCTACACGACTACCTTCTGGAAATTTGACATACCTGATTTACCGATGGTTTCCATGGCCATTTTGCAATCCACAAAATGGCCTCCTTGGCCGCAGCAGCCTGGGCCTGACAGATCTGACAGATCGCAGCTGTCCCATCTATGGCTGTTTTAGCTGGGTGAGATAAGATGATAAAACACGACAAACCTCTGGATTTCGGTAGCATATAATTCTTAGACCAACCTCCACCCTTCAAATCCCTTCAAGCACATGTCGTTTCGTGTCTGGCCAGCATTCACCATTGCCTCTTCCCAGAGCTGGCTCACATCGCCTTTGAAACCCACGGAGCGGGCAAACCTGGTGCTGATGATGCTGCTGTTGCAACTTTGCCACATGAAAACTGTCTGATATCGAACATCTGCATTAATATATCTGCATAATAGTCAGACTTGATGTGATCCAATTGCGATCAAATGACTCTGCGAAGTCGCGCTCCAAACCTGCCAAAGTCTGCTCCTGGCAACGTCGCTCCAGTGCATTACATCCCTCCATCTTTCTGTCTCTACAAAAGTTGGCAACAAAGGATCGCATTGGGCTTTCAAATAACCCTGTAGCAGTGCTATGAGCGAAGGCTTTACAAACGCACTCTAAACTTGCTGCCAGGCATCAATCAAACAACCTTCAGTTCCTTTCAGTACACCCTCCAGACACATCCGGACTCCAGGCTCTGTATCTCCATCATTCTCTGTCTGCAATTCTGGAAATAATCCCCACCTCCTTTTACTAAACGTACCCCAAATACTAAAAACTAGGGTCCGCGTTAAATTTTGAGAAATTTCAGACTGGCCAATTTGATTTTTAATTGAAGGTCCCATTTCAGGGTTTGACCCCTAATAATAAAAACTAGTCAACCCCGGGGTGTTTTTTTGGGGTCCGTCTTTCAAGGCCGAACAAAAAATGTATTTTGTATTCAGGTTTTTAATTTACTATTGGGGGAAAGCTTCGAAATCCAATTTTTGGCAATATGTTTATTAGGTTTTTAAAAGAAATTTAATCGATTTTGAAATAGAAACATTTAGTTTTTCATATCGAGGTTTTTAATGATTTAGTATTAGGGGAATCTTCGCGCCCTAATACTAAATACCCCCTAATACTAAAAACTCCTCCAGGTGTTTATTATTTGGGAGGGGACCGTTTAGTAATAGGGAAAAGGGATTACAGCCATGGAATATCCCCTTTCAATGGGAACTCACCTCATCAACGGATATCAAAAGCCATTTTCTACACGCTCCCGCCTGTGGGCCACCATGGCCATTCGATGGCTCCTGAAGCTATACCAATCGCACCATGGCAATTCATTCGATGAATGGTTGAAATTTTGTTACAGAAATGCTCTGTCATCAAATCACCTTCCACACCAACAAAAAATGGTTTGCCCCCAAAATGAGAAAAAATCCGTTTCAAACATCTCAACAACTCATTTAAAGAAAGTACCATGTTATCCTTGGTTGCTAGCCTATCAACTAATCTGATGTCATTCCAATGAAGCAAACTGCTATATCATCTGGGTAGCCACTATGCTCTCACCAAGTTGTTAAGGGTATTTAGTTACAATCCAAGTCTAAAGAATGGTCATTATAATTCTGACTTCAAATAGAGTCAGCAATAGTGCTATGGCTTTCCAAAGTTTAGAATAAACGGCCAATGCATCACAAGGTGCAATGATTACTTCCATTGATTATTCGCCAATATGTTTGGGGAGGATAATGCCAGAGAAAAGCAGGATAAGTATTTTTACAATAATTTGATCTGATAATACCCTTCGAAAAAAACACATAATTTCCCACAATTTTCTATTGGTAAGAAGACCTTAGCATAAGCTTTAGCTCTAAAACTGTTTCACTTTGTATAGTATATCTGATCCTGGCCATGACTGTATGTAGGCATATCCTAGGATATATTTTAGGCTATGATCGTTCTACGGCAACTACAGGCTATCTCTATTCAAGCTGAACACCTTATTTGATCAGCGCACTGACTGATTTTGTTAGAATCAAAATCAATACAACATTGCATAACTCACCATTCTGCAAGGGTATCCTTAATGACAGTCACATGCAATTCTGAAAGTATGATGACGAGTGATGTGCAAATATGTTCTTTTTTTGTATTGTTTGTAGTTCATGCTATTTCTACGCTCTTGGTTGGCTTGCAGTGTTGGCTTGGGAGAGAGACATATACAAGTCAATTTCCAATTGTCCAGGTGACTCTTATTGATAAGAGTAGCATGGCATCTAAGAAAGTCTTCGTTCCTGTCTCAAAATTCAAAGTTGATGGAATGGTTGTGTGCTGTGTGTTGGGTTGAAACTGATCTTGCTACATGCATGTAGGATTGACTTTACCCAGTTGTTCTTTTATGATTGGGCAAAAGTGACCTTACATACCCCAAGTACATTATTTCATGTGCATTAAATTGGTTGCAACTCTTTATATGTGAGAAGAGTCATGTGCTGCATGCCCCTGTTTGGTTACTATTAGCTTGTCATGCAATCTTTACTTGATTACAAATCTTGGTAGAACCATTGAGATCTATGTGCACTTTCTATCATTCTTATTCAGATATTTTTCATGATCTTAATTTCAATAACATTTCAATAACATTGTTCTATCATTTTATGGTGTGAGATATTGCAAGACGTGCAAAACAATCCACACAAATGTCTCATCTTGCGTTTTGCTGTATTTCCAGAAACGTGGTAAAATGGGGCCCCCGTGGCGTGACTTTTGGGAGGGCACAACCCTGGCCTCCTTGTGATGGTTCAGCTCGTTACACTGCTGCCGCACCTGGTCCACAAGGATCTAACTATGGTGGTTGGAAAATAAACATCACGAAACAGGAAATATCCGACAACAAAAAATATAATGAATTTACAGTACGGAAGTGCTGCATTGAAGGTCTGGAAACATCTAGAAACACATTGTATTGAAAATCAAGTGACAGCAGTTGTTTCACGGAAGTTTGGTTTCTGGCCATTGCAATATTCTATGCATGCAAATATAGTACTGCAATTATTATTGATCCAGTACGAACCAGGAAGGTACTTTAGCAACCCAGACCACAGCCCCGCCTGGGAGGCATCGGCGCTGAGATCTGCCAACTCTTTCGACAAGGCCTGCGCTCGTCTGCTTTTGGCACAAGATTTCCAAGTCATCACAATGTTCTGCTTATGAAAACCATTACCCAAACATGGGATAACATGGGTGCATCAAGAATAATATCTCTGTTCTCAGTAGTTGAGCTTCAAGGATGGCCAAGGCATGTATCTTACATGCTACAACACCTCAAGACATCCAATGATGTTTCCCCGCCCCTATGCCCCCAAAAAAAGGATGTGGTATCAAAAACAACTTTAGACAAAGTGTCCCCTGAAGAGCTTCACTCCTGGCGACGTGGTCTTTCGGATCCCAATGTCACAGAACTGCCATTACGTATGATTGTGTGCCATACACGTGGTCCCATTCAGTGATCGCAAAATAGCCGAAGGAAGTTTAGAAGTCAAATTTCCGACAAGCAGAGGTGTCAGAGAAGAGAAAGAACAAGAAGATGCAGGTGATGCGGGTGCGCGAAAAGGTAGGAAAGCCGCGAAGCACTGTGCTTTTCCATGATTTGTGGCTCCGGAGGGTCGAAAAGTAGGCTCGCTAAAGCGGCGGGTGCGGAGCCATCTGGCCAGATGAGAGATGAAAAGTTGCATGCCGTTGTGGCGCGAAGCACATTTGGAAGTCAAAATGTACAAAACACACCATTCTCGGACCACTTTTGGAAGTTGAGATGTCAAAAAAGTGCACACCGTTGTGGTGCGAAGCACATTTGGAAGTCAAGATGTACAAAGCACCTCATGTTCGGATGACTTTTGGAAGTTGAGATGTCGAAAAAGTGCACACAGTTGTGGCCCGAAGCACGTTTGGAAGTCAACATGTACAAAGCACAGCAGCTCCGGAGCACTTTTGGAAGTTGGGATGTCGAAAAAGTGCACACCATTGTGGTGCGAAGCACATGTCGAAGTCAAAAGTGCAAAAACCTGACGGGTACGGAGCACTTTTGGACATTCAGATGTCGTTCCGCGTAGCAGGCGCAAGGGATTGTGCACCTTGTCAAAAGTGAGCCAAACGTGAGGGTTTTGTAGCAGTGTGAAAAACGATGGCAGGCGTGGGCCATTTGAAGAGGATCTGCAAAGATGCATTTCGCGTGGCAGGCGCAGTACAAGAGACATGTTCATCAGAGATGTTAGGAGGTCAGGGCGCTGATTTCCTGAGAAGCGTTGTATTTGGGGGCGTCAGATCTTCAGGTTTGATAAGATTATTTTGCGTGACAGGTGCAGCACTTCGTATGACCTGGCATCACTTTTTCGTTGCAGGCGCAGTACTTTAGACAGATGGAGTGGAAAAATGCAAAGTACGAGGCCGTCAGCTCTGCACTCAACTTTCTATTTTTGAAGGAAGTCTCGCAGAATTGCTTCGTCTTTGATGTTGTCAACTTGAAAAATTGAAGAAGTCTCGCAGAATAGGTTTTCGATGTTGTGAGGAAATCTCGCAGAATTGCCTTGTTTTTGACGTTGCCAAGTTAAAACATTGAGCACATCTCGGGGAATTGCTGCGTTTACGATGTTGTCAACTTCGAACATTGAGGGGGTCTCGCAGAATTTCTTCGTTTTCTAGATGGATCGATAGATAGATAGATGGATGGATAGATAGATAGGTAGATAGATGAGATGAGATGAGATGAGATAAGATGATATGAGATTAGAGTAGAGTGGAGTAGATGAGATGAGATGAGATGAGATGAGATGAGAAAGATTAGTCAGATAGATAGATAAGATAGATAAGATAGATACGATAGATAAGATAGATAAGATAGATAAGATAGATAAGATAGATAAGATAGATAAGATAGATAAGGTAGATAAGATTGATAGATAAATAGATAGATAGATAGATAGATAGATTAGATTAGATTAGATTAGATTAGATTAGATTAGATAGATAGATAGATAGATAGATAGATAGATAGGTATATTAGATCGATAGATAGATAGATAGATAGATAGATAGACAGATAGATCGATAGACAGACAGAGAGATAGATAGATAGATAGATAGATAGATAGATAGATAGATAGATAGATAGATAGATAGATCAGATAGATCAGATAGATCAGATAGATCAGATAGATCAGATAGATCAGATAAATCAGATAGATCAGATAGATCAGATAGATCAGATAGATCAGATAGATCAGATAGATCAGATAGATCAGATAGATCAGATAGATCAGATAGATCAGATAGATCAGCTAGATCAGCTAGATCAGCTAGATCAGCTAGATCAGATAGATCAGATAGATAAGATAGATAAGATAGATCAGATAGATAAGATAGATAAGATAGATAAGATAGATAAGATAGATAAGATAGATAAGATAGATAAGATAGATAGATAGATAGATAGATAGATAGATAGATAGATAGATCAGATAGATAGATAAGATAGATAGATCAGATAGATAGATAGATAGATAGATAGATAGGTAGATAGATCAGATAGATCAGATAGATCAGATAGATAGATCGATAGATCGATAAATAGATAGATAGATAGATAGATAGATAGATAGATCGATAGATCGATAAATAGATAGATAGATAGATAGGTAGATAGATAGATAGATAGATAGATAGGTAGGTAGGTAGGTAGATAGAACAATAGATCGATCGATCGATCGATAGATAGGTAGATAGATAGATAATGAGATGAGATGAGATGAGATGAGATGAGATGAGATGAGGTGAGATGAGATGAGATGAGATGAGATGAGATAGATAGATAGATAGACAGATAGATAGATAGATAGGTAGGTAGGTAGATAGATCAGATAGATCAGATAGATCAGATAGATCAGATAGATCAGATAGATCAGATAGATCAGATAGATAGATAGATAGATAGATAGATAGATAGATAGATAGGTATATTAGATCGATAGATCGATAGATCGATAGATCGATCGATCAATCGATAGATAGATAGACAGATAGACAGATAGACAGATAGACAGATAGATATAGATGGATGGATGGATGGATGGATGGAGAGATAGATAGAGAAATAACAGATAGAGAGATAAACAAATAGACAGATAGATAGACAACTACAACTGCACTACGCTACATTACAACTACATCTACCACTACACTACAACTACAACTTCAACTCTAACCTCCACTTCAACTACATTACAGCCACAACTACCACTACCACCACAGCACTTCAATTTCAACTTCAACTACGCTGCAACTACAGCTACAACTACAGCTACAACTAAATCTACAACTACAACTACAAACTACACCACACCACACCACACTACATTCAGCCACTGCAACCACTCCAAAAAGCGCAACTCCAACCACGTTTCGATCCATCAGTGGATTCGCTCTGCCATCCTTTCATCACAACAACTCACCTCTCCCATAGTTTCCAATCTTTGAAACTTCCGCCACCGCCTTGTGCGGTACTACTGGTAATAAATAGTACGGTGACCCTAGTACGGTGTAAATGTCTCACATGATTCTCTAATAATACCAGGAATCATCCCTAGAACTATCCCAAGAATTAATCATGCATAGGGTGTCCCAAAAAGTGTCGCTAGTATCCCAATCACCATCCCACAAATATCCGCAACATCCATCCCAACAACTGTCTTACAATTCAAACCATACTTATCTCAATAGTGCTCTCAATCGTTCTCCCAACCATTTGCGTCGACAACTAATCATCACTGTGTGTTTGGGTTGACAGCCAAAAATCTTAGGTCATACTAATTAAGATACACATACAACATACAACAATTGGTAAATATATTGTGATTTTGGCAAGAGTTATCAATTATGATACCCGACAGAATTATGGAAAACATATCTAACTTAGACAGGGGCTCGCCTGTCTCCGTTTTTTCCATACTTAGGGTCTTCCCCGTAAAGGTTCAAAATTTCCCGGATGTGATCTTAACTTTTTCTTCCATAATTTTTGGAAGGGCCCGATATTTTCCATGTTTCCTGTGTAATCACGGGGTTGGAGCAAATTAACTCGGATTTTTCCGTAATCTTGTTTTTCCATAATTAATCTTTGGGGGTCCACCTGTTGGCCATGTCATGGATCGACATTTCAAACCCAGTGGTGATCGAAAAATGCCATCAACCAAATTGGTGGCTTTGGCACTGGCAACATCCCACATATGTATGCACAACAATGTTTCTTTTGGTGGTGCACCTGAATGACCAATATGTGTACTTTTTGATGTATATAGATTGGTCATCCTGGACGGCCATTTCTGGGAAAAGTTAACTATAGAAAAAACTAGAACCGTAAGTTAAAGAAGGGTAGCCGGTCAGATCCAGCCCCAGAAGTGCATGTTTGAATAGAGAACGCCTTTTGAAATTGTTACGAAAAAAACGGGAGGAAAATTGACGAAAGTCAATGCTAAAAATGATGAAATAGACATGAACAAATGATGAAAAAACATGGTAACATACTGAGATAGGCTGGACAATTACTTGAAACCAACGGAAAAATGTTGAAATAGGTGGGACAATTGCTTAAAACAAATGGTAAAAGGCTGAAATAGCTTGAACAATTGCTTAAAACATCTTAAAACCAATGGCAAAATGACGAAATATATTTTGGGGCATCTGATCAACAAAGGTGTGTACTTTTCGCTAGAGATTGGTCATCCTGGACGACCATTTCTGGGAAAAGTTCAATAGAAAACACATGAAAAAACAAGAACTGTAAGAAAACATGCTTCACACAATATCATCCAAAAAGGGTAGCCGGTCAGATCCAGCCCCAGAAGTGCATTTTTGAATAGAGAACGCCTATTGAAATGTTTCAAACAACGGGAGGAAAAACGGGCGAAAGCCATTGCTAAAAACAGTGAAATAGATTTGAAAAAGTGATCGGTACGATGCTGAAATATGTTGATCAATTGGTGAAAACGAATGGGAAAACGCTGAAACAGGTTTGACAATTGATTGAAACCAATGGTGGTAAAAGGCCCAAATAGGTCGGGAAATCGTTTGAAACCACTGGTAGAATAACGAAATAAGTCAAAAACTGATGAAAGTTAATGCTAAACACAATGAAACTGATTGAACACATGATGAACACCTTTGGTAAAATGCTGAAATATGTTCATCAACTGCTGCAAACGAATGGAAAAATGCTGAAATAGGTTCGACAGTAGCTTAAAACCAATGGCAAAAGGCTGGAAATTGCTCGGGGTATACCGTACTGTATATGTGATTTTTCGACAAATTTATGTTTTCCATAATTTAATATTCCCCCTTAAAATGCATTCGAACTGCGAATCGAAGAACGTGTTCCAGCCGACAGAATTATGGAAATATATGGAAAACTAGTTATGGGAAAAAACAGGTCTAGAATTTTCCGGTGATAGACAGGAGCTCACTTGTCAATTGTAACCTTTTTTTCTGAATTCTGTCGGGTGCTGTATATCATTATTAAGATGGGCTTTGGTGATTTATAATATATCATATATAATATAAATTATCCAACATTACATAAACATTACAATATCTTTTCGTTCATCCCAAAGCCCATCTCATCCCCTTGCTTCATCATTTCCGTCGCTGCGGTGTGACCGCGCCTCCCGCTCCTCGCTGGCGATAAGCTGTTGCTGCGCGAACTCCTCATGAAGCTCCGCATAGGCGGCCTGGGCGGAAAATGCCATGGAGCTGTTGATACAACTGATAGATTCTCTGATAAATAATAAATAAGTAAAAATACTGATAGAATGTGTGGAAAAATCCTGGGAAGCATTGTGGAACCATGAGAGGGGTTCCCCCCGGAGCTTAACAATTTTAACATCTTCATAAATCTGCATTTCGAGCCTTCCAAGGCGATTTTGAGCCTTCCGAGGCTTTAAAACCTTTGTTGGAAGCTTCCCCAAGCTTTAAGATCTTCATTTGGCACTTTTGGGAGCTTGACAATTCTCATTTGGATTATTCCACTTCTTCAAATTCTTTATTTTACAGTTTTCAGAGCTTTGAATCTTCAGATAAATACATGCAGCTTCAATATCTTTGCCATGAATCTTTTGTAGCTTCTGAACTTACGATCATTAGTTCATCAGATTATGGGTTCGTCTCTCGCAACAAGCTTTCTTAAGAAATTTTTGTTTCATGGTGGGGATAACTCGGAGTAAAGTATTTTTTTAAAGAAAAAACTCATTTAAAGAAAGTATCATGTTATCCTTGGTTGCTAGCCTGTCAACTAACCTGATGTCATTCCAATGAAGCAAACTGCTATATAATCTGGCTTCATCATCTGGGTAGCCACTATGCTCTCATCAAGTTGTTAAGGGTATTTAGTTACAATCCAAGTCTGAAGAATGGTCATTGTAATTCTGCCTTCAAATAGAGTCAGCAATAGTGCTATGGCTTTCCAAAGTTTAGATTAAAGGGCCAATGCATCACAAGGTGCAATGATTACTTCCATTGATTATTTGCCAATATGCTTGGGGAGGATAATGCCAGAGAAAAGCAGGATAAGTATTTTTACAATAATTTGATCTGATAATACCCTTGGAAAAAAAATGCAATTTCCCACAATTTTCTATTGGTAAGAAGACCTTAGCATAAGCTTTAGCTCTAAACCTGTTTCACTTTGTATAGTGTATCTGCTCCTGGCCATGGCTGTATGTAGGCATATCCTAGTATATATTTTATGCTGTGATCGTTCTAGGGCAGCTACAGGCTATCTCTATTCAAACTAAACACCTTATTTGATCAGCGCCCTGACTGATTTTGTTAGAATCAAAATCAATACAACATTGCATAACTCACCATTCTGCAAGGGTATCCTTAATGACAGTCACATGCAATTCTGAAAGTATGATGACGAGTGATGTGCAAATATGTTCTTTATTTGTATTGTTTGTAGTTGATGCTATTTCTACGCTCTTCGTTGGCTTGCAGTGTTGGCTTGGGAGAGAGACATGTATAAGTCAATGCCATTTCCAATTGTCCAGGTGACTCTTATTGATAAGAGTAGCATGGCATCTAAGAAATTCTTCCGTTCCTGTCTCAAAACTCAAAGCGATGACATGGTTGTGTGCTGTGCTCTGGGTTGAAGCTCATCTTTCTACATGCATGTAGGATTGACTTTACCCAGTTGTTCTTTGGTGATTGGGCAAAAGTGACCTTACATACCCCAAGTACATTATTTCATGTGCATTAAATTGGTTGCAACTCTTTATATGTGAGAAGAGTCATGTGCTGCATGCCCCTGCTTGGTCACTATTAGCTTGTCATGCAATATTTACTTGATTACAAAACTTGGTAGAGCCATTGAGATCTATGTGCACATTCTATCATTCTTATTAAGATCTTTTTCATGATCTTAATTTCAATAACATTTCAAAAACATTGTCTATCATTTTATGGTGTGAGATATTGCAAGACGTGCAAAACAATCGACACAAATGTCTCATCTTCATTCATCTTCCGTTTTGCTGTATTTCCAGAAACCTACATTCATGTCAATGTTTCCAGAAACGAGGCAAAACGTTGATTTGCTGAGAGACAATTTGAGATGATAGGTGGCATTTTGCTGCATTTGGGGGCTAGAATATTTTCTACAAGGAGGGGCACCCTCCAGTACCAGTTGTTGATAATCCCACTTATACTCTTTACCTTGTTTGGTTTGGGAATTCAAGTGTTGGGAATTCAAGTGTTTGACTGTATCATAAGGTGGTATTGTTTTGGGCTGAAGTCCTAATGGGCGGTGCCCATCCACTACTGATACAGCATGATCAAGGTAGCGTGATCCAATATGAAGAGTACAAATAGGTGGAAAAACTTGACAGGGAAACCTTTCGATAACTTTCACCAACCACAGTGCCCTCACAGTTCACATGCACCTGTTCGTGCTTCAGTTGCTTTGCATGCTCTTCCTGTCACAAAGAAAGATCTGAGAAAGCGACGCTGGGAGAAGCTCACAGCAAAGGGAACAAGGCAGTACATTAGTTTAAGAAGTTGCAAACAGCAGTCCCAAAGATTTGGATCTTGGAATTTGCAAATCTCAGGTGCAACACTCTTTAAACTTGCAGTATCACCCCCGCATGCACAAAAGGTAGCAGCAATACCGAACATCGAGTGGACATGTAGTGAGTTCGTGCGGTCTTGCCTTCAAATGCGCATGGCTCGTTCCCTCTAGTCACATCTTGCGTGGAAAACCATTGTGGGAATAAGGCAACCGTGGAAGTAAGCAAGAAATTAGTACCCGCGCGAGGCTGGGCAGAAGTTGCCTTAGGCTTATACTATAAGACCGAGCCGCTGAGACCTGTTTCATCTATAAACTTGCATGCGCCCTGCGCCAGCGAGGCCCGTGCACTCGTGCTTCGTGCGAAAGTGGCGCGCTGTTCCAAATGTCACACTTGAAACTCCACGCTTCACTCTTTACATCTCTTTACACTTCACACCGCGCACTTCGCGCTCCACTGCTCCACATTTCATCTCATCTCATCTGAGCTCTTCCCACCGCATCTCAGCTCATCTCATCTCATCTTGCCCAAAGTAAACAACCTCGTACTACAAGCCTTGCACAAAGCACTTACCAGTACTACTTTGTACTACAAAGCTCGCACGAGGCACTTCCCAGTACTACAAACCTTGTACAAAGTACTTCCCAGTACAACTTTGTACTACAAAGATTGCACAAAGCACCTCCCAGTACTGCTTTGCACTACAAACCTTGCACAAAGTACTTGCTAGTACAAAACTTGCGCAACATATTTCCCAGGACTACTTTGTACCGGAAGACTTGCACAACGTACTTCCCAGTACTACTTTGTACTACAAAGATGGCACAAAGCACCTCCCAGTACTGCTTTGCACTACAAACCTTGCACAAAGTACTTGCTAGTACAAAACTTGCGCAACATATTTCCCAGGACTACTTTGTACCGGAAGACTTGCACAACGTACTTCCCAGTACTACTTTGTACTACAAAGATGGCACAAAGCACCTCCCAGTACTGCTTTGCACTACAAACCTTGCACAAAGTACTTGCTAGTACTTTGTACCGGAAGACTTGCACAACGTACTTCCCAGTACTACTTTGTACTACAAAGCTTGCGCATGGTACTTTGACACAGGGAATTTCTTAAACAGAGAAGCGCTGGTACACACAAACTTTATACAGAGAACCTTTTACACACAGAAGTTTTTACGCACAGCAGCTTTTACACAGAGAGTTTTACCACACAAGAAACTTTCACACACAGAAACTTTTACACAGAGAAGTCTTTACACAGCGAAGCGTTTACACACAGCAAACTTTTACACAGAGAAACTTTCACATACACAATGGGAGCAGAAACTGCAGCTCCAAAATTGGATCTCGGCACCAAAGCGACAAAGGACGATTTTGAAGCGGTTCTTAAAGGAATTTTAAAAGGAACATGAACAGCGGCAAGCTTGAGAAAAGTCTGCTGACAAATCACCTCCCAACCTTCATCATCGTCGATGCAGCCGCTCCAATACATGCCCAGCTGCAGCACCAAGGAACATTGATGCAGCCATTACAGCGGATCTGCAGAGAGTGAGTTGCAAAATATGAAAGAATTACGCCCCATGGCAACCGAAATTGCAGCCGCAAGACGATCTCAGCGCCAAAGCGAAAAAGGATGAAAAAGGACGACTTTGAAGCGGAAAATGATCGCGCCAAAATTAGGAAAAGTCTGCGGAAACATCACCGTCGCAACCTTGATGCAGTCACAGCGATACGATTTATGATGCCCAGTGGCAAAAGACCATAACAACGCACGCGCACAGAACCGAGATCCTCCCCAACACGAGTCCGCAGCAACATTCACGCAGCCACTCGAATGAAAAAACACAATGCTTCGCCCTCCGCCATCCTCCCCAACAGAAGTCCCATACAACATTCATGCGGCCATTACAATACAATCTGCATTGCAAGTGGCAAACCCGCATGTATCTACACATATTTGTAGTGTTATGTATGTATTGTTATGGTATGTATTGTTGTGTCTGTATTGTTATGTTTATAATTGTTATGTACGTATTGTTACGTATTGTTGTGCATATATTAATTGTTATGTGAGTGTGTATGTATTGTATTGTATTGTTATGTATGTATTGTTGTGCATGTATTGCTATGTGAGTGTGTATGTATTGTTGTGTATAATTTATTGTTATGCATGTATTGATGTTATGTGTATGTATTGTTGTGTATGTATGGTTATGTATGTATTGTTATTATCCTAAAAGTAATCCGTAACTCGAAGATTGCTTCCCAACTTGCTTTGATAATATAGGAACACATATCCTTTTCTCTTCCCCTAGTAGAGGAAGAGAAAAGCGGAGAAACGTACATGTTCCTGAATTGAGACAACCAGTTCACTGCTAGATCAAGCAACCGGAACATGATCGCAGCATTCCATTCCATACGAACGGCCCATCTGTCACACCCCATTGGGTCTCCAGGCAGCTTGTGCCAGCTGAATCCGATGCTTCGCATGCAGCTGTTCAAACTGCTTGGACCTCAGAAACTGCGTCAACTTTGGGCCAGGACATCATGGCATGGATCTCATGGTCCAAGAGGACGCTGTACATTTGGAAAAAATCGGTCCAAATCCTGGATACTTGTTTAGCATCGTTTAGCATCATTTTGCAATTTACAAAGAGTCCCGTGATGTCCCGTGACATCGTGTGATTTGATCATGTTGGATGCTTGTCACGGCTCAACGCCCAGCATCTTGGCATATCTTGGCTGCCCTGGCAAAGCCGCCAGGTCTCTTTGAAGATCTGAATCCTTCGTCTCGTCTGCCAGAAGCGCCTGGCAGGCTGGGCTGGTTGCGGTTCATTGGTCCTGAGTTCCTGGGGAGATGTGGGATGTTCTGCAGCAAAGTGCACAAAAAACAATGGATGGATGTTGTCGAATCTTAAGGTGCCTTGTCTTCAGCACCGGAAAACCATCCAAAGCCACTAACGTATGCTGAAGCTGTTGAATCGATCTCCCAATGCTTCCTTCCTGGACAAGTTTTGCCAGTGGTCCCAGTTGTTTCCATGGGTCTATTCGCCTCAAGCTGCTTGGCGGCAATGCGCAGTTGCTCCTTCGCTGAAACCATTGAAGACACAATGGTGTCAGAAGAGATGATTCCGGGATAGTTTGCGCTGAACCTCGGGTAATTAAACTCTTCATGGATTTTCATGCTGCTTTCATGGAAAATGTCCATCCATCTCGGCTGCTTCTTCCTTCTTTGGTTGGTCCAGATTTCTTAGTTGTCTGGACCGTGCGGATTGACTCGCACCCACCACCTATTTTTCCTTCTGGTTTCACCTGCGTTTCACTTGTAGAGATATGTTCCTCCAACACAGCGGTCCATGGAACTTGAATGAACTTGACATGGTGATGACTTTCCAGTGCCATAACCTCGAGAAATCCCTTCCCGCAAACCGCAGTGACAGGTTTCCCATTGCGTCCTCGACGGCCTCTTTTTCTGCCTGGGTTGGCCATGGAATGTTTCAATGTAGCGGACATGCCACCGGCGAGTACCCGCAGCAGCAATCAATCAATTTCCAAACCGCCGATCATGTAGTTGTTTTTTCTTCCTTTCCTGTGTTTCATTGGCAATGGAGCTTTTGGAAGTGCTTTGCGCAACAAACAAAACACTTGCAATTCTTAACAACCACCATCTAGCCTGCATGACGCGCATACTCTCAATGCGACCTTTCAGCTTTGCCTGCGTGTCAGATATGTTGCAAAATCGATGCCGACTCCCCCATGGTCCCTCCGCCTGATCTAGCTAGATTCGAACATCAATCCACTGTATCTTGGACGTCGTGAAGGACTTGTGTCAATTTTGCTGGGCGTTGCACGTGAACCCTACTCATTGATAGCGCAACAGCACAACTTAGCCCCCGGCAACCGCCCAAATAAAAGGAAATTAGTTTTCCCCATTTCCCCCCCACCAAGATCCACCAAGATTATAGTGCAACTGCAACTGGCCTCCAACATTTTGGCCTTGCGGTCTGAAGCGGACAGCTTTCCATTCAGCTGCTCCTGGCAAGATTCACCAAATTCTGCGAAAGATGTTGCCACGGGCTGATTCGAAACCATATGCTTTGCTCATCAGCTGACTGAAGCTGTGAGCGCCACAGCAAGTCTCAGCATGTAAGCCAAACTCAGCAGGAGTGACACTCAAGGAAAATTGCTGAAATAACTATTATATATATAATTATACTGTAAATACATTAGACAATAGTTCAAACATGCTAAACGTATCCATGCAAGGGTCATTCAGAAGCATGGAGAATTGGTCTGGGAAATGGTCCTGCTCTGCTTGGAACTGCTGATGCTGTGCGGTCATGTCCAGCTGGGCCCTGGTGCCACATGGTGCCACACATTTTGCTTCGGGCTCTACATCCATCTGCTTAACGTGAGGAACCTCTTTAGCCTCAATGCCTCGCTTTCAAAGATATGTATCAATCCGTTGTCGGGTTATCTTCAGAAGCAGAAATCGCCAAACAAGCCGTGAGCCAAAGCCTCTCCAAATCAACTTGCTGCTGACGCTTTTGCCTGGTGAGCTCCTGCTTCTGGCTTTCGAATCGAAGGTGAGAGTGGCTTTAGGACTCCGCTCACCCGAGTATAATCAGATATTTGGGGGTATAACATGGTATAACTCCATATCATATAACAGTTTAACATATATATTATATATATTAACAACATCTCTTGGAAGGAAATTGACCTTCCAGAATGCTGTTCACCCATTTCATGCACCAACATCGGCCTGAGAGCTATAAACATATGCTATGTCCGTGTCCTGTTGGTATTCATCCACTCGTTCATCTGAACGGCGTTTAGCCTGCCATTTGTGCAGTGAAATGCTTTGACTTTGTGTACAGTAAACATTTATGCCACTGCTCTACCTGCATTCTTGACATATCGTATTAAGTTTGAATTTCACAGAGACACTGTGTAGGTTCCGGGGGGCAACATGATATTCATTCATACAGGATCATACAGGCATGGATTCTCCAGAAATCCACAGATAACTTGCACCTGACTCAGTTGCTTCAAGCGTTGCTTCAACTCGAAGACCTGAACATGGCATGGCATCATCGCATTGCCAGCACTTTTGCAATGGTGTTGGTTGAAGCATGTTGAAGCCATCAATGCCCTGGCACGGTTGGTGCCTCATCCTGATCTGCTTGTCCATTGCCTCGGTCTTCAACTTGCCCGCCGGTTTCACACTAACACTGAGCACTCAGCTTCAAAAAAACGTTCTTCGCTCAATACCGGCTAGAGCACGCCATTTTCTGCCACTTTGTAGACGGTTTGTAGTATCTCGACATCATGTTGAGCACTCATGTGACTCATGTGGGACAAAGGTTGCAAATTGCTTCGTTGGCGGCCGCACGGCGTTGCTTCTGCAGATCCCATTCCTAACATGCTCTGTGGATGGGTGCATGGCGACAGTTTAAAGCATCTTTGCTTCGCCCAACCCCACCCTGGGACCCCGCCTGCTTTTGGATGCGCAACCTTGGTGGCATCAATGAAGGGATGCCATGACCTATTCTGATTGGACACTAGCAATGAAAAAACAAAACATTTTATAGCAACACAAGCAAGTACTGTACAATATATCCGCCAACCCCGGCTGACAAGAAGGGGGAGCGCGTCAAGGAAGAAAAACACCACCACCACCACCACCGACGACGACGACGACGACAACGACAACCACAACCACAACCACAACCACAACAACAACAACAACAACAACCACAACCACAACCACAACCACAACCACAACAACAACAACAACAAGAACAAGAACAAGAACAAGAACAAGAACAACCACAAGAACAACCACAACCATCCACCAACCACCAACCACCAACCACCAATCACCAACCACCAACCTCCAACCACCAACCACCAACCACCAACTACAATATATATATATACACGTATATTTATCATCTATATAGACAGTGTTGCTGCTCTACAACTACTACAGTAACACCAGTAACCAGTATATTCTATATCTACTACTAGTAGCATAAATGCGACTGTAGGCTATAGTAAGGCACACTTTTGTTTTCGCATCTCTTTATGCATTGCCATTCATTGGGAAGCCTACCATGCCCGCCCTGCGTCGCATTTTTGAGGTTTCCTGGGTGCCCAAACTCCTGCAATTCTCGCCGTGGGGCAACTTGGTCCTGGCATCCCAATGGTTGGCTGAAAATGTCCATCATTGTCCACCATAGAACTGATGAAAGCCAATGAAAGCCTGTGTAGATATAGCTGTGTGACCAAGCAATAAAGAATCCATCCTTGGAGGTTTTGGTTACGGCATGTCACTGCTCAAAAGGAGTGCCTGGTGTTTCTTTGTCAGCAAAGCCTCTCATTCTTGACAAGCCAGGGATGTCATACAAATCCCAAGTACCAAGATGTACCCATCCAAGCACCAAGTATCTGAATCTAATCCCCCTCTCAAGCCGTAACCGGCTGTACCCCAGTCGTTTTCCATGTTGTGGAGCCTCGTGATGCCTTCAGGGCGCGGCATCTTCCCGACTTCTGTCGTCATCTGTCGCCCCTCTCAATCTTGAATATGTTACCGACACACCTTTGAGAGTCTTTTCACACCTGTATGTATAGCAATTGTTTGTACACATTTTGCCTATTGTTGAAGATCTTCTCAATACAGTTATCACATGGGAAGATTTCACTCCCTGCAACATCAATTGGCTTGATGTTAAAAGAATGACCTGAAGTGACCTGGAGTGCGTAGGTTCAACTGATGTCGTCAGTCATAGCCAAGATTAAAGCAGAATAAATGTTGCTAAGGTGTATCGAACCAAGTGATTTCAATATCTTCCGTTCGTATCACCAAAATAGAGATCCGTTCATTGCAGCCGCCTTGCATGGCTTCGGGATTGCATCCCATGGCTGGCTCGGAGCTCTGTGTTCCTCGCAGAGAAGAGTTCTTCTCTTTCCACAGCTCGTCTGGGATCTTGGACATGCTTGTCCTTGATCAGCTATTTACATACATATAATATGTCTGTATGTATGTATATAATAATAGTAATAATAATAATGGTAATAAATGATAATAATGATAATTAATAATAATAAATATACAGTACATATAATTATATATCTGCAAACAAATTCCGACAAGCACAAATCCAAACAAAGAAGACAATGACATGATGAATAGATATGAATAGGATTAATGTTATAATATCACGACGATGACAAACAAATGTCCAGCATCCACTTGTCATCTATCTTAATGTCATCCAGTCGATCTGAGCAGGCCACTCTCGTAGCAACGTGGCTACCGCTTGCGATACGGCAGCAAAGCTTCGAGTAACCAACACCTGGCAAATGTGGAATATGTGGAATATAAAGAAAACATTGAGGCCTAGGGTGATCTTACAGGCCTGAATAGGCCTGAAATATCTCCAGATCAAATATAGATCAAATTATCGAACCACATCAACTTGCATCAAACATCAAAGTCATCACACCATATCACACCAACAGTAATCCCAAGTTGAGGAATGACCCCATGTATCGCGATCTGGGTTGGAATCGGGTACCCCAACAATTGGATGCTTCAAGTTCAGAGGCCTCCGGCGAAGCGTTGCGATCGATGTGGGGTACCTCCAAACGCAAAGAAAAGCGTCTGAGATTGGGATGATTTGTCCCAAAAACCATTGGTAGTTTGAGACACTGAAAAACGGCTTCAAGATACTTGGGACTAGTTTAAGCCTTACTCCATCTCCAATTAAACATATTAGGTAGTCATAGGTAGTCTGGTAATCTGCTGTAAACATGATGAATGTATGGCTTCATCCTAATCAGGACCTCAAGATCTGACCCACAAATGATCACCATGATACCCCAAATTCCAACGGTTTATCATTGTTCCCATTAACATTGCCATAGATATCTAGGATATATCTAGGTAAATCATGGTAAATTCAACCAATTGTTGAACAAACCTATATATGAGTATGGGTCAAAATTAGACACCCGAAAACCGGATGGATACTTTACTACAACAAAAACATGCAAAAACTGTATTCTTTTCACTAATTCCCATATCCGATTTATCAACCCGGGATCTGGAAAACACTATTCGCCCACCTCTGCAGCTCCAGCGAGGGTCAGAATGTCAGCCACCTGTCTGCTATGCTTTGTTGAGGTGTAGCTGCCCTAGCTTTCAAGTACTGTAAGTAGATTTAAGATGATTTAAGATTCAGAACTGCAAAGTGGCTCGTGTTTGAAGTAACACACACACATATATATATTATGGTATATTAATATATATATATATATCATTTCTTCATGATACCGATCCATGGTTCTAATCCCCAGACCTGTCGCTGCAACGACTGCAGGAGCTTGGAGCTGACAGATCGAGCCTGCGAAGATCTGTAGAAAACATGGGGTTCTGTTTGCATCCCTTGGAGTACCCTCTGGTAATTTAACATAGCTATTGAAAATGACCATTTATAGTGGATTTTCCCATGAAAAATGGTGATTTTCCATAGCTATGTTAAATTACCAGAGGGTAAGGGGTGGTTCAAGCAGAACCCATCAAATTTGAGTGTAAGAGCTGAAGAAAAAGAATATCCCTTCATAGATTGCCAACAAATACCCGACTTTGTGATACTTGTTTCATTTTTTGTTGGGGACATCTCACTTCTGGCTGAACTAGATGTAACTAGGCATGTCTCAGCCCGGTCCCACCACAAACAGCTTTCATATGTTAGTCCTCAGCGATATGGCCGTGGCTTTCTCGATACTGGGCCTCTGATGGGGAGAATTTCAGTCAAATACAGCATGAGATGGATGAACCACGAACGAGTCACGTCGTTGCAATGTTGGCTGCTCACTAGCATCATCGCAGTGTGATTGCTATGTGATGACAATTGGTTTGCTGTTCTTTTCTGCTCTCCGTTGGTTTGCTGTTCTTTTCTGCTCTCCGTAAACCCAGAAATGGCAGTTTCAACTTGCTCGACGCATGTGCTCTTCCAAAAGGTCTGCCGGAAAGACTACACTGTGCTTGGAAGACTGCAGCAAGCAAATATGTTGCCACACAAAAAGTCAGACAATGTCTAGTAGACAGTGTCTAGATAATATGTCGAGATACTCACGCAAAGCTGCAGGACGTTGCTTTTCCCGGCCTCTTTTTCAATCTGTATCTGTTGATGTCGATCTTCCGCATCTTGAAGACGCCGAGCCATCTCCTCAACGGCTGCTCTGTTCTCGAATCTTGGACCCAAAAGGATACATTTGAGACATATCTGGGTGTGGGATGTGGAGTCTACCATCCAAATATCTGATACTCAAGAGATGTCAAGAACACCAAAATTTATCTGGATCTTGGACGAACTTTTCATGCAACCATCTTGTAAGGTAGCAAAAAACCATGGATTCATTGCAAAATTGTGTTCTGTGAATGCATACAGTCTGTCTTGTCATCCATACAGTTGCTTGACTTGAATGCCAGAAACTAATTCTGGTCGGCAAGGCATTCTGGAGGTTGGCATGCATTTCTGGGCTACAAACAATCTACAAATAAGATTCTGCATACAACACCCATGATCACCTATGTATCCGCATAATCAATACAATCTTGGCTTCACTTCATACAAATCAATCACATTCCATCACAATTTCAGAAACCGATTGCTGGCCTGTTACCTTTTTCCACCCAATCCAAAAACCAGCGCTGTGGCCGTTCCTTGCCCCACGTCTCTGCAGCTTGTGCCCGCTCCTCACACAGAACATCCATGTATCGACAGGCAACCATAGCTGAATTCGTACACATCCACTGCAAGAGTGCAGGCGTGCGATTGCATTCTGCAAGATCGAATTATTTTTTCCGCATGCGCAAGAATACACAACTAGCAAACATCTGAGGAATTGCATGAGTCTCTCCCATGTGAATTTATTTATCCTTTTGAATGGTACATGTTAGTTCCAGTGGCTTCAGCCATCAACGCCATGAGCCGGCGAGGTCACGGCTCGAAGCTAAGCTCCTCCAGTGCAGCCCGATGCTTGTAGGCAGAAGCCTGGCGCAGAACATCCTCTGTTGGCTGCCTTGTTTCTTGGATTCACAACTATAGTCAATGGTAGTCATGATTTTTGTGATAACATGTTAACTTATCATTCTTGTTAAATGGTTACTATTGTTTCATTCTTCTGACATCTTCTGACTTTCTTATTCTATATTATGCTTATCATGTCCAAAACAGTTGAAGCCACCAGGGCGCCCCGTGTCCCCACCAGGTCAGACCTCTGCTTCTGCAAGGTTCTTGGCATGGAATTCACCTCGGTGAACATGGCAAGGCAAAATCCTCTCCAAATTGGAAGATTCAATGGGAAAAATTGGGAAAAAGAATGTGTATGTGGGGTGAAATTGATTAAAATCTATTAAATTCAATGGGATTATATTATATTATATTTTTCCAGCAAGCCATGTTTGATCACCAAAGGGTATGTAAAGCTGGGATGATCGAAAATTGTAATTCCCCATGAGAAGCCATGCCACAATCCCGCAGTGAATCTTGGGCCATTGGGACATTGAAATCTTAATATCGAATCTATCCGCGTAAGTCTGGAAGACACCTACAATGCGCCCTTCACCATGATCAAAGGAAAAGGGATACTGATGTTTGCATACAGCATCTTCAACTGGGAAGAACATGTAGACATTTGGACTTATTTGCAGCAATTCTGGTCACAAGTCGCTCTCATGCTACTTGCAAGTCCACTGTGCACCTGACTTGCTGAGCCAAGCAAGTATAACCACATATAACCACCTTTCCAATCAAATGAGCTCCCATTTGGTATTTGCCCGGCCACTGGGATGCAGGGCTGGTGCTCTCCAGTCCCTCAATGCGTTCCTCTGATGCTTCAAGCTGCATCTGGCGACGAGAGAGGACAACCCAGTATCCTACACCTTGCGGTGATTCTGCGACAACTTTGTATATAAGATATATAAGCCAGTATATAGAGTCAGGACGCAGTCTGTTGTTCATCCTTAACAGCGCGAGTGTCTGGCTCAAATATTCACCTGGAGTTGTGAGAAGCATGGAAGAGATTTTAATGGGTGGACCCGATTCATTCCCACTATATCCATATTAGTTTCATGGTTGGGAAAGCCAGTACAAGCCATCCACCAATGGGTTCACCAGCGATTTCCATGTCTGCTTGGATTCCCGGCCGACAGCTGCTTTGACATGGAGCGAAGGTGGCGGATGACAACCTGCTCCTGGAAGAAACGCTGGGTCCGAGACTTAAGAAGTTTGGGTGGTTTCAAATTCTGTAGCAATCATATAGAGCTCTTCGAAGGGGGTTGACTTAGGTTTCAAGGTATGAATGGCACTTTAATTTTGAAACCAGAACGCTAGAAAGAAAGTACTTGAAACATCTAGGAGACTAGCCCGTTAACAACATGTTCAAGAGTTCAGACGCTCCCAAAGCTGGCCCACATCCACAAGCTCCTGGCTTTGACGTCCACTGCCCGGGCTCTTTCCCTTGTCATTGGAAGTGCAATCAGGGAGGATGGCCTCTTCATCAGTGGATCATGAGAGACAGCAACAGAAAGCGGAGCGGCGCATTTCCAACTGAGACTGTTACAAAACGAATCTATGGGTGGTCACGGAGCAGATTAAATAAGAGACTAGTATCCCGGAAACACAATTGACTCAACGCAATTCCCTATCTACAATTCCCTGGCCAAGTGAAGCCTCGCCTCTCGACACTTCTGCTGTTCTTGCAGCTCTCCACGTAACTTGTCGAGCCTCAGGCCCGAACTTGGGATGGAACTTTGGTCGTGCAAGTGCTTTGGGGAACAGGTTTCGCCCATTTTCCAACAAACTTCAGGTTTGGCACAGGACAGACTATATGGGTCTGTTTGAACCCTGCGACTATTGAGTAGATATTCACGAGCGGCGATGCTTCCCGCAAGAACGGCGTGACCAGTGAAGTTCTGCTTGCAAAGTTGCAAGTCAGCACCAATGCAAAGGGCAGATGAAGACTCTAGATGACTCTAGTATGTAACCCTGCCTGGTAAATAGAATCCAACTCTCCAATAATCAATGCATCTTTTGACTCAGGCTTTGCTGCGAAGCAAGGTCCCACCTCACTAAAACCCGTCTTCTAGAAATGATGCGGTTGTTCTATCTTCTTATATCTCAGAAATTCTCAGAAGATATTTTGCTCCTCCTGGGAGTACTCAATGGCATCGCAAATTTTCTAATTCGCAAGCGGGTGCACAAAACCGAAGTAGCAAGGATTGTTCAATCAGAAGATTTGCTAAATGCATGTAGATGGACGACAGGATCAACGCAGGTCAAACGGTCAAACCATATGCCAGCTTTTCACCCTTGCCCGCTCGTTCAAGCGTTCTGTTTGTCTTCTTTTAGCGGTGAAATCAGTTCTGTGAAACTTCACTCTAAGTTGCTTTCGCACTGAACTGTCTGTTTTGCCTATTTTCAGCAGAATTGGATTGGATCGCCGAAAGCCAATGCTTCAAAACATGTTGCTACCCATGTTTCTTGTCAGAATAATGTCACGTACAACTCTCTAGTTCGGGATCCCAAAATAATGCTGCCAAGACCCAGTTCAAAATGAGGGACCGAAAGAAAACAACAATTACTTAAGTCCATTTTGATCTCCTCTGGAGTTCAACTGAGGGTCCCCTGGCAGAATCAGGCCTTCCTGGATCTGGGAGAATTGCCAATGCCTTGTTCCAATTGGCTTGCGAAGCTTTTGATCATGGTCTGGACCGCCTCGAACTTCTGTTCTTTGTTGTCCATCTTGCCCATGTAATGGCGTCGGACCTGCTCCGTCCTCACTTCCGTGTGCCAGTTCATGAAAATGTGCATCATCATGACGTTGTCCTCACAGGCTGGAAGAACACGCAACAGCTGTCTATCCGGTCTATCCACCACTCGGACAATCTCTTAAAACGGTGGGACCACTACACACTGTACAGGTCAAATCTGCAGAGATTGGTTGCTGCGCTGATTCATCTTGAATCTTTGAGGATCTTTGAGGATCTGAGTATGTCTGAATTCTGTGGACTGTCCTGGAATCCAGTGGTTCGCTCAGCCCGACTTGTTGCATTTCTTTTTTGACGTATTCTCATCTCTTTGATGACTTGCTGCTGGGAAGCAACACCTCAGGCAGCACCATCAGCTGAAGCAAACTGGAGAAAGTCTGCACCTCCCCGAATGTTGGACAAGCTTTCTAGGCTTTCATGCTGAAAACTCTACATAAGCGTTGACACTGCACATCAAGGATGATCTATATGCTATCAAAAAGAAGTGTACGACTACCATTTGAATCAGCCGATATCCGCTGCCGCCCTCCATACATGACCAGCTGAAACACCAGCTCTTGATTCATGCTATGTTTGAAGCCAAGTCACTAGCTTCTATTTCCTTTGTTCTACCTAGGCGAATGGAATGGCCAGAAAGTGAAGGGATCACTGGGCAGCAACATGCATCGGAGACAACTGGAGACACATCTATCATCATCTATCCAGCCCTGGATCTGTCATAAACGCTGTATGTATATATATATATAATTATATAAACATATAAACATATTCTATGTGCATAAAATATGAATCTATATGATATGACTGTCTCGTTTGAATCTGGCAAACAAAGGAGACAGCCAGCGCAACAAACAAGTTCTACCCAAGCGTCGTTCCGCCTTGACACCTTCGGACCAACAGCCGAAGGCCTGGTGGACAAGGTATTGCCTCAGGTGAACAGAAATGGCTATGGGCCATGGGTGTTCATCCCCCTTGATTTGGTATAGGTCTTCATCTATCCCTGTATTAAAATTGTCAACACCAGGGAAAGTGTGACCAAGTGGTTTTGTAAAGCTATGGCACTTGGAACTGCTGTAATCTTCTAGATGTGCAGCTGATGCACAGGAATAGTGATTCGGACTGCCGTAGGTGAAAGCACCCCCACACACACTGTTGATTTTCGGAAGTGAACTGCAATGACGATGTGGTTGTACATGCCTGGTAGAATCCTGAGTCCATCATCCTTGATAAACAGGTGAAACCAGGTCCAAATCATTAATCGGCAAGGTGGTTCTTGGGTTAGCCACATCCCATCGCGGAAATGGAAAGACATGATTAGACAGGTACGTCGATCCAGCGTCCCGGATCGATATCACAGAATGTCATAGCCGTCTTCGTTGGCTGCAGAACTATGACATTCCCTGCAGCCCCCTGCTGTTAAGTAGTCTTTGGGGCATGAATTCGGAAAACATAACGTGCATAGTCTTTGGCGCATGAATTCGGAAAACACAACGTGCATAGTCATCAAATGTCCAGTTGTAGTTTTCTGCATGTGAATAGCAGTGTGTACACACACACAAAGGCCTTCACATGGAAGGCAAATTCTGAAAGACTGCCTAATGAAGCAAGCAGATCACGTCAATATAAGCAACGTTGAACTCATTCGAAAATGAAATTCATGCTTGGGATTAGGTGTATACGCACCTGCATCTTCATGGACAGGTCTTTCCAAAGAAGGCACTCTGAGGTAGCGGCGTGTAGAGCAAGTAGACCACGTAGATCAAAGAAATCGCGATAAATAAAGTCGAAATGGAAAGGACATGGTTAGATTAAAAGGTATTAATTGTTATTGGCGAAATGATTGAATATGATGCAATCCAAAGTTTGTATTAGCGAAATAATTGAATATGATGCAATCCAAAGTTATCGTGCCCTTGTCTCTCACGAACATCAATTGTTTGTTGCAGATTGCGCAACACTTTGCGTGTGGAGAGCGGTATACACATATATACATATGTCTTCATAAGGAAGGTGACACTTCTGGGTTGCCGACGCGTGGAACAAATAGAGCAAGGACAGTATGACTTTGGAGTGTTAAAAAGTGAAGAGAACTGCACTTCAATTGAAACATGGATACCACGAAATGAAATGGACACAAATCGATTGTATCCTTGTTCTTCCAAATCCGTTTAAAATGAACGTTTATTAGTTGTCTATGGACGAAGGGCAGAATTCGCCAAAAACTGAGATTCCGACGCGTAGAACACGTAGGTCAGGTGGTTGAGATAGAACGCAGTGATGAAAAACAGTAAATGGATTGATTAAATCACAGTTATATAACACTTAAGCCAGTGTGTTGCAGTACCGTGAACCATATAGAGTAGAACAACGGACGTAAACTAAGCTGGAGAACTGAAAATAATCAATTACGGAAAACAAATATCACGCTGCGAGCCAGGCGTTTTGGGTGGGATGTTGCAGAAAACGTTTGAACAGTTGCAAAGTTGCAATTGGAATGAAAAGCACAAAACCAAAATGCAGCTACGACGGCTTCTTTTCAGTCAAACGGTGTCAATTGTTGTCTGGTCCATTTGTGTCCAAAACTGCGGGCAATCGAAATGATCTGAGGAATGCATTCGCGGTATCTAGGTTCCTGAAGGGTATGAAGGGCGAGCAGGTCTTGAACTTGAGGAAGTTGAAGTTCACGAGGAAAAGTATTTTGTAAAATTAGACGTGTTCGAGCAATGAGACCTGTATACATGGAGCTTCTAGGTCCAAAACCAGCGGAAGTGCGTATCACTGTGTCCCAAGGCAATACCGATGTAATGGTACGTTGATGTGGATTGATGTTGAATCCAAGTGCATCAAAACCCTGTACTTCTTCCAAAAGAATGGGCGAGGTGTAGAAGTCTAAATTCCAAAAGCAAGTTTGTCGAAGGCGATCAGTGAGTTGTTGTGGACCCAAAAGCAGACGGTTGTCAACAATAACGAAAGGAACTAAAAAGTTTTCCAGAAAAAATGGCTAGTCCAAAAGGCATGCTGTAGGTGTGCTCTCGATGTAGGGCAACTAGTGAACATACAACTGGGGCCCACTGTGAGCCCATAGATGCGCCTTGTATCTGTCGGTAGCTAACACATCCCAGTGAAAATAAGCTATGGCGAAGGAGGTACTTCACAAGACTATGGTCTCAATTATTGGATTGGTTTGAAGTGTTCGCTCAGTAGAAAACCTCGAAAACATGAATCAAGATCGTACACACATCTGCAGCGATAAGGTCCCTACCGTGTTTGACATTCTGCTTGGTTCGAGCATCACAAACTATGTGTGTCCGCACACTTTTGTAATAGGTCTTCCTATATTCTAGATCTCTTCAAATTGATCTCTTGTCCTCACAATTGTAAATTGATTTGAAAGAGGTGAAAACTCATAAAATGACAGTAAGAAGTAGGGTTCCCGGCCAATAAAATCCTTCGGCACATGGCCACCTTCGCCCTATGGGCACCATTCGCCCGTTGGGCACTCCTTCGGCTTATGCCACCCTTCAATTGCCCTTGACCCCCCTTCGGCTATTGCCATCACTTCTAGCAGCCCCTATGGCTACTCGCTCAACTTCTGCCTCCGTAGAGGGCGGATTCGGCACACTATGCCAAGATTGTTCTTCCCCGTTAGGGATGATGAGGTCATGGTCTGTATAGGACACATGACTAATGCACACTGTTGATTTTTGGAAGTGAACTGCAATGACGATGTGGTTGTACATGCCTGGTAGAATCCTGAGTCCATCATCCTTGATAAACAGGTGAAACCAGGTCCAAATCATTAATCGGCAAGGTGGTTCTTGGGTTAGCCACATCCCATCGCGGAAATGGAAAGACATGATTAGGCAGGTACGTCGGTTCAGCGTCCCGGATCGATATCACAGAATGTCATAGCCGTCTTCGTTGGCTGCAGAACTATGACATTCCCTGCAGCCCCCTGCTGTTAAGTAGTCTTTGGCGCATGAATTCGGAAAACATAACGTGCATAGTCTTTGGCGCATGAATTCGGAAAACATAACGTGCATAGTCTTTGGCGCATGAATTCGGAAAACATAACGTGCATAGTCATCAAATGTCCAGTTGTAGTTTTCTGCATGTGAATAGCAGTGTACACACACACACAGAGGCAGTTCGCCACTGTGTTGGCAGGAAACACGCCCTGTAGTATACAGTATACAAATGTATACAGTATACATCCTTATATGCGTCCTTTTAAACTCCCACCCTAAGTCTTTAAGTCTGCTTCCGAAACCAAGCTACTCAGTAGCCTCTGTCATGCGTTCAAGCAGGCCACGAGCGTCATCGGTCTTTCTCTGCATGTAGTCCTCAGTTGGGGATGGGGATCTGTTGGTCACCGAAAAGACAAAAATAAAAGACAATAAAAATCCAAAACTATGAACTTGACCAAGGATTAAAAGGAGTTTGCAAAGGTTAATAGCATGCACAAGACGCCAAACAAATTTTGCCATTGTTACAACATGTTTCACTGATAGAGCTATTGCAGCTCCTGCCACCATCTTTTGCTAATTTGATACCCAGCATACACAGAAGAACATTATCGCAACATATCGCAACTCATCAATCGTAACTCCCAGTTGCCAAGAGAACCAAGTCCCTGAAGTTCCCAGTCTTGTCATGATGTCAGCAAACATTATGTCTCACTTTGTTGGGAATGGACCTCAATCTGTTCCAGCCAAGAGTCTTTCACCTTATTTTCAGCCGCTTTTACCGAGTCTTCAAACTGCTTGTTTTTCTTGTACTCCGCAAGCCAGTTGCACCATGCTCCCACGCACAATGCCATCAAGGCCTCATCCACACTGGCCGTGAGGCACACCTCAGGAACACGGCAACACGACAACAGGGCCGGAAAAGGATGACAAGAGTGACAAATAAGTTCTCACCCAAAAATAGGGGATAGATGGGGATAGGGGATACACCAAAAGTGGCAATTTCAATGGAAAAACTCATTTTCAGTCAAACATGTCAAACCAACAGAGAGGGGCTCTCAGCTGAAAGTCAGGAAACCATGCTATTCTTGGCATTCTCCTTCTGCGCCGCTTTCGCGTTTGCGAATTTGGCGCGGGCAGCTTTAAGCTTCCCAACGGCTTCACGAGACAGGCCCTCGAAGTATACGTAATTCTTCCAAGCGAGCAGTGTGTCCTTAGCACGGCTTCCCCGCTTTGCTCTTTCACGCTCTGGAGATCGCTGGAGCGCCTAAAAATCACATTTACAAAATGGATCATGGTTGGGTCTGACTGTTGTCCCATCCTAGAAGATGCCTCTTGGCTTCAATGTTATTTACACTAGTCCATCTAGGAGCAGAATAAGTGACTGCTGTGGATCATGCTGTTGAAGTTATCCCCATCCTACTCCGACAATACTTTCAAAATTGCCCAACTGCAAAATTATCCTGCGAAACTACGACAAAATACAGCAGTAACTGGCAGTAACTGTACCCTCTGTAAACTAACACAACTATGGAAAATCACAATTTTTAATGGGTAAATCGACTATAAATGACCATTTTCAATCGCTATGTTTGTTTACCAAAGGGTACCAAATCATGTGAAATGTTTACCCGCTGAGAATATCACCCTGCCAAGCTTCGGACACCAGAATCTCCTTTTCCATCTCTGATCTTCGACCCATGACACTTCGGATAGTTTTCAGCTGAAATGCCTTGCAATTGAAGAGCTTGGTTTCCTCAGGAAATTCACAGACTCTCATTTTGCCGCAGGACAACACATATCATCAGATATCCGTCGAATTGTTCAACGCTTGACAACACACAGTTTCCGGATCCACTTGGGTGCAAGACTGCAAGATATCTGCCCAGGTGACGGTGATATTTGATTGCAAGAGTTCTTGACAGGCTTGCCCAAAGAGATGCTCCACGTGCTCTCTAATTAATGTCTATGCTTTCCAACAGCGCAGCAAACGGTTCCGAAAACAAAGCCAACCATACGGAATGTAAAGCATCATAAATGTGTAGCAACTTCAAGCTGATAGCTCAAAATTTTCATCAGTCTTAGGTGATGAGTGATGACACGAAGACCATGATGTTTCAAATCTGCAGCAAGCTTCGATGGCATCCACCTCCCCCATGAGTTTCTCCTGTAGCCGCTGCTCCGACTTGCCTCAAAGTCATATCAAACAAACATCTGCGGTTTCCTAAGTCCCAAAATGGATGGTTTATGATGAACAGAAAATCCTATCAACATTGTCAAAATGGACGCAAGTGGACTGTTTTGAATTGTTTTCGACATATCCAAGATGTTTGAGGAACCTTTTTTCCAAGGCCCCAGAAGCAAAAGCCAAACTCTCACATCGATCATACAGGGTGTTATTGAACCTCTCTTTGCAGGCGCCAGTTGATATTTTCAATGGGGTGTCAGTCACTCAAATTGGAGGCATTCAATTTATCTGAAAAAAGTGTCACGGTCTCAAATGACAAATGCCGTCAAACAACTACTAGTACGTTGTGCAACACCAATCTTTTGACATGTCGGGCAATTTCACATGTACAGTTGATGAATGATCTGCTATCTGTGTTTGAAGTTAGGCCCATCTCAAAAACATATACAATGTTACAAGCATCATGTACAATTTGCGTTAATTTTTCAAACCTGCACTGAACCTGATCCTTTGCCCATGGTGCCAAGCGATGCCAAGCTGCTCTTGGAATTCACGGAGTCCCAGCCAAGGAACATGGCCTGCTGCATCATCTTCCTAGGAGCGTAACACCATACGTCTTATGACCATGAAGATACCATGAAACAAGGTGGCAAGATTCCATATTCAATGACACTACGGACACTACACAAGTCGAGCAATTTTGCAGTGTCACGCTTATAAGAACCCCATGCAACCAGCTAAAAACCGAACATACGACCATTTCTAGCTAATGTTGGCCAGCTTCTTTCTCTGCTCGATGAGGGTGTGGACCACTTTCATGGTCCTTGCGTTCTGCCAAGGCCTGTACCCTTCGATGTTCTTCTGCACTTGAGCTAACTCCTGAGCAAACAACCCACCACTGGGGCTTGGGGCAGTCTGCGAAAGAACCTGTTTGTTCCTTTGTGCTACGTTTACGCGAATTTTGCCCGACAACAAGGCGTTTCAGGACATGTTGGATGTCCCGTTTCAGGTGACATGAGGACAAACAACTCTTCACACTTGACAATCAGAGGCCACACATAGGGAATAAAACAGAAAACATAAGCAAGTATCGAATGCTTGTGGAAAATACAGCTACTACCAGCGACACACACACACAAAGGCACACGTGATCCAGGAATAAGTGTCTTCGGCAGATCCGGCCCATTTCATTCATTCGATTCGTTCACTGTTCTGTTGCGCGACTTGGAGGAATTCCGTATTCAACCATCTGGAGTTGTGCAAGAATGTTACGAATGGGTTGCCCACAACTTGACTGCATGATCAACTATTTTTTGGTTAACGTTTTTTTAACATAATCCCTTTTAGACCAGCTCCATCCGTTCATGGTTGCCGCATTTTACCATATTTTTGGTGGCGAAGTCAAAGCTGCTTATTTTTGGTCAGCCCCAGATCATGCTGTTGCTGTACCATGATACCATCCCTCAAATTCACATAGACCCTGCCGAATAGGGTTGTAAGATTACATGTAGAGCCCGGGCAAGCCGGGTGACGGAAGTTTCGAGAGAGGGAAGAACCTATAAAGACAAGGGAGAGCCTATAGGAACGGCCCCTGACCGCCTGGCTGGCACGGCTGTCGGCTGTGTGATCTCTTGGAAGTGTTTGTGCTTGACATTCTTTGCTCTCGACATCTTTGAGTGGTGCTGCCACTTTCTCTTGATCCGGTTTGCTCCTGACATTTCTGAATCTTGACAGCCCTTCTTGTCGACAGCTCTGAAGCCAGAGACTTGACACACTCTTCTCCCCTGACAAGCTTTTTCTGATGTCATCGTGGTCTCTTGAAAGCGATGTCATTTCAGCCGCTTTCCGTTGACGTCTCTCTTGGCATCCTTCTCTATGGGCATCTCTTTTCCTTGAGACCTTCTTCTCTTGACATTCTCTTCTCTCCACATCTCATACTCTTGACACGGTTTTCGCTTGGCACAATTTTTCTTGTTTCCTGTTGTTACACTTTTATTTTGAGACCTCTCTCTGTCAAAATTGTTTTCTTTGACACCTTCTGTCTTGACATCTCCTTTGTCTTGAGGCCGTTTTTCATTCGCACATCTTTTTGACATTTTCGTACCTTGCGAACAAAATTCATCTTGTGAATCTTGTGTAATACAAGACTTGCACAAAGTCCTTCCTGTACCAAAAAACCAGTCCAAAGAATTTCCCAGGAACTATATACTTGGTACTACAAAGCTTGCACAAAGTACTTCCCAGTACTACTTCGTACTACAAAGCGTGCACCAAGTACTTCCCAGTACTACTTCGTACTACAATCTCTCCACATGCCTGCTCTCTCCATCTCTAATCTCTCCACATCTCTACCCTCTCCATCTCTAATCTCTCCACATCCGCACTCTCACCAATTGTGTAGTTGTATTTTTTATGGTTGAGATTTTATATTGTTGTGATTATTTAATTGTTGTGATTATTTATTGTTGTGATTATTTATGTCTTCCTCTTGACCATATTTTCCGCATAACAGAGGTTAGACTTCTAAACTTCCTTTGATAAGTTTCCCTGAAATTTGACTATTTTCAGGGTCTATGTTAATTTGGGGAGAGTATCCCTGTGATCTCTCGATGATTTCCCCCGTTCTGCTGAGGGCTCAATGGCAGCATTGTCAGCATCTTCAGAGCAGCGAATGAGCCGAGCGATGCGACCAGCCATGCTGGTCTCCCAGCTATAGTGGATTCCTGGCAACAGGACGTTGATAGCTATGGATAGCTACCAACATCACTCAAAATCAATCAAAATCGTTTGGAACATGGTTTTAATCTATCAATCTTTAGCAATCTTTATCAATCAGTGGTTATCAACCAGTATATAAATTTCAGTCTTTATCAATAATTCGTTTTCAATAAATCTGTATCAATGTACATCCGTACAATGTATTATAATATATATTTATGTTTATTATACATTAGATGTATATAATTATATAATATACAGTAATCATTCATATAATAAATAATAAAAAATATGTATATATTATATAATATTATGTTTTCTGTATCAGGATACATCCACTTCGAAGTTGGAAGCTGCATGCTCTGCCGCCTTGTAGCTCTCCAACCTCTCTGCCAGCTTCTGTGACGATCTCCTGGCACAGGATGGCGCCATGGCGCCACAGTTGGACCAGTTGGACCTGTTTCAATGAAGCGAAACCAGTAGTAGCCAGTCAGCTTCACACATGACCGATTCTGAAAGTATCAAAAACGCTAGCAACAAGTCAATGGCATTTCACAGGATACTCAGGATACTGTAATATTATGTAATATCACTGTGAGGGTTTGTAGGAAACTAGGAATGCTCACAACGTTGAGAAATGCGGTAGCCCAAAAGCAGTCCTTCAAGACCTGCTGCGTGATTCCGGTGTCTCCATCTTCCATGATCTTGGCGATCTCGTCTGGCGATCCCTCCTGTGGATGCTTTCAAATGTGCTGGATAAACTATGCTAAACTTCCACAATGCTTGGAAATAAACAGGGTACAGTAACTTATAGTATCTGATCATGTATATTCTATACAAGTTAAATTCAATGACACATTAATGCGCATTTCCTAGAAAGACGCTATGATGTGGCCCTGGCAGTGAGTAAATAACGCAACAAATCCAGCCAAGAGGATCCGGAGTGCCGAGTGAAATCTTATATACTTGCAACCACACAGGAATTGCAAAAAAAACAGCACAGTCATTCCTCCAGGGCATTTCGCACACGAGTAGCAGTGGACAACACCAGTTGCAGCTGCAGCAAGAAGTGTTCGATGGTCTTTTTCCTCAAGGGATGGGGCGCACAATTATGTGACATCACCGTTCCTTTTTGCTTTCTACTGTGGATGGAAGAAATCCTGCACCACCTTGGATGGTTGAAACCCTATAAATAATGGGATAAACCACCTATCAACTGGTGCAGGATTTCTTCCATCCACCGTAGTTATTCCTGCGCTGCGCAGTATTGAAAGCCAAGCATTGCCACCGGGGGAAGGCACGACCAGCACCGCCAAGGAACATGGCGCCAGGCATCCGCTGAACCAAACCTTCGATCATCCAATCTTCTTCCAGATTGGCTAGCTGCCTTGGGCGGTGAACTTGGAGGGTCTACCACTACATTTTTTGCAGCTGGGTCCTCATGAGACAATGCTGGGAATGAATGAATGAATGTTTGGGTTGGAACTTGGAAACTGGCATTTTCATACAGTTGCATGCTGATCAACACCCTACCTAGCGTCACATCTACCCCGTGGTTGGCAAGATCTATGACCCAAAATGGTATGTTTTTGTGCTGAAAATGACCACCATCTGTATTCTTGTTGGTTGTAATTTTCACCAACAAGTACATCTTTGATACTTAAATATCTTAAATCTGGTGTTTTGAGTGGTTAAATGAGTGGTTTAATCTCCATTTCTGTGGCGTTGAACTCCCAAATTTCCTGGTTTTTTTCATCAGGTCATGGTCCACCATGGTCCAAAAAGCCATGCCACTCTTTCTCCTCCAAGGTGATTCGCATGCCCGCGGCCTCGAAGATGTCCATGGCCTTGATCAGTGCCTCGTTGGAGGTGGATCAGACTGGATCAGATCAGTTGCCCTCTGGTAAACTAACATAGCTATTGAAAATGGCCATTTATAGTGAGTTTTCCCATTAAAAATGGTGATTTTCCATAGCTATGTTAAATTACCAGAGGGTGAGGGGATTGCTGTGGATTGCGACCCGTGACCGGTGACGACATGTGCTGACCCACCTATCTTGACCCGGCCTCGGGTCGATCCCAGGCATATGCGAGGCCACTATGAAGCACTCGGAAATGCCATTCGTCCAAGAACTGTTGGACCATCAAACCAACTGTGACATCATCCACCTGCGTCGCATATCTCCAGCTGGACCCAGGATTTCATCATAATCAATATCATATCTACTTATCATAGACATGCACAAGAACAGTTCACACAGAGGAGATGAGACATTGAGAAACTAACTTAAACACATCTGATTACCAACACTTACCAACTATCGAGGTCCCCAAGCATCTCACTTGAGGTGCCATCAAAAGATCATCGTCAGGCATCTCCACAGGATATCCCAGCTACAAGCGTCCCGTTTCAAACGTCGATGATGTTAGCATGTTTGCTGCATCATAATCTGTGACAAATCTCCTGGACTATCGCACATGTATCATCTACGTTCATTTAAGATCATTTAAGTTAATATACTCACCAAATATCTCTATATTATATATAATCAATATTAATTATGTATTATGTAGCTCAACGTACGACTGTACTATGTACACACTGTCCCTCTTGGAGCTCCTAACCTCATCGTCCATCGCATGCTTTGGCGAGAGCGACATGGCGCTTCCGCAGTGCCACGGTTTCCCGTGAAACCGCCCCACGGTGCCGCCCACGGGGCGCCTATTGAGCCAAGACTCAGTGAACAGATTCCGAGTGCAGAAAAAGGAATAAAGGGGCAATGTTCTTCACATTGATTATGCTGAATACATATGAATCTTGAATACTATAGTTTTTTATTTACATGATTTATCATGATTCATCCTTCTGCCATTCTGTAGAGAAACTCTGTGACTACAACAAGCCTTTGCGTCTTTCAAATCCTGTGCAAAAATAGATACACACAGTACAGTAACGTCATGTATAACAAAACTTCAGTCAGTGGTGACAAGGGTGGCTTTCTGGGTTCCACAACTGACGCTCAAAGCGCTGCCGCTCCGACATCTTGTCTTCTCTGACCTGGCATGGTCGATGATGGCTGGATGATGCTTCAGGTCAATGACCAAGATCAGTCCTCTTCTTTTAATGTGCTAGTGTTCTGGCAAGAGTAGTGTAGAGTATTCATGATATTCATAATAAATATATATATATATATATTATAGAGAGACTACATGTACATATCCCATATTAATATATATAAATAATTTAATAATATAGTAACAATATATGATAAAATACGATATAATCTTGTAATCTCAACATCTTCCCCCCTGTTGAAACGGCAAGCTGTTTGACCAGCGATGCATCGGCCTTTTGGAGCTGTTCTTTGGTCACCTCAAGCGATGCATAGGTGGCCACTCTAAACGGTTTCAATGGAAGTTGCAGATATACATTGCTTGGGCACACTTGCATGCCGCCTCGAAGATCTTCAAAGCATTTCAAAGCATATGGACCGGGGATGATGTCGCTAGAAACCATTTAACTAAACAACAACAGTGGCTCCGGGTAAAAATATTAAGGAAACAAAGTCCAAGAATTTTGCCAGGACATGTGCAGTATTACATAGTGTTACAACATGTCCAGGACAACAAAACAAGATATGCCAAAGGGATCCATTCCAAGCAAGGCCACCAGCACAGGTTGACATCGAGTGACCACAAGCTTCGACTCGACATCTGCAAGCTGCGTAGACAAATGCTGCTGCAGCTCTTGGCCTTGCTCAGTTGCCTCGCTAAAAAACATCGGATCCTTTGTGGAAAAACAAACTCAATTTCAGTATCATGCAGTATCGTGTACAGGTCCAAAATATATCTAAATGCTATATAATGCTATCCATCCGCAAAGAAAGTCTCAGGTCCAGGCAAACTCCATCTTTCGCTCTCTGGCCTTTACATGAATGTGATGTTCCCAGTCATGTTGGGACCGACTTGGCTGCCAATGTCATACAATCCTTCTGTGGCTTCAAGTCCCAGTGGACATCTGAATGGATGGGTGTCGCCTGAAACTGCCGCATCTGCCGCTGAAGCTGTTGCCGGCCCTGGCGAGACTCCTGCGAGGTCGCGAGCTGGTCACAGCCAAAAGATCTATCTGGACATTGGTCTGAAACAAACTGCTGACGGGGTAGCGGCAACACTCTGCAAGACAACTTGTCACGCATCTCTCTCTCACACACACAAATCATTTCTTCGCGTTCAAACCAGTTGCCTGCGGGCCCCTTTGAGCCAGATTCACAAACACTTGATGCTACCTCCTAAATAGTCTTTTGTGTCTTCAAGTGATTGCAGCGACTTTCGCAATGTCACTAGTTTAGTTGTGCTTGAAGATTCAAACTTTCTCCCTTCGCAGAGGGCAAGTTCACTCGATGCTGACGCAGCCAATACAACAAGACCACCCTGATACTTTGAATTCAAGATCGCAGGATGCTCTGGATGTATGAACACACCAGCATTCTGTCACAAATGGTCAAAGGCCGGCCCACAAACCTGCAAACGCAAGCAACTGGACCAAACCACAAAGCCTCCTCTTCCTTCATAGTATGGGACAGGATGGAAGTCTTTTTTGCTGGTGCTGTCATATAACTGGAAGCTACTGAGCTACTGGGATGTGCCTCAACACGGTAGTATCCTCCGGTTGTATGACAGCACCAGGCCGATCAAGGGAATTTCTTTGTCGCCGAGAGCCGAAGCTCAGTTCTTGCAGCACGATCATCAATGATCGGCAAAGTGCTGAAATTGAGCAAGATATGGGTATGGATCAATACCTATAGATACCATTTTAGGGGAACGAACATCCATTTACCAGCTATTTTGATGTTCACCAGGGGTACAAGGTTTTGACACACTGCCATATCCATTGCTGCAATGAGTGCCACACTGTACACCAGCTACAATATAGTTTTCCTGCAGCCTGCAGATGATCAAATGATAGGAATAAGGTTTTTTCCCAATTAAGCTTCCTGACCATAAGATCAGGAAACAGTTATAAATTTGTCTTTCTAGCCATATTAGACCTTCGGAATGGGCAAAGCTTGGAAACACAAGATGCGGTTCCTGATCAAGTTTAAAGACCTTTCACACTCTCGACATTTGCAACTCATGGCCAAACACCTCTAGTGTTGAGCATCCTCGTGTACTTGCTTTATGGCTTTAGTAAGAAAAGTGCAGCCCCTCCATCCCAGTCTCCCAGGGTTTCAGGGGTCTCCTCCAGGACTTGGGCCTGTGCTGCTTCAAGCCTTGCCCGCAGTGCAGGTTCTCGCTCCTGCGGAGCTGGACGGCTCTGGATGGAACCAATGTTGGTTTCTTAGGGCTTTCTCAAACTGGATCCTGGATATCAATAGGATTCAATAAGCTTCAATAAGATCTACTAAGGCTCCTCAGGATAGGAGATACTGAGATACCCCAACATTGGTTGTCCACATTAAAACGGGCCAATCGACTTGGACGACAACTTGGGGTCATCATCACCGCCTCACCACAAGGATCACCATGGATCATCCACAAACCGGCCGTGCCCCAAGCGCCTCTTTGGTGCGGAGCTGTCCCTCCAGCTGGCCGTGCTCCTCCTTGCACAATAGAAGTTTTGTCACAGTATCCTGCGAAGAGTTTTGAGACCTTTTCTGTCCCTGTTACCCTCTGGTAATTTAACATAGCTATTGAAAATGGCCATTTATAGTGGTTTTCCCATTGAAAATTGTGATTTTCCATAGTTATGTTAGTTTACCGGAGGGTATACCAAGTGCTGTTGGGAAGATTTATAATGATTTATATATCAAACATTAGCATAATGGCAGCCACAGATTTTCAAAACGATGCCTCTTAGCTTTGCAGATTCGACTTCCGGACACCAACCACTGCAGCAATCAATGTATAGGACTTTCATACGGTTCTCGATCCTGGAAGCACTTTAAGTTACCGTGAATTCTGAGCAACCTGGAACTGCTGTAGTTCTGCAGCCAGCGCATCCATGTCCATTTGATGAGCCTACCGTTGGCTATGCCAATGTGGGGGATGTCCGTGCGCAACAGAAGGTCTTGGCAAATTCAACTGCTGGGATTCAGGTGCTTTCAACATCAGTCAATAACACAACGGCAACAGCGGCAATATCAGAGTATTCCCAAAAAACACATATATCCAAATATCAGTTCATTATCAAAATCAGTACAATACCTAATATAGTCCTAATACACCATAATATATGCATATATATATATACATACAGTACACCACAATCTGTGTGTGTATATATACATATATATATATATATTGGTGATGTATTTGATACTGCCATCATATGACTGCCCCTTCCTCGCGGAGCTTGCGCATCTCACTCCGCTGCTTCTCCAGGTCCTTGCAGGCGGCTATCAATGGAACATCCCCCTTCAGGGTGAGGGATCAAAAAAGTAATATCTAAAGCTTAGAATCTAAGGCATCAAAAAAATATTCCCCTGGAAGCCTGGAATCCCTTGTTTTCTGTGGCCCTTGCAACAGTTTGGAGACAAAACCCAGCATTTTTGTGGTATTGGCATGTATTTGCATCATTTTGGAAGTGGAGCCTCTCGCCCGTAAGGTTTTTGCAGGACATTGGACCTGGAAATCGAGCATTCGCAGGGCTCGACGCTGCCGTTTCGACAGCACCTGCAACACTTTGGAATTCGAACCTTTCATTTTGGATGGTTGCTTTGAAACTTACGTTGGTTTAAAGTTTGTTTATGTTTGGTTTAGGGTTGATTTAGGCTTGGTTCGAGGTCTATTTCAAGTTGGTTTAGAATCTAAGTACGGTTGACTTAGGTTGGTTTAGGGTTAGCTTAGGGTTGGCCTATGGTTTACTAGGCGTCTATTCAGAGTTGGTAAAAAGTTCATTTAGGTTTCGTTCAAGTGTTATCTAACATTATTTAAAGTTTTTTAGGGTTTATGTAGGGTTGGTTTAGGGTTTATTTTGATTTCGTTCAAGACTTTGTGGTTTAGGTTTCGTTTGGGATCTATTGGGGGTTGGTGTTTTGTTTATTTAGGGTTGGTTTAGGATTTGTTTAGGGTATATTTAGGGTTGGTTTTAGGGTTTGTTTAGTGTTGGTTTTAAGATTTGTGTAGGTGCTGCTCAAAGTTTATTTAGGGTTGATCCAGGATGTATTTGGGTTTGTTTCGTGGTTGGTTTAGGTGTTATTTAGGGTTGGTTCAGGGTTTCTTTAGGGTTGGCTTGGGGATTATTTTGGGTTGGTTTAAAGTCTATGTAGGTCTTGTTTCTGGTTTCTTTAAGGTTGGTCCAGTGTTTTATTTCAGGTTGGTTCAGGGTTGGTTTAGGAGTTATGTAGGGTTGGTGTGTAGTTTATTTGGGATTGCTTAAGATTTATTTAGGGTTGGTTCGTGTTTGTTTAATAAGTGTTCTTTAGGGTTTATTTATGGTTGGTTTATGGTTTCTTAAGGGTGGCTTAGGGTTTATTTGGGGTTGGTTTAGGGATTATTTGCGATTGGTTTAAAGTTGATTTTGGTTTCGCTTACCACTTATTTAAGGTTCGTTCAGGTTGAATTCAGGGCTATCTTCAAAATGTTTTAAGGCACTCGGCACTAGAGTCACCAAAGGACGGAAGGACCAAGGGGCCGGAAGACCACAAAAACCAAGGGACCAGAGGACCAAAGGACCAAGGGACCAAGGGACGAGGGGAGCAAGGGAGAGGACTGGAGGACCGGGAGATTCAAAGACCACAGGATTTGAAAATGGCACAAAAGGGCCAAAACACTGCACCAGCGCAGGAAAAATGACTATTTTTTTTATTGATGCCTTAAATATCTATTTTTTGATGCCTTAAATATATTTTTTTTTGAACCCCATGCCATGAATGCATGGTTCAATGGGAAAATCAACTACCAGTAATGGAGGTTTATAGCTGGGAAGATATGGGACAATCCATGAAAATCATCTATAAATGGAGGTTTGAATGGGAAATACCTGACATATCCTATAAAATGGGACTTGATGTTTTTTTCCCCCTGCAAACCATGTGTGATAACCGGGAAAATCATGTTTCATCATCATATACCCATCAAAACATACCATATCAATCCATATCATCACGAGACATGCGTTGACCTCTTTGAATAGATCTGAGGTATGCCCCTGGGCTGAAGGAGAGTGACCATGTAGGTACAATGCATTTCTCCGCAAAGCAACCAACATCTTGAACACATTTTGGGTGGCTATGACAGCAGTTTGGTAAAATGGAACATGAAACAATTTATAACAATTTGGCAAGGTCTGGTCCATTTGCTTGTGGGCAGTGCAGGGATTATTGTACTACGTTGCGATCTCTGCAACACTAGCCTTCAACAGTTGCCAGCTGTCATGGCATTGAAATCCTGACGTGCAGAAGCTTCAGCCCTCTTTGCTGCACGCAGATCTTGGAGAGCCTCAAGCTGCTTCGCACCAGATGCAGATGCCATTTCTCCTAGCTTTGCTGGATATGTTACCACCATAAACCACCATAAACCACCTCTTCGTTTCAAAAAACTATAGGGATGTCCTGCAAATGTTCCCTTCATCCAAAAACCTGTTTTGGGAACTGTAAAAACCCACCTGCTCATGCTCTTCACGTAGCTTTGCCGAGGGCACCGTTGAGGCCTGGCTCACGGTCCATCACTTTTCAAGGGATTGATTTCATGGAACAACTGTAGGAAACCACGCTTTTTCCACATAAACAAGGGGCTTTCCGGCATTTTCCGGCTTTCCTAAAGATTTTCCAATTATTCTAGGAAGTAACTTTAAGATGATCAACCTCATATCCATTATCAATTGGCGCCTCAGCAAAAATGAACGTTGCCATGTTGTTTTGATACTTGCAAATCTTCCACATGTCTCTATGAATCACCGACTACTTGGGATATCATCAGTATATATTATAATTATATAATATATACATATTATAATTATATAATATATACATATAATATATGTATATATACATATATACACACATGGAGGCTAATGCGGACACAACGAACCCAAAAAATGTATTACTGTACAGTATATATATATAAATGGATTATAAATGGATTATAAATGGCTCTTGCCACACAGAACAAATCCGTCCAAACTCCTGGCAAACATGTGCTGCAAGGTGACCATTTTCCCACCTGAGACTGGGAAGAGCTGGAAATTGTCTGGGCCTCCAGCGTCTTCCAGCATCCAGGGGCATCCACAAAAACAGGAGCTTGTAGAACTTGGGTCAACTGGACATTGAGCATATGGCTATGGTGGCTATGGATCCATTGAGAATCCTGGAAGCTATGGTGGCTATGGATCCATTGAGAATGGAAGTGGATATGAGTCTGAAACCTCGACTCAATCGCTTTGTTCTACCCAAGGTTCGTGGAGATTTGATGCTGCAGATTTGAGTAAACTTCTGCAGTTCTCCACTGCATCGTTGACCGATAAAGTTGATCAACATCTTCCAGAATCATGGATAAGTTTAGATATAAGTTTATAAGATTTTATAAGTGGATATTTGAACACTAACCCGCCATTTTATCATATTTCGGTTTGTCTTAGAATGGTGTCTACTCCCTTAAATGGCCATCAAATGGGAAAACTGATGAACCATGGGAGATTTTGGAGTCTTCCCCCCTTTTTTTGGGGACGCTTCCAGAATCAAAGGATAACTTAGATATTTGAACATTCACCCACCATTCACCCACCATTCACCCACCATTTTATCACATTATATCACATGTATCTCACCTTTTTCTTGCTACACCCTGGATTCCATCCGCCGCGGCCCCTTTTTTTTCGGGGGATCTGGGTGGCAAGTGACGGCCATCTCATTGCGGATGCTCCGTTGAAGTTGGTGCAACTCATGGGTGAAGGCCTGAAGCATCAGGTTTTTCAGGTCATAAATAGATACATCATATATTACCATAGATAAATAGATTAAGAAAGATAAGCCGTAATTCATAATATATTTAAATGATTTAAATGTAAGATGTTCTATCAGACATTATATATATATATTATCTATAGAAATTGGCGGGGGCACAATGTTCTGTATGTATGTACTATACGTATCATAAGCACCTACATTTACACATTACCATACATGTAAATAAAAGGGTATATATGTGTGTATTATATAGTATATAATATTATACTGGGAGTAGAGTGTCTTTCTGTGGGCAACTGAAATCGACAAACATGGGATCGAGGGGACATAATTTTCCGTAAACAGGATGTATCAACATGTTGGGAATTCTCTTGAACTTTGAAACTCACTGCATATCGGGGGTAAAGTGTCTTTAAGCCAACCCCAACTCTATACCTCGTAGTTAGTCCCCATGCCTTCATGAGTCTTTATGTAGACGCGCGAAAGACACCTTTCTCCAAAGACCTGGAGCAACACCACGTGCCCGTCTCCCGTGCCTGCTTTTCAGCCTGACCACATTTGAAGGACTTGCAACAGGTTTTTGGGGAGATGGCCATGGCCTGGGTGGGTCAAGATTAGCATTACAAGCTATGCAATCAATATTGATTGGCTAATTCAATTTCATTTGATTCCATGTATTTCAACCAACCACTTGCAGTGCTTGGCACTTGCCAAGTGCATCGAATTTTGAAAGCCTCCAGCTCTTCTTGGTGTAAGCCACGCCCCTCACGCACGGTGAGCAATTCGACTTTCACCTCGTCAAATGTTGGCTCTGGCTGCATGGACGGACCAGGAAGGGTCAATTGTATGGGTGGCTCCCTAAGCAGCTGATTCAACTCGTATTGGTGCATGCTGCCTGTTGACAGCCAATGATATGCAATCTACACCCATCGAACAAAGTCAACGTGGTGTGCTCTGCATTCTCTACGGCTCAATCCTTGAAGAGGTATGAAGAGGTATGAAGAGGTATGAAGAGGTATGAAGAGGTGTATATATATATATATATAAGTAGCGTATCATAGCGTATCTACTTTTCAAACTTGTGCATGGGTGCAGTGGTCAGTCTTTGTCTCTCCTATCTATAGATCCATATTGGCATCTATTAGGTAAGTCTTAAATTTGCCCACACTGGTGACACAATGCTGGGAAAAAGCACGGTAGAGGTGGATTTTAATCCCTCCAGCATCCTCCAACTGCGATGTTTCAAGCCTCAATGAGCTCTTCCCTAAGGTTGGCATTTGCCTGATGCCAGCAGTTTGGAAAAGCAAAGGAAACCACAGCAAAGCCCTGCATCTTCTTTTGTTTCTGGTAGGATATGATTTAATCATGTACAGCACATTTATATATATATATATACATGATCATCTATAATTACGATTCTATAATTCTATACGTACATCACCCAGGGTTCAATGGCTCAATCCTGCACATATATTCCATGGATATCATTCAATCTCTGATCTCAACTCCGAATTTGGCCCATAAATATATCCCCTTAACTGTAACATTCAGTAGCTGCCATAGCCACTTCCTCAGACCATCAAATGGTGGACACATCCTCCCCACCTCTGTCAACTGGTCCGCAAGTCTCAGGTTGGCCTGCTGAATATCTTGGAATGATGGATCTCCTGAATTCTGTTGAATTGTGTATTGCTCAACATGTCTCAAGACAAAGATTGTACAGTAGCTGCTTGTTGCGAATGCAACCTGACACCCACCCAGCATTGCCCAACGTTGGCAATACAGGTCCGCTTCTGTGTCTTCGCCAGTCTTCTATCACCAGTGCCTCATTCAACTCATCTCGCAGTTTTGCATTTGCCCTTGCCTGAGCAACACACATTTTCACTGCATCGACAATCTTAAACCTTTTTTCTGATGGAAAACCAAACAAATCTCATGATCTTATGCTGCGGTCACCTGGAGTGCTGGTCCCTCAGCCTTTTCACAATATGCGTCGACAGGCTGCTTCTCAATTCAGACAATGTTCACTTCACCATTTTCATTGGTACCTCTTAAATCCTGTTAAGCAATGGCCGTCCATCCCTACAATGGGTTAATCATCCATGATCTCCACATGATATTGTCGGACACTTTAATTATCCATATACCCCAGAGGTCTCAGTGAAATAAAACTCTTTTGTTCATGGGTTTTTTTCCCCAGAGGTGTTGCAGCACCAGTTTTTTCAATGGGATAGTGAATGATAATGATGGAGAATGGATAACGCCGCTCATATACATCAATATACATCATATAGCGCTGATTGAATCTTATTGACACGGCACCTCTGCGAGTTCGTTCCGCAGCTGCGCGGAAAGGTTCAGCTCGGGCAGGCCCGGCTCCTCGGAGGCTGCAGAAACAGCTTCCGGGAGAAACGTGGCGCCTGATGCTGATCCTGTAACGCAGTGTCATTGGACTACCAAATCTACCAAGGAAAAAGACGTATTATGACATATTAGTATAGTTATGTATAGTTGATACTTGGTTGATAAATGTTGACAATAGATTATCTTCCTGTCAGACCAGCCTCCTTCGCTCTGTCCCAACGGTTTAACTGGGCTGTGAGCCACTTCAGCACGATGCTTGGCCACTTTTCGTCGAGACACCTGAGGGCATTGTATGTGTGCGGGCACATCATCGTCTGACGTATTGTTTTTGACAAGTCTTCAAAGAAGACAATCAAAATATCAAGGGTCCCACCATAGACCCATGAACAATGCAAGCAGCATCAATGACTGCGTGCACAGAAAATCGGGGAGTAAGAAGCACATGCACAAGGCAGAAGCGGGTGTTGATGATGGTGTTGCTATAGAGGAGAAAAACTCAACACTTTTTGTACGAGTACCTTCAATACACATATATTCAATACATAGGATGCCTTGCATGTACTGTGTCTGCAGAGATCTTTTCCGTGACATCTCGCGCGATCTGTGCCTACAATAAACCAAACGATATGTGGCGCCGGTCTGTTCAGACCTGACAGAATCCTTTTACTGTACAAGAATGAAGACCTCAGTGGTGTGGACTCCACATTGTACTTCTAGCACCTCCTGACCAAAATCTTCCCGTCTTCTCTTCAGTGCTCTATATTGTATTTTAACATTTTATTTGCAACTTCTCGACATCTCTGAGGCCTTACAGGATTCTGAGTTCACTCGTCGGACACTACCCCCACGATTTAAGGTGTTTTCAGGGCCTGTCCATAGCGCATTGAAAATACCGAGGTATCCGACGGCGGCCAAGCACCGCCGCCCCCGACGCCCCAAATGCTCATCAGATCAGACCATAGAGGTCCTGCACAACCCGTTGTTTTTCCACAGAACTTCAGAAACATGCTGAACAGCAATACATGTGTAGTCAGATAGATAGATAGATAGATAGATAGATAGATAGAAAGACTGACGGACGGACAGACAGACAGGCAGGCATGCAGACAGACATGTAGGTTGATAGATGGACAAATAGATGGACCGATGGATGGACAAATAGATAGATGGAGATGGATGGATGGATGGATGGATGGATGGATGGATGTATGGATGGATGGATGGATGGATGAATGGATGGATGGATGGATGGATCAATGTATATATATATACATATATATATATACATTTCAATATATATATATAATATATATATATATGTATAGATTAAATATGATTAGAATTGATTAGATATGGTTAGTTATGATAAGATTCGGTACAGTATTCTGGTGCAAAAGACCTGATGACCATACCGATGGTGAGTCTCCCAGTCATCTTGAAGGATTTTTCGATTCCTAACCTTGCCCCAAAATGTAGCTTAGTTGTTTCCTGCCCCAATAATCCCCAATATAGCTATGTAGTACTGTAGTGCAGCAAGTAACAGCAAATATGACCATGATCCCAGTCCTCTGTGAACATGCTCCTCCCTTAAGCGCTGGCGAAGTGGGGCTTGTCCTGCGAAACAGCAGCGAAGCCGCGACATGAATCCTTTTGGATTCTTAAATCAAGCAAAAAACAATATGAGTCCGAGCCAGCACAAAATTGATTCTGTTGCCACGCATATTATTCGTTTGCAGATTGCATCGTGATAATCCCTTTGTTGAGTGGTCCCAGTTCATGTGACTATCAACGATCCATGCTCCAGGCATTTCGTATTCAGAACAAAACACATATCATATCATAGAATATCACATTCAAAACTCATGGCCACTCACAGCTAGCAACGGCTACTTGTCCGTAGTATGCAGAACCCTACAGTACGCTCTCCTTGTCTGCATCGGTGTTGCTACCAACGCATCGAGAACCTTTTTGGATAATACCTACAGGACAGTGGGAGAAAAACTTTTTCAAGGATTCAAAGCGGCTGCAAAAGCAGTCCCATGGCCACTGAAGCAGCTCGACAGGAAGACACAGGTGGAGGAACATGGGGAAAGCATGAACAAAATCAAAATTCTTTTCAGAAGCTAAGCAGCACTGAATTCGTCCATATCTCTTCTCGCACTGAAGAAGACACTTCCTGAGGAAGTTCCAAATAGTTCCAAGGTTTTGTCAATTCTTGAGCCATGAGCAGGCTCCACATACAAACAAAAAAGAGAGAGAGAATGTGCAACATTGATTTGACTGATCTGGATGCAATCATTGGTTTTGCAGCTTTCCATTGGGCTTCCATAGGTTGAACAAAACAGCAAAACAGCGTTTAGTTTCTTTGATAGATGTTTCATTACTCACGCTACTTTCATTCAATTTCATACTAGATCCTATAGTTTATAGATGTTTATAGTATTTGGATGTCTTTGGTGATTGACTTAGGATCATAGCGGCGATCTGCCCGAGCCACCCCTTGACGAAGGTCTTGGGGCCTCCATTCAAGTACTTGGTCAAGGCATTCCTGAGGCTGCAGGGACACCAAACAGACCAACAGAACTGGGTAGGATGTCAATTTGATGGTTTATAATGGAAAAACCATCTATAAAATTCTATAAATGGATGATTTCAATGATTCTGAATAATTGTCATACACCAAACAATAACTGATTCTGAGAGTAGATCTCGACCATGCCGCGGGCAACTAGCTGCCTTCCTTCTCAGGAACCCTCGCTTAACCAACCGGCTCCAAGGTCTCAATGCAGTCATGGGACTGGATTCTCACTCCGTCCTCAGGAGGGGGTAGGGGACCCCAAAACAGAACAGCTGCGGTGTAATATGGTGTAATACTGATGACATTTGATGCCCGCAGGAGAAGTGCTTCCAAAGCAGGGTGTAGTTCCCAGTCTAAGAGAACCTCTCAAACTTCAAACATCTTGAACATCATTATGTTAAATATTGTTAAAGTTGAAGCCAACCCCAAAAAACAGAGCATTTTTCCGCCAGGTGAGCGGTGTTCAAAACTTCAATTAAAACTGAATGGAAATTATTCATCCTTGCGCGAAATCCTTGCGCCATCCTTGCGCGACCACAATGGGAGCTTGCGCGCGGTCAATTTTTCAAACGGAGCTTGCGCGACCTTGCGCGAAGATGAAGTCCTGAGTTTTCGTGCACTTTTGCTTGCGCGATGTAGGCGCGAAGCTGTTTTCGGACTTGGTTTTCTAGGCTTCTCAGATTCTCGGCTCCTTGGCTCGTTCGGTGGTTTCTCGGCTTCTCGACTTCTCGGCTTGTTCGATGGCTTCTCGACTTCTAGGCTCGACTCAGCGCAGTTCCTATTTTGCCAGCAGTCTAGTCCCTGATGGCCTCCAGTGAGTGTATCGCCTTCAGCCAAAGTACAATCAGTACAATCAGCTTTGCGAGGTATTTGATGCTACAAGGTGGTTTTGCTTGTTTGCGAGTCTACGATCATCTTGCTACCGGTTGCTGGGGGGCATAGTGGCCAGGAACCCCTTTGCTTGCGCGAAGCTTGCGCGAACCTTGCGCGAAATTCCCTGGGCAATTCTTGTAACCGGAGCCCAAAGCCTACAGATTGCTCGAATGTTGGTTTACGCCATAGGAGCCACCATGTTGTGTAACCCTTTTCGTTGTATATTAATTTAGATTTAAATTTATGTTTAAAGTGTTTACGTGATTTCGGGCTTGCGCGAAGCTTGCGCGTACATGAGCTTGCGCGAAGCTTGTGAAAAGCTTGCGCGCGTGTGACGCCATTCAAGTTTTGGAAGAATAAATTCCACCGAATACTAAAATCAATTGCCGAGAGTTTTGAACGCGGCTCAGGTGCTCATCACGATGCTGCTAACACTGGTGTTTGACCAAGGAGCGTGATCAGGCACTTTGATTGCTGCTGGTACAGTCACATCATGATCACGAAAGTAGGCATACACACCAACACCTTCAGTGCATAGCTTGGTTTGCGTGGACAGCTTGGTAGTGTGTCTAAAAGTTGCTTTGTATGTCGTTAACCTTGATATTCCTAGGAACTCCAAAAGGACATAATTTCAGCCTGAAGAGGAAAAACAAACTTTTGGGGTCTCAGACTGAAATTTCGGTCTGAGGGTGATCTCAAACTATTTTCTGATTTTCAGGCTGATTTGTTTGAATCTCAACCTGAATTTGGTAAGAAATCAGGTTCAAACCAGGGAAGAACTCAAGAACTACTTGGTCATCCCGATGCTTACCGTATCCTGTTCTCGTCCTGTAGAATTAGATCAAACAATAAGCTCAATAAGTTTACAATTTAAGAATCCAGAAAGATACCAGACTGTGGCACGCTTGACGTGTATTGGTGGTAAAAGGCATATTTTGCAAACTTTGCACAGGTTCATGACGCATTTTGTTTCCACTATATTGGTTTTGGGACTCTGCGATTTTAAGCTTGATTTGGAACTGCAAACCTGAATTTATGAAAAAATCAGACTGAATTTGGTCAAGGACCAAATTAATCATGAAAAACTCGGGCAAACAATCACACTAATCGGGCAAAAAATCGCACTAATCGGGCAAAAAATGCCGCAACTCAAAACGTTCAGATTTTTCATGTTTTTTGTTGCAGTTCAAAACCTGATCTTATGTTTTTTTGGGAAATTCAAACCATGCTTGAATTAAATAATATACCTATCACCATGTCACAGAATAATTTTTGAATACGAAGTTGTAGTTTGGATGGAAACCAGTCAGATTTATTCAGTTATCAGCTAACCGGGCTGCTGCTTTGTGCTTCTGACATTGCTGATTTGTAGGAAGGTTGCATGATATTATGGTACAGTATGGTACAGTTTCTCTAGGATTTCTCAAATATGCACCGCCTTATCCATGCCATTCAATATGTGACATTGATTTCAATACCATTGAGCCAGCATTTTTTGCGCAAAGTGCCTCGGGCTATTTTTTTTAGCTCGGGCTAAAAAAAATGGTTCAGGCTAAATATTCAGCCTGAATGCATTCAGACCATTATTATGGCCTGAGGATTTCGTAGGTTCTAGTATAAACACTGTTAGAATGCAGGTCACTACATTTCAATTCGAGGGAATGCAATTAGTAAAGCGTTCAAGGCTGTCTGGAGAAAACCCTAGATTGGTTTGCCAGAAAGCACACAAGTGATGCAATCGAAATCCAGCAACCAGTTGAAGAAATGCTGTTACACTCTGTGCTACCCGCAAAGCAAAACCACTTTCCCCATGAGTTGCTCATAGTTGTTCCGACCAACCAGCTCCACCAACTCTACTAGCCACATCACTCTGCATGCTGCCTAGCAACCAACGGCCTCGTGCCTTTGCACAGCTTGATCCACAAGATAACCACAGGCCTTGAAGGGGGCGACCCTGGAAGTCTGCCCTGCAGCCTGACCGAGGCATCACAACGGAGTGCTCATTGATATCAGACCCCCCCGGCTCTCAGAGTTGGGGATTGGTGTATCAACTTCTAACTGCCACTAGTATATCAATTGGTGCTTGGTTGGTGGTTGATATTGTTGTTCTTTATATGATACTGTATATGTATATTATATTAATATCATATTAATATATATTCTTATGCATAACTTTATGTCCCAAAATGTACCCAAACATGCCGGACATGCCAAGACTGGGTAAACTTTGACACAGCAAGGAACTATGCTAAACTATGCTAAACTATTTGGGAGCTGGGTCTCTGGGACGATCTGTTCGGAATTCGGAGGGTGAGAACCAAAGCTGCAATGGGATTGAACCAGCATCTGTGGGATTTAGTGATGATGCTGATTTTTGGTCAATAATGGTCAATACTGGTAAATAATGGTCAATACTGGTAAATAATGGTTAATACTGGTAAACTGAACATTAATGGTTAACTGAATGTCTTGAATTTAGTGATGATGCTGATTTTTTGACAGACTACTTTGGCCGTTGCATAGTCTCTGGTTTCGTAAACCAGCGAACAAACTTTTCTCTATCATAGGTTCCTATGGAAAAATCCAAGTGTGGGCAAACTGCTACAGCGATGCAGAAATCCAGTTCTTGCGGGCCTCATCCATTGCATCGTAAGGCAACTCTGATTGGTAGAAGTAGGTCACTCCGTCTTCTCCTGGCAGGGATGAGTGTGGGATACGAGTGGCTCACACTGCTTAGAATTAATCTGGTGGTGTCCCTCGTCTCCGAACAATTTCCCTTGGGCTTCTCCTAATACGAAACTTTGCGAGACAATCAACTCCAAAACACTGGATCAACACCAAAGGATCTAGTCAACTCGACCATTCCTGACAAGTTCAGGAGTCGTGTTTTCTCCGTGGCAGTGCACGTTCCTCCCCAGCACCCCCAAACCAAGACCTTGCCAAAGAGTCATGTCAGACAAGGTGTGCTCAACGAAAAGGCCATACATTGTGACCTCAAGGGCTAAGCAAAGACAGTTCCAAGAAGCCAAGCATCCACAGCATCAGCAGGTCGCGGCAAATTTCAGAAGTTCACTTCACAGTGGTGTTGAAACGAGGCACATGGTGGGCCGGTCTGGCTACGTGAAGGCCACTGCTGCAGAAATTCTCCTTGGTAGTTTGTCAAAATTGGTGTGCACAACGGTGTGCTCTGCTTTGCTTTGCTAAGCCGACGCCGTGTCTTTCCAGGCAAACTTCAGTGTCCTCCACTCATTTCTGGAATTTCAGATTTCATAATCGCAAGTTCACTGCCCTTATCATGAAAATGCTGGCTGCCCCCCCCAGTTGCGCCCCCCCCGGATTGCAAGGTGGCACCAAAAATTAATAGCAGGGTATTAAGTTTTTTGGTTCCGGTTTGGAGGCGCGCACTGAAGACAAGGCGCGCAAATAATCACAAGCATGTGGTTTTGATATTAGATGGTTATTAAAGGTTTCTCTTCCATTTTGGAGCTCGCGCGTTGGAAATACAGCGCGCAAACACTCACGGGCAGGTGTTTTCTTATTAGCTGTTTATTAAGGGTTTCAGTTCCGTTTTGGAGCTCGAGCGTTGGAATCGCAGTGCGTAAACAGACATGGGCATATGCTTTCTTATTAGCTGGTTATTAAGGGATTCTGCTTTGGAAGATTTGAGAGCAAAAGGTTTGCAATTGAAGATTTGGCCTGTCATTATTTTATGAGGCGCATCGTGGGGAGGCAACCAGAATTCCAATTCGTATCCATTTACTTTGAAATATTTTGGATCCCCAATGAATGTTTCACAGAAGGCTAACCCCTCCCCCCCCTAGCCGCCCCCGCCTATAGTAGGCCTTAATTAAGGCCAAATTAAGGGTTGAGTGGTTTTCCCCAATTTTTGGTTCAAAGTGCTTAATTTGGCCTTAATTCTTTGATGGGATTACTGAATTGGCTTTCAAGGGTCTTTCCTACATTCATAGAATTTTGTCTTGGGTCAAAAGAGTAAACATGTGTACAAACAAAGACCCAAGTGAATTTTTGAACAAACAGAGGAACGCACCAAATCAAATTAAGATTTTAACCAAAAAAAAGGAAATTGAACGTTTCCAAGTTACGAATAAAGAACTGCGCTGAAGCGAACAAGCAACTATTTTGACTTTCACGCTTCAACGTTCGCAAGTTTCCAGATTAGACACAATTAAACCCAACGAACAAAAACCACAAGGAAAAATCAAATTTTCCAAACCAAGACTAAATTAAGGGCCAATTAAGCTTCAAATGGTGGAAAAACACAGGGAAAATCAAAATTTCAAAATTAAGACCAAATTAAGGCCTAATTAAGGCCCAATTAAGGCCCAATTAAGGCCTAATTAAGGCTCAAATGGTGGAAAACACAGGGAAAACACAATTAATTAAGGCCTAATTAAGGCCTAATTAAGACTCAAATGGTGGAAAACACCGGGAAAACACAATTTTCCAAATTAAGACCAAATTAAAGCCTAATTAAATTAAGGCCCAATTAGAGCCTAATTAAGGCCTAATTAAGGCTCAAATGGTGAAAAACAAAGGGAAAACACAATTTTATGAAAAACATTGCAAAAACAATGAAAAAATAATGAAAAGGTTTGGCTCGAGGACTTCGACCCTGGCTCGAGGACTTCGACCCGTACAAGTCGTTTTTCCGCTAACGCGCGCGCGCAAAGACTGGCCCGAGGACTTCGACCCATCCACCCGGGGTACTACAACGGGGAAACACAACGGGGAAACAAAAAGGGAACACAACGGGAAAAAAATGGAAAAACGAAAAATGAAAAAAAATATATCTATAAATTTTAATTTTATTTAAGTGCTTTAAAACAATGTATGTATATAAATCGAATGAAAAAAAACGAAAATTTCAGATTTTTTTTTGGAAATATTTTTTCATTTTTTTGATTTAGTTTATGGTAAAAATATGTTTTAAAACATTTTGATACACTATTGCATTTAAATCAAATGAAAAATGAAAAAAATATTTCCAAAAAAAATCTGAAATTTTCGGATTTATATACATACATTGTTTTAAAGCACGATATATTTTTTTTTCAATTTTTTTCCCGTTGTGTTCCCTTTTTGTTTCCCCGTTGTGTTTCCCCGTTGTAGTACCCCGGGTGGATGGGTCGAAGTCCTCGGGCCAGTCTTTCCGACTTGTACGGGTCGAAGTCCTCGAGCCAGGGTCGAAGTCCTCGAGCCAAACCTTTTCATTATTTTTTCATTGTTTTTGCATTGTTTTTCATCAAATTTCATTAATTTTTCATTGTTTTTGCAATGTTTTTCATCTAATTAAGGCCTAATTAAGGCCCAATTAAGGCCTAAATAAGGTTTAATTAAGGCACAAATGGTGGACTAATTAAGGCCCAATTAAGGCCTAATTAAGGCCTAATTAAGGCTCAAATGGTGGAAAAAACCATGGGAAATCCAATTTTCCATATTAAGACCAAATTCAGGATCCAATGGTGGAAAAGCACAAGCACATTTTAAATTTCTGAAATACATATACAATGCGAAGGACCTAAGTAAGCGTAATTCCAATCAATTTGACATGATAGACACTGGAAATACGCCGCCTGGATTGTACACCAAATGAAGAAATATATTTCCACCAAACTTACACCCATCCAGGTCATGAAATGCATCCAAAGACCGGACTACATTGGGAGAAGTGGACCAAATAGGACCAAATTAAGGATTTTCATCCAAAGAATTTGGAATACACTGGAGAAATTGAATAAACATGAAACACGGCAAATGTCACCAAAATTAAGACTGAATTAAGCTAATTTGGCCTTAACTAGGCTTTATTTTTTTTCCACCAAAATAAGGCCTAGTTAAGGCCTTATTAAGGCCTTAATGTGGTTTTCTGGGAAGGGGGGGGGCTAGGGGGGGTTAGCTCTCTATGAATGTTGGAACTTCAAACCGCAATGCATGAGTTTCAGGGGGTATTGGATGGGCTATTAAATGGGTATTATCCATCTAATAATTACTTTTCTGGGGTCAGTGAATGTCAACAATAGAAATGTAAGAACCAGAGTTTTTTTATTGGAATTCCATTGTAAATATATGAAAGTATAGTTGGTTGTTATGCAGTGAGATTTGGTTGTCCGTGTGTCCTCTCAAACCTGCCATCCCCACAAATGGCTAGAATTGGCTAGAATCCTAAAGGGACGAGCTCAAACCAGCCAGCCAAGTGCCACAAAGTGGACAGGACAAAGCCCCTCGCAGCTTGGAAAAACAAAAATGTCATCACTATTTGTCGTCACTCATGAGCAGTGAGTGGGTGTCCCTTGCGCACCCAAAAACTTTGTTTTTACATAAGGGGTAGTTGTCACCACAAACGTTTAGGGTTGCTTTGGGAAATGTATTCGGAAGACGGGCCTCACGGCCTTGCCACAATGCTTCTCACAATAAAGGAATATGAATGCTGGCCAGCATTTATCACTTGCTGGAAGCTGATTTTTCCACCCTGCAAAACTATGACATTGCCCATCTCAAAACCTCAATAACCATCTATGAGTGGTTTCAAGCAGCTCGTGGGAAGTGGAGGTATTGGGACCGCTTCCAAAAATAGTTTCCCACCAAAAATATTTAATAACAATCTATTAGTGGTTTCAAGCAACTCGTGGAAGGTGGCATTATTTTGACAGCACCACAAACTCATTGCCCACCTGAAATCCTTAATAGCCATCTATTACTGATTTCAATGGGAAACCGATAAAATGCGCAGTTCCAAATGGCAAAATCTCTGTTAATAAGCTGTCGATAGCTGGTTAATAACTTGTTTTGTGTCCCAACAAATAGAGGTCTATTAGCTGGTTAATAACCTGATACTAAGGGCTTATTAACCTTCACTGCTGGTTGCATCCCGTTTATGTTCTTATTTTTCTGGGGGGGGCGCAACTGGGGGGGGCAGCCAGCATTTTCCTTCCTGCATCTTGCTTGCAGAAGAAGAATCGTGATTGTATACCAAATATTGATCTGATAGCCAGTGATCAGCTCGCCATAGCCACAAGTTGTCCTGAGAGTCTGCACACTTCTCATCGCTTCCCACTACTTGCTGTTGACGGTGCACGTATACCACAAGAGTGTCTCTGCAGTCCAACATGCACAGGTTCGTTCAACTCTCAACACGTCAAAGGAACCTCTATGAAACTGCTGCCAAGTCAGAACAATTTCTACTGTAAGAGTCTGCTCTAAGAGTCGAGCTGTTACATTGCATTGTCCCTCCCACACTTGCTTGACACTTTCATGGAACAACCTGATCGTCATGATGTGGACAATCTGGTCAAGTTTCGCCAACAACGCAAGGCTGGTGAATTTGCACCATACTTCCTGAGACAGCAGAATCCACACAAGTCCTTCTATTGAACATCATTTCAAATCATTTCACTGCTGTCATAGTCATTGGGCCAACCACAAACAAATCCTTACTTGAACTGAACTTTGCCAAGGGCTGGCTTTGTCAACTTGCTCTGGCCTACCTGCCACATGATGACATGTGAAGTTCCTGTTTGTGCTCAGAGATCCTACGTCTTTCACCATCAAACTCATCATCTCCAAGATCACCCAAACTAAGTTATCTCTGCTTGAAACCTGTCTACAGCTCGCTATATGGCAATATAATGCTATCTATTGTTTCACCAACTCATCATCATTTCCATTCCATCATTTTGGGTCAACGGCAACTCTTGAAAAGAACAAGAGTTGTTTCTCATGGTTCTACCACCAATCTGGGGGCTCCAGGTAAAATCATCAAACCGAACCAAGCTTGGGGCTGCAGTTCCACTTATAAGTGTTTTTAACCATATCGAAAATAGATGTTGATAGGGATTATATTTCAACTTTCACTGGCTTTAAAATCCCATAGTTAAATTCATATCCACAAAAAAAATCCCAACTGCACCCCCCAAGTATATTAGAAATCCCCCTGAAATCCCCTTGAAACCCCTGAAATCCCACGACCTCCCCAGGTCGAGTTTCTGCAGCGTGCCTCAGACGTGAAGAGCGGCTCCTGACTTTGAGGACGGCTCGAGGGCCTGAGGGATAGCCAGAGACAGGCACCCATCGGAACAGGAGGATGAAAATACGGGAAACATAGCCAAAACAACTTATGTTTCATTTATTTATGTAGTGTGTATATATATATATGCCTATATCTATATAGTCATATCTAATATATGTATCTATCAACTGTAGGTACTTTGTTTTAGCTATCTATATGTATATATATAATTATATATATATCGATATATATATATGTATATTTAGTTTATGATAATCTGATATTCTAATGCAGACCACCATTTTTTTGGAATGATGGACGTCGGTTGGTCACCACTTGGTACTGATTACCATGGAAGTGACCACTCGACGCACTCTCCTTTCAGCCCTGTCGCCTAGACCCATCAAGCTCATCCCGGGCAGTGAGGGGCGCCTGCAAGGGAGCACAACCGGCCCGTAGACCTGTTGAAGGGGTGAGGGGAACCAATCATGTCTAATTCATGTCTAATAGCCAGCTCCTGCTAAAGAGTTGCTGGATATTCTGGATGATCTGGTTGCGGATCTCAAACACTGGATGCTCATGTTGTCAATCCTGCAGCATTTGGTATACGACGGCGGCCCAGGGTGACCTCCTGTCCACCCACTCGGCCAAAGCAGTCGTGAATGAAGTTCCAGGAGGATGCGACTGATGCATCACCTGAAGGTAGTCATGGCCATGCCGGTGGGGATGAGGATGAGGATGAGGATGATGATGATGATGATGATGATGATGATGTTCAAACGATGTGAAAGTGCGATTCACAGAAAACCTGAGGAAATCTGAGGCTACAAAAGATGCCCATACGGTCCGAAACTGATGAATCACTCATGAACATCATGCCTGTGCCAAATGCGGTCACGTGACGTGTGATCTGTCCAGTGCCCATGCGCAACAATGCCTCTGGCCCTGGGGACAAATCGCCCAAGGTCTTGTTTCCAAGCGGGCGGTAGAAAGCCTGGCTGGCATGCGGCATGCATCTTTAGGCAGTCTTTGAGGTGGAAGATGTCGAGCTTTCAATTTGAATACGCTTTGCATGGACTGTAAATACTGCCAAATTGGTCCTTTTCAATGTGAGACTTTTTTCATAGACTGTCATCAAATTGCTCCACTTTGCCTTGGGGCACTGGCTCAAAGTTTCTAAGCCCCAAAGACTGCATGGTTCAACGAATAGTGTCCAGCTCTATCCTGCCGCACCTCAAACATCAGCCCAGAGATTCGAATGCCTGCGGCCTCATCAGCCACCTGCCGGGTCTGAACATGGAAACGTGGTGACTCCGGTGATCACCGGGAGACCCGAAAATGCCCACGATATGGAAAAACGAGGGTTCTAAACTCAAAAACGGCTGGATTTAAAGCAGTTGTACCATGTTGTACCATCATTTTTTTGGACAAACCTAGCCGAGTTCAGTCCCGGTTGGACAAAAAACACATGGGGATGGATGGAGATCCATTGTACCATTTTTTAAATGGTATAATGGTATAACATCCATTTACAAGTTATTTTGGTGTTCATCAGGGTACCAGGGTTTTCACACATATGTTCCTTTGGTGATCACTACTTGGATGGAAGGTCTTCGGATGATCTATTCCATGCCTGAGTATTGGTGCACACAGTGCTGATAGTTTAATATGTCTAGCTTGGGCCACCCTTGAATAACTGTGACTGCAAAAACGCAACAAGACCCTTTAACAAATACCACAAATGTTAGCGAAATCGGTCGAATAACTCACTTGTTTTGTTCTTCACACAGCATCGCAATTTGATAAAATTTGATCCTGTTGAAAACAGTTCTTTCAGACTCGCACCTGAACACACGGCATGTCAGTCTCTGGTGCCACCAGAGTCGCGAAACCAAGGCCCAAAAGCACCTGGAGGAATAACCGGACAAAGGGACTTAGAAAAAACAACGACTCATGCAATCGAATGAACTGATAAGCAGCACACAAGACCCTGCATGAATTCCGCACACAAAATGACGCAAAGATACGCAAAGGACACAGGAAAAAACACGATGATGGTGGCATCGAAAAAATGCAGGCTGCAGGCTGCCAAGCAAATGATATCCAAGATATTCCAAGATTATCCAAGTGGAATTGCACCAATCCCTATGAACCGATCCTCGCCCAAAGAATGTGTAATATTGTAGCCGTTGCATTGCAGCTGGCCTGTCCACAATGTTTCACCCTCAAAGTTTCCGAGAGTTGGTAGATGCCAGGGCAAAACACCTCGAATTTCGGGCATCTGAGATACATCTGAGATTGGGACTGGTGGCTAAAGTTGATTGGCTGCCACCTTTCAAAGATGTACCCGTAGAAATTTGGACAAAGCGACAAACCCGTTCAAAGCTTTCATCATTGTTCCATATTGTGCCCTGAATGGCCCGTGGTTTGAGCACGTTTGAACCTTGACTTGTGGGGATGGTGCCCATCAAACTGAAGAAGCGCAACATGCCCAGCGGCAATATCCTTGCCCTCTGCAAGCTTTCCGTTGATTTCAGCGGCTGTGTGCCTGTTCCCAATCTGATGGCCAAATGCAAATCCCACACCGGCTTGTTTAAAATTCTCTACAAACAGAGTCGACATGAATAATGAATAGAATGCATACTGCACAGGGTATATCATTAAATATAATGATTACATGACATATAATATCATATAATGCATACATATGTGAATCTGAGAACTGACATATATATATACGTATATATATATATAACATATGGAGATTATATATATATAATACTCGACTCATTTCATACATACTGCACATATTATATATACATATGTCATCATATTATGTACCACCATTGGCACCACCATCTGGGATCCACCTTGGCTGCGCCACAAAGACTCGGCTGAAGTCCCTGAGCTCCTCCTAACAGTGCTGGAGGCTGGGGATGATTTATGATTTCATCAACAAACAAACATCATCAAAAATGAAAAAACACGGAAAATATAGGAAACTCATGGAAAAAATAGACGTGATGAGACCCAAAGATCTTCAAACAAAGTTGAACCATTTCACATCAAACATGGCTTAAGAAGCGAATGAGAGTGATCTTGTTCATATTGACTCAATTTGTTCCGTTGCTTTTCCAAGACTTGTAGACGTTGCTGCGATCCGAAGATGGCAGTTTCCGCTGCCGGTTTCACCAAAGCTATGCCATACCGCCATGCCTCTGTCAAAGAGAAGTCCACTCCGCAGCGGGCATCTGCTACAGCGGGAATGGCCAAGCTGTACCGTCCATCCGGCCTTGGCTGCCAGTGCATTGCAGCAGCATTTCTATGTGAATCATATGAACATTGTATCAATCAAAATCAGCCAAAGAGCAAAAAGCAAAAAAAAGCAAAATCACTGCACATTTGTTCTCTATATAGAATTAAAACGCACCCGGTGTTCCGGATCTTTGCAGTTTTGAAGTTTATATACTTCTTTTACATTTTTACAACAGTTGCTACAAAAGGAAACCCACTCCATTGATGTCCAATAACTGCCGGAGCCTGTGGTAAGAACTCAAGAGAATCCAATAGCTTCTCAGGGCAAAGCTGCGAATGCGACAGCAAATACACAACTGCTTCATATCTTCTCATTGAAGCCATGGAACCTTTTCACGATGAAGGGCTTCTCTGCAACCACCTATGCGAACTGTGACATTTAGAATCATTTAGATACATTTCGCTGGCGGGCCCAAGGGCACTGGCTTGTCACACATTCCAATCTGCAATGTCATCGATGAAAGTTATTGAAAGTTCAGAAAGCCAGCTGCACTTTACAACATGTAACGGGGCAAACAAACATCACAAAAGGAAACACACAGTCTGATGGAATTCTGCATAATGCAGCTGTAAAGCACACACAAAATCAATCACTACAATTCACTACATATCACTACAATGTAGAACATGACTCCACCTGTTCAAGGCAAATGCGAATGTGTTCACGGCAAAGGCGAATGCTTCTGCTCAACTGTACAGTGCTGAAGCCACCATTAGAGGCTCCATGAACCTGAGAGCTTTAAAGGCCCTCTGCAACATGGAAGACTCAAAGTGCTACGTCAGCAAAATTGCATCAGGATCAGCATTCAGCGATCCCAAAATATCCCAAAAATCACATGCACTTGCGATGGACGATGGTGGGACCTGCCTCATCGTATTCTTCCTTGGAAATCCACATCTGTTGGAAGGTGGTGAGGGATGCGAGGATGGAACCACCGATCCAAACGCTGTACTTCCTTTCAGGTGGAGTAATCACCTTGATCCTCACAGTGGACGGTGCAAGAGCACTAAGCTCCTTGGTCATGCGCTCACCAATACCTGGCAACATGGTAGAACCACCTGAGAGCACAACGTTGGAGAAGAGGTCCCGACGAATATCAACATCACACTTCATGATTGACTGAAATGTGGTGTCATGGATTCCCATGGCCTCCTTCCCAAGCAAGCTTGGCTGGAAAAGAACTTCTGGGCAACGAAAGCGTTCAGTGTGCAAGGAGATGATGTTCCCGTCAGGGAGCTCATATGTTTTTCTACCCTCATCCTCTGTCATTGCGGTTTTCAACTCATTGTCGAAGTCAATGGCCACATAACACAACTTCTCTTTCACATCACGAACGATCTCGCGCTCAGCAGTGGTGGTAAAGGCGTAGCCACTCTCCATCAGGATCAGCATCAAGTACTCAGTAAGATCACGGCCAGCCAAGTCAAGCCGTTGAACTGCATGAGGCAATGCATATCCTTCGTAGATGGGAACGGTGTGGGAAACTCCATCGCCACTGTCCAAAACAATACCGGTGGTTCGGCCAGAGGAATAGAGCGAGAGGACCGCTTGGATGGAAACGTACATGGCAGGCACATTGAATGTCTCGAACATGATTTGAGTCATGCGTTCACGGTTGGCCTTGGGGTTCAGAGGTGCTTCTGTCAAAAGCACAGGGTGCTCCTCCGGTGAAACCCGCAGCTCATTGTAAAAGCAATGGGACCAAATCTTTTCCATGTCATCCCAGTTCGTGACAATTCCGTGCTCAATGGGATACTTCAAAGTCAGCACACCACGTCGACCCTGAGCATCGTCTCCGATGTATGTGTCCATGGTATCCGTGCCAATCATGATCGTGGGCATCTTTGGTCGCCCCACAATGGAGGGGAAAACCGACTTTTGCGCATCATCACCGGCAAAGCCAGCCTTGCACATGCCGCTGCCGTTGTCCACCACAAGTGCCACAACCTCATCGGCCATGTTTCAAAGGAGTCAGAAACAAATCTTGGACCGACACTGGATGAGGCAAAAATGCTTGAGCCACGCGCAAATGAAGCAAACATGTTCACGTGATTTTGGCAATTACGTGCGATGACATGAGGGCTGCGATGTTTTGCGAGGTTTGAAAGAAGTCATGGCGCATCCAACTGATCATAACTGATCCAACAGATTTCAAACGTCCCAGGATTGTCCCAGGTCCCAGGCACCTTCGTGGTAGCCACGTTGCTGTACACTGGCGCGACAGCGTGGCCTGGCTCAGAGTGAGGTGCGCCAGGGCAGCCGACAAAGACGAAGTTCCAGGCGCCTGGAAGCGTTGCACTGCCATGGATATCATGGATATATGCTGATCAGTTCGTTCCAATGATTCCAAACCTTCCTGAACATAAATTATATATCATAAATTCATATAAATTCATGGATTCTGTAGTAAGTCATATATATCATATATCAGCCTCAATAACCTGTCAACCAAGAAGTCCCATCAAAGTGAGTTTCAATCTGAGTTCTAAGTGTCTCATCCAAGTTCATGCCGCAGATGCAAGTTGTGCATCTCTGCCTTTCTGCCAGGCTTTAGCAACGCAGTTCCTGGCAAAGAATTGTTGCTGCGAGCCCAAGTTCACGCAGCCGTTCACCTGGCATCCGGTCACGTCGCTCGGATGATGGGACTGAGATGGACTGAGAGAAGGTTGAACCATGTTGAACCCTTTCAAACTGAAACGCAGTGTGTAATCCAGGTACTGTAGATACACTGTAGATGATGTTCCATGGGTAATTTATGGCCAAATGACCTAACACTGCGACATCCTTGTGCAGACCAGCCAGCAGGAGAGCGGATGAGTTACTGAACCCTTTCCCCCGGTCCCTCACCTGCACATTAGCCATGTAGCCACCACCTATGAAGGACCCAGCTAGATTTCAAAAGCTGTGGGGGCATTCATGAAGTGGTTGATTAGTCCAATGAAGCTGCAGCTAACAAGCAACCTGTTCAAGTGTGCCTTCCTGAGACTTTCTCACAGACTCTTTCGTGCATCATTTTAATTACCAGAGAAGGTGTGAAGAACAATTGTTAGGTGGCCCATCTGCTTCTACCTCTACCATGTAAACGAAAAGAACACTAAAAGACCTGCTATATTATGTGTAGTTGTCACTGCCGAGCGCCACAACATAACAGAAAAGTCAAACAAATCTTGACCGCAACATACCGCAACAGATTTTAACAAGGCAGCGTCCGGTCGGGTATGAGCTTATACTGAACTTTCAGAAAACGAGTTCTTCACTAAGAACCATTGAGATTTCCAATATGCTGTTCGCATTCTGAGTCTGAAGTCCATCCATCGATCAGTTTGACACCGAGGCACTTGCGAAATCACCAATTGGGTCAGTGTAGCCCAATTGTACCCAGCCATCGTAGTCCAAAGCTACGCCCTGCTTTGGATACCTCCAACGTGAGCGTTTCTGCGACTTAGCAGCCCCTAAGCGACGTATATCGCAACGCCAAACTCTGACTGGATGTAGGAGGAATCAAAGGCAGCTCATGGCAGCTCTATACCATCGTTAGAGTCCGTTAGAGTATGAACTAGCTCTTGGCATTCCATGCCTTTGTTATTTGTTCAGAAACCTGGAACAACACCAAGGAATTCTGCTCGTTTCTTCTCCACATTCTCGGATCGCCTGGCGTCTTTGGAACTAACACCTGCTGGCGGCAAGCGCAGATACCACAGGAAGAGGTTATGGTCCACCACCGCTCGTCGCAAAGGTGCTGCCTGTGACACGGCCCAAAGCATTCCTCCTTCACCGTCCAGAGAATAGGTGGGATGGCCACCTGGTCTGTGAAAACCATGGCTTGATGAAATCCAAGGAAACCTCTGAGAAATGGCAGCCAGATCCATGAAATATACATATGATATAAATATATATAAATCATATTAATGTGGTAAACCCAACAATACCCCATCTCCAAAATCACCATAGAATGAGTGGGATTCCATCCCCAAATGCTAGGTTTATGGCATTGGGTAACCAACATGTAACATGACATCACATTATATATGATATGATCAAAGCTGATTTAAGAACCTGAACCTGGAGGCAGCGCCTGTGTGTAAATTCTCTGCTGAGCGCCAAAAGTTTTGCAACGAGCCCAGCTCTGGATGTGGTGATTCATTGGTTGATGTGAGGCTGCGCACCTGGGATGCAGGGACGACGAGTTTCCTCGTCCCTGAAAGTCACCAAAACATGAACACCTTCATGGGATCAAACGCGCTTCACAAATCAACTACCCCTACGTGCGATGTACTAGTAATCTAAGGATGAAACATGATCAATATGATCAATCCACCACTGTTTCGTTGAAAAAACAAATGAAAGTAAGGCAAATACTTCCGTATGCCTGCCGAGCACCTTGGTATCACTGGGATGACGCCCCAAACCATAGACAGAAGTGTAGTATCCCACGCGGACATCCACCTGAAGCCCATTGGAGAGTTGTCGGCAAAAACTGATTCAACAAACCAACCCATCCGGCCTCGTGAGGTGTCGCCGACGGTTCGAAAAGGATGGCATAGCGACTCTTGGAAAACTGACCTTTGTCCAATGACTTCATCTCCTCGAAAAACTTTGATCCAAGCGGAATCTATAGCTTCACCGTCCAAGAAGCATCGCTGCACAGATTGAATTATCCCTGGTTTCGCAAAGTTTGCAACAAGGTCTGTCTTGTATCTGCCTGTATTCAATTCTATTCATATATTAACCATTTTCACTTCTTCGAGGCTGCCAGTGTCTGCATTCTAACGTGGCTTTACTTTTCTCTGCATTGAGACCAAATGACTCCTCATAGATCTGGTCCACCACCGCATAGTCAGCGCCCTGAGAAAGTACCTTTACCTTGGATTTAGGGACCCCCCTACTGAGTTGACATGCTCTTTGATGAGTTTGGTGACAAGCAATTTCAGTCAACATGACTTCGAATGCAAATCATGATGATCATGTTGGAGATTTCTGTTGAGTTCAAAGAGTTGACACAGTAGCTACTGCGCTTGTCAACCACTACGCTTGTCAGAGAATATGGATAAAGAATGATAAAGACATAGAGCATCATACAGCCTTGTCCTTGAGGATCCAAAACCAAGCCACGGTTTCTGGCCATCTGGGTGGATTCGGTTCGATAGTCCCGGTCAAGGTGCTATTAGTGCTACCTGTCACTGAGTCAACTGGGGCATGGCAGGATAATTTTTTCTCAAATTAAAAAATGTCAGAGGAGGATGCTTCTGGATTTCGGTGCATTGAGATATATTGAGATTCGTCAGACTGATCTTAGATCTTGACAAACTCCCAAGAAATGGGCAGTAGCTGGATATGAAAGGACACACTGAGGTCAACCTTTAGAGCTCCCTCCTAATATGTGCAGTTGGGCAGTTGGCCCCTCAAATCATCCCATATCCCACAGGCGGCGCCGTGCCTGAGACTGGATAAGGACTGATGGAAGTCAGCAGCTTTCCACGAATTATATCGGTGCCTATTTCACTGTCCTCTCAGCCGGGAGTGATTGCCATATCTCACTGGGTTGTGCAGCCTCCTGTTGTAAACTGCAGTCGAACTTCTGCAGAAGTTCTGCACTTCTGATGCAAACAGCAACTTATGGATTCCCTGTTTGTATATATAGTTATAGTATATTATATATTCTTTTCAACTAATTATAATTGAATCAATATAGTCATCCTGGAGTAGATAGAATATGGAACTTCAATATATCATCATGCTTTAAAATAAAAATCCCATATTCTATCTAAATCTACTTCAGGATGATATAAATACATACATCATATCACTAATTCTCAATATATACTCTATAGCCTGAAGAAAATGCACGTCCTTCCCTGGTTACACAGTGATATATGCTACATTGGTATACCTGGATAAAATTGCATCAATTAAGTAATTATAGTCAAATGAGGTATCCAGCCAGCAAAAGCAGTCCTCACAAATAAAGAGCTTTGGAAATTCCTGCATGACTTTCTGCTGGGCAGCCTGACACTTTGACTGACACATTTCATTCTATCAAAACATGTGTCGTGGGACAGCACAAATCTCAAAGAATCTCAAAGACTCAAGGATATGAATTCAATACTCTGGCTCCATAAAATGCTAACTGCTGGTTTCCCTATAGATTCAGCGTCAAAAAACTCATCACAAAGCGGGTTGCTTAGGCTTGATTCGAATAACGTGCAACACCTGACCTAAACATCTACAGCGAGTCCATCTGTGGACATTGTGTACATTTATACCATAAATCGTAATCCTGAACTTGAAATCGATGGGCAGCAGAAACATTTCGCCTCCATGGTCATCTGCTGATGCTCTACCAGCCAGTTTGCACGATCTTCAGCTCTGATTCCGTCACAAAGTGTCCTCATGAACAAGACTGTGATGATTTTGATGCTGGATTCGACTCTATCGTCATGAGATTGCCCCCAACTGGTCTCCGACCAAAGTTGAACTCGGGGTTCTCAGCATCAGAATTATTCTTGACTGGCTTGACTGCCCTGCAAGTCAGAACTCATGTGAACACCAGCCGACACCATGACACACCATGACACACCATGACCAGCCCAAGGTATCTCTGTGTTGCTTTGAGACGGCAAAATGACCTCGAGCTGATTGGGCCAAGCATCTGCCCAGCCCAGCGCTGGGACAAGTTGAACACTGCTGGAAACTCTTGCATGACCTGTGCCAGAACGCATGAGAGACATTAGATTGGTTGTCTATTTGCCCAAACAAGGACATCTGAAGAACAACACACCATCTCAAACTCAACGAGTCAAACTGGCTGCTGGCCACTGCTGGCCACTGCTGGCCACTGCTGGCCACTGCTGGCCACTGCTGGCCACTGTGCAATTTGTCTCTTCCAATGACCATGTCATACCACGCCATGCCGCCTGTCGTTGTGCTTCCTCGCAGCTTCGGCCTTGCCCCATCAACCATTCAGCGCGCTGCGAAGCCAACAGCCCGTCGCACACGGCATCCGGCTGCCAGGTCATCGCCAATTTTGGGACGCGAAAAAAACACGATCTGAGATGAGTTGTGAAAGATTCCGTGACATGGCAGCTCCAAACTGGATAATCTGAGATAATCATAGATAATCATAGATAATCTGGATATATCTTACATCTTGAAGAGGTTTCGCACTGAAAGAAATGCAACGCCACAATTCAACATGTTAAAATTTCAGGAATTTGGCAAGGCAACGGAGTGCCACTACAGGTTAAATTCAAAATGATGTCACAGCTCTTGTGTCGCCTCAGTCATGTCCTTCACCCATCGTAATATATTGTAAATAGATCCACTGGCTTGGAGCAGCCAAATAAAACTGCGGACTTCTATCCCCATCAAGGCGGCAAATAAAATCAACATCATGCAGAATTGTGAAGTATCAAACACATGTTATCCTGACTGAACCGAAGATATTCTTGTCAGTTTCAGGCCAGCGAGCGGACAAACATGAAGGAGTTGCACACATGAAGGGATCTGAAAGAATCCAGGATGGGTAGTGTTCGTCATGGAACCATGTCGAATCCAACCCTGATAGCGAATAACCAGCTGTCTAGCCACGACTGAGGCTCCCACATTAGGCAATCCTGCGGGCAACACAAAAGCTGTCAGTGGAAGACTGCGAACTCTTCCTGATGTTTGGCCGTCTGCTTTAAAAAAAACGATGATATTTAAACACCACGTTCTGAAATTGCTTAATTTGAACCCGTACAAGAGGTAAACAAAGCGTTCATGGTTCTTTTTGAATATCCAGAATATTGGGAATGATTCCAAGGTTTCATACACTGATTCTTCACTGCCACGTTATCGTCCAAAATTGTGAACCATATACATATGTATACATATATGTCACATGTGCACAAACGTCTCTGCCATCTTTTTGGACGCCGTGATCTCGCCAAATCTGGCTCGCTAAAATCAAAGTAAAGCCCTGCATTTTGCAGGACCTTACAGTGAACAAATATTTAAATTCTCCGGCTTCGGCTATCCTGCCCCTTTGCTTCCGTTGGAAAGCATTGTCCGGTCTTTCCTTGCCTTCAAAGTAACCAGTGACACCTTCTCTCCACCACCATTCATCATTCACATCATTCACATCATGAATTGCACCAAGTCATTCTCAGGCTTTGCCTGCAATTGTTGCGATCCGTCTACAGGTTTTGCAGTTTGTCTTGAATCCTGCTACTGTCTCCTCCATGTCTGGCGCTGCCCCATGTCACAACACCACCATCAGCAAGCAAAGCAGCGAAGGCATCATGATTTGATTGAATCTGCTGCACGTGCTGCAGACGCTCCTGCACTCTGCTGCTATTGCCTGTGAGGAACGGACATAGCACAGCAACAGACGTGGGCATGTAATTGCGGCATATTGCGGCTTAGTTTTAAACTCATACTATTCAAAGCTGCCTGCCATCATCAATAGTCCATATAGTAGTCCTTCAACAAAGTCAACATATTGAGAGACCAAAACAGTGTACAAATTCCTGTGACTGACAAGATGCCGCCATAAAAAGCATGCCCCCAGGTGACGACAGAACCATCTTCAAGAAGGGCTCCAAATGCGTGATTTGTGGACTGAATGTCTGAGACTCTCTTCAGTTGTGATTGGACACTGCTGCTGTCCCCACCATATTCTGGCGTGCCCCAGCAAACCACAGATCCATCGCTTCGGATTGCAGCAAATGCTCTTTCAGTTGACTGGATTTTCGTAACATCTCCTGAGGTGGAGACAAATTCAAAGACTTGTCATGTCAAATTTAAATCATTCTAAATCAACCAGCCCCTAGAAAAACAATATATAGAAGGACTGTAGAGCATTGTAGAGCCAACTTCCTTCCAAGATCTTCCAAGCATCTCAATTGATCCTGTACTTCACGATCTTCAGTTACGCAACAACATCTCATCACCAGGAATAGGGATGAAGCCACTCGCAGTCGCGGCCTAGGCACATGTGCCACAAAGGGGCACATGTGCCTAGGCCGCGACTGCGAGTGGCTTCATCCCTATTCCTGGTGATGAGATGTTGTTGCTGTCTCCACCACAGGAGGAATTGCCCCAGGTCACCACTGTGCCGTCAGAATGGATTGATGCAAATGCGCCCGAGGTTGACTGGAGCTGCTTCACGTTTATTAGCTGTTCTTGGACCCACTGGCTATCACCTCCAAAGCGTCTGTCACCCCAAGAGACCACAGAACCATCGGCCATGATTGCAGCGAAGGCATTGCCTTAAAAAATCAACATGATCAAAAGAAGCAGCCACTTTCAGGCTTGAAATGAGATCAAATCGATTCAAATCGTTTTTGTGACGCATAACAACAACAACCAAGTTTTCTTACTAGAGAATCCCACAACTCCGTCCTTAAACATTGCAAGGTCGTGGCCAAAGTCGTTCGATTTAAATGTGCTTCACAACATCCAAGCGCAAACATATCATGTTGATTGGCTTTCTTAGCGCATGAGAAAACATGAAATCATCCATGCGGGCCAAGTTGCTGGTTGATTGGATCTGCTCCACTTGAATCAAATGTTCTTGAATTGCGCTTGAGTCGCCACCATATATTCGATAACCCCACGTAACAACCGTGCCATCGCATTTAATTTAATTGCAGCAAAAGCCCCTGACGACGATTGAATGGCACGGATGGACTTCAAATGGTGCTCCACACGACTGCAATTCCCTGGCAATGGAAAGCAAATTGCAAGTTGTTGTAACCGTTTGTTTTGTTAGATCCCCGAGTCAATGTGGATTGTTGGTACCACTTCAGACCACTTCCAGATTTGACTGGGAAATGATTACTGCACTGAACTCAGGTCTCAATGGGTCTTGAATTGAATCGCTGAAAACAACAACCCTGCGACATGAATCGCACGAAACATCTACCGGCATCTCGCACTTTGTGTCCAATCAAACCTCCCAGGTCTGGAGCGCCCCATGCAACCACCGTTCCATTGCCCAGTAAGGCAGCAAACGCTCCGCTGGTGGACTGGATCTCCTGCACGTCGACCAACTCATCCTGAACTTTCCCTGAGTTTTGGATGTTTTGGGCTAAAAGCTCGTCCCAAGGGACTACGTAGACTACAAGATGTTGTGTCTAGGAATATCGAAACTGTGACATCGGAATCATGTGGAATCATCGAATATATATAATATATGATATATACATATATATATTTATATATAAGCAAGGTCTTCACTATTGAAGCCTATTGAAGCTGTATCCAGCAACATCAAGATGAAGCCACAATTCTTGCAGTACTATTGGCGACTATAATGGTGAACAAAATTCCCAAGCTGGTTTTCTCATCCAAGCCACTGGCATCACCTCCAAACTTGGGATCTCCCCAAGCTACCACTGTGGCATCCGCTGTAAGAGCTGCGAAGGCGGCATCTGTGGCTTGAATCTTTCGCACTTGGCTGCGCTGGCTGCGCTGTAGCGCTTCCACTGAAGTGATGTCACCACCATAGGCCGGATCACCCCAAGTTATCACCTGCAGGGAGGGAGATGGCTTCAAACATGTACAGTATACTGTAGCCAAGGCAAGGAACATCAAGGAACCATTCCGATGAAAACATTTGGTACATGTTTGAAGTTCACTGCTGTTCCTGAAGCTTGAATGTGGGGAAACAAACAAAAACCATGACAAAGGTTGCGCTTGGCACCATGAAGGCATCTAAGTATGACTCACTCAGTGGACCTTCACTTCTAATGGACATAATGAGTTGGTTCAGATCAACTTCACGTAGCTGAAGTGAATGCAAGTACTTTACTGTTTCTCTGGCTTGAGATAATGTCTGTATACCTTACAAAATAATGTGGTACTGTATCTAATGAGGAACCTACTCGTCCCGCCTTTCCATCTTCAAGAACTGCCGCAAATGCGCGAGTTGTTGTCTGAATCTGATCAACATTTTTGAGGAGATGAGCGATCTGTGCGTCACTCGCACTGGAAGACTCGCCCCAGGAGACACAAGCGCCATTGCCTCAAATAAACAATCTCTGTGTGTGCCATTGTGATACAAACACATTCTACAACCTTCGGCATCATGAACTATTTATTTTAGGACTACAATTTGGAAACCAAAATCAACTGACAACATCTGACAACGTGACAAATACATACAAATACACAGATTAGTGGCTCAAGAACAAGGCGAAGCCTTGATGGTGTCGACCTGAAACCAGGGAAGCTGGACGTGCAATGGCCAACACAGAATCTCCGTCATTCAGCACGTCTCCAAGCAAGGAGTTCGGATGTAGGCACTCGCCACCCAAAGTGAGTCTCAGAAAGCCTCGCATTTCAAACATGTTCAGATAATGAGAGATTTCAATATTTGTGAATCAACACATAATTTGGACACCAATGGCGTAATTAGTTTGGAGAGGGTGCAAAAAGAAACTAATTCAATCAATGAAATTCATTTGTTTGATCATTGAATAGAACTTCCATGGACTTGGGCTGTTCCAGACTTCCCAAAGTCATGTGACTCAGTCACTCTCACCAGTTTGTCAAATCAATGCAAGCCATGAAGCCCTCTGAAACTACCTTGAGCTAAATGGAAACTGTTCTGCCCCAGATATCACAAACTCTTCGGCAACATTCTTATTCTTATATATTCTTATCCTCTACAATGTGAAAGAAACATGCTGATGCTGAACCACATCAACAAATAGGTCCTCAGCTAAGCAGGACAAAGGGCCTAGTTTCAGGTCCTTCTGAGCAGCTTCCTGCAGGTCTCTGACGTGTGCTTCCGCAGAGATGGACACCGAAGTACTCCGTCCGCTTGGCACCACGACATCAATCCGCATGGTGTCCATTCAAACTCCATCGACATCCGCAAAATCTGTTGGGGTGGCTATCAAACAACTAATGAATTAAAATGTTTGACCTCTGTGCTGATCAGTGTGCTAAGCCAGTCTGAGCTTCCATGAGTCCTTCATGATATCTTCCAGGGCCCAAGCACAAAGCTACGGAATCAAACGTGGATTGCGTTAGCAAGTAGAATGACTGCATCAGTGAGCATACAAACATTCACCAAAAAAATAAGGGTTGGTGGATTGCCCCAACAAAAAGAAACGTTTGAATCCTGAAAGTGCACATCTCAAGCAACCTTGCTGGGCTCGTTTCTATCACTTCAGCTGTGACTGTGTGCAACAATGAGGTCATTAGTGCAACAGGGCAGAAGTCCCCTCCGCGGGGCTCCTGCAGCCCAACTCTGCAACGATTCACCTGCGGCAGGGCTGACTGGAAGTCTGGTGTTGGAAGTCGGGCTTCAGCGGGCAACTCTGCTGCATCAGCAAAACAACCTGACAGTTCCAACCTTTGTATATATCATGGCTAGCTGAAGTTAAATTTTCAATTCAATATATATTTAGATACCGTTTACTAATTTTGAAAGCCACGTTTTCCTCGTCACAAGTACTTGCACACATTCCCGCCTTCCCCCGCAACAATTTTCTTCACCTGCAGCCAAGCGATGGTGTTTCAATTCAGCAAAGAATGGCATCTGCTACTATGTACAAGTGCCCAAAGAGTTTACATCAAGCTTTAATTTGTTCATTCATGAGGCCCATCAACTTTGAAGGTATTAAACAGAACTAGAAGCACAACAGGCTATAATCCGTATATATATATAAATACACTCTATACATCTCTATACCATTAGTGAACACTTGTAGGCATTACTCTTGAAATCAGAAAACAGGACCAATTTTCATCCGCCCCTCCGACCCCTCAACCCGCTCCTCCTCAGTGCTGACCACACCTGCAGGTGACTATGTGAACTTCACACCACCAAAAAAATGGTGATCACAATATAATATATACCATATATTCTAAAACATGAGGTAAGCATCACAATAATATAATATTATACACAGACCCCGAGGTTTGAAACTTACCCAAACCCAGAATAGCGTAAATATCAAGGAATGCTGTACGACGTCAAACAACGGGAAGGATTTTATGTTCAATATTGTTGCTAGGGTTTTAACCAGAACGTTGCTTCTACAGATATCATTTATCATATAACCAGAACATGTTGCTTCTACACATCATATGGAATTAACCATACAGTCATGAGGGTTTCTTATAGGGTTTCAAGAAGATATCAAATTCCCCCGCCCCCATGGAACAATTAATCATACAATCATTAGGGTCTCTTTCACGGTTTCATGAAGAAAAAAATAAAAATTCTCAGCCCAATGGAACAATTAACAAGTACAATCATTAGGGTTTCTTTTATTGTTTTAAGAAGATATCAAAATCCCCCAACCCCATGGAACAATTAACCATACAATCATTAGGGTTTCTTATAGGGTTTCAAGAAGATATCAACATCATCATCGTTGTCGTCGTCGTCGTCATCATCATCATCACCATCATCATCATCATCGTCATCGTCATCGTCATCTTGGCTTGCCCAGACGCTCGTTGTGAGTCCGGGCAAACCTCAGGGTCTTGCCGTAATATTATATTACATCATTGTATCTTATCATAAGAATTGTGAGGTTGCCGGAAACACTTTAGTTAGTTTTTGAGCCTTGACTACACACGAAACTCCAGAAAAACTACCATCAGCCCACCTTCGCTAAGCAAATCTTGGAGAATCCGCTGCTTAGCACGGGCCTTTGCCGGAGCCCGTTGAGCATAATTGAATTGCCTCTTTCTTTGATGCATCTATATCTACTCTGCCCTTTCATCTGTATGTGAGTATTCATGGGACAGTGCCTCAGCTGTTGAGGTATGTTGGCAGGCCATTAATTTGCTTGGTGGCAGTTTGATGGCTCTAGAACAGTCATGTCCTCCGTTGATATCTTTGGGTCCATTGGCACTGCGGCTACAACAACCAACCAACCAACAACCAACAACCAACAACCAACAACCAACAACCAAACCAAACCAAACCAAACCAAACCAAACCAAACCAAACCAAACCAAACCAAACCAAACAAACAAAACAACAACAAACAACCAACAACAACCAAAGACAAACAAGCAACAACCAACAACAAACAACCAACAACAACCAACCAACCAACAAACAACCAACAACCAACAACAAACAATAATAAACAGCAAACAACAAACAACAACAAAAACAATCAACAAACAACGAACAACAACCAACAAATAACAACCAACAACACACAACAACAAACACCAACCAACCAACCAACCAACCAAACAAACCGACCGAAGGAACGAACAAACAAACGATCAAACGAACAAACGAACAAACAAACAAACAAACAAACAACAACAACAACAAATAACAAACACACAACAACAACAAACACCAACCAACCAACCAACCAACCGACCGAACGAACAAACAAACAAACAAACAAAAAACAAACAAACAAACAAACAAGCAAGCAAGCAAGCAAGCAAGCAAGCAAACAAACAAACAAACAAACAAACAAACAGCAACAAACAACAACAAACAGAAAAAAAAACAACAAACACCAACTAACCAACCAATCAACCAACCAACAAACAACCAAACAACGAACAACAACCAACAAATAACAACCAACAACACACAACAACAAACACCAACCAACCAACCAACCAACCAAACAAACAAACAAACAAACAAACAACAGCAACCAACAAACAACGAACAAACAGCAACCAACAACCAACAACACACAACAACAGACACCAACCAACAACCAACAACAAACAACCAACAACCAACAACGAACAACGAACAACCACAACCACAGCAACAACCACCACCACCACCAGCAACAACAACAACAACCAACAAACAACAACCAACAACAACAACAACAAGAACACCAAGAACAACAAGAACAACAAGAACACGAAGGACATCAATAACACAAAGAAACAACTACAAATTAAATGAAAATGACAAGAAGAACAATAATAATAAAAAACAACAAGAACAACAATGATAACAAGAATAATAACAACCACAACAAGAAGAACAACATCAGCAACAACAGCAGCAGCAACAACAACAGCAACAAGAACAACGACAGCAGCAGCAGCAGCAACAACAACAACAACAACAACAACAAAGACTACCAAAAAACACAAAGATCAACCAACAGCAACTATGATCAACCAAAATCATGCAAAATCAACAAAGATCAACCATAATCAACCCAACTCAGCAAAAATCAACTGCACCCAAATCAACAACTATCAACCAAGAACCAACATCCTCCCAAATCCAGAAAGATTAGCAATTTGATTCACATAATAGTTAGTTAACTGGATGAGTCCGCCAGGCACCTCCTGCATCAGTTCTTCAAGTTGTAGGGCCGCTGCCTGCGATCCAACAAGGTGGAGACACTTCAATAACTCGAGTAACTGGATGGAGACATCGAGTTATTTTGATCATTTTGCTGGGAAACAACTCGATGTCTTGAGAAACAGAAACGTCCACAGCTCTCTCCAAAGCCTGTCGCTCATCTCGAATCTCTTCAAGCAATGCCTAGCTTGTGAAAGTAGAGCGCAGGTGGACTCGTTAATGTGGAGTCGGAACATGGAAAGCACGCGAAACTCCAAAACAGAAGATTCAACTCTTTGCTTAACACAGTACCTATAATGTATCATAGTGTATTACCCATAGGATCCATGTATGCTATATATGATAACATTTACCATCAATATACCCCAAATGTTAGCATATATAATTACCATACATGGATCCTATGGGTTATATAGCTGGTTTATGCTGGTTTGAATAGGTCAGCCAGCGTCTTTTTGGTTTCTGCGCACCTGATGACGATCCGAAGAGGTGGTTGCTGTCTTCTGTGCCTGTCACAGACAGCCCGTTTTACATGGCGGCTGGAGGTCTCCTACAATGGGGAAATCCCCAAGCTCGCTGGATGGTTTATTTCATGGAAAATCCTACGGAAAATCCTATTGAAATGGATGATGACTGGAGGTACATGGAGGTACCCCCATGACTTAGGAAACCACCATAGGCTTGGAATAAAGGAAAGCGATCCCAATCTTAAGCCAATCAGACCCATATTCCAAGATCGCCAATATCCACTGTTTTGAGCATCAAAGACCTTCAGGGTGTATACATGGCGTATCCTTCTGCAATAATTGTGCTAGGAAAGGCACACAAAAAGTGGTTCGAAGGGCATGGTTCGGAAGACTTGTGCTTTTTGGGTCCTAGCGGCTGATAAAAGTGGCAAACAAGTGTTTAACTAGCAGGCTGCTTATGATATCTTATGATCTAGATTGATCAGCGCTACATGTACGTATATTTTCGAAGGGTTGCGAGTTCCTTTTCATTGAACACAATCTCAATCTTTCACTCATCCAACAAACCGACGGAGGATGAAGTCCGGCCCATCGCCTCTATCAGCTCTTCCTTCAAAAGACCTGAGGTGTCTTTGCTTGAAGAACTGGGGAGAAACTTTCTGGCTAGACATGGCACACATCCAAAAGGTTGGCTTGAGATTTAGCAAAGCAAATCTGCAAACTACCTGAAATATGTGGAAAGTGTGGCCGAACGCTCCTTTAGCGTAGTGCAGCGAATTGACAAGCGAAGGCTTAAGTTGCTGGCTAGTGCTTCGCTCGGCTTGTTCCTCTAGCTCCCTGCAATCATTGGCAGAGGCAGGCAAAGCCCCTTCAAATACAGGAGAGCGCCACCACTCAAAGCGGAATGCAACATTCTTTGCAAAAGCATGCAAAAGCACATAAAACCTCACCGAGTTGATTCAATTTGCGACACAACTATTGCATATATATATATATATATTACACTATTATTACACATAATATATAATTAGTATTATATTAAATTATATACTCTGCTAATGATTAGCTAATGCATCTGGAAATACCTTGAAACCTCTGGTTGGCGCGGTGAGTTGCAGCTGGAAATCGGAAAATATTCCAGCTAAGGTGTAGAAGCTATGCGAACGTGGTCCTTTCCGAGGATTACATGTAGGGTATTGTGTTGCTTCTGTTCCCTTTCCATGTCTACCTTTTGTTGTGCATGAATACACTAATAATATTAGCATTAAGAAAAGTATTCAAAATGATTCAAAATGAGGTAAAGCATCGCAGGAAACAAACCTCCCAATGCTGAGGCCCCAGACCTCTGAGTCTGGAGGGATTCCTCCTGTGGCTCAACATGGCTCAACGACTTGTGGGGCATTTCCATACATTTTCGCTCTGCTATCCCCTGATCCTCTCTACTACAGTACATCTCACCATCTGAGTGACATAACCATTTTGGAACCCCTGCCAACCAACTCAGTGGCTGGTGATGGCCTTGAACAAACCCTGGTGATAGCCTTGAACAAACCCTGGTGATAGCTGGTGCAAATTTGAACTTCTGGTGTCCTGATTTGAGGCATGACTCTGCCATCGCGCCAGTAGAGTTTCATGCTCCTGACATCCGGCAGCATCAGCTAGACATGTGCTCTGTGAGGGAGTTTCAGACTTCAAACATGTTCAAAAAGGACAGGAGAAGGGCAGCATCTTCCCCCTTCAGTCGAATTCTGCCCAACTATTCAGCCTACCTTTTTTTCCATCTCCCATCAGATCCCCTACTTGCCTCTCCAGCATCAAATTGGAAGGGATTGCTGTTGGATTGCACACGGAGGGCACAACCCTGGCCTCCTTGTGATGGTTCAGCTCGTTACACTGCTGCCGCACCTGGTCCACAAGGATCTAACTATGGTGGTTGGAAAATAAACATCACGAAGCAGGAAATATCCAACAACAAAAGGTACAATGAATTTACTGTACGGAAGTGCTGCATTGAAGGTATGGAAACCTCTGGAAACGCCTTGCATTGAAAATCAACTGACAGCAATGCATGCAAATATACTACTGCAATTGTTGTTGATCCAATAAGAATCAGGAAGGTACTGTAGCAACCCAGACCACAGCCCCGCCTGGGAGGCATCGGCGCTGAGATCTGCCAACTCTTTCAACAAGGCCTGCGCTCGTCTGCTTTTGGCACAAGATTTTCAAGTCATCACAATGTTCTGCTTATGAAAACCATTACCCAAACATGGGATAACATGGGTGCATGAATAATATCTCTGTTTTCAGTAGTTGAGCTTCAAGGATGGCCAAGGCATGTACCTTACATGCTACAGCACTTCAAGACATCCAATGATGTTTCCCCGCCACTATGCCCCCCAAAAAAGGATGTGGTATCAAAAAGAACTTTAGACAAAATGTCCCCTGAAGAGCTTCATTCCCGGCGACATTGTCTTTCGGATCCCAATGTCACAGAACTGCCATTACACATGATTGTGTACCATACGCGTGATCCAGTACGGTGTATAGGATTAAGGACTATCTCACAGGATTCTCTAATAATACCAGGAAACATACCTAGAACTATCCCAAGAATTAATCATGCATAGGGTGTGTCCCAAAAAGTGACGCTAGTATCCAAATCACCATCCCGCAAATATCCCCAACATTCCCAACAACTGTCTTACAATTCAAACCATACTTATCTCGAAAGTGCTCTCAATCATTCTCCCAACCATTTGCGTCGACAACTACAGACAAACGACAAACTCAAGCCTAACTCATGCCTGGGTCAAAACTTGCTAGTAAATCACCATGGAATCGCTGTTTCAAGAAACTCATGCCTAAGTCATGCCCAAATCTTAAAACACCATGGAATCGCGTATGTATAAGAAGAATGTTTCCACACTTGGGAAAATCAAATGTTCGCAAAAATCCGTCTACAGTTGCATTCTACCGTTCATGTTTCTGGGGTTGAGAAATACTTGCCGCTTCGGTCCGCTGACTTTTTTCGCTTTGCTGACTCTTCTCGCTTTGCTGCTCTCGGTCCATCAGTGGCTTCGCTCTGCCATCCGTGATTCACAACAACCAACCTCTCCTATAAGTTTCCTATTTTTGAAACCACGACGTGCCGAACGACGTCCGAACGACGTAGCAAACGACGTCAAAAAATAACAAGAAAGGCTCTCTGCCCACCCGCCTGCGGAACCACATAAGAAACTAAAACCGACACGAAGACACAACAATGACCCTTCTCACCTCCATCTCAAGCAACACGCTGAAGTGCCACAATGCCGCGTTGAGCACACAGTGAAAAGTGAAAATGGCTGCCGCAGCACACTGGAAAGAAAAAGATAGAAACACCAACTCATCGCTACACTCACATCCAGTTTGACTTGGTACGGAAAAGGTTACTCTTGATGCTAAACACAACCTAAACGCAAGATTTATTAACAATATGGAAAAGGTACTCTTGATGCTAAACACAACCTAAACGCAAGATTTATTAACAATATGGAAAAGGTATCCTTGATGCTAAACACAACCTAAACGCAAGATTTATTAACAAAAACTATTCCAAAGACCAAATCCAACAAAACATTGCAATTCCTATGCGTTTTACTAAAAAGGCACGACTTTTCAAATCAAGTGCTCCCCAGCTATTTACGATGATTTCCAAATTTTAGGCACGACTTTAGCATTCCACTGTAATCATCACTGTGTGTTTGGGTTGACAGCCAAAAATCTTAGGTCATACTAATTATGATACACATCACATACAACATACAACAAATTTAGGGTACTGTACAGATATTATATACAACTATGTTTTTGGCAAGAGTTATTAATTATAAATCACTATTAAGATGGGTTTTGGTGATTATAATACGGTAACTGTATATTCATAATATAAATTATCCAACATTACAACATCTTTTTGTTCATCCCAAAGCCCATTCATCCTCTTGCTTCATCTTTTCCGTCGCTGCGGTGCGACCGCGCCTCCCGCTCCTCGCTGGCGATGAGCTGTTGCTGCGCGAACTCCTCGTGAAGCTCCGCATAGGCGACCTGGGTGGGAAATGCCATGGAGTTGTTGATAGAACTGATGGATTCTCTGATAAATCATGAAAAATAATGAAAAATATATACGATAAATATCGATAAATACTGATTGTGTGGAAACATTCTGGGAAGCATTGTGGAACCATGAGATTCATATCATTTCGTATCCAATTTCATTCCGTTTCATGCCATTTCATGAACCATTTGCCCGCGCCTCTTGACCATGGAGTTCTTCTTCGAGCCTTGGTGAGCTGTAGGAGAAGCAACAGCTACTGCCCCACTGGACATCCCATAGCTGGACATGGGGGTCCCTGCTCTGCCACAGATTGTTCCAGCGCTTCACGTTGCGCAGAGTTTTCCTGACAAGGCATAGTTATGTCACGGGAGATACACAATTGGCATCATTTTCACGCAGAAACGCCTCATGGCCACATTCAACAGCTATTCTTTATCTTTTGAAACACAGGCACGCGAATACAAGAACCAGGGAAGCAAAAGTGACAGCCCAAATCTCCTCAATTTCTGCGGAATGCTTCTGCTCGGCCTCCAACAGGCTCAAAAAATGATGTGTTTGCTTACCGCATCGACTGTCTAACCCTTTTTGGGGTCTTTGGGAATCTTTACTCTTTCCACCAAGAATTCTGAACATTTGGTGGAATTTAGAAAACGTTGAGCAATGCAACAGCCGCAGCACTGCAAGGCTCTTCAATTTGATTCTCCACTGTGGCATACTGTGGCAGTTTCTCACTGATGGTGAATCCAAAATCATTCAACTTCTTGGTTAATGTTTATGGATTTTTAATGATTTTTATCCATCATTTATGGATGATAGGGGTTTCCCATTCCAACAGTTGATTACCGGAGGGTACCCCAATCCCATTTTGAAGCCTGAAGCTGATTCTTCAATCGCTGCGAGGATTGTCGCATTGAGCTAATCCTGGCATCATCTTACGCTCGCTGTGCATGCGGAAGAACCGTTGTGTCTGGGCAATTGGTGGTGGTACCAGTACAGCACCACATGAAAACATACACACGTTCACAAACAGGAATTAATCTGCAGAACCAGAAACCAAAATGAGAATGGATGGAAGCATTCATCACACCTTCAAATATCCAAACATCAACAAACCAGGCACATTGTGCTACGACCTGTGCCACGTCGTGGTACCTATCACTTCGCGGACCATGACCAGCTTCCACGGCCTGCTGTGCATGTTTCGTTCCGCTTCTTTGGCCTTGTTGTTTGCTTGCTGGACCTGTCAAGACATGGCAAACAAATGGATGAAAACGGCAGGTTGTTCGCAGGTTGAGGTTGAGAACAAATCAAATGTATCTTATAAGGCCTGGTCAGCGATAAGGTTCTCTGTATGTATCGTATGTATTAGAAAGACCGTACTAAATCAGCAGAAATGGTGGGTAGATAGAACAGTCAACTGGTGCCAAATACACTAAAGAAAGCCTATTAAAGCCAACATATCTAATGGAAGTGAAGACCAAAGCAGCAGAAAGAATCTAGGACCATCAAGTTAAAAAACATCGCTACAGTTGACACTGTGTATGATCCGCACCTCCTCAGTCAGTTCTTCTCCTCGCGCCTGTGGCCGCGACACAAGGACCAAGGGTGGTGAAATGGTTCACTCAAGGGGCCCACTTTGTCCAAAAATGTGGACTGCTGTGGACCACTCATGGGAACAATTCAATACAATTCATCTTTTATATGTGTACAGCACTGTGTACATGTGATTTGAGGCGAGCTCATGCATAACATTGTCAAACATTACCAGGCGCTGAGACAATCAAGGCACCACTGCATTACGAGCGGGTGACATTGCTGGGACTTATCATGCTGAAAACAAAAGATGGACAACATCAGGACATATCAGGACCATCAAAGAGAGAAGTCCCAGTCATCCCAGTCCAACAAATGCCTGAAGTTCAGCAACTTTCTTGGCACTCTCTCGCCGCATGCGTTTCTTCTCCTCAAGGGCCTCTGGATCGCAGCTTGGCCAACTCAACAAGAAACTGTAAACGATGCCACTCAATGTCTCTTATCGCAGGATAGAGCTTCACAAAAATGCGACAATGGAAGATATACACCAGCGCAATATCTAGAGGAGTGCGAGAAACTGAGTAGCTTAATGGATGCCTGGAGGCCGGGATGCCGATTCTTGCATTGCTTGTGTTGCCAAAGGTATCCCAAAAGCGTATCTTTGAACATTCCATGGTATGGCAATGTATGGTAAAAGAATGCGAATACATTACCATACATGATTTGTGTAAGGTATGAGTCTGGTGGTTTATGGACATTGTTTACCATAGCATGCAATAAATATATCAATGGTGTAATTCATAACGTGGCTCCCAGATGGTGCAAATCCCCGAAACTTCACACCTCGGACTGAAGATGTTGGATATCCTGCACGATCCCAGGAGGACTGACTGCAGAAATAGCATCATGCATCAGCTAAGTGTTGAAAACCAGAAAAAGGTAGTTCCCGACGACCAACAAAGGAAAATCAACTGTGTATAGATCGTTGATGTAAGTTATACCCATGGTTCCTTGTCATGCCTTGGAATCACAGACAAGGTTAAACAAGTGTTTCAGGAAAGGACTTGCACAGTGATGTTTCTCTCCTCTTTGTGCCGTGCTCGTTCAGCAGCCAGCACTTCCTCCTAGACCAGGATTGTCCACAGTCGATCTTTCTTGACATGCAAGATCTCTGCACTCTACATTCTCTACATGCAATGATCCACAATCCATTTTGGGACTGTTAATGCTCAAAATGTCCCAAGCAGACTAAGTCACACTCTCAGGATTGTGGAATTTATCCACTACCTCAACTTGAACTAGCGGCCAGCGTGATCCGAACCTGCGCATTCAAATGCCCCTCCAACTTGGCCACGCAGCTTGTCTGGGCCCGGAGCAGCCCAGGCTTCGTCGGTGGATGTGAAAAGCATCATTATACAATTACATCAGTTTGATAAGATTGATTTTGTTCTAACATGTTGATACATTTTGCTGTTTCCCTTTCATCAAATTGCACTCATTTAAAGATCTCATATGTGCACATGAGCACTTTCTGCCCAAGGGTCAGGCTATATCCAAGCCACGGACAGCAAGATCAATGCAACATGACATAACATGTGTGAATGTGTTCGAAACGATGTGTGAATCTATGAAATATATATATATGTATATATATATATATTATATGTCGAAGTATTACAGTCAAAATCAGTCAAACCATTTTCACAATATCAATCCTCTAATCAAACCTTCCAGGAAAGCGGATTCATCAGCATCGAACCACGCAGCATTCTGTTGGCCAGTCTGGGCATCTGGACCAAGCGGCGGATCTCCAGGCTGTTGGCCTGAAAAATGACGTGATGAAATATCAAGGGGACGTGTTTGCCAAATTTATGGTGATACAGTGATACTGACATTGATAACTTTATAATATACTGTATATATCTGTATATACTTTAATGTTGTTGATGATGCTGAACTTGCTTTGAATCATAACAGGGCCAAGTTCGAGAGATTCTCTGTACGATCTGGAAAAACATCAAACATGTGTAACATATTCATACTAATATTGTTAATTTGCCTTGGGGTTAGAAAGTGTGTATCCCTCTGACTTCAAAGAATTGCCAACATATGGTGATGATTGTCGGCAATTGGACCCAGGGTGCGGAGACTTGAAACACTGACCTGTAGACGTTGCACACGCATAACATATCATAAAATGCTGTACCCACAACAGCATGATGGCATGATTCAATAAATCATAATTTCTGCATCTCTGATGCATGAACAATTTCAAGAAACACCCCCCTGGTTGACAAAATCCAAACAATCTTCAACCATCCTTGCGGGTAGATAGCCGTTCTGAACATTCCCTCTCCTTGCGCAACTGTCCTTTCATGTCATCCGAGGACACTAACTCACTAACTTGTACAGTAACCCTGCTTGAGCTCTGGCTGTGCCTGATCCAAAACGCTGGACCTCTCCACGATGCGACTTCCCACCTCGCAATGGGAAGCGCAGCGGGAAAAAACAGATAAGGCACATCCCCCAACAATGACGGGGCATGCTACAAAGTGCTACAACATGCCCAGTGGTTCCAATGTAGAAATACAGCGGCTCAGTTCCAAACTGGGCTGGGTTTGACCTGACCAAGAGGTGATCGTCAGATTGGTGAGAAGTTGCAACAAGCTCCCTCATGTGTGTTCTGGCAAAGTCGATTTAGTACTGGTGCGCTGATCCACAAGACATGGATAACGACTACAGTAATGATAACTCGTTTTGCAAACAGATGGAATGGCTGAGAATGGCCAAACCCAGAAACAAACACTTGGTGGCTGGAGAAGCAAATAGGCCATATCTCAAGTGTTCCATTAGCTCGCCAAACATCTTCAATAGCTTTGTCTGATAATTGGGTACCCCTAAATCATCCTAAATCCATGGGTTTATCGTTAGGACGCCCTGAGACACACCGAAATCATCCCTCATCGTGCCTGGATCGTCGTGTTGCCGTTCGGCGTAATAGCCCCCTTGCGACAAATCATCAGCGGAAAGTTAGTTTGTGGATCTGCATAGAGGGTCCATCACCATGGTGGAACCTGGTGTCTCAAATCGTTATGTTTTGCAAATTGAAAACAACAAGTACTCACTGATGCCCGACCTCACTAGAAAACAACAAGTAGAATGACTCACGAATATGACAGCTAAACTCTCTTGCTATTGGACACTCATCAAATTTGCCTGCAGAGCACTGCCATCTGCGCTAGGCGTAACACAACTGGCCTGCATCAGGTGCGGAAAAGTAGAACGGCATCAAGAGGTATGTGCATTATATTATATAATTACTATATATGATATTATATGTATACGATAGAAAAGGCAGAAGGATTTGAACATACTGGTTTTGCACAATTCAAATCAATTCAAACACTCGGCAGGCAACATTTAAGTACCTGCCCTTAAAGGCCCTGGAGTATCCTAAAGTCATTTAGAAGGACACTAAGCGCACAAAAGATTCGAACACATGCAGAGTCTGTGTCCATTCCAAACCTGCCTGCTCGTCGCAGACGGCCTCAGCAAATGCAAAACTGGCATGCTAGTGCCATCTTTGGAAGTCCGTGAGCTTATGGTATCTAAGACATGCGTCAATGCATGTTGAAAACCAGAGTCAACAGGTATCAATTAGATTCAACCCAGTCGCACCTATCGCACCCGGCCACTGTTTCTATTTTATGAACCAAATCTATCAGAGAGCATTGCTTGAAACTACATCCTGCCAGTACCTGATGCAGAAAAATCTCCTGGGCGCTGGCTTCGTGCGAGAGATCCAAGGGAGTGCGGACCTGCAGAGATTGGAAATGACCCATAGATATGGCTATGGGTCAAAAGCCACGCTGTTGAAGATTCAAAATATTGGGCCATATTGGGCCCATATGTTGCACCTTTTTTTCACATATACCATATATATATATATATATTCGCCTTATCCTTGCCCTCGGGCTCCCATCCTCCCATGCCTGGCTATCAGGAACAGCTGTGGTACCAGTGGCTGCTGCCTGGTTTTTTCATGATCCCTGAGGGTAGTTTCAGGAGATCTCAGAAACGGCCCATGTTGAAAAAAACAAATTATATGGCTATGGGTCAATACCTATATAGATACCATTTTTAGGGGAATGAACATCCATTTACCAGCTATTTTGATGTTCACCAGGGGTACAAGGTTTTGACACACTGCCATATGACTATGATGTTTTTGCATGATCTGAATGTCGTTGGTCTTTGGGAATTGACGAAGCAACACTGTGAAAATGCAGCATCAGCCATATCAAGAGGACTCCATGAGAGCATTGTTGGGTAGCGCTGCCAGCGTGGTACCTCCTCGCAATTGCTGGAGTTCTGCAATCCCTGGCACAGAAAACATACGTCGTGAACGTGAACATGCAATCAGCATCAATCGGCTGTCAACTCAGAAATTCACTTTTTTCCCAAACAGGCTCAAAAAGGTTAGGGCCAGATGTGCTTTCCAACAAGAGCCAAAATACAATTCATCCAGAACAAGTTTCTTGCTTATACATATGTATACTATACAAATCTGTATAATAAATCCCAATATGCTAATTGCATGCTAATTGCATGCTAATTGCATGCTAATTGCAGTACTTCAATGTTGAGATCTTCCGTACCTCAGCTCTCCGTGGTGGAGTCTTTTGAACCTGGATGGTCACACAGTTTTCTACACCACACCACGTGTTCATATCTGTTTATACCTTGAAGATCCTACTGGGTGCCCTCATGGAAAAGTGGTTTCAGTTCTTGCGCAATCCCTTCTGTGTGATGAGCAAGCGTCACAGGAATCCACATTCCGTGACCTGGGTACTTTCAACATCTCTGCAGCCAAACATTCATATTCACAAGTATCATCAACCATTGTCAAACATCATTTATCATTGATCATGCATAAAATATCAACAATATCGACATGACTAGTAAAAACAAAAATACAATAATAATAATAATCATCATCATAAATCATAATAACAATAATCATGAATTATCATCATAAATAATAATAATGATAATAAACATAATCATCATCTTCAATATCAATATCAATATCCAGTGCCGTCCTTCCCATGACTTCCCCGAGACCGGACCTCAGGCGCATCCGAATAGACCCGTCGCAGTAAGGAGCGGTTGGCCGCTTGCAACTCACGGATCTCGGCCTAACAACGAATGCAACGGGGGATTGGACCAATTATTGGATATCATTGGATATTTTACAATTTTTATCGTTATCATTATCATTGGATACTTCTATGTACTTCTTCTTATTATCATTGACATTTTCAATTGTCAATGATTCTCATTGGATGATCATCATTTTTGGATGAGTATTGTTATTTTCATTCTGATGATAACTACTGTTGTCATTATCATGTTCATTGTGTATTCTGATTTGTTCTTCAATCATGAACACAGATGACACGGATATGGAAAACCCCTTGTTCCAAACGAACATGATCTACACAAAACTAATGATCTATCTCTCTATCTTCCCATATGTAATTTCTCTCATTATATTGAGTTTTTCCTATGTTTTCCTGTAATTGCAGGTTTGGGTCTGGATCTATTATTCATATCTATGATCTGTTCATATATTCTATAAATATATATATAATGTGTATGTGTTTACTGTCTGCAGTTGCTGGGCAAATGCTGAGCATCACAGTAAGCAGTGTTGAATCACGAGGACGTGCATGGAATGATGTAAACAGACATGATGCACGTATTGAGCAATGTGGTTGCCTGACAAATCGTTCCATCCATTCAACGTGTTGCTGGGAAAATAGACTCGGAGAAATGGAGACTGAACCAAATCTGTCTTGGATCTGTTGAGTCTGTTGAGCATGGTTTAGGCAAAACAACTTTTGGGAATTTGATAGAATTTGTGTGAATTCGCTCATTCGTCTTACAGTCTGCAAGAGCATCTTCTCACCCATGTGCGCATTCAGCAGCATCTGGAATTTCTGTTGAAAGCTTCTTCAATACCAGACGCGCTGCCTGCTTGTGCCGCCAAGCATAGTCAGCATCACCAGTTTCAGCCTATGCCAAGCAAACGGAAACAGGTTGCTACAACCGAATTCGCAACTGAACGCTTCACTTGACGCTTGTTGATCAAGTCTTTTGTCCTACCACATACCTGATGTTGCGAAACTCATTTGCTTCGATGCAAAGACCATGCAGCTCAATACCCGCAGCAATTCGTCTTTAGGCCCCGAACAGCTGCTAACAGCCGGCGATTCAAGGAGCCACTCTCGGACTGTCGGTGACACATGGTGACAACAACAAATGATCATCTGCTGCTTGTTCCCAGATCTGCTTTCTTGGATTCGTGTTTTGCATCCGCAATACTTGGATCGAATAACTTGACATATTCTCAAGGCTGGTCTAGAACTAAAGGCTTATCCTGGTCTGGTGGCACCCTATTAATTAAGCAACTAATTCGGCTCCTTCCATGATATTCCATGCAGTCCATGCAGACTGCGCCTCACTTCGGTCTGGTGATGGCACTAAGCTCTGCGGCTGCCTGGAACACGTCACACGCGACAACAAGAGCTTGGTCTTGAAGCAGTTGTGACACGTGCAAACCATGGTCACACTGTTACAAGCTGGAGGTGGTTGGAAAATACCCCCCCCTGTCCCGTTTCTTTGCTTCAGCTTCCACTGGACATACAGACATACCATGACATACCAAAAGCGTGTCATCAGGCTCGAAGCACTGTAGTGTGAGATAGTGTGAGTATGTGTCTTTGGATTCGAAAAGCCCTCCCTCAAGCAAACTCTCCAATCGCCAGGATATGCTTCTTTCAGGAATGGACTACGTGCTGATGTGAAATCTCAGACATTAAAGCATATCAGACTGTTGCATTGATTCATCTGGCCAGGCCTGCTAAACGGACGAGTGAGCGTTCCCGTCACAAAACGGTCACCATTCAGACCGTTCATCCCTTGGTAGCACTGCATGGAGATTCCAACATTTGCGATTGCCAAAGGATGGCACAGGGGATCCTCTACTCTACGCGTTAAACAACACATTTTGCAGGACAATATCCCATGGCAGCATGCAGCTCACACATGTGTGTCTGTGCGCGCACGCACGCACAAACAAGAAAATCAAGTTCAGCAGGCAAGATGTAGTTAATCTTATCAAGGCAAGCTGTCTGCCAATGCGTAGACATAGAAAAATATGAAAAATTGAAGCTCGATCATAGCGTTTCCTCCTGTTCCAAAGTGATGTGCCAACTAACAAGGTAGTTGCGAAGCGTTCTTTACTCTGGGATCCGGTCCACGTTGTCATGAGCGCATGTGCACCTGTGTGACTCTGGCAGGTGAGTGTCCACTTTGTGCGTTCGGCTTTTTGTGCTGCAAATCATCTGTTAAAATTCATGTCTACCAATGGGGCAGCTGCTTTCTTGATGCGCGAAGTACACGATGATCATGATGGAGAGACAATGCGCAATGATATTAATATATATATATATATTAATTATATTAATTATTGCAGATCATAGATAATAATAGATAATAGTGATAATAGGTAAAACAATGACAAGATGAAAGTATGGAAAGTGCGACATTACCTGTATCTCTTCATATACCTGGTATCCCTTGTATCCTCTGCTCCACAGCGCCCTCAGCGCATGCCACAGCTGGGCCCATCTCTCCAGCCTCATCCCCTCGACTCATTGCGGGAGATGCCTACTACACATGGCGTGAAAGCAACTAATTTGGATCTAACATATCTAAATCTCTGATTGATTTGATGGTCTAGCTGTCTAGCTCTTGAGCAAAGAGCAAAGCAGTAGGCTGCAGTAGATCAACTGCTATTTATCAGCCAAAATATCAATTACCTTATTAGAATTATCAGATTATCATTAGATTATTAGATTATTAGCCATATATTTTTTGGGAGTTTGAAACTGTTTCCCTGAGACTGATCTGTTGGGGATGGTTTAGCTCAACTTTGTTCCTCCTGTTAGTAGCAGCAGTGTCCAGTCCACATCCTTTCAATTCCACAGCAATGATGTCACTGCTCTAATTGCCACTCCTAGCGGTTGTCATTGAAAGATTTCACCTGCTCACGTGTGCTGCCGCAATGGTGTCCGGTCTCTCTGTCATAAACTACCCCCAAGCTGAGCCAGGAGTGACAACAAAGCAATGAGAAGTGAGATGCGTGCAAGATTCAAGAGATCGTCAAGTGCCGCATCCAAAACCTGCCCTTGTCGTGCACTTCGAGTTCCAACTCGGAGAAATGGTTTGCCTAGATTTCTTCAACAATGGAAACTTCACTTGTTCTGGACACCCAGGAAGCACTTTCACTTTCTCTGATTGCCATCTACACACATCCAGAAGACCTCCAACGTTTGCGTGGTCCAGTGGTCCTTCCACAGAAACCTATCCAATTGCTGGCTGAAGCAGCTGGGGGTCATGCATCTTATTCTCATATATTCTGAATCTAAAGCCAGATACAGCTATAGACAAACTGCCAAACGAACCAACAAATTGAAAGGACTCACTGGAATATGGAAGTTATACAGACATAGCAGTTGTCTTCCAAAGGTCCAACTGACAAACCAACAATTTCAAATTTCCGTATTCATATATATATAATTATATATTGCTGACTTCATTCACGAGACGTCAAACTGGAACTCTCTTGCCAACATAATACCATTTGACCAACATGCTTGCCTTGACACCCATCCTTTTTCACGCTTTCATTAGCTACCTGCATCCTACTATGCAGCACAATGTTCAGCTCAGAGGAAAGTCTGCAGCGACACGACCTTCCGAGCTTCGCCTGGAGTCAACCGCGGCAAAGCATTGCTACGGAAACTGTTTGAAGCGATTGGGAACCTCTGGAAGAATCTCGGAAGATTGGACTATGCTTGATGGGGATAAATCACGATGATCCGTGGTATTCCATGGTCCTTGATCTATTGCACTGTGGAGACAGGCTTCGGTTCTCCCTTCGCCCAACCTGGGACTGCTGGAAACAACCAAAGAGGGCACTGTGCCTGGGCAAGTTGTCGGCACTGCAGCTGACTAGCCACATGGAAGCACAGACTATCACTTTTCTGCGAAACTGTTGCAAACTAAAGATTGATTTTATGCACCTAAGCGACATCTGGGCACGAACATGGGGAGGAGAATAGACAATGTAATAATTAACGAATCTCGTTTTGTCTGAATATGCCTGAACTTGGCGGCTAGAACATGCCAGAACATCCACATATAATCTTATAAGTAATACAAACAGACTAAGAGTTTGAGCTGTCTCACAGCCGCCTCTTCCGGATGTAGTCTTTCAGAATGGAAGCCTTGACGGCTACATGCTGCTACTATCTTCTTGACATATTGACACGGGAAAGGAAACAACAATGCTGGGGGAAAAGCAGTCTCACAAAAAGTCAATGCCACAGTTGTACCCAGGGGAGACTAAAAAAAAAGAAGGCCTGACAATGTGAGAAAAACATTGACCTGGAAAATGCAAACTCAAGGATTCGTCTTAACACCTTGAGTGCTGGGCTTTGTCTGAAAAACCTTGGCTCGAACCACAGCGATGGAGATCATGTGCTTTGTTAGTCTTTGTTCAGTGACTGTCACTCACGATACGAGTACATGATTACATGGTAGTGTCACGAACTAAGGGAATATCGAAGTGTGAGTTTGTCCAGCACATCAACTGATCCCTTACTGAATGCAATCAAGATCTCAAAGGCTTTACGAATGTATAAGACATAATATATTTTTTTCACGCTGCAACAATAAGGTGGACTTCCGATTTTGATGTCCAGTATATAGGACGAAAGGCCAAAGGCAAGCGATGAGTTCCAGCTCTTAAACATGAGGTGCATCTAAACTGTGAGTGTGTCTGAAAGTATGGTACTACCCCTAAATCATGGTTCATCATCATTTTCCCCATCAGAATTGTCGTAGAATCATTTGGATATAACGGTATAACAGAGTATATATACCTGGAGAACCAAAACCCTAAGAATTTTTCGGGTCAACACAAGAAGCTGAGGTATTTCGGAAAAAAAAGAAAACCTCGGTTTTCGATTGAAGACCTCGGGTATTGATTTTGAACCCGTACCTAACCCGTACTTTCAGAATGGGTTAAAATACCCCGGGTTTTGTCAGAAAAGCTCAGGTATTTTTCAAACCCTAAGATTTCTGTGGGTTTTGGTTCTCAAGGTATATATATATATAATAATATAATATAATATAATATAATATAATATAATATAATATAATATATAACCTCTAAAAATCACCATAACTGCATGGTATTAGCTCAATTTTCTTGGTGAATGTGCCCAGTTTTCACAGATTTTCTTGGTGAAACTTTTTACCGAATCTTGGCCGCCCCAGCTCTGATGGTCCTTGCACTGATGCAAAGCTGGTGTCCGAGGAGCCACCCTGGCAGATCAAGCAATCAGTCACTAAGATAATCTAAGATACCGGGTTCTTCAAAAAAAACAGCCATCCACTTGAAACCGCAGAGATACTGTGCTTACCCCCGCAACCCCCAACTTCAATGTTGTGATCGGAAGTGCCGAGCATTATCAACAGAAATGGCTGTTTTTTTTGAAGGCCGCCAAGCACAAAATTCAGAAGACAACATTGAATTGGGGGACGCGGGGGACATAACCTCTATGGTGTGGTACTTCATGGGGTGGCTGTTTTTTTTGAAGAACCCGGACCCAGAAAAGACACAATAGGATTGACCCATGGCTGCAGACAAATGCAAGAATGATGACGACACTGTGTCAGAGAAAGCATCGGGATCAGTTTCGGCGGCTGTTTGTGTGTGTGTGTGGGTGTGTTTGTTTGCTTGCGCGTGCGTATATGTGCCAAAATGGGCTGTGCTGCGTGGAATACAGCGACAGTCTTGGCACCTTCGCGACCTGATTCCGCAATGTCGTGGGGTGCACTGGCTGGCCGTTATGCGTGGCAGGCGCGCCACTTTGAGAGCGTGACTGCTCTATCCTACACGCCTGCCATGCAACGCACATGCAACACACAGACATGCAACACACAGACATGCAACACACATGCAACACACATGCAACACACATGCAACACACATGCAACACACATGCAACACACATGCAACACACATGCAACACGACATGCAACATGGGCTTTTTACCCGTAAATTTACAGTCAACGTGCAGGATTTGACGTTTGCAGCCCCAACTCTGGTCTTAGAATGGAAAATGACGATTTTTGCCCCGCGGCCACTTTGCTTGGACATTTACAGGGAAAATGCTCGTGTTGCATGTGTGTTGCATGTGTGTTGCATGTGTGTTGCATGTGTGTTGCATGTGTGCTGCATGTGCGTTGCATGTGCGTGGCATTGGCAGGCCCATACAAATCACACCCCTGAACTGGGGACGTAAAAAAAAACCGTGGCAGGCGCAAGACTTGTAGGTGGCAGGGGCGAGACTTTGGAAGCTGAGCGCTTTGGATCTGCAATAAATTACATTGCGATGGTGTCCCGTAGCATCCACCTTTGTGGGGTTGACGCATATTGTATAGAATGAAGAAGCTTTGACAACAACCTTGGGTAAATTTCACAAGCTGATGGTGGCCCTTAGCATCCACTTTATTGGGCTGTCACAGATTACAGAAGCGCATGCTTTGTCGATGTGTATGTGTGTGTGTGATGATCTACATCCACATGCGTATCAACAACAGTTCAAACAAAGAACTCGGAACCAAAAAACCTCACCGGGTTCTTCAAAAAAAACAGCCATCCACTTGAAACCGCAGAGATACTGTGCTTACCCCCGCAACCCCCAACTTCAATGTTGTGATCGGAAGTGCCGAGCATTATCAACAGAAATGGCTGTTTTTTTTGAAGGCCGCCAAGCACAAAATTCAGAAGACAACATTGAATTGGGGGACGCGGGGGACATAACCTCTATGGTGTGGTACTTCATGGGGTGGCTGTTTTTTTTTGAAGAACCCGGTATCCTGATGAATCAGAAAAATACTGTATCCTATATATATATACTATGATATTTTGAATTTTGGGATATCCCTAAATGCTATCCTATAATATCCTATAATATCCTATACATCTATTTTGGGATAATGAACATGATATTTCCCAAACTATGGAATATCAACATTTATCATGTTTTTTTTTTTTTGCTTGGCTTATGTAAATAATCTATATACAATAAATGAACATGAAAAAAGTACCAACCAATGACACCAATTGCAAACTAAAGTATTCGAATCGTATGGCAAATTTTGTGGATCATCTGTCTGTAATGATAATACTACTATCCAACTTCTAGTAATTCATAATACTACAACCTTGAAAACAAACGTTACACCTACAATTCAAAATCAATTTGAAATATCAATGTGTATCAATTTATCACAATACTTAACCCTAAAATCCCATCGAGCAACATTTGTTGAACGAAGCTTTGCCTCGATGGCTGGCCAGCTGCAGACAGCCTGCGGAGATGTCGTTACAATATGTCTGGAAGATCATGTGCAATCCTTTACAACAGATATGGAATATAAATGAATATAACACATAATATATAAAACACACATATCAGTGAGAGAAAACATGTGCAGCTATGATTTCTATGGCTTCTTCATGCTTCTTCTCTGGCAACATCGCCGTAGACATTGAAGCCATGATTGCGCCACAGAAAGTATCGCAAGGTCAGGTCTGTCCCCAGTGGTGACAAACCTAGACCTATGTGCGCGTCTTGGATTGGACACTACTATGGGTTTAAAATGTCTACAATTTCCAAAACCACGCGCCAATGTCTGAAACAAGAAAACAAGACGTTCTATAACAAAGACAACTTGAAATGTCTTGAAAGACATATTTCTCAGGGAGACATGAAACAAACAGTGCAACACATAGTCTGAAACAGAACAATGAACACAAATCTCGGAGTGCAGAAAATTTCAGCACAAGACAATGTTGTGAAGACCTGTGACATGTCAAGACAATGACAAAAACCCAGTGGCACCTCGAGTTGGGACTCTTGAAGGTCTTGGGGCCAAGGGCAAACAGCCTGGTTTTTAGATGCGCGCCATGGAATGCGCTGGGCTGTGAAACAGCCTGGTTCTGAACGACGTTCTGCATCTAAAATGTCCATAGGCCATCCGTTCTTGATTCTGAGCTCTCCCACTTCAATTTAATTAGAATAGCACCTTTGCACTTCTCAACAAATATCCGGTACTGTACTGGAGCAATTAGCTGAGTTAGCGGGTGCATCTTAAAACATCACTCATGTTGAATCGTCTCCTGCATGGTCTGCTGGACATATCCCCAACTGATCCTGACAACAAGGCCTCTGTCTCCAAGAAAACTACTGAGGCAGCACCAGCGGCAACAGCTCCTAGCAGAGTTTGACAACAAAAAGATCAAACAAATCAAATTTCATTGTCACAAGCACTACTAGAGAATCCCAAAGGCCCTTAGCCGCGAAACTCAAGACAGGGTCCTTTGGCAAGCAACCTCATGATCTTTTGAATGAAGCTCTCCATGCCGAACATCTCTTTGACCTGACTTGGGCATTGCTTGCAGCAAAAGAGACTTAAGTTAGTTCCAACATGAAGCACGAGAGTGAAGGACTTTTCTATATTAACTATGTTAATTAATCGAACTCCCCATGAATTGAAGCACAAGACACGCCCAATAATTAGATAGGATCATCAATGAACATCACATGAATAGGATAACCGCCGATAACCACGTTCAACTGGTGGAACACATAAGACGTGGATACTGTTTAACGAGCGTCCAGGCTGCGCCTATTAAAGCTACAAAGTACAAACTTGAACCATTGAAATACATCAGAACGAATTGAAGCAGGACATTGAAAAAGAATCTCTATGATTCTCTATGTAATCAAGGCCTACTGTACATGTTTCACTGTCCATGATACTTACAACTTGCACAATTTACAAGACTCAGGTAGACTCAGGTAGACTCAGGTTGACTTGGGCCCACCTACTCCACTTTAGTCCATGAGGCAACTCTTGTGCAAGAATGTACAAGATGAAGAAAGAACACTGATCAAAGGTGACGAGGAGAGGTCCCTTATCCCAAGCAGTATGCAAACAAACACATCAACTCGAACCTCTGACCTTCCTCAAAAGTGGCTGTCTCGATGTCCATCTTCTGGTACATGGAGTCGAACAGTGGCTGAGGTGTTGACACTGGGAGGTCCCATCAAAGGAACCATTTCTTTGAACTGCTTAAAGCGCATGGACAGATTGAGGATGATGGATGGAATCAGCACGCTCTTCCCCAATATCACCTCAAGACGGCTGGTACTTGTGACATTTGTGACGGAGCAGCAAAGACTGTCTGACAATCTTTTTGGATCCGTTTGGCATGTTTGGTCGGCACAATAAGCTTCAGCTATCTTCAGCTTCAACCACAACTGTCGTCAGCATTGCCACATGGAATCATCCAACTGAAAATACGTAAGATCAATTTTGTTGGTAGATGTTGGTAGACTGTGCAGCAGCCTGCATGAACCATGGATTGGTTCAAGCTGGGGAGCCGCACTCCATGTGTGTATTGCCAGTCACTCAGGACGAGATTGTAGTACGGATCTGTCGCAAATTCAGCTTGATTGACGTGGCAATGGTAGCATAGCGGTCATATTTAAGCCCATTGATATGACGGATGGGAAGCAGCGCAATTTCAAGCGTGTAAAAAAAAACGCAACCACAAATCACATGTCACTGGTAGCATAGCTGAGACCTGGAGCATACGTTTATTTTCAAGCAAAACAATGAACTCTATATACAATTCTGGCAGGACCAATCAGCATCTTGGCGTGGACTCCACGATCTACAGCTACTTGCGCTGCATGACTCACTGTCATTGACAGGGCTGTTGTTTCACAAATTGTGAGAGAAAATGCATCAACGATCCCACCACTCTTCTATGCTTCTGTTTGCGCTGACGTAGTGACGTAGTACAGTCCCTGGAGTCCCTGGAGTCCCCCATACAAAACACAAGTCAAAGAAGTGTCTCTGTTCTCAAAGTAATTAGCTGTACGAGTCCCCTGTACCCTGTAATATGGCACCATGCCCAACAAGTGAAGTATTCAGACTGAGCAAAAGATACCTCTGATTCTGCCTGAAGAGTGGGGGGCAAAGGCTCATCATAGGCTCATCTAATATCAATGATCATCAATGATCATCAACGATCGTCAATGATCATATATATGATCATCAATGATCATATATGATATATAATTGATGGGATCTTGATGGATCTTTGAAGCCGTGTCTCATCAGCTGCAGGGAATTCATCGGAATTCCGCCTCCCAAAAAACCTTGGATCTTTGGACGTGGCACACCTAAGTACTAAGCGAGTGACAGGGGAAACTTCTAAGCCATGCTCTTCCAATCCGCAACAAGTCGAAGTCACGGAGTAGCCATTGCAGATCTAGACTTCTCATACAAGTGCCATCTTATGAATCTTATGTCATAAAATAATGTATTGAATGGCATTGTTTTCCACCATATACCACATCCAGGATTCATGCATCCATTGTCGTGGACTGTCAACTGGGCCCCCAAACTGGCAGACATCGGTTGGTCACCTGACCCAGAGTCCAAATGACACCCAGCGACCAGTTTCTCTACAGTTCCTCATCTGACAATCTTCACCGCTCCACCTGGATTTTGGGCTACTGTTGGAAGTCCAGCAATACCCATGAAGCCTCGGAAGATACAAGTGCTTGCGAAGAGGATAAAGTTATCCTGGACATGATTTTGTTCACTCAGAATGATGTCGGTGCTTTACCTATCATGCTTCAACTTTTCACGGCATAGAGAAACATCCAATTTTCATCAATCTTCTCTGTTTCTGTCCATCTGCTTGTAACCTGTTAACTGTTGTTGTGCTTTGTTCTTCCGAGCAGATTCTACCTGTGTGCGATGCACTCCATTTCCGCCAGCTGAAGCTCTACTTCACGCTGAGTTCCTGGCGACCACCTGGCAAAATGGATCTGAATTTGGGTTGCTGCAACGCTTGCGCAAAGACCAAAACATTAAATCACTGATTTTAGCCAGCTGAAATCTGGAGAGCCAAAACTCAGCCAAGTTTGATGTCTGTCTTGGTCGTGTTCTGGGCTGTAAAGTGTGATAAACTATATTAAACTATTGCAATTTGTCGAATAAAAAAGGATCAAAGACATAACCAAATTGTGGGTTGCGGAGTTTTTTGCGCCTGCATTGTAAAGCTGATCAAAGTAGGGCAAATGCGAGAAAACACCTTGGCAAGGCTGTGGAGGTGGTCCAGTGTTGAGTTCCTCAGGGATTGGATCACTGAGCCGCCGAACCCTTGAAGCTTCGATAGGGCAAACGGTACAGGCCATTTCGAAGCCCAGGTAGACCTACGGAGCCACACAACGATGGCAGCATGCAGGAAATCTCGGCTATCTGCGGATAAGTGTCTAATTCCCTTCTAAATTGTCAAACCAATCACAGGCAAAATGCTGGTTGGGGTTGGGGCTAATTATATCTAATTATTGCATTTCCAAATATCACCAACATTCCAATTCTTGCCGATCATTTTCCACAGCAAAAGCTGAATGACAGTCACTTCCCACCACATCTTAGCATATCTTAGCCATGAATAAGTCCTTGCAATTATGGTAAATGAAATTGAAAGATTCTGGGCATCCAATGGATTCTAATGGCATCTCCATGCCTGAAAGGGGCGGCCAAAGCCGGGCTTTGAAAATGCGATACTTTGTCAGTAGCGCGATTGCCTTGGCGTTTCTGAGAGTGTTCAACAGTGTTCAGATTGAAATTGGCACGCCAAAATCAATAGGTTCAGTACCTTTGGTCAGTTTCCCTCCGAACAGCCAGCCATCAATGGTGGACTCAACTTTGAACCAAATGTCATCTTCAATCCGCCATAGCAAATCATAGCCATAGCTAAAACAAACTATATAATATAATATAATATAATATAATATAATATAATATAATACAATATAATATAATATAATATAGTATAATATAATATAATATATAATATATCATATATAATATATTTGTATCTATTTGTTACGTGCTTTTACATGGAACCAACATGAAAATAACTTCAACCCCCGGAAGCGACCAGCCATGTGGAGCCAAGGCTCTGCCAGGATGGCCAAAGGTGCCATGATTGGGCTGAAGCTTAAACCTGGACAATGAAGGTCACTGTATTCAATGGCTATCCGGAAAGATTTGGAAAGTACAAGCTAGCCATCCTGGGAAGGGGAACCGAAGCCTTTGCTTTGAATCATGTTGAGATCTATTTCTGGTCACCAGTAATGTTTGAGTGCTGTGGGGTTGAGCATCTGCTGTACCTTGCTACATTGAGGCCAGTACCAGACAAGGAGAACATCTTTCCTGACAAGCCAAACTTGCAAAGCTTGTCCAGAATGTCGAAGTGACACGCGCTCCATGCTTCACAATAATTAGGTTTGCTGTTTGCCGTTTGCGTATGTTGGCTTCCCTAGACAATCCTACAAGCTGTCAAGGGAAGGAACTAAGATTCCGGAAAGGCCATCCACAGCCCGCTGCCTAGAGAAAGCTTTGGAGGACCTGGCACAGAGTCATCCGTGCTACTAGACTCTGTTTGCTCATCCCAAAACCACTTCTTCCAAAATACAACAAGCAGCAACGTGCCCAGAAAAAAATGGGGCTGGGAGGCATCTGGTGTGCAAACCAAGTGGCATTTCTATAATAATTGATGATGATGATGATGATGATGGTGATTGTGATTGTGATGATATGACGATGGTGACAGTGACAGTTGTATTGCTGACAGTGATCGCCTTGACCTTGACATTTATCCCCTCACATGGTTCAAAGTTTGACTCCAACTTCTGTTGGGAGCCTCCAAACCGGGATCCCACACTTGGCAAGCCAGGTACAGACGGCAGCTTCAACTTTGGAATCTTCGGCAAACCTGCGAAGTACCAGGAGCTATATACAATGTCACTACCAAGAAAAATGGACTGCAAATAACTTCCGCAAGGTTGTGGATAAGAGAAGGTCCGACCGGCAAGCCGCACAATGCGCACACGTAACAGTAATGATATATATATATACATATGAAATATGTATATTTATCTATTATATATATACATATCATTATCAAACAAGTTACAACAATTATCAGTCAGAAAGGGGGCACTTCATATCAAGAATCAAGAGCCAATTCAAAGGCTACCTAGTACTTGATCAGAATCAACCGACGAATCAAGATTGAGCCCGGCCTGGAATGTCTGGAAGAAATTCTCCACCTCAGATTCCATCTGCTGGGAATCTTCAATGAAAAGCCAAGTGAAGATCTGGGCCAAAGTCAAAAAAACTGCCCTGATTTCGTGAAGATTTGGGCAATCGTCAGTCCGTTCAGGCTTGCACTGGCGGGCTAATGAGTCATCTCATTGCAGCAAAGTCTGAGATTGCAAATATGTGAAGTCTCCGGTTTACAAGCCCATCCTCAAGATTCCTCAAGTATAGACAATGAAGTTGTTTGTAAATAATAGTCACTAGGTCACTAGGTCATACAGCACCAACGGCTAGATACTTGATTTCGATTTGATTGAATGTGCATTCTTACAAAGAGCACCATTTCATCCAAGTCTCTGAGATCTGGCATCTTCAAACTCCCAGCAACTGTCAGGAGGAATGAAACCGATGCTTGTCAGATGGCAAAGGCAAGAGTCAAGGAACTCCAAGGGACTCCGAGACAACAATTTTGCCTTTACTTTACTATATAAAGACTAATGCTTGACAAGCAAAAGCGCCAGAGCTGCTCGCAAACATCTGGCAATTGATTAATCTGTTACCCACATTTGCAGCCAAGCTGGAGATTCAACACGTTTTACATTGTTTTACTGCGTTGCTGCATTGTGCGAACTCTCTGGAAGTGGTTTGCCCCGACCTTTGATAACCTTCTTCATGGTCTTCAAAAGCTCTTTGATTGCTTCTGGCACGAAAAGTGGCATCCGTGTCCAATCTCTGCACAGGGAAACACATCCAACCAGGTTTTTGTAGCGTTGCTGGCATCATTCAACCCACCATGAAACATTCTCCACTGCAACAAACACGGACTCTCAAACTGTCTCATCGTTCGTGGCAAAACTATGGACCCCAACCAGTCGTGATGATTTCTGATGGCGATGAGATGATACTGTAGGAACAGTATATGGAAACTTGTTTTCGTTTCTGGATGGAATGAAAGTTGTACACCCAAACAACAATGGGATCCAGTGGGAGAGGTTTCGGGTTTAGGGTTTACCACATTCATCCCAGAGGTTTCCAGAATAACGTTCACTTTATACTGTATTATTACCCTCTGGTTATTTAACGTAGCTATGGGAAATGGCCCATAGAAATAGAGGTTTACCGGTTTACCTATTAAACATGATGATTTTCCATGACATGATGATTTTCCATGGCTATGTTAGTCAGAACCAGATGGTAATGGCTATATTAATATCCCATTGTGGTAAAGTCCCCCATTTCTGGGACAATCCCCATTTCTGGGACGTCCTAAAAGCAGCGCAGCGCAGAAAATTCTGCGGCAGCGCGACTGATTAATGCTTTGATGAGACCGAAGAGCACCACCGCCAAGGTCACTGCAGCAGCAATGACCTGGATGACAGGCAGCTGGGAACTTACATGAAACAGCGTTCAAACATGTCAAAAATCACAGGCAGGAATGACAACAGAAAACAGTTCTACTGACTTTAATACATATATATATTTATGCATAATTTGTTGATGCTGCCTACAAATGTCTCCGCTGATTTTCTTATTTTTCTTCACAATATATGTATATATATAATATATAGATATATAATATTAAATAATATCTGAGTTATATGAATACATGTATATTTGTGATGCTCTCAAAATGTATCCAAGTTCAACAAACAACACGACAATTCCAGCATCTTTGATCCATGCACAATGAATTGTACAGCTCTGACAAAGCGAAACAAAGCTCAACGACTCGCAGCAACATTATCAGCTTCTCACCAGCTGGCCTTGAATACTGTGAATATTGAAATGTAAGGCAGTCCCAGCTTGCTGTAGTACTTGTATTCCTGCAAGCTCATCCAGGGGATGTTTGAGGGACATATAAGTCGGCTTTGGTCTTCCAAACAATGTGACAACTGCAACATGTTGCAACAATGGAGTGCTCGAAGATGCTGAACACCACCAAATTGGCAGGCTCAACAAATCCAGGCCACCTATATTATCTATATTATGAACTTGGCTGGGTTGTTTAGATTGGTCACAAAGCTTCAAAGAGGCCAAAGAGCACGGTCAACCCCCCAGACATTTTGCCTCCGCCTGCTTCTGATGCTACGGTTTGCTGGGAGTTAAAGTGTTTCCCCGGCCAGAGTGCGCAAATATTAAACAATTCGCGGACGTCAAGATCAGCCCTGACAAAAACTTAATTACAATCACACAATATATTACAATCATTGGTTTTAAAGATTAAGTTTCACACGGTTTCATGCTAGCAGTACAGTAGAAGTATCCATGCCTCTTTGTGTGTCTCTTGCGTACCTTCAAGATTCTCCTTGTATACACACTCAATTGACTTACCCGACATTGACGTCCAGCGCGACTCTGAAGGCAACGGAATGTCAAAACGAGCAAAACAGCCACCGCCTTCTGGTGTTTACAAACCGACACAATGAAGCAAACTGCAGTAGCTGTATGGATTATCAACACCACTGAAACGACAGAATGCACGGCAGGGCTGGCTTTGCGAAACTCCAGGGCATGGCAAGCTCCAGCTTCTGGACGTCGCCTGCAGTGCCTGGAGCAAAATACGCCGTTTGGACAAGCTGAGTCCGCCAATTTTTTTGGGAAGGACAGGATGACTACGACAGCGGAATCATTTGAGCAGCTTCATCTTCTTCAAAACCTGCGGCACAGCCCAAAAACTCCAGGATAAGGAATGAAGACATCTAAACCTATCTAAACCTCAGAACAAATCCAAGTTCTGCAATAATGTGCAATATCAATCACTAATATCACTAATATCACCATTATCACCTGCTGTGTCCATTTCTGGTGGTGTCACCGTGTACACTTCTCAGCTGTTGCACCTCTAAGGGTGGCTCCAAGTTTGCTGCACCTCCGAAAGTTGAAGGGGATTCAACTAACGGGGAATGATGGGAAACAGTTAAAAACATCTTAAAAATTCAATTCAGCCTGGTTTTCTGGTACCGATCATAATGATTCACAATGCTGTGATATTTTTCCTTCAAAACATCGAAAAAAAATGTGTTGACATGTGTTGACTGGTGATCGCTACTCTTTCTTGGATTAGGACCCAAACAGTAATTTCTCAGCAGTAGAAAGGAGCACGGGAAATCTTCATTTAACAAAAACATCATGAATCAGCAATGAACTTTCATATTCTACGGAAATTCGTGAATTTACCTGTGATAAATCTGCCAAACAGCGTTTGCACGGTGCTAGTGCCTTTTCGATGCGCCGAGCACGTACAGCTTCCGCCAGGTCATCCTGATGAATTGCTGTGGGGTGCTGATCTATTCGAAACATTTTGAATAGATCAAGTTCTGTCCGTGCGTGGGCTTCAAGTATTGACTTTCCTGGATTTTAGTGATAAATATTGATGAACATGGATGTGATGAAATGAATTAACATATTATTTAACATTGATGAAGTTGACAAACATTTAAAACTGGATGAATTGTTTCGAAAGGGGGCTTCGCCAAGACTCAATATTGGTTTGTGCCATCGCCTCCTGGCGGACGCAGCACCGGGTGAATTGAGAACATGACACTTGACAACACGTCTTGCCAGAAAGTGGTCTTAAATGACCTGTAAATGTATCCAAATGTTCAAGTTTGATATGGTTTGATCAAGTTTTTTCAGCTTTGAGAATCAACCACTTGAGCCCAAACATTTGTTTTGCGCTAGTGCCTCAAGGGTCTTCAAAAACGAAACGTGCCTCTGTTGTTTGACAGCTGGAACCTGAAAACCGTTCGAAAACAAATCACCATGGTCTAGCAACTTAGTAGAAAGCCAGATACCACTGAGAATCTGTGTTTGGTCTTGGTCCAACTGCAACCTGTATACCACTCTACGCTGTACTAATCACGTCATATCAGGAACAACCGATGTTGGATCATGTTGGATCATGTTGGATCTACATATTATAATTTGAAATCAAACTTTCCAGAACTTTCCCCAATCCTTGAATTTTCCCACTGGATCCAGGCCTTCTCCAGTTGAACCCAGATCTCCTCGGTGGCCCACACAGGTGAGGCCTTCAGCGCCTGCGCCTGACTGGCACAGGCAGCCAGGAAGGAACCGCCTCAGCCACGGTGCGTGGAACGCAGCTGCGATGGATGATGAGCTCTGAGATATCTGAGATCCCCAGCATTTCAGCTGTGCCATGGCCATGTTCACCAAAGCACGAGGATATTGAGGTTGGCACCTGGAAAAGTGAAGACCCTCCAAGTTAGAATAGTTAGATATCAATTTGATTGAATTTGCAGTATGATCTCTGTACCAGAGCTGTCAATGAAGAGTGAATTTGTGCTGGAACACTCCAGCATTGTGTAAATGTGTGCCATCACTAGCTATAGTAAGGCTACATGAGCATGAAGTGGAACGACTGACAACATTTCCCCTCAACGAATCCAAGGCTCTGCAAAGCATGTCGCCACACTTCAATCGCTTGCTCATGAAAGCCACGATTGTTCAGTACCGCACCCAACATGTTCCACCTGGCAACAGCAGCGCTGCACTTCAAGGACAAACAAACAAAGCTGTGTTCCTGCTACAACTTACGTGGACATAAAGCTTGACTGAATACATAGTGCGCAATGGGTACTTACTAAATTAATCAATCAAAACCAATCATCATAATGTTGGTTACTGATTAGTGTGGGGATACACTATTGTGTCCACAGACCTCAAAATTATTCTGTTACTCTGGAAATGTTCGAGGGGTACACTATTGTGTCCACAGGATTTTGGTGTAAGTTTTTTTTTCATTTTTTTCATTTTTTAGTTTTTAATTGTTTTTTATTTTATTTTAAAATTTTAAAATATTTTTTATTTTTATTTTTAATTATAATAATTTTTAATTTAATTATTTTTTAATTTTATTTTAAATTATTTTCTATTTTTATTTTTAATTATATATTTTTATTATTTTGTAAAATTGTGTCAGGATACACAATTGTGTCATTGTGTCAGGATACACAATTGTGTCTTGGTCTTTTTTTGTTGTTCAAACATTTTTCATTTTTTTCATTTTTTAAAGTTTTTTCCTTTTACTTTTTATTTTCCAGCATTGAAATTTTCCAGATGCCTTCCACAGAAAATTACATCCAGGTACAAAATAGTGTGGTTTGTTTGGGGGTACACTATTGTGTCCAGCTGCTTCCTGAGGTCATGATTTTTTTTGATTTTTTCAATCATTTCCTTTACCTTTTCCTTTGCTAGCTAACGTGTTTTCCTTTCAATTAATTTCTTTCTTAGTTTCTTTCATTTGAAATTCTCAGAAATGACCAGTTTCCCAAAATATATGATGCCTTATTAAAACCCAATTAAAAAACATGACTCAAACAATTTTTCAAGGGTGTAGTCCATGAGCAACCCTGATACACAATAGTGTGGTTTGTTTGGGGGCACACTATTGTGTCCAGCTGCTTCCTGAGGTCATGTTTTTTGATTTTTTCAATCATTTCCTTTACCTTTTCTTTTGCTAGATAAAGTGTTTTCCTTTCAATTAATTCCTTTCTTAGTTTCTTTCATTTGAAATTCTCAGAAATGATCAGTTTCCCAAAATATATGATGCCTTATTAAAACCCAATTAAAAAACATCACTCAAACAATTTTTCAAGGGGGTAGTCCATGAACCACCCTGATACAGAATAGTGTGGTTTGTTTGGAGGGTACACTATTGTGTCCAGCTGCTTCCTGAGGTTATGATTTTTTTTTGTTTTTTTCAATCATTTCCTTTACCTTTTCCTTTGCTAGCTAACGTGTTTTCCTTTCAATTAATTCCTTTCTTAGTTTCTTTCATTTGAAATTCTCAGAAATGACCAGTTTCCCAAAATATATGATGCCTTATTAAAACCCAATTAAAAAATATCACTCAAACAATTTTTCAAGGGGGTAGTCCATGAGCAACCCTGATACAGAATAGTGTGGTTTGTTTGGAGGGTACACTATTGTGTCCAGCTGCTTTCCTGAGGTCATGATTTTTTGATTTTTTTCAATCATTTCCTTTACCTTTTCTTTTGCTAGCTAAAGTGTTTTCCTTTCAATTAATTCCTTTCTTAGTTTCTTTCATTTGAAATTCTCAGAAATGATCAGTTTCCCAAAATATATGATGCCTTATTAAAACCCAATTAAAAAACATCACTCAAACAATTTTTCAAGGGGGTAGTCCATGAGCAACCCTGATACAGAATAGTGTGGTTTGTTTGGAGGGTACACTATTGTGTCCAGCTGCTTTCCTGAGGCCATGATTTTTTGATTTTTTCAATCATTTCCTTTAGCTTTTGCTTTGCTAAAGCCTTTTTTCTTTTAATTGCTTAATTACTTTCTTAGTTTCTTTCATTTGAAATTCTCAGAAATGCCCAGTTTCCCAAAATATATGATGCCTTATTAAAACTCAATCAAAAAACATCACTCAAACAATTTTTCAAGGGGGTAGTCCATGAGCAACCCTGATACACAATAGTGTGGTTTGTTTGGAGGGTACACTATTGTGTCCAGCTGCTTCCTGAGGTTATGTTTTTTTTCAACCATTTCCTTGTCCTTTTCCTTTGCTAAAGTTTTTTTCTTTTATGGTATTTCTATGGTATTACTATTGGATTTCTATGGAATTCCTATGAGGTCTCCATGATGTTTCTATGATATTTCTGGAGGATTTCTATGGGATTTCTGAAGGGGTGCTATGGGAGTTCTATGGTATTCTTATGGGATTTCCATTGGATTCCTATAGGATTTTTATGGTATTTCTATGATCTTTCCTATGGAATTTCTATTGGATTCCTGTGGGTTTTCCAAGGTATTTCCATGATGTTTCTATGATCTTTCTATGGGATTTCTGTGAGATTCCTATGGGATTTCCATGTTATTTCTATGATCTTTCTATGGGATTTCTGTGAGATTCCTATGGGATTTCCATGTTATTTCTATGATCTTTCTGTGAGATTCCTATGGGATTTCCATGTTATTTCAGTTATTTCTATGATCTTTCTATGGGATTTCTGTGAGATTCCTATGGGATTTCCATGTTATTTCTATGATCTTTCTATGGGATGTCTGTAAGATTCTTATGGGATTTCCATGTTATTTCTATGATCTTTCTATGGGATTTCTGTGAGATTCCTATGGGATTTCCATGTTATTTCTATGATCTTTCTATGGGATTTCTGTGAGATTCCTATGGGATTTCCATGTTTTTTCAGTTATTTCTATGATCTTTCTATGGGATTTCTGTGAGATTCCTATGGGATTTCCATGTTATTTCTATGATCTTTCTATGGGATTTCTGTGAGATTCTTATGGTATTTCCATGTTATTTCTATGATCTTTCTATGGGATTTCTGTGAGATTCTTATGGGATTTCCATGTTATTTCTATGATCTTTCCATGGGATTTCTGTGAGATTCTTATGGGATTTCCATGTTATTTCTATGATCTTTCTATGGGATTTCTGTGAGATTCCTATGGGATTTCCATGTTATTTCTATGATCTTTCTATGGGATTTCTGTGAGATTCTCATGGGATTTCCATGTTATTTCTATGTTCTTTCTATGGGATTTCTGTGGGATTCCTATGGGATTTCCATGTTATTTCTATGATCTTTCTATGGGATTTCTGTGAGATTCCTATGGAATTTCCATGTTATTTCAGTTATTTCATGGGATTTCTGTGAGATTCCTATGGGGTTTCCATGGTATTTCTATGATCTTTCTATGGGATTTCTGTGAGATTCCTATGGGATTTCCATGTTATTTCTATGATCTTTCTATGGGATTTCTGTGAGATTCCTATGGGATTTCCATGTTATTTCTATGATCTTTCTATGTGAGATTCCTATGGGATTTCCATGCTATTTCAGTTATTTCTATGATCTTTCTATGGGATTCCTGTGGGATTTCCAAGGTATTTCCATGATGTTTCTATGATCTTTCTATGGGATTTCTGTGAGATTCTTATGGGGTTTCCATGTTGTTTCTATGATCTTTCTATGGGATTTCTGTGAGATTCCTATGGGATATCCATGTTGTTTCTATGCTCTTTCTATGGGATTTCTGTGAGATTCCTACGGGATTTCCATGTTATTTCTATAATCTTTCTATGGGATTTCTGTGAGATTCCTATGGAATTTCCATGTTATTTCTATGATCTTTCTATGGGATTTCTGTGAGATTCCTATGGGATTTCCATGTTATTTCAGTTATTTCTATGATCTTTCTATGGGATTCCTGTGAGATTTCCCAGGTATTTCCATGATGTTTCTATGATCTTTCTATGGGATTTCTGTGAGATTCTTATGGGGTTTCCATGTTATTTCTATGATCTTTCTATGGGATTTCCATGTTATTTCAGTTATTTCTATGATCTTTCTATGGGATTTCTGTGAGATTCCTATGGGATTTCCATGTTATTTCTATGATCTTTCTATGGGATTTCTGTGAGATTCCTATGGGATTTCCATGTTATTTCTATGATCTTTCTATGGGGTTTCTGTGAGATTCCTATGGGATTTCCATGTTATTTCTATGATCTTTCTATGGGATTTCCATTCCCTTTACATTTTCCTTTGCTAAAGTTTTTTATTTTCTCAATTATTTTTTTTTTATTTAGAATTCTCAGAAATGCTCAATTTACCAAAATATATGATGCCTTATTAAAACCCAATTAAAAAACATCACTCAAACAATTTTTCAAGGGGGTAGTCCATGAGCAACCCTGATACAGAATAGTGTGGTTTGTTTGAGGGTACACTATTGTGTCCAGCTGCTTCCTGAGGCTATGTTTTTTTTCAACCTTTTCCTTTTCCTTTTCCTTTGCTAAAGTTTGTTTCCTTTTACTTAGCTTCATTTTTCTTGGAATCAAAACCAAAGGCTTTCCAAAGGATTAGTTTCAGCCAAGGAAAAAAACATGAATGATCATGATACACAATAGTATGGTTTGTTTGAGGGTACACTATTGTGTCCAGCTGCTTCCTGAGGTGATTTTTTTTGAAACATTGCCTTTACCTTTTCCTTTGCTAAAGTTTGTTTCCTTTTACTTAGCTTCATTTTTCTTGCAATCAAAACCAAAGGCTTTCCAAAGGATTAGTTTCAGCCAACCAAAAAAAACATGAATGATCATGATACACAATAGTATGGTTTGTTTGAGGGTACACTATTGTGCCCAGCTGCTTCCTGAGGTGATTTTGTTTTTTTAACATTCCCTTTACATTTTCCTTTGCTAAAATTTGTTTCCTTTTACTTAGCTTCATTTTTCTTGGAATCAAAACCAAAGGCTTTCTAAAGGATTAGTTTCAGCCAACCAAAAAAAAACATGAATGATCATGATACACAATAGTATGGTTTGTTTGAGGGTACACTATTGTGTCCAGCTGCTTCCTGAGGTGATTTTGCTTTTTTTTTTACATTCCCTTTACATTTTCCTTTGCTAAAGTTTTTTTTATTTTCTCAATTAGTTTCTTTTATTTAGAATTCTCAGAAATGCTCAATTTACCAAAATATATGATGCCTTATTAAAACCCAATTAAAAAACATCACTCAAACAATTTTTCAAGGGGGTAGTCCATGAGCAACCCTGATACAGAATAGTGTGGTTTGTTTGGAGGGTACACTATTGTGTCCAGCTGCTTCCTGAGGTTATTTTTTTTTCAACCATTTCCTTTTCCTTTTCCTTTGCTAAAGTCTTTTTTCTTTTACTTAGCTTCATTTTTCTTGGAATCAAAACCAAAGGCTTTCCAAAGGATTAGTTTCAGCCAAGCAAAAAAAAACATGAATGATCATGATACACAATAGTATGGTTTGTTTGAGGGTACACTATTGTGTTCCGCAGCCTGCTTCCAGCTGCTTCCTGAAGTGATTGTTTTTTTTTTCTTTACTTGAAAAGTAACTCGACATCAATTGCAAAGTAAATTGAATCCAATTGAAGTAACCTTGAAATGAAATGATCTGATACACATTTTGGTTTGTTTGAGGTACACTATTGTGCCATCTGCTTCCCGTAGGTGATTTTGTTTTTTCATCCCTTTACATTTTTCCTTTGCTAACGTTTGTTTCTTTTATGTTCTCAATAGTTTCGTTCCTTTTATTTGAATTCGCAGAAATGCTCACTTTACCAACATAATATGATGCCTTATTACAACCATTAAAAACATCACTCCAACAATTTCAAGGGGGTAGTCCATGAGCAACCCTGATACACAATAGTATGGTTTGTTTGGGGGTACACTATTGTGTCCAGCTGCTTCCTGAGGTGATTGTTTTTTTCTTTTACTTGAACGTAAATTGAAATCAATTGCAAGTAAATTGAAATCAATTGAAAGTAAATTGAAATCAGTTGAAAGTAACTTGAATTCAATTGAAAGTAAATTGAAATCAATTGAAAGTAAATTGAAATTAAATGAAAGTAAATTGAAATCAATTGAAAGTAACTTCAAATCAATTGAAAGTAAATTGAAATCAATTGAAAGTAAATTGAAATCAATTGAAAGTAAATTGAAATCAATTCAAAATAAATTGAAATCAATTCAAAGTAAATTGAAATCAATTGAAAGTAAATTGAAATCAATTGAAAGTAAATTGAAATCAATTCAAAATAAATTGAAATCAATTCAAAATAAATTGAAATCAATTGAAAATAAATTGAAATCAATTGAAAGTAAATTGAAATCAATTGAAAGTAAATTGAAATCAATTCAAAGTAAATTCAAATCAATTGAAAGTAAATTGAAATCAATTCAAAGTAAATTGAAATCAATTGAAAGTAAATTGAAATCAATTGAAAGTAAATTGAAATCAATTGAAAGTAAATTGAAATCAATTGAAAGTAAATTGAAATCAATTGAAAGTAAATTGAAATCAATTGAAAGTAAATTGAAATCAATTGAAAGTAAATTGAAATCAATTGAAAGTAAATTGAAATCAATTCAAAATAAATTGAAATCAATTGAAAGTAAATTGAAATCAATTTAAATCTATCATTTTTTTTGATTTTACACTATTCTGTACCCGGTAATTTGTTTTTTCCACACTATTCTGTAACCCAAATTTGTTTGGGGGGGGGGGGGGGGGGGGCCTCCCCACACTAATCAGTAACCTACATTATTCATCTTCACTCAAAGTGCAAACTTCATCAAGCTACATTACAGTGCAACCAGCTTGGATCCTTGGAATCTCAGCTCCAGCAAGAAACGACATGAGTCATGTGGCACCAGCATGTTTCATTTCGAGATGAAGCACCTTCCCGAGCCCAGCCCCGACCTTGTGCTTCGCCGTGCCTCAGCACCGAAGAAGCTGCTGTCTTCAGCAACCACAGCAGAGGCAAAAGTCTCTGGCACCGAATCCTGGACTGCGGCATTCTGCGTTCACTGCGTTGCTGACTCTCGGGATTCCGGGATCATCTAAATCATCTACGAACGCAAATCTATAGAACATCATATTATGATAAAGGTACATATACAAATCAAGATGGTACATCATGGTGCATCTTAGAGTTCCTCTCCATAGTCCAATAGACAAAGTATATCCAAGATTTAGCAAAGATTTCAATTCACATTCATCTGACATACGAGATATGTACCTGCCATGCATTCTACAAGATTCCACAAGTATCATCTTTCATTTTGCATCCACCAATGGCATTCCTGGCCCGTCAAGAGCTGCAAAAGGCCCAATGCAACGGCGGTGTCTGCGGTCCAAGTACCCTGCAAACAGCTGCGTGGACACATGGATCACAGATCACATTGGGTCACTATAACATGGACATTGCATTAACATTGGAACGAATTCAAATCAATTCACAATATCTGTGTCTACCAACTTGGTTGAATTATGTCCAACATTGCAGTGAATCAAACAGAATCCAAGGGCTCCGATGTGGCAATCTCTCAACCTTTGATAACCTTTGGACAGTCAGGAGCAGGGAGAAGCAGCCACAAGGGCTTTTTGCGCGGTCTTAAAGTCACAAGTGGTTTACCTGCCTTGACATCGTCAATGTACTGTACTCTTTTTCCGAACACGCAAAAACTGATGAAGACAGCAAACAAATCCATGGTTCAAACACATCTCACTGTCTGAGATCTTCTCAAACACCAGTCAGTGCAGTCCTGTTCTCGCAACTGCAGAAGGCGTTCTTCTGGGGAAAGCTGGTGCTCGCCTTTTTTGACTGGGACAACTCTTTACAGGTTTGATCCTCTTTCCAAACAGCAACGTCCAAGATGCAATGCTAGCTGCTAGCCAAACTTCCTGCCTTTGTGTGCCATCTGCAGCCAATGCTGCAGGCATTCGGTGATTTCTGCCTGGAGGAAGCTCACAGAGGAGTGACTCGGCGAAGGGGAGACGCTTGAGGACAGAAAGCCAAGACGTTGAGACATGCATACATATGTACCGAGGAATGGACAGCAACCACCATAAATCACTTGAGACCGGGGGTGGATGACGAAAGCTAGCGGGGTAGGAGAAAGAATCAAGGGAAGACGTATCTTCAGTGTCAGCAGGGAAATGTCGGTGGCGTTTCCGCTTCAAACCCTTTGGTGTCATGGCGAGATTTCACGCTGTGCGTTTTCCATGGCGAGGCACGGCTAGGTAAGAGCGCCAAGCCGCGTTGATTCTGACATTGGCCCAGGTACTTGAATGCACTTTGTTTACTAAGCAAATGGAGCACAAGGGTGATAAATGCGAAAGGACAAAACAATCTCCAAGGTCCATGCAACAACAACCCCTTTGAGCCTGCGCATCCGCGGACTCATTCAAGAGGCAAATTGACTTCAGGAGCAACGCATGCTGCCTGGTGTGGCCAGTCAACACAGCAGGCTGGATTCCAAATCTTTGATATTGAAACATTCTAAAGAACGTAAGCATGCAAGAGATATCAAGAGATGATTGAGGTTGCACAAATGTGTTGCATAAAATGTGTGAATGCCTAAATATTCTCGACGATCTCTTTCACGTGGTCAATCTGGGGGCCAGTATCCGAAGGCACGATTCTGATGACACAAATGACACTAGCCAATCAAAGAGTGGTACCCAAGTTTTGTTGAAATCCAGAAATTCTCCTAGCGAGCACCTCAAAGGTTTTGCACTCTCTTCCAAGGACTCCTCCACTGGACGTTCAAAAACCTGAGCATCGAAGAGGCACAGAAACACATAGCGGTTAGTTGAGACCTTCTTGTAGTTCTGAAACAGCATGTTTGAGCAACATCGGGCAATTAAAAACGACAGGATTGCGCCAGGCTCATCAAAAGAAATACATCTCTATTCAATATCAAGTGGTCATAGGCTCCAAGTACTCAGAACAATGCCTTGTTGTTTAAACATGTTTAAATAGCTGTGGGTCGATCATGAAGGACATGTTCAAATAAAATGCCTACAGTAGCTTTCGCAGTGAGTGCTATTGTCAGACAGGAGGCTGTGTTGAAACAACGCAGTGCGAGACGATCGATGTTCAAATCCATCAGCAGCACACCATATTCCAAGGCATACTGAAAGTGGGACAGCCTGGGATTCGAAAAGGCTGCTTGTGGTAAGGGGTATGGGTATGTATTGGGCAAATTGGGGCAAAACAATTCACATGGATTGTGAATGTGGGGTTGGGTTGCTGGAATAGCAAGTCATCATCGGGTGAATTGAAAGCGAAAGCAAGGATGCTTATATTGACCAAGGACATCATGTGAGTTTTGCCAGGAATGTTGCAGCACATTGCGCAATCTGCCGCAATCTGACAACTCCGTAGTCATAAATCAATATAAATCATGGTTTTGAAGGACAGCCGAATCCTTTGGTCCTGTGATACTCGTACTTTTGTTCTGACTGACAACTTCTGAAGCCTTTTTCAGTGGAGCTGGGAATCTGCATCCACAGCCACTTGCTCCAAGAAACCAATCCTCTTCTTGCGCGCTACGTCCCATGGCTACCTCCCAGGCTTGCGCAGCATCTTCCAAACGCCCTTCCTTTTGGAATCCGCTGGCAAGGTCCTTCGGCATTCCCCGTGGCAAGCTGCTGGTTGTTCCGTTGTGCCCAAAGGACTCATCAAAGCCATCGTATTTGCCTAGGAGAGTCTCTCTACCTTGTAGAATGCCTCCAATCACAAAAGGTTTCGAAGATACAAAACCGGAAGAGTGGTTCGTAGATCAACTTGTGTTTGTGCATTCACTTGGGTACCGACTAGGGTTGATGACAAAAGATCCTTCTGCATCAACGATGTACATTGAATTGATAGACACGCTCTGTCTATCTGTCTCAGGTCCACCTTATGCAGCCTGCCAACAGTAATTAATGGATTGCAAACTGGAAACCGGAAACAAGAACAGTTGCCATGCTTCCACAAAATTAAACACAAACATATTTTTTCAATGTTCACAATCTCCTGAGGGCTCTCAGCACCCTCGTAAGGATTCTCCTGCGGGTCAACATCTACAAACCAACAAACATTTGGGATGGTTTATGTGAGACACTTGCATGCAGGTTGGTCAACAGTTTGTCATTAGGCAGGACGAAGCGCAAAACATTCAGAGACTGTTATAGAAATCCCCACTTTTGCGGTCCACATTATGACACCCAAGAAATCTGAGACGCTTTTTGTTGCAGTTTGGACTTTCATGAGCAAATCTGATCATGGCTCCTTTCCATCATGGAAGTAGATGTCGTCCACATCTTGTTTCGTCAGGCGTTGCTGCGTCTGACGGCCCTCTGAAGCAAAGCCGGGGCTCTTCTGAAAAAGGCCTGGCCGATAAGTTGTCTGTGGTGGTTTAACGATGCAAATTGTTTGGGACACACAAAAAAAACATAAATATCTGAAACTTCTAAAGGTGATATGTTTATCATTGTATACTGTACATTGTACATGTTACAATATGAATGGGTACTATCAATGTGAATCAATGTGTAAATTCAATAAGAGAACAAAGCGTCATAAAATTATACAGTAGCTATGGTTGACAATCAACCTTTGATTTGTTTGATAAAGGGTTGGAAAAAATGTAAGCACCGAACGATAACAAATCTGGTGCATAACAAATGGGATCAGCGCGTCTCTCTGATCCTTCTGCCTTGAAAAGTCTCTTGCTCCTTGGCCTTGTCTTTTCGCATGGCCTTCCTTAAAGCCTTTGGGCCACTGGTCCGGATCTGTGCTGCATTTGATGAACAATGTCCTTGAAATCTCTACAGTAGCATTGGACCTTGCGATGCAGAACAATAAAGGCTCCAAGCAGTCTTGAACAAAGGCACCCAACACTATTTAAACGACTCCTTCTTGGATGCTCTGTGCATTGCTTTAATTGTACATACTGTGGAACTGGCCAACAAATCACTATCCAAAAGCAAGTGTCTCCCAAGCCTAGCACAATTTACCCCCAAAGATCTCCGTCCTCCAAGTCTTTCCGCACTGTGGCGTCCTCTGATACACAAACAGGCAAATCTGTTTCTTGGCTTCTGAAGCATTGTGCTATGAATAAGTTTTGAATGCCAATTTGGTATTTGTGCCCATTCTTCAAAGGTGCCAAAATACTCGTTGTCACAGAAACAATGCCAAAGCCAAGGAACATTGTCATGGTTGATGTATGAAACTGATTGAAACTGGATCTGACAAACAACTTCCCATGCTTGACCTTCGATGGAGCAAGAAAGGCCTACAAAATCAGCCACCAAATCAGAGCTCCTTTGGCATCAATTTGCAGGCACGCACAAACTCAAACTCAGCTTCCTTTTCTTCTCCCAGCTCCTGGGTTTCGGGAATTTGCGGATATCATCGATTCTGGAGTCAGCCCCATAAACATCATCAAACATCATTTGGTTGTGGGTCAAAACCCTGTTATCCTGGGTACCCTAAAATAGCATATATAAAATAGCTGGTCAAAGGATTGTTATTCCCCCAAATATTGTAATAATTACTAGATTTTGACCCATCCCGATTTTGCTTTTTGCCAGGCATCTAAGAGAGCCTTTGCCTTCCGGTAAGTGGCCTGCGGAGTTAAGAACCATGGGACAAGGCGGCAATTCTCATCCAAGCTGCAGCCAAGAAAACTTGATTAAGCTGCAAAGATCATCAAAAATCTACAGTACATCCTCTCAAGGTATCAAAAGGAAATCATCAGATTCTTCGCCACCTTGGGATTCTCTGGCTCCGCATCGAGCACCTCCTGGGGTTCCAGAACTGGACAATTCCAATGAATTTTGTGCATGGGATGCCACGGCTGAAAGGTGGCAGTGAGGTACCACCTACTTGACTATCTGCCTGCATCCCCTACCAGGCCCTACCAATATGCATGTCAATACCTGCTCTTTGTGCATCATATCAAACGCAGCAAACCCACACTTGCCACCCTCCCTTCACTCCATCTTTTTCTCTAGCTACTAACTAGTCAATGCAAGTCAATCAAGATCAATCAAATCTAGGCTAGGCTCACAAATGAGTGTCTAAGGAAAGCAAATGCAACTGGAATCAGCCAATCTACTTCCATCATATATATATATATATATGTATGTATATGTATATACATATTAGAATCATATAATAGATTATAATAATAACATATAATATGTATATACATGATTCATATAATAGTAATAGATTATAATAACATATAATAAGTCAATCTATCCTCCCCATTTAACTCAACCACATCGCCTCGCAGAGCTCCAAGGCGCGCATCGGCTGGCTGGGATCCAGCCGCAAACAGACCAGCGCCAAGTTCCTGTGCTCCGCTGCCGCTGGCTGCAACAAACATATCATGATATCCATGAGTTTCTGGAACATACAAGCTTGGGATACATGTGGGCATGGATCAAAAATAGATACATATATATATATATATGTATATGTATATCTAATAAGTTTCTGAAAAGAGCATGTTTTTTTTGTTTCCAGCCCGAAATATGCCTGGGATACATGCCCACGATATTTGGGGGGGATGAACAGCCATCAATTCCAGCCGCTTCCAGCCATTTTGGTCACGACAAGCTGGGCCCGCTGTGACTTGGGATCCCAACAGCTGCACTGGTCTGCGCAAAGACACCGCAGCTTCCAAGGCCAGATCTGTGGGAATCGACACTCGCCAAGACTGGGGAACATCCATATATTTATATAATATAATATAATTCAATATAATTTAATGTGTATGTATATATATAATATATATATATATATATATCATCAGCGAACCATTGACATCAAATGACATCCAATGATGATGTGTCTTTTTCAAAAAAGACCAACTGACCAATGTCAAACAAGAGAACAATCTGATTCTCAGGGATGTTATCAATCAGTGTTGAGAAGTGTTGAACATTGACACAAGAGCCTGATCCTGGTTTACCCTGCGCAGTGCATTTGCCTTGCCTTCAGGTAACTTCTGCGTTAGTCTCAGAGCCTCTGCATAGGCCTTGCGAGCACCTGGAAGATCCTCCAGGGCTTGTGGGATGCAAAGATGTGGCAACCTGATGACTAGGAGATGATGCTTGATATGTTTGGTTATGTTGAGATATCACCACATATCTAAGATTTCAGTTTTTTTTACATAATCTGATTACATTATGATGATAAATGCCACCACATGTTCACATGATGAGATGGTGAGGATCAACGGGGTACTCCAGATGTTTTGGAGTATTTGTAATTGACAGGCAGGTAATGAAGCATGCAGCCACCGCAAACTGCTTTGCATGGTGGGGCTGTACCCATCAGACTCATTTTTTTTCTGTGCACCTTTTCAAGATTTCCCTTGCTCTTCTGGCAAAGCGGACCTGAATCAATTCTGTAAGACGGGGTCTCCCAGGTTTATCAAGGTCTACATCCCTCCTGGGGGCCTGATTGCCCTTCAAATCCCAATCTCCTCGGTTTTGAATTTGGCATTGCCCTCTTCTTTCAGCTTTTTGGCTTTCTCCACCCGCTCGGCTGGATCGATTTTCTCTTCCGATGGGCGCAGTGTGTCAGGCTCCAGCACCGACATGGCGCGAGACACTGAAAAGGCCAATCAGACAACCAGCCAGGCTGATCCTGCTATGAAGATTCTCCGTTAAAGAATCATGATTGATGGTATTGGATGGCGTTGGTTTGAATCAGAATTTCTTTTCATCAGGTGCGGTCCACACGGCCACTCATAATGCCTCCATCCAAGATCTATAGAGGGCTAAATTTGAGTCTTGAGTGTAGTCTGAAAATTGTATGTTGTGCGGTTTTCCTAAATATGGCTGCCTAGAAGAAACATCACCAGTAAAAATGATACTTAAACATCTTAGAACCATGCTAGGCATGAGGCAACTTCAGTCCTTGAGGACAAATCAGCAGCTTCCAGCACGAGCACGACTGTGAAGTCTTCAACAAAATCATGCATTGCCCCAGGGTCCATGAACAGGATGAGTTTGGCCAAACCAACAATGATCCAGAATTTCGGTTCAAAGCAACACGTCTTGCGAACTGACTGACATTGTTTGAAACCATGTAAAGAACATAATAACGCCGTGCATTCTCATATATATATGGTCCATGTTCAAAACATGGTATATGTGGTATGGCCATGGCGTGATTTAATTGATGACCGTCCTCCAATCTGGGTAATGGAGCTGGGGTTCCAGGCAACATCCAGGTTCCAGGACCCCATGAACTGGACATTCTATATAGCCATCTAAATCCTATGGAAATCCTATGGGCATAGCCTATGGGTTCTATATCGCCATGAACTGGCTTATGGAAATCCTACCAAAAAATCTAATAGCCATGTGTCCCAGTAGAGACACTGACATTCGTTAGATTTAGAAATGTCTTTACTGGGCTTTGCAAGAAAAATCTTCACAGCAATTGTTGGTGCCTGATTCTCCACCTGATCATCGTTGAAGGGCTGATCCGCAAGCCTAGTGGCTGGCTGCCCTGGAATGACCCGATGATATCCCGATGATCAATCCATGGTGTGTTCCGAACAGGGCAAGGCACCGTTTGGATCCAAACAGAAAGGACCTCAGATGGCTTCATGACTTGACCAAGGTATCAGTGATCACACCCAGAACAAACATAGTATCGCTATAGAATTCTAAAATTAACAGTTAAACCATTTCAGTTTTGCAAATCGATAAAAACATATCATTTACATATAGAGGCGCTATATATATAATACACTAATATACACTATCAAGATCTATCATACGTATGCCTTACATTTGCACTCTCACAGACGCAACGAAATGTAGCATTTTTCTGGGATTCCAACCATCCCCAATCATGGTGTTGGCTTATGGCATTGGGTTTACATCAAAAAATTGGGAATATACATGAATATACTATATCTAACATGGGGATATAGGGATTATTAATGGTTAATACTGGTGAATTATTAATTACTGACCAAAAACGTCTTTCTGAGTAATTTGGGAATGACTCGACAGGGTCACATCAATCTGTTGCGGCTCACTGCCCCTGAGTCACACACGTGTGATCCACTTGTCGTACCCTGGTCCAGCTGTCTTTTGAATCCCCAGTCTATAGTGCTTGGAACACACGATAGGAATCAATGCCTTGTGAGTATGTATGAGTATTTTACAAGCCACATATATTTGGTTGCGCTGTACAAGTTCCTTAAAGGCGAAGGTCTGGACGATTTACGACATGGGCAATGCGGTAGTGCGCCTATAGCGTCGAAGGAAGGTGTAATCCACTTGGAGACCTCCCAAGGACTGAGGCAGATCTGAAAATTACTGGCAAGGACGTTGTATGCGCACAGTCACACAATATATTATACAATAATATATAATCATATATGTATAATACATTATATATTATATTATATATTATATTATATATTATATTATATATTATATTTTATATTATATATTATATTATATATTATATTATATATTATATTATATATTATATTATATATTATATTATATATTATATTATATATTATATTATATATTATATTATATTTTATATTATATTATATATTATATTATATATTATATTACAATATATATATATTATATTATATTATATATTATATATTATATATTATATATTATATATTATATATTATAGTGTATTATATTATATTAAATTATATTATATTATATTATATATTTCATAATTATGTAAAACCATAGATGATCCTAATATTTGATAATATTTATCCATTTATGCAGTGTGTTTCATTGATATCTATTGAAAGTTTCCGACAGTTTGGGCTATTTCTCAATCAGATCAGTCAACCTCCGCTTGGTCTTTTTGCACTCAAGGTAGTGCGCCCAGCTCTCCCGAGGGGCCGAATTGATCCAGCCCGACTCGAGAACTCCGGGAGAAAATGATTCGATCCAGTGACTCTTCACATCTCCTCACCTCATTAAGACTATTTGGCATTGCGAACTCCAACCTTCAACATTATGCAATCTACTCGAATTATTATGGTGCTCTTGTCGACGACTGGGATCGACTGGGTGACTTTGTCGAACAAAGGCTGCCTAGGAAGGAATGATTTGAACATGGACCTGACACAAACCAATTTCCATCAATTTCCCCCAAATATCAGTGTTAGATGGTCCCTCAAACGATGCATTCTCCAAGAGCTGTTCTTGACACCGATGCCAATATCTTAGAATTCCTCCAATCTTGATCCAAATGATCTTGACGGAGGCACCCAAGACATGCCTCTCTCACATCATAAAACAGGACAAGGATGGACAAGGCCACGTCAAACTCAAGGGCTGCACCAATCTGAAGAGTCATTGAGTCAATGATATGAGCCCCTCAACAAAGGGAGGCTCAGGAGGCTTCCACACGTGCTGCCCTTGAGCATGAATGAGATATATAATTGCGTCAAATCTTGCCAGGTCAATATTGCATCTTCATAAGTAGGACACAATCATTTCAACTGCATGATTCTGAGATCGTGACATACTATCATACTTTTCTTTGCATGCTTTTGCAATAGCAAAGTACCCGTGTAAGTGTAATTGATATCATCCAGGATCATGAAATGTTCAGTATCTCTCGAAATCGATTTCATTGATATTTCATATTTATTGATACCTTATCACCTAGCGATATGCAGCTAGACAGTTACACCAATTCTTTGGGAGATTCTAATTTTTGCTAGTGGAACCCTCCCATATTTCAAGGCTCGTGCGGAAGCTCCCGGTGAGACCTTGTTCACTGAGTCGCGACGCCACGTTCCGGGCTCCGCTTCAAACGTGCGATGTGCAAGCAAAGTCACCATGGCACTCTTGGTGGGGCAAATGCTTTGATTTGAATACATATGTATATAATTAATTATATATATTCGAACCATGGAAACCTCCGGAAATTGATCTTTACGCAAGACGGGGAAATGCTGATTTCTGACATGTCTGACAGCCACACCAGTACCTCATGATGACCTCGGTCAGGCCATGATGATATCCTGCCGTTGGAAGTTTGGCTGGTTGACTTCTGCCTTAAATCTGGGCTTACTGCAATATTTCATGGGTTAATAACTTGATGATGAGATAATAATGATTAATAATTAATGGGATACTATCTTAAAATATCTTAAAATGCATCATGAGATATCATTGACACAGGCATCATAAGATATCTGGGATATGGAAGATATGATGTCAAGATATCTTAACAGTTCCTGTGGATTCAACTGCAGCTTGACACACGCGAACACCCAGCATGAACGTCCTGCACCAGCATCTTTCCGATACTTCCCAGGACTTCCTAGCAGCAAAGCTTTGCAGCTGGCAAGATGACCTCCATCTCTCACTGACCCAAAAAGGCGGCTTTGGACGTGAAATGACGTGAAAACAAACTGCAAACAAACGAGAACATGGTTTACACAACTGTTGGACCTGAATTCTTGAACTTGTACACCAAGTTTCGCAACCCAACAAACAGCTTCAGAAGCACTGGGTTATACAGTAGCTGTGCAAAAGGGCGAGATGTCATCGAAAGCACGGGTCTGGGCACCAACTGCAGCAGAAATCATTTCAACGAATGTATCAGTATATCGTCATAACAGAAAGAACACCATTCTCACTTCCTGGAGCGACCGGTAATTCCTGAAGGGTCCTGAACCTTTTCATCTTGGCCATCCTTGAACTTGTTGCGACCATCAGTCAAAAGTTCTTTCCTTGGTTCCAATGCGCAAAAAAACATGATCCATGAACATAGCCTGTGTAGCACTGTGCAACATCAAGAAATCATGCATCTCCCTGTCTAGATTCAAAAATCCAAAATATCCACCAATGATATCCAATGATCATCTCTGCTAGTTCACCTGACTCACAAGCCAAGCATCCCAGAGGCGATGTCCACTTCAATTTCAACCTCAAGAACAGCTTCCACATGGTCGTCCCATGTCGTCCCTTCATCAAAAAAACAAAGAGCCCGATGTTTGACCAGCTGCAGCTATGCCACTTCGCCCAGGAACTCCTTCACTTGGTCCTGGAAACACCACATGATAGTTTTGAAAAAGAAAACCGCAGCCTTGTTGGTAATAATTATAGCGTAGTGATGTGTAGTATACATCAACCATCATCAACCTAGTATGCAAGACCATTGCAAGACAATATCCATTAGCGACCTACTGACCTACCAATCCATCCTCTGTACCCTGTGGTTGTTCTTTTCACACGCCCTCACCAGACGTCCTGATTCCACATCCAAACCGCACGACCTTTGGCGCTTTCTGGGGGCACGTACGGAATCTCAGCCTGTGCTTGATCCTGCCATGGCAGAACACTGTCACCAGGGAATCATAGACATCACAGGAAGATGGGGACGTGTCAACAGTGGGCTACGAATTGACTCACAAAAGTACCTATTTTTAGCATTTTTGAGAAAATCGCTACTAAACCATCCACTTTCTGGGGCCATTGTCACGTCTGACTCATCCCCTGTGCATCCGGCCTCCATGAACATCTGGATGACTCGCTTCACCATGGTGTCCACCTTTTTTTGGTCATCACCCTTCTCGAACTTCACTTCTTCCATCAGAAGCCTCAGGTCATCCCAGGTCATCCCAGGTCATCCCAGGCCATCCCAGGGCTGGTCGTTGCCGATGGGTAACATTAGCGGAAACGGGAAACCAAATCAAACCCTGCACTTTGGACCTCTTTGGATCTAAAATGATCTAAACATGATTTCCTTGACATATAGCTAGACTTTGAACAGAAATTGCCAACCTCCTTGCCGCTCGAGTGAAGTTTTGGAGCTTTGAAGGTTTGCAAATCGGATGAAAGATGATGAAAGAATCTGCAATCGTCATTTTTTTCGTCAGTTCTTCAAGTCTCATTCAGCACAGCAGCTGTTTTCCGTTGCATTTTGGAATCTCCCCCTCCAGCTCATTCTCCCCAAGAGCTTCCGCACACACGTCTTCATTCCAGAGCCAAATAGCACGGCGCATATTACCTCAACTCAAACTGGCAACGTCCAAAACTCCACAGGGATGGCAGACTGCCGAGCAAAGTTCAACTACAGTGACTACAGGATACTACAGGTTTGCATCATTGTCCACTTCCTGGGATGATGGAGCCAGGATGCTTCCAGGCTTTCCTGCCAGCGTCAAGGCTTTGGTCAGAAGTGTGTTGTGGTCATCGCTCATCTTGCCTCATGCGGTGAACCCTTTGCAGCCACTGGATCCAAGTGGCCCCGAGATCTTCTGCTTCATCACCCGCCAGAATAAGTTTGCAGTTTGCACCAGGGATTACAGTATTTGAAAAAGAAACGCAAGGAACAAATGCCCTAAAGCCGCAGGTCATTGTTTAAAAAGATCCGTGCATCCCCAGTGGCTGAGCATTTCCTTCAGGTCCTTGTGCTCCATCTTGCCTTTGTGAAGGACACCGATTTCAATGGATAAAATTGGAAGTCCGACAAACAACAAGACCCATGGAAAACAACAACAAAACGAGACAATGTGCTGTTGCAATGAATTGAACCATGAGATATCATATACATGATGCCTTTGACAGGACCATAATTGTCGATATTCACCAACAAAAGGGCCAATAGGGACTCGATGAGCACAAGAACATCAACAATCAAGACTTCCTCGTCTGTTTCAACTAGCCAATGTGTGTGTGTATATAGTATTACATAATTATGTATAATATATTACAAATATATTACAGTATTAAAAAATGATGGCGAGCTCAAATTGAGCCTGGCATGATTTTCAAAGGTACCACCACCCAGGGAATCTTGCAGGATACATCCATAGCAGCACCTCCCTGATCACCTCCCCGATCACCAACACCACTGTGAAATAGGGGTGCCCCATCAACACGCCACTGAAGCCGTGTGGCTGATCATCTCCTTCAGTTCTGCGGCCGACATCTTGCCTGCAAAAACACTTGCAACTGGCTGAAATGTATCGAATGGTCATATTGCAGTACTCCAATTTGCATCACCCAAGCTTGAATTCGCTCAGCACATTCTAGCTCAGCTATCCACTTGTACGCACAGAATTTGTAGAAAGCTGTATGTAATGCATTTCCACACATGCCACAATTCATATGCCTGGAACCTTATACAATGACCCATAGACCGATTCAAGGATCAAACGGTGTCTATGCAGCTGAAAATGCTCTGGCACTTACAGCATCAACCATACACAAATATATCAAATATCAAATACCCATAAATACCCCTAAAATCCCTAAAAACATCGTATCTTTGGATATCTTTGGATGATTTTGGATGATCGAACATGATCAAAACTTCTTTGGGCCTCCCCACCTTTACCACAAAGGACCACGGATCTGCGAGCTCTGTGGGCGAGAGAAATAGCTGCGAAGAGCAACAGTTGCGCAACAATCGATGCAACAAGCGCAACTTAAGATGATGGTTTCTCTGTCCATTTGTTCACCATTTTGGGACACACCATCTCTGTTTCTCTGTATATTCTAGACTTTAGACATCTTTAATCATCTTTAGACACTTCGTGGGGTGCTTGGCTTTGATATGCTTTGATGATTTGATGGATTCTAGCCCCGTTTCTGATGCTTTTAATCTAGCTGATCACTCAGAATGGTGATGAGTACGAGGATACGGTATAAGATTTTACGTGGGGTTCCAGAGTAGTAGAGGATTATTGTCCAAACATCAGCCACTCAAGAGTCAAACCTTACTGGAACCTATAGCGACCCAGAGGAACTGTCTTCCACACATAAGTTTGTCGGCAAAATGGGCCACATCAAAATCCGTGGGTGTTCCCATGAAAATTGCCATTTGATCCATTTGGGAGGTATATTTTCTTGTTTTCAGACACTCCCAAATGAGTCAGCTGACATTTCTTCAGCCACAGTTTCGTGAGGGATCCTCGTTGGGCCGGACCACCTGTGCCACTTTCATCAAGCGCCGCAGTAGCACCGCGTGGTCACGGATTCCAGCTTCGTCCACAGGGTTGGAATTCACCTTGTTGATTCGTTCTGCGACATTTTGCACCACAGATGGACCGTTTCTGTTCCCCTCCACTAGGTAAGGAACATCTCCCTGCCATTTGCGGGCTCCCATGACAATATCCATGTACGCCTTATTTGCTTTCACATATTCCCTCTCACCCACGCAGCTGCAGAATTCCTCCAGAGACTGCGCGAGTTTCTGGGGGACTTTCCCATCATCAAGACGTCGACCAAACTTTTTCACCTGTTCCAAGGATTCTTTGGCTGCCTGCTCTGACAGCAAGACCTTCCGAACATCCACATCAAAGCAATCTGCTCTGGCGCTCAAGGTCCCATCCTGTAAACATTTTAGCCACTGGAAAGCCAAGTAAATAGATGCATGAACCACAAAGCCTTCAGAAGTTTCAAAGTCTTCACGTGGACGCCATGTCGTCTCAAAGTCCTTCTTTGTGCCGGATTCTGGTAGAGCTTCTTGCGTCTGCGGCGTGGGTAATGACGTACAGGCTGGTGCATCTTTGCTCGTGGCCTTGCAACACGCAAATCCCCACAGTCCTCGATCAGAATCGAACCAGGATCCCCAGACACTCTGATGACCAGCGGGATTTATGTCTTCTTGGTATCTTGAAGACGCTAGTCGTTCACCGGTTTCACCGATCGCCATGAGTCTGAGCACACATCCGCAATGTCCGGCAAGTAACTCACGCAACAATTAAACGGAAAAGATCCTGGATGGTATTTGACTTATCATGACATGCATATATATATATATACAATACATTATAATACTATAATTTACTTACTTTATTAATCTAAATCTGTATTACAAGTAAATTGTGGCAACTTGCCAGCTAAGTGTGTCCCGTATCCTCACTGGATTATTTGCAAATCCCGACTAAGGAAAGAGATTGTCGATTGAATAGGGGATAAAGGGCTGAAGGATGCTGAAGGTGTAGGAAATGGCCCTCCAGCACTAGGGTGTGATGACAGCTCTAATCTTTTCGGCTTCCTGCCAACGCAGACTGACCAGGAGCTGAGCCAATCAAACGGGTCCAAAGGATGAGTTAGTGAAGCTCAAAGACCCATCAGGGCCAGTGACTACAGCAATCTAGAGCAGGGTGAGTGTCAATATCGTCAACCTTTTGTACCCTTTTGTCGGACCCTTTCTATCCTTTCTGACCCATCAGGGCCATCTAGAAAAAGGCCATTTGAGCAGTTGACATTTCACCACTCACTGACTGGTCAAAGCAAGTCCTAAACAGCTAGTACGACGTGTCAAGTTTAACAAGTAATTCTAACATTTCTGGGTTTCAAGCAGCCCCATCTCTCAACTATCCTTTGGTCCTCCAGCAATCTCAGGATCTCAGGCCAACGCTCAACGACATTTTAGAGCTCTTTCAGGTAGGATCGACCAATCGCATCCAAAGCTGGGAGGCACTTCATCCATTGTCTAAAAAACAATTTGACCGCTTCTGCACTGCTCTGGGGTTTTCAAATTCACAAGTTTCAATTATCTTCCATGTAGAACCAGGTGGAACCCCCCAACTGTTGATGCTCAGCATGCCGACAAGCTGGCTTGATCCAGCCAGGGCGCAATCTTCAGTCTCTGAATCTCCAGCATTCAAACATAGTCGCACCATGTCGCACCATCAAACAACCCAAGTGCTGATCTTTGAATGTCACAGAATAATCATAAATTAAGAATAAATGAATGGCCCGCAGGATCTGCGGAACTCTTTCCCAAGATCATGGACTGCCAGCTGTGCTATGAAGCCTCGACCGCGGTGGGATTGGATGATTCAAACGAGCCGCGGTGAGCCACGGCGATGGCATTGGTTGTGGATCGATAAAGTTGCTGTGGTGTCGACCAAAGGGAACAATGATGCATTATATATGCATTATGTATGCCATATATTCATTCATGTCCTATTCATTTCCGCTCCATTGTCAGTTTAGTGCCAAAACGTGTTGTGCCCAACGGGGAAAGCGTGAACCAATGCTTCATCCATCAAGTGATGCAATGGTTTCATCGCAGCCTGCTTTGTGGCAGTCAATTCCCATGGCTGTCCCTAAAACATAGAGAAGCGCTGAAACAAGTTCCACAACAAACAATGCCCCCGGAACAAATTAATTAGAGTTGAAGACGTTTAAAGGTCAGTCAGCGCTTGGCAAGGGTATACCAGCTCCAATCATCTCCAATCCACTTTAGATTTACCGGCTCCAATCCATTTGAAAAATCTGGAAACCACTAAATGATTTCCGGTCCCTTTACCAACACTCCTTTGACGACCGAAACGGCAACGAATTGGACCGACTGGCAGCGAAACCATTGCAGGTGAAACCCATGGAGTGTGCAACTGGCGCTCAGTTCAGCAAGATGTCTTGCATCAGCAAATAGGTGGTACGACCAATGGCAGTCTAGGCAGCATGCGAGGAAACCGATAAAGAACTCTGTGCAATGGGCCCCTGTAAACTGGAATCCTCTTAGCTTGCAAACCCAACAATAAAAAAATGCGGCCACTGCAATGCCCAAGAATCTCCAAAATGGACTCCGACAACTCAAGATTCATTCATCTATAAATAGTCTATAATATTCTATAATCTAGTGAACTTAATAGTCTATATTCTATTATATAATATTTCTACTAATCTTCTACAATCATGTGACAAAATGATGTTTGGGCTACCCTTCTCGCCACGTTTTGGCAAGGAACCTTGAGCCACTCCTTGGCGGTTGCATCCAGCTTCTCGCCCTCCGTCGCCATGAGAGTCTTCCTGAGCGGTTTCCCGTGGAGCCTGTAGAGAACTCACCCAGCTCGGTGCAAAGGGGGAAAGAACCATGTTACCCTCTGGAAGTCAAACATAGAAATGAGAAATCCAAGCTTCTGATAAAAACAAATCATTGAACATAATCTATAAATATATTTATAATATCTATAATAGGAGGGTTTTCCATTGCAAGGTTTGCCAAGGGATAAATCATGATCCAGGTCAAGCCAAGCTTCCCATCACATTTTGGAGTCTCAACCGTCTTTAGCTCCTTCTCCTTGTCTTCCGAAGATCCACCCCCACCCTGCGAAGCTCAGTTCAAGTCTCAAAATGTCGAGAAATTCAACTAGACTCTGCAAATGAAACTCTTTACTGTTCCTCAGAAAGCTCTGAAGATCTTGGAAACATAGCTAAACAATCTGTGCAGTTGAGATGCAAAAGTGGATTGTTCAGAACCCTCCTTATTCAATTGGGGAAATCACTGGATCCAGCAACCCAGTACATCCTCAAGAGCATGAGTGCATCAGAAGCATAGAGCTGCAATTTATTTGAACGGCCCGGCTTAGGTCCAGTTGCATGCCCAAATCATGCTGATAGTTACAAGCTAGCTTAAAAGTTCACACATCAGGGGTTACATATAACTTCTGAGCAATGCACCTGCTCATAGTATTCATCGCAGAAGACTTCTTCGAAGAATTCCTTCACGAACTTCTCATCCCAGTACCAAACCGCTCGCTTTTTCAAAGCAGCAGGAGGGACAAAAGGCTTCTCAGAGGTGCATTGGTCCTAGATCTACATGGAGCAACATACCACATGGAAGTTTTCATGAAGGCCCTGGCAACATGATATGATACAAACAAGAATTGACAGGTGCCTCAAACGCAAAGTGTTCTCACGTTTGCTCACACTAGGTAGTTCCTTGATTCTGGTGCTCTTGTTAATCTACTCAAAAACAACACATGCATGAAACTCAATCAAACATGATGGGAAAGGGCCGTCTGCACTGAACCTTTGCATTTCGGAATGCCCTGAGCGCTTTGTGCCACCCGCTCCTGAGCAAACCTATAGGCAGTCTTCATCAAGAGTTTGTCCACCTTTTCTTTGTCTTCCTCACTTTCCCACTCTCCCTCGCCCAGCAACAACCTCGAAGCGCGACCAAGTCAGAATATGGATGTGTGTGGATCTAAATGAAATCAAGATGTAAAAGAATCCGGATGCTCAACATGACAGCTCCAGGGAACACACGTCTCATATCTGGAAGAAACACAACATGCTGAATCCTGCAAAATTGCCCGATTTGTGCAATCACACATCACACAAACAACATGCAGCGAAAGCAAAAATATACAGACCTTGCTGATTGCAGAATATCAATAAAGTACCATTTTGAACGGAACACCGTCATGAGTAGTTCAAACCAAACAAACATCGATGCAAAGCCTGATCCTGTGGATTTCGTGCAGGCACTGCTGATCCAAGGCGCATCTTTCCATCCAACTTCTCAGGCACTTTGGTTTGGATTTCCTGGGCGATTGCGGAGCACAAGAGTGTACCTAGACCATCCTCGACCATCCTAGACCTAGACTTCTCTGGTCAGAAACATGAGAAATAAATAGACTCGATGTATTTCAATATTTTGTTTGCTTTGTGAATCGCCCAACGATATGAGACAGCACGACATGAACAAAACCTTGCAGCTTGAGGCCCTTCAAATGGACCGTTGGGTCTGAAGCCAAGATTCGGTTTCTTCGATGAAGTCTTTCGCCACGTCTTCGCCCCAAAGCCAAATCGCACGGGTCATGCTGTCTGAGTTCGGCAGCGCGGAAGGCAATGCATTCGGACCCAGGCCAGAGTGGCAGGAAAGACACAACCACAGGGCAAATGAAGTTCTAAATGTATGGATATCATGACTCAACTCTATAAACTCAACAAAAACTGGCGTCGGCTGAGCACAGCCGATATTTATCAATATTCGAAATGTAGTGAATACCTCTGGCACTCTGGCAGGTGTAAACAGTGGAAACATAGCAAATGACGAGGATCCAGAAATGCACCGTAGAAATCTCGACAACAGATTCTTAACAAACCAAACATGCACAATGAAATTTTCAGGGCAGTTCCAGACCGTTCCAGTCAATTGATGCTGACAAGTTTCCTCCTTTAGTGCCTGCAGCATCCATGGCCTTGGAGAGCTTCATGGCAGTCTCAGCATCCATGTTCTTCAGGAATTCTTTCAATTCCTTCTCTTCCAACTTGCCTTGAGACAAACATGGAAAGACTGCTGGGGCTAAAGGCCATCTAAGAATGACTAGTGACTAGTCTATAATAATTTATAATATATATATATATTACTATCGGCGTTGGCCTCTTTATTTGGGCCTTTCTGTTTTCTGGCTTTTGGAGCCAGGCCACATGTGGAACCTGGGGATGATGGAGATGTAGGATCCCACACTCTTGAACTTACAACCAATGATAGCCAAATATAGCCAGAACAGACTCCAGGATAGCCAGGATTGCCTTTCTGTTCAGATTTGGAATGGAATACCCGTCAGAAAATTCCAAATCTTTTCTACGCCAGGGTACCTGCGATGTCCTTGGACTCAGCGGAAGCGCCTGCGCCCATGATTGAGGCTTTCCTGGACACTGCAAGTCGTCAGGATGGGACAGAATGGGACAGAATGGGACAGAATGGGACAGAATGGGACTCAGTCACTTACCTCAAACATCCTGAAACTAACGTAACTATCACGTATTCCCAGCCGGCATCGAAATTCAAAGAATGTGCACCATGGGAGATTTATTGACCCTGTACTTTGGAGACACTGAATCTACTCGTGCTGTCAGTGATCATGACTCATGGCAGAGCATCATGTGCAACAAATAAGTGGCCTTTTTTTTAGTGGCCTGCAGCTGAGACAAAACAACCACTGATTGAGCAAGCAGCAAAGGATCCTGACGGTCAGCTAGGAGGGATCTTCAAAGCGATTGAGCCGAAATCTGCCGGGAGAACTGCAACTGGACAACTCTGTCAGTTCAAACAGCTGGCCTTGCGAACTAGGACCCACAAGCTCAGCCGTATCAGGAATCCCCAGTCATGCGATCCTGCGTAGAATGTGCACAAGTTAGACTCAAAAACACTGCTCCAGATACATGTCAAGAAGATTTCACAAATTGTTTCCTGCAGATCCATCACTCAGAATAACAGCCGCCCCGGTCCACCCTTATGTCTGCGGGGGTCTGCCTTCATGTCTGCGTGGTAGAGTTGGTTGAGCCTGTTTCAGGAAGGATGTGATCACATCCGATTACATACGATGAACACTAAGCCCTGCAAACTTTGGCTGACTCGATCCAGGCATACCAAAAGTGGAAGGCAAAAGAAATTGAACCAGCTGCAGGTTTTATCAGTGTTTGACAGTTTGCCTTTTGTAAATGTACATGTCCTACATTAGTCCATTCAGGTCTTTCAATGTTGATGCGACCTTTGCAATACAGCCCAGAAAACAGAGACTCAGTAGGATTGATCTCATTTCAGATCTGTTTGGGAGACTCTTTGATCACCATCTTCTTTCGTTTTATGGACAAAACAAGGCTAGCTGGAGAATTATTCAGATTCCCGATGTACAAAAACCAATTTATAGACTTATAGTTACTTATAGTTACTAAACTATAGATACTTATAGATACTTATAGTATCTTATAGTTACTACAGTTGATTTTCCCACTAAACCATCCATAGGGCCGGCTGCAGCCTGCACCCAGCTTGGCACTGGACCCTGGCAACTCGGTGAGCTTTGGACATTGGCACTAAACGATGTTACCAGTAAATGTCTTTAAATCAAATAACATCTTGAATCTAAATCTCGTGGAATCAAATAAATTTTATCATATATGATTATATTATGATGATATATGATAACATCAGGGTAGTGACTCATGCTTGATGAAGCAAACACACCATCAACGGTGGGATATCAATCGCAGGATCTCCTTCTGGCTGGATATGCCAAGGTGACGCCTCGAGACCCCAAACAGAAAGTGCGCCCTTGGTGAGAAGTACTTCATTGATGTTAATGAGTTCGTTTGCAGAACTATATCCGGAAGAAGTAGCTTTGTGGTCTTGCACACTGGTCACAACAATGTGTCTGAAGTAAAACATTGTGTGACCACATCCCTTGACCCGCCTCAGAACTATCTGTCAAACGTCTGGTTGCCATGGCGCACTCTTTCGGAACTCTACATTGCAAGTATCTCTGCTGATGAATCCATGGCAATGTGAGAGGATGTCTGTTCAAGATCCAAATGCCCATGAGTGTTGCACGTCTTCCACCAAACCTGCTAGCTGCATTCACGGTATGAGTCAGTATGAGTATAAACCTTCAAAACAAATAGAAAAACAATATGCCACCGGAATTCATATATTTCTCTATTTTTCTGGGGGTTGCTATATACAATGAATTGTATCCAAACGTCTCCAATGTATACTGACCTATCTTCATCTGTGTGGTCCTCATAGGTTTGCTTACTTCAGACCTTGAGGTGGTTCTCCGTCCGAGCAACTCTGAAATGTGCGGAGGAATGGAGAATTTAGATCTGTGAGTCTGGAAAGCAGAATCTACAAATATCATCAAATATCATTATCAGATATCTAACATGGTCTTGGTCGATCCCTAAAGAAACACCATATCATCTACGGTGCCCCGATGGGTGTATCATGGGTGTATCGTAGCCCTGAGTTGGAGGGGTTTATTACTGGGTAAACAGTCCTAATTGGGAGGATTTATGATAGCCCCCAAATGGTTGTTGAATGGAATGGATTGTCAGAGTTGCAAGAGTCTTTCCTCTGAAATTCACCTCCCACTGTCTTGTGTACTCCGACAACATCAATATGTGAAATAAGATTGAAACATGTGTAGAAATAACACATATTAATGAATGTATCTATTCCACGTGAAAGTATACATATATATATAAATATTACCCTCTGGTAAACTAACATAGCTATGGAAAATCACCATTTTTCATGGGAAAAATCCACTACAAATGGTCATTTTCAATAGCTATGTTAAATTACCAGAGGGTATATAACCAATCAATCAGAATGCAGTAGCTCTTCGCAGCAAAGCCTTTTTGGAGCATCCATTGGCTTCCTCTCGGACGGCCACGGCAGCTTTGCAGCTCGTGATCATGCCCGGCCCTCATGCTTTCAAGCCCTGCGGCAAGGCGACGGTAATGCAGATGATGAAATACCATGAAGGTCATGAAGTAATATGATAAGAAGCATATATTTATATAATATAATATTATATATATAATTATATATATATCATGTTTGAGCTAGGCTAGGTAAGAACATGTCTGAAACTGATTGTGGAAAAGGGTTCCACTGAATTGCTGAACTACCAAACAAAGAGGATCACTCGACATTTTCCATGCTTTAACTTCTGGAGGGCTTGTGCGTTCCTCAGCATTTGGCATACAAACATGTGGCCAGGTTATAATTTCGCAGAATATTCTATAGTATAGTAACTGATATAATATACTGGTATTTCAATATATATATATACATATATATATACATATATATATATACATATATATATACATATATATATACATATATATATACATATAATTATATATAATTATATATAGTTACATCCTCAGGAAGGGCATGGGATTATTCCTTTTGATTCGCTGATTTTCAGCCACCAGCCAGACCAATCAGAAATAGCATCAGGGTGGCCTCCAACATCTGCTGCCTTCTATGCAAGTTGCCCAAGGTCATGCCGCAGCGTTTCCTGCGGCTTTCCGGTATCAAGTCATATCAAGTCTCAATCCGCGAAAATTTTGGGGCTGAGTTTGGCCAACAATGGCACCATCATGGCACCAACAATGGCACCATCAACATTCTCATCCGAAAGTCGATTTTTGTGAGTGTGAGCATTGTGCAGATCTTGCGCAAGTCTCGGAGATTCACATCTTGCCATGTGTTGATCCACAGGTGATTGGTGACTTGGAGCTGCAGGCCTATCTGCTTCCAATCTTTCTTGGACGCTGGCCAAGGCATATCCAGGTCCTGAGTCAAAGTGACCATGTCTCAACGAAGCGTCCGAAGCGTTTGGCTGAAAAACAAAAAGAGAGATCCTGCAGATTCCATGGGATGTTCATATGATATTCAGATGGACGGTTTTCACATGTTTTCATCATTCATCATTTTGGTTACAACATGTTCTAACATGTTCCGACCATGCTGAGCAAGACACGCAACGTGGGATCAGCCAGCAATGCCTCGCAATCAGCTAAGAGCTTTGTTGCATCCGGTCATACTGGAACTGCCAAATACTGAGATGTCCACAACATTCCGCAACAGCTTCAGAATCCATCAACATCAAAATTATTCCATATCCATCCATATCCATCATCTTAGTACATCAATACACATCCTAAATAGATCTAAGATGATCTAAGTAGATCAAATAGATCCCTTGTGATCCGTTCCGGGCGCTGGCCCGCCTCGTCGGGCACATCATGGGCGTTTAAGGCCAAAGGCAAACACCGTTGGCGGAGCTCCTGGGTATGCGAAAGCCATTGGGGATCATCATCGATGGTTGACACATGTTGAAACATATTCTGAAATCCAGCAGAAAATATCATATACTTTCATATACCATCATACCATCAGCAACAATATCATCTTTTTCAGAAACCTGGTGTTTCCATGCATGTTGCCAAAAAAAAAACGGTATTGCTCAATAAAGAAAGTTTTTCTTCTTCTTCATCATCATCATCGTCATCATCATCATCTTATGATTTCATACATTGCTTCTAGTAACCTTTTGGCATTTGCTGTGGAATGATGACCCTTTTCTCAACATATATAGTGAAAACGTGTGATAACCGAATTACCCAAAATTCTGAAGACCTGAGTGAAACGGATTTGTGCCTAAAATCCCAGAAAGGAGGATAGTTGTCTTAGACGTCTTGTTAGTATGTTTCTTACCTTATTTCAGATGGAATACCAAAATTCCCGACCTGGAATTCTAGATTTCTGCAATTTCCGGGCAGGAATTATCTATTTCTGGAATTTCCGGCTGGTATTTCTGGAATTTCCGGCCCGGATGTTTAAACTCCCGGCCGGATGTTTTAAGAATTTTCGATGGAACATCTTCAAATATCGGGGTTTTATTGGATTTTCGATGGGCTTTACATAGTTTTTTTGAGACTAAACCCATATCTCGGGAATGGCAAAAAAAAAAATTGAGCACCCATGATTAACCCGTATAAAAGATCCATAATTAGCCCATACTAACCTGTAGAAAAAATATGGATAAATATGGGTTTTGACCCTCCTGAAATTAGTGGCTGTGACTTGACGCTGATTCTTTTCGACTCGGTGTAAAGGACAGCAGATATGATCCATGCCCGACATTCAAACGTGTTTGGATACATCATGCTGTGAATTTGTTTCGATTTAAGCGGCACTTGTAGCAAATTGAATATGACACTTTTGGGCGCAGCACATTTGGGCCATCATATATATATATATGCGATAGTAATCTATTGCTGGCAAAACAAATCAAATCCAGTTCTGACTTGAAGAGCACCCGCAATTGGAGCAAATCTACTTTGCACTATGGTATGGATCAATTACTTGCTGAAACCATCTGAAAGCCAACAACTATATCAAGAAAAGCAGATACTTGTTTCTTCTAAACATTCCATAAAATTACTGAAATCAAAAACCCAGTTTTTCGTCTGAACACATTATTTTTTAAATGAGCCTACAATTTTGTAGGTCTTTGTAGCTCTAGGTATCAGAAATATATTTGAAACATTTCGAAACCACCAACCAGTAAAGAATAGGAGTGAGATGGAGTGAGCAATTGCAAGCCAACCACCAGCTCGATATGCATAATTTCGTCAGCTCGAACCCGGTCCAGAGATGGCAGTGGCGCTGGAACAAAGTCACTGTGTCTCGTGTAGCCCAGCAGAGGTCTTCGCCTGGCTTGCAGGAAAACTCTGATCATATCACTTGAATCCCATGTATTCTGGATTGACAAACCACAATGAATCCAAATGATAGATCGCAGTATCCTGCTAACCAGGCTAAACGGTATAGTAATATATAGTAATTATAGCATGCCAAACGTAGTGGCGCATAGCACCTTGTGTTGCTGAGATAGATCAGTGGCAACCGGGCAGCCAATCAATACTCTATCCACACTGGCAGCATATCCATTTCAGCATTCTGACTTTGCAATCAATGATATGACCTACGACGTATATATTAAAAATTATCAAAACATGTGCCATGTGGGAGCCCTCTGAAAAACAAACTTAAATCCTCTTGGATTCACCGCCCAGGTGCCAAATCTGCAGCGATGGGGCTGTGCTGGCGACCTGAGCTGGTCTGGGATCTGGTCATTGCCATGTTGTCCATGTCCACATGGCACGCTTGTAATCGCTTGTATACATTTGCAATACATTTGCTAAATCTAGGCACTGCATTGACTGTAAAACTTTTCTTTTAAAGAGCCTTGAAGGCAAATAGGATTTGCCAAACTATGCAATGTTCCTTGATGTGTAATTGCATATTGTGGGCATCGATGTCAAGGTCTTGATGACCTGCCTCTCGTTTGAACTCTTGATGCACACATGTTGCGCCGCAATGTTTGATCAGAATCAAATGCTGCGATGGCCGATGGCCATGGATGAATAACATGTTCACTACATGCCGACATTGGTTTCCTCCAAGTCACGCTCTCTGGTTTCAATGTCATTTTCCACTATCTTTTCATCCGTGCCATCAAGCTCATTGTACACTTCCAACATGAGCTTGTCCTTCTTCATTGATTTTGCAAATCTCAAGGTTCTCACCGTGAGTCAGCGCCTCTCCCTGCAAATCGATCAACTTGCGCGCTTCAAACTCTCGATTCTTGGAGCTGCCAAGGATCTGGTGTGCCTCTGCTCTCTCATCCTTTTCCAGACTACAGGAGTCAAAGTTGCCGTCTCCAAGGCGCTTGATGCGCTTGTGATTCTCCTCAATGAAGCCTTCAAGGGCAGCCGTGGATACAGCGCTAGCGCTTTCAGACTGCAACAGACTGCCCCCTGTTGCACCGGGCCCGGGTGAAGCGCGCGGAAAGGTCTCGGCTCTGACTGAGAGCTGCTGAAATTCCATTGAGCCATGTCAGCCATCCCGGTCCGGGGGCTGGCGACCATCATGGGGGCAAAACAGGCCAACGTAGTCTGCAGCCGCCACGACGTAGTCACCCTTCTTCTTCACCTCCAAGCCTTCCTGCACTTGCTCATGGCCACGGAACATGGACTTCAGGTTGTTGGATTTCAAGAAGGCCTCTGCCACATCCATGCCAAACTTCTTGATACCGGGACCCCTTCGGGAGTCAACGTATCCTTTGCCCTCGTGAGGATCAGCCCAAACCGTGGTCTGGCCAACGTCTTTGGTCAAACATTCACTGAAGCGACCATCCTTTCCTGTGCATGCCCTCTCCAACTCAGGAAATTAGAGATATTCTATGATATTCCTTATAGATTCAACAACGGATGGGTTTCCCGCGGGGAAACAAAAGTCACAGACTAACCCAAACCCAGGAATCTCTTTGTTCTTCTGCATTGTGCACTGCTGTACACCATGCCCGCTTTTGCGTAGGACCTGGACTGGTTTGGTCCCGCCAGACAAGGCGATCTGGCACGTCTCCTCACGCATGGTGTTAACTCCGGTCTCGAGAGGTTTGTTCAATTTCACCTCACAATCTTTGAATTTGACTTGTCCCCTTTCAAGTCTCCTTTCAATTGATAATTTTGGTTGCTGCACTTCGACGAGCAACATTTTTTGAGGCAAATAGTGCCTTTCTCGTATGCCATTGCATGGTTGTCCCGGAGGGTAGTGACAAGCTTCACTTCCGGCACGAAGAAGAGCACCCATGCAATCAGCATGGCCATGAAAATGTTGCTGCAACTGTGCAAAAGACTGATTTGATTTGCTTTATCTGAAACCGGCAGTCAGACAGTTGGATCAGCCAAAATCAACGGGAGAAATGCCTGGCTGTCTACCCAAATAGTCCAATTAGCTAGGGTGTCGGACAAATACGTAGCGATCGATCGCAGTCAATGCACCTCAGCATGAAACCAGTGCAAAATAATGACTCTTCTGTGATGCCAAAATTTATGTCATTCTCACATTTGTGGACTCAATAGGGTTTTAATATGTCTCAATTCCCCAAGTCTAATACCCAGAACCTGAAAATCTAGATTAACTCTAGATTCTCTAGATCATTGAGAGGTGTCATTATTGGTTCATTGATTGTAAACCTCACTGCTTCCTCTTCGGCGCACAGGTTTTACCATTATTAAACTGCTACCTGTTTAGGAGCCCGGCACGCAGTCGCATAGTCGTTCTCCACTGCCTCCTGAGTCAAACTCATCTTCAATACTGAGAAGTCTGAAGCAGTCATTACCTGATTTACCTGTCATCAGCAGTGAACATGAATCTGCAACCATCTGCCCCATCTCTTGGTCCGCTACGCTTGCGTCAAATTCCCAGAGAGGTGGTCTCATTTGTGTCTTACGCTTTACTTCAAGATCCTGATCCAGCACAGCCGAGGGGGCAGGTGCATTTTTGTGTCGTTTGCTTGTATGAATGTCAATATAAATGAGTCTGCAAATGAGACTTATCATGTTAAAAACATGGAGATCAAGAGGGGGTAAGATCTCAAGGCTCAAAAACTCATTTGGGGAAGCACACCTGAAAACACGTTTTTGCAACAATGTCAAGACTCAGCACCATACTGATACACCAGCATGTTCTCTGACTTCATGATACCAAACACTATGCGCAAAGCAATGCTTGGAATGAGTAGGTGTCAATTTGGGATAACTCAAGTGCCCAAAACCTCACGATCCAAGGGAGCACCGCATCATTGGCGTTTTTGTCCAAAAAACAGCCGCCATGCCAGGCCTTGGCCATGGTAATTTCTTCACCTGTGCCTAAGTGCATGTCTGATTGCGCAGCACCAGGGGTGACTGGGCCTTATGTAACTTATGTATATATGAATATGTAATTTGCACTCCAGTGGCAAGACAATGCAGTTGTGCATGTGCAGTTAAGATGGTAAGATGGTATATAAGACTGTAGGCAATGAAAACAGGGAAGAAAACCTGGCCAAGTCCTGATTGTAGCCACTTCCAGGTCTTCCCATGTCTTCCCTATCTGGGATCCCCAGCCCAGATCAAAGGCCTTCACTACCTGAATTCAACCCGAGCCAGGCAGCAAGGTTTTTCGTCCCCATAGGTCAATTGGGAATTTATAGCACCCCCAGTACCTGCCGTATCAAATTGGTGTCCGTTGTTTCAAAGTCGGACTGGAATCCGTTTTTTCTGGTGATTTCTGGTGTGTGTATATCCTTGTCGCACTTTCGCAACCACGGAACAGTGAGCACAGCTCAAGTTGCCATCCATCTGTGCCACTTAGTGCCCAAACGTTGTCCATCAGCGACACTGCCAGCTTGGAGTTACCTTCTTCCACAATTGCCTCAGAGAAGCTTCGAATCCCTACGCTGCACTTACAATCACTTACACTAATCCACACAAAACACGAATCAACATGACGTGAAGCGTACGTATCAGGCATCTGCCTAACAATCACCCATTTCTACTGATGTTTTGCTGCATTTGGAATGTTGCGGTGTCTGCCCAAATACAAGAATCCTGCCACGACTGGTGAACAAACACGTCGTCCTGGTTGTAAACTCTTTCGATTTTGAATCCTATCAAACAGTCAGCAGAGGAGTCTGACTTCGAGTGAAGCAGGTCAATAAGCCTACTGGTCCACCAAACAAAGCAGTACTACTTCCCAAACAAAGCAACGCCTAAATCCTATCAAGACTCTTTTGTGCAGGGTGGTGCACACAGAATCAAATACACAAATATCTGATGGGAGGGTTCAACCTGAAGTTCAGGTATTATCCCCTAAATCCAGTTAAACATGAAAAAATGAAGCCACCACCCAGATATTCAACGTTGGCTCGCAACTGAAAGTCTTAGCTCGCAGCAAGGTCCATCCCTCCAATTCCTGTGGAAAGTCGCGTGCTGGCTATCCGCACCGAAGGACGTTTTGTCCTCTATCGAGATGTGTATATATAATATATATTTGTATTAAAGTGGATCAAACAACTGATGATATGAGAAAGAACAACTGGATCATTCCGAATATCATTCATAATAAGTTTATATCAGTGATCCAATGCGACCGTTGCCAACATTCACTTATGGATGCCACAAACCGTGATCCTCATGTCGTCTTGTTCCAAAGACAGTGTCCACAGAGCAAACAAATGCTCATCAGCACTGTGCAATCATGATTTGAGGAACAAACATCGCAAACAGACGTCACTCCAAATCATTCCCAATCCACGTAGTACACGTAGCATGTCTGGTTACCAGTTCCGAGCCTGTTTCCATGGCCATTCGAGCGGCCGAGCTACAGCTACTCTTCGCCGAGCGCGCAGAACCTGTGGTGTGGCGAAGCTGGTTTCCCACTGATGAATCATGGGATGGCTGGGATATGTATCGGACACTGGTTCTATAATCAATATAAACAGATTATGGTGATAACTTATCGGATAACCATCAAATATCAGATAAATATCATCAAATGGTCATGGATTCCAATAATTGATAACCATATATGATTCTATTATACCATTGGATAACCATATGAATAACCATATGATTCTATTAATCATGATCAAATTATCCTGTTTTTCCCACATCAATACGGTCCAACATGGTGCCCTGGCCTCGTGATCTGGAGGATTTCATGGAGGAACGCATGGACGACTCCTTTTCCTAACGCGAAAGGCTGTAGGATGCTGTGGGGCAGACCCTGATGACCCTGGAAAAATTTGGAAATTTGATAAAATGTCTGAAATCTTCCTACACATTGCAGCCGCAAAAGCTGGGATTGAGAATCCAATGGACCGAACCTTGCAAATTTACAAAGGGCAAGGGTCCTACAAGTGACTTCTGCTTGGCAAGGCCTTTATTCAAGAGCACGTAAGATCTTACATCTCAATCCAGTGGCCTATGAGGAAAAAAAATGAAAAAATATGGAACCTCCTGGTCGTTGACTTTAAACCGAGGCACAACAAAATTATTGAGCACGTCTTGCTACCTGAACCTCTGAGGCAGTGTTCGTATTCCCTTGGGGCCCTTCCCTTGTGGCTACACCAGTCTACCCTCTGGTAATTTAACATAGCTATTGAAAATAGCAATTTATAGTGGATTTTCCCATTAAAAATGGTGTTTTTCCATAGTTATGTTAGTCATTACCAGAGGGTAAGATCTCCACCTTCAAGTCAGAGCCATCTGTGACACCGCTGGGGTACTTCACCACCAGGGCACCGCTCCTAAAATCGACGGCGCCGAGGGGATTGAAGCGGCCGCTGTAGGTGTAGCTCTGCAGAAAATGAGAACCAGCTGGAAAAAGCAACGTTGCAATTCAAAGGCATCGCATGAAATTTTCTATCGTTCCCCACCTGCCAGGTGAGGGTTGTTAGATTTTATGTCAGTTGCCTCCTCGTCCTCCTCCTCCTGCCTCGTCCTCCTCTCCTCCTCCTCCTCGTCCTCCTCGTCGTCCTCGTCGTCCTTGCTCAACTGCGACCCGCGATCCACAGTGTTCTCTGCCGGACCTCAAACACGACCATCCACGCCCAGTGTTCCCTGCCGGACCTCAACCACGACCATCCACGCCCAGTGTTCCCTGCCGGACCTCAACCACGACCATCCACGCCCAGTGTTCCCTGCCGGACCTCAACCACGACCACGCCCAGTGTTCCCTGCCGGACCTCAACCACGACCATCCGCGCCCAGTGTTCCCTGCCGGACCTCAACCGCGAGTATCCACGCCAAGTGTTCCCTGCCGGACCTCATGTAGGAATGTCAGATAGACTGCCAGATAGAATGCCAGATAGAATGTCAGATAGGATGCCAGATAGAATGCCAGATAGAATGCCAGAAAGAATGCCAGAAAGAATGCCAGATAGAATGCCAGATAGAATGTCAGATAGGATGCCAGATAGAATGCCAGATAGAATGCCAGAAAGAATGCCAGAAAGAATGCCAGATAGACTGCCAGATAGAATGTCAGATAGAATGTCAGATATAATGCCAGATAGAATGCCAACATATATGCCAGAATATATGTCAGATAGAATGCCAAAATATATGTCAGATATAATGCCAGATAGAATGCCAGAATATATGCCAGAATATATGTCAGATAGAATGCCAGAATATATGTCAGATATAATGCCAGATAGAATGCCAACATATATGCCAGAATATATGTCAGATAGAATGCCAAAATATATGTCAGATATAATGCCAGATAGAATGCCAGAATATATGCCAGAATATATGTCAGATAGAATGCCAGAATATATGTCAGAATAACTGACAGGTAGAATGCCAGAATATATGTCAGATGAAATGTCAGAAAATATGTCAGATAGAATGCCAGATAGACTGCCAGATAGAATGCCAGGTGGAATGTCAGGATATATGCCAGATAGAATGCCAGAATATATGCCAGAATATATGTCAGATAGGATGTCAGAATATACTAAATATATGTCCAAATATACGTCCTGACATGTCATGGTGGGGATCACACGAAGTAGAGTAATTTTGTTTTAATTTGTTTAACATATTACAATATATATCATTTATGCTTAGGGAAGTAGCCGCCCTAAGGCCTTCCAAATGAGACCAAACTCCAACAGCGCGAGTCCTGTTATTGTATCCCTCCGCCAACATCCTTGGTGGCCATTGAAATCAATGAAGGATGAGGACAATAGGTCTGTTAGATGTCGAACCGATCTGTTGAACCAATCAATTGAAGATTGTTTGAACCAACTAGTGGAAGCAATCAAACGGTCACTTTGAGTTCAGCCAATCAGAGTCCATAGTTCTTTTCATTTTTTTTTTCAGAGTCACAAATGCAAAGGATCCATGTATGGTATATATGCTAACATTGGGGGTATATTGATGGGATCCATGTTACCATATATAGCATACATGGATCCTATGGGAAATGCAAAAAAAACAAAAAAATCCGAGCACCAAGGAGTTTGCGGATTCCTGGGCGTTCCAAGCCTCAAATCATAGACGTAGACGCCTCCACGATCCTGGCACTTTGCCCCGGAAGCCCCCGCAACGCGGCTCCAAAAACCGGAAGCCACCAATCCAGAGGGAGAAAGACACAATGTACAGTGTATATATAATATAATATATATATATGTACATCATGTGCCTAAAAAATATATATATATACTATATATTAATCGTATATTATATACATTAATATATACAATTAGATTAATATGACTGCAACTACACCATCAACAACTGTCATGAGAAATCCACCCCGGGACTTTCGGGCGCAGGATGCTCAGATGTGCTGTGCTGGCGAGGATCAGCTTTCTGTCCAGTGTAAGATGAGTCGCCAAGCCTCGAATCAATGCCATAAACCTCCGATTTGGGGATAGACCGGGACACTTATATATACGTATATATATATATATTATTGGTAAAATTGTGGAGAGTTTCCTATATTGGGTTTACATGGGTTTACCAGGTTACATTAATCAACATGTGATAGGTGGTAGGTCCGGTAGGTGGAGTCTTGGATTATTCAGTCATTGTGGTTTGTCGAGTAGACTGGAACTCCCGGAAGCTTTCTGGCTTGGCAACCGAATTAAAGCCCCTCTACAACCGCTATAATTAAGCCGATGAGCAAAAAAGTGACAATTGAGAAAGTCAATTGCAAGATCTTGAAGAGTAAGCTCTCCAGCATGATGTAGTCATTCCGTGCCATTGCTGGCGGCTGAAGTGGGATATCTGCTGGGTCCCACTGTCACACTGGGCTGCCACACGAGGCAGAGATGATCAACTGCCAATCAATTGCAAAGCACCTGGGACAAATTGCAACCGCTCGGCCGACTCGGCCACAATTAATCTCCGCGTTGAACCAGGCATGTTGCAACTGGCTATCTAAAACATCCTTGGAGATTTTCATTAGACTCACGGAATTTCATGCCCGGCCAAGTAAACTGAATAAACCTATACCCACCCTTTGCTGCTTCCATGCCGTAAGCATGCCAGCTGTGCTGCGTCGGCAAGACCGATGCCAGGGCAATGGTGTGCATCCGCTTCAGAGACGCTGACTGGAGGGACACGGTTCGGATTGACAAGGCAAACTGTGCAATCTACTTGGAAACAATTGAAGGGACAGGGTTACTACAGCTGTAACGACACATTCTGTGCACCTCCCCAGACAGAGAGAATTCATGCATGTAATCTGCCATTATCTGCCATGAGAACCTGATAAAACCTGGACATGCGGGGTCACTGAGAAAATATGCAACAATAGTATACAATGTTGCTGTAAGATGCTGTAAGTTAATTACTCTGGTATGCAAAATCTGAACTCTTTTTCTCTGGACAAGCAATTGTGCCTTAATGGATTCCTCAGTATGCTTCAATATGCTCCTCTGATGACATGGCGACCACCCCAAAACTGAACCACTGAAAACGAACACTGTGCCTGGTCCCAAATCCGCAACTTTCCATCTGCGCCACCAGTCACCATAAGATTTGGAAACCTGCCCATGATCATGATCGCCACAACTCGTTGCAGCTCAACTTGAACTTTGAGAGGACAAGGAACGAATTCTGTTTGCATCTGTTTCTGCTATTTCTTTGCATCTATTAGGAGTCAGGCGCATTTTTGAATTTCATACAAATGGTTTACTGAGCCCGCTTCAGAATCCTTCAACAGCTTGCAGGACCAAATCCATTCTGGAAGCTGCTTCTACAAAACCGACCTTTACCCTTTCGCATCCAGCAGTGCGAAACCTACAGTGACTAGGCCAACAAAAAAACTTGATCAGTAGATATCAGTAGATATCAGTAGATTCATATCCACCTTTCTCATGACAATTCTCCAAAAACCCTTCTGAAACCGCACAATTTTTCATCAGCTGCTCTTTCCCAACGCCTGTCACCTCCCAAGCCCAGGCAGGTATTGGGGACCTCAGTGACTTCATCAGGTGTGTTTTTTTGGTGTCCTGAAAAGAAAAACTAGTAACTAGTACCGCTAGTTTTACCCCCTGATGTTGATATGTTTTCCCCCAGTGCGAATCGCCATCGCAAAAAAAGAAATCCCATCTGTTTGGATAGTTAGTTTTCGGGTCCCATATGGTCCCACGATGAATTATATCGTATAGTAAATCATATTAAATCAACATGTTTGGATGATTTTGGCTTCCCATTGTTAAACATCACCATGAAAGCTTCATTGGGCGCCAAGAAACGCCATTGCCGTCGCTCCGCGGTGGAGGTAGGTAACGTTCGCGGACCTCGATGATAGATGTTTTAAATGATAGCTATATAATGATGGTTAAATGAGAGTTAATGCTATTTTCATGATACAGTATTCAATGATATGTATTGTGATATCATGTGATATCCTTAAATTAGTAGAATTCATCACATTGAGCCAATTTCATTCAGATTTTTGTGGAGTAACTTTGACAGATATCCAACTGAGTCTGTCGAGCCGTGGCCTGTTCTTGTGCCAGGTCATAAAGAATCACCGCAGAGTCCTCTCCAGTGGTGGCGAAGCTTTGCCTCCGCGATGCTGCGAAACTCTGGCAATGGCAGTCTCAACAACTGTCATCTGTGTCAGGTTTTCTTTGTGCATGGGTCTTTTCTATTGATATTTGATGTTTTTTTTTTTAAATAAGTGATGTTTTATGTTTTTATATAGTGGTATTTGAGTATCTAGATCTTGCTTCCCAAAGAACCATGCCTCCAGTAGTCAGGCTTGATGCTGGTGCAAGCCTTCTCGTGAAATCGCGACTGGCGGTCACGGCCATTTCAGCTGCAGCAAACTCGTCAGCTGAACAATGCGAAGTCAAAATGAGTCCCGTCACTGTTTATGTGAATTAGTGGTGTTGAAAATGCTTTATTTGGTATTATCTAGGACTGTAGAATATGGCTGAGTATTGTGTATTAGGGTTGTCTAGACTTGAATTCACGTACATGGCCAGCACGATGGATGTTTTGGATCTGCCACTAGCCCACAACAGCACACTGTACTGAGAGTTGGGATATGTGAGGATGCACCAACCAGTGAAAGGGCACATATGTCCATCAAACACTACAATACAAATACGCTGAAAGCCGACTTTGGAAGTATAGGATAGTATAGGAACCAGATCTTGTTTTTGTACTCGTGGGCAAAAGGGATAGCCACAACTTGATACAACTTGTCAATTCTCAGCCTCTGAAATCATGGACAGATCGAACAGATCCCAAAGGCAAACCTGCACCAGGCTGGACTAGGCGCCTTTCGGCACAGGTGAACGTGGTGGACCACCATTTGCACAACTAATTGTTTTGATGAGCGTAGAGCTTTTGTGTGCTATACCGGCTATACCCCATAATAAGCAATCATGAAAATAACAATATATGAATGGTATAAACTATGTATGTAATCCTGCAAAATTGGGAGCTTAATTATTACTGATCATACTGATTTTACCACGGTAGAAACTTGTCATCCTGTTTGAAATGTAGATCAAAACCCATGGAAGAAGGGAGGCTTATGGCTTATGCTTGGTATACTGTGTCACACGGCCAGGTCTAAAAGCCTTACATTGACAAGACTAATTACAGTTCAAGGGGGTTAAATAATCTGAACTTGTACGTCGATTCAATTAGATTATATCAAACATAAACGATTTAACATGACTTACTTAGCTAAGGTTTTCGAACAATATGATTGTGAAAATCCATGAAAATCCCAAACAAAGTGCCCAAGAACATCTGGATATATTGGCATCTGGCGTATGTTCTTAAGCAGTAAAGCATTCTGAGGGCTGAACCATACCTCGCTCATCCGTGCTGCCCAGCACTCGTCCGTCCTAAGCAAAAAATCGTGTTTTTTTCAGAGGATCACCGCTGTAAAATGTGCTCCAGTTGTTGCAAATGACAAGTGCAAATTCAACATTCTGCTAGAACACCATGAGGATCAAAAAAGACATCTCATGACCATGTGGGCATGAGGGCGTACCAGCACTCGTCGCATTTGCTGTTCTAAACAAAGTTGCTATTATACTGATCAAATTCATGCAAACACAATCAAAAACATGCTCAAGTCTTTGTTTTCCAGGATGTTACCATGATTGCCATGCGACCTGGAGAAGTCCATCTTAATATGGAGAAATCTTCTTCCGCCGTAGACGAGTCGATGGTGACAGGCGTAGACGAGTCGATGGTGACAGGGAACTATTTCTAATTACAACTTATCAAGGGCTGATGTTGCTACCACATAAATCCACATAAATCCGGCCTTTACCCCAAGTCTTAGTAACTCCAAAAACGATTGGCAAACCCTTCCCATACTGCCTGTGTCAAGGACTGCATGCGTCTGACTTTGCAAACCTGCATGCCAAAAGAATCAAATGTGATTTTGTCTCAAAGGTATCTAGCCATTGACAGTCTTGCCGAATCATAGTGACTCCAAACCGTAGATTCGGAGCTGGTACCAGCACCTTGCTTCTCTTATTACTCTGCACGTAAAGGAAAACATCTGAATGTATCGGGACTGAGTTTCTCTGAAGTCCCATAAGGATCTGCCTGTACAAGGCTGTTTGCATTTAAGAATCTGCTCAGTCCATGTCCATGTTGACTGTTGACTCAACTTCGACTCCCCATGGAATGGCAATCCTGCTGGTTTTCAGATATCGCCCGCGGCCCAACCAGGAGTTTATTCTTGCCTCTGGGTTGCCGTCTTCGTCACTCAGAACCATCGAACTACTTCGAAGTTGGCTGATAACTTGGTTTTCCCGCCAGTTGTACACCCTGGCACAGCGATGAATACAATGAATGGAAACTTAAGCGTCGGAAAGCTGCAAAGAAAAATGTTCAACGCAACATATCACAACGTGTACAGTACATAGGAGACCTGTTGCAGGTTGTTGGAGGTTGCCTCATGTTGTCTCACCCTGAGTGGCAAAACAAGGCCAGCTGCGCCACATGTGTCCGTGAGTCGAAGCGCAAACAATATGTGCCTTGTCCAACCTACAGTGATATGGCCATCAGCTTGAGGCGCAAGCAACGAGTGGATTCATTTGTCAACATAGCATCCAAATACTATAATTCGCTTGTGACTGCCATTGGGCTCAAGGGCATCAAGACTTTATCAAGAATGAATGCTTGTAGCTGTAAATTAAGTATGTCACGTATATATATATATATACTATACATACAAAGTCATGTTCACCCGTACGCTGAATCTGCTTGAAGCCATCTGAACCAAAGAGGGCCAAAGGATGCCGTCAAGTCACGGTGTCATGGCCGTGATCTGTCCCCCCACCGAAAGCTGTTCCAGATACACCTGCACCATGCTAGCGCCAGGCAATGGATGCAGACATTTCCCGGCTGAAAATGGGCTATACTATGCCAGTATAACATAGTATAACTAACTGTATAACCAGCAACCTCCAACATGTCCACTTCAATGTGGAAAAAATATAAAAATGATAGACCAGTGGAACTATGGGTATCCCATTTTCAATCAAACCCATTCATCTGTGCCAGGCTGCTCAGCCTTGCGCTGCAAGTGATCCCCGGCCTCACTGCTGCCTTCGCAGCGTCTCTGGTCTTGGCCTGAAGGGAAGTTGAGTACAGAAAGGATGGATGGCATGTGTGAGATCTTGTCGTTTGAACATCCAAACCACTGCAAAATATTGCAAATCAAACTGAACAAAGAATATACAGTGCCCTCTGGAACCAAGAAACAACTTTCAGGCTATGATTGTTTCTGTATGTGAAATTATATCCAATGTGTTTGCTGATCTTTCCTTGGGATTTAAGGAGAAACTCAGAACACAATCTATGAACGAAGTTGTTGCCAAGGGGCAGTAGGACGAATGGACATCCCCAAGGACTTGCATTCCTTCCAACTTGTCCTGACATCCGAGCTGGTTTCAGATACATCAACTTCATCCATTCAGTTAGTTGGAAAATAATGTAGATGATAATGAGGCTTCAGAATGTTTCAAACAATCCAAATGCTTCGATTGTTTCCAGTTTCAGATATACAGTAATTGATATGATAAGCTAATATTCCAACTTTGTACCATGATCATGTCCTGGGTGAGCCCTAGTCACAGGGTCAACAGGCCTTCATGATTGGCCGTGCAAACGGCGCTGAAGCCTCCAATGTGCAGCTGCTGAAGAGGCACAGTTGACCGAAAGAAACAAACAAGTAAAAAAGGCATGATTCGCATGATTGACCATCGCAACTCATTTTCCACATCTGTTTATAGCCCATGCCCATGGTTGACCATATCATAACCATAGTGGTCATGAATTTCCCCAGAAATCCCCAGAAAAAATGGCCCCATTTGGTGCCCCAAAGATCCCCAAGATCTCCAAGGCCTTGTAGCCGATGATGTCAGCCTGAAAGGCTGCTTGACGAAGTCGCCCCTGGGATCTGGGGTCACTGGGGTCACTGGGCTCCAGCAAAGCAGCTCTGGACAGCTGCAGGTTGTTTGGTACAATGAACCTGCATTTCAGAGCAATAAGTTTCAGATAAGTTTAATAAATTTAAGAAATCTATTGATCAATCTATTTGACATACTGTATATTCTACCAAATCATACCAAATCAATGCAGTCATGGACTCAAAGGTACGCAGGACCCCAACACTCCTCGTTGTGCTTCAACCTCAGCAAATTTGGGATGGTCTGTTGATTGGGAATTGGGACCACAAATTCTGGCATAGCTGAATATTCTCACCTATCTCACCTGAAATCCCTTCAAAGAAGGTCTGGAGAAGAATATGTATGCATGCATGCCTGGCAAACACGGTGCTGATCACATATGGATCAGGACGGCATAGAGGAATTGCTGAAACCCAACAGGATGTGGCTTGGCATTGATCATCTAGGACGCCCGCATGCATTTGGCGTCAGATGGTGTCAGCAACTTCGCTATGGGGGACCCGGGGACCCAGCATTCGGCATTCATGCTGCTAAACATCAAACACTTAGGATCTGAGATGCCAGCTTTTTTGTAAAGTGATCCTGAAGGAAAGCCAGACTGCACTGACACAGCAATGAGGAAGGTACACACCAGTCCTGGATCCGTGCTTCCACCACATCTTCGACGGAGAGCAACACGGACTCATCCTCACGTCTCACAATGAGGTTGTTTTTTGGATCTGGTCATCGAAAAAATATCCCATCATTTGGGAATCTACCACCAAAACTGGTGATATATGATATTCTACCACATGAGGGGGTTCCTGAAATGGTCTAATTTTGAATGATTTGGCGGTATCCCCATTTTAGGAAACCTCCATATTTTGGGATACAATCGAAATTCCTCAAAGGCAGCAAAGGGTGCGCAGGTCTGAATTGAGTTTGGTGTGTTGCACAGTTTTTATCCCTTCCATCAGGATGCCTGGATAAATCTGACTTGAAACAACACTCCAGAAAATAATAAAATAATCATGGTGTTCCACTTTAGCAAAGATATGAATGCAAAGGTCCCTGTACAGTGTATAATATTTGGCATTGATGGAATTATGGGCCTTGAAATTGGTGATATGTCAGGCTTCAAGTATGCCTGAGCATGAATGTTTCAAGATGTCCAGGTCCAGGTTCAGGCCAGGCACTACCATCTGAAATCAAATGCCAATCAGAAATTGATTACAATTTGCCCGGACCAGAATGAGCAGGTTATGGCAGGTTATTGAGCAATGACAGCCACATGGTCTGCAAAACCAAACAGCCCTGGCTCTGCCCCAAGTACACCTCTCTTAGAGAGGCGCCGGATCCCATTTTGTGAAACCGCGCTGTGGAGTGGTTCAAAACCAAGCTATTTGATTTGGTGAGCTAAGAATGTGAAATGAACGCAAAACAGAATCAACGTATATCAAACTGCGAAGCAGAATCCAAAGATATCGGCTGCATGTTCAACTCAAGGAGCATTGGACCGTCATACTGTGATGAGCCACGGGAAACAAAATGCAAAGAAATCTTGCTGTGATATATAAATTGTGCAGTATTGCAGCATTGCAGCATATTGCGGCATTTATGATCTCAACCAGCGCAGCATTTGAGGAGCCAAAATGTCTCCAGTAAACGCACTGACAGGCGTCAGCCTTTGTTAATGCTTTCATGTTTTTTTATATCAATAATGTGAGGCACAAAATCAAGAGCTCCGAACCTGTGCCGCTTGCAAACCTCTGAACCTGGTCTCCACGCAGTGAGCTGATTTGCGGGTTGAAAGTCTGCCAAGGTCCTATCTTCAAAAAAAACAAGTCCCATGACCTGTAGTTCTGTTGTCAGCAGGGTTTGCCGTTTCTCAAACTCTTACCCAGGCTCAGTTCCATGTCAACATTTTCCGAATTCTTCCACCTGTCCAGAATACATCAAACATACGTAAGCAAATCATAGAAGTCAACAGCGATCAGCAAACATTCCGTATGTTATGACAAAAGGGCACACCAGTCGCACCACACCATTGCAAAAAGAACATTTTGTGCTGCGACTAACCGCTCCCGTGAGCATCTGGCGCACCCTTACGGCTGTGTAGCCGATCACCTGGGAGTTAAGCCATTTTCGCGACAGTGGTATGATATGGTCTGATAATCTCCAAGCGTGGAGGGTTTTCAATCTCAGATCGCTTCACCTCTTTGCAGATGTGTCATGAACAGACATGACACTGTCAGAATCTGTCTGACCGGCAACTGCCGATGAAAGGCTCCCAACTCCGGGCGTCACAACGACTTTCATTAAACGACGATTCGCAGGTTCACTTGCTCGCAGATTCAGCAATGTGGGCTGAAGGACGCCGAGGGAGACAACCTGATAGAAATGGCATGTCATCCTAGTGCCAGACTTCATACATTTGTGACAGCTATATACACATATATTTTGTGTGCTGTGTGTACTGTAATCAATTCTCTCTACCATGTTCTTGCATCTACAGCCCACGTGCTGAAAAGGCCCCTCAGCAGCTAGCTAGAGGTGTACACACACCTCAGAAATTATGGCGACTGAAGATCGCCTAGTTAGTTGAAACCGCAGCAGAAAAAGATATCTCCTCGCTGGGAGCAAATGCAATCAACATTCCTGTCAAATTGGTCATCTGGCCACTGGGTTTCAAAGAAATTCCAGGTGCGCTGGATGGGTCTTGAGATTCAAATTGATTCAATCAGTCAGAACTTCGGTGTGTGGAGCATATGCAGATCATGTTCTGATCATCCGCTGATCATTTGCTGATCATGTGCTTCACAAACCACATCCAAAGCCTGAAAGATGGCGTGCAAGCCGCAGTGCAGCGCACTGATCGAATTACACCATGGAATGGATTTTGCTAAATCAAAGATGGAAAGGCTGAAAGCGGCTGAAAGGAGGATATTTTTGCGGCCCAAAGTGGTGGCCTCCCTCCCTAGGTACCAAGTCCAAGTCGCTCCAGAAAATACCATGCTTCATCATTTTTTTCGGGGATCGTTGCTTCACAATGCCACAACATGCCACGACCTTCGTGGCTTTGAATGATCTGCATAGACGAGCAATTGCTACTTGATTCCGCCAACAAACAGACACGTGTACCTTAAGCTCCACATTCAAAAACTGAGCGTTTCGAATGCAGCGCAATGTTGGACTCTCCCAGATGATCACAAGATATCACAAGTAATTACAGGACAACCGAACAAGTACACATATATGCCGATGCCTAAAATCGAAAATCACAACATATACAGGAACGAAAGCAAAATTCTAACGCTCACCTGTCGTTATGTGAAAGACACAGAATAATAAACTGTATCATGAAATCATTCATCTTCTGTAAAACATGGGAATCACATCTTGGACAAAGCTTGCCGAAAACTACAGCCCACCCGCAATGAATCCCGTCTGCGTGATCTTTCACAGCGCAAACCACGCACGGAAGCAATTCTGAAATAAAACGTTTTCTCACATACTGAAACAGGATCTCAAAGGTGATGAATTATTCCTTCATTCTTACAATGAAAGCCCAGGTTCTATGCAAGATCAAATTTCAAAAAATATGGTGCCAACATGTAAATCATCTGATGAATACAGGATCTTTCGCAACGCACCGGTTGCCACCCGTATCACTGGTCTTCAAACCTGCGTCGAGTTTTCTGGCATGGTGAATCCTTGGCCAACAAACAAAAACCCGTTGCAATCTTCTGGACCCATGGGAACCATGAATAGTGGTACAAAATGGCAGAGCTATGTCACAATGTGTCCCCAAAAAAAGACCTGTCTACAGTTTTTGTAGCTTATCTTAATTATCTGATGGACTTCCTGCCCAAGATTAATCCAAAATTATTGCAATGCATGGAAGCTTCCAAGGGAACTGATATACATGGTGAATGAGTGATGTTGCCCTTTGGGCAATTTATGATGATGTGAAGGGGGAGTCATATATTCAACAAAGTCTGCGCCTTGTCGCACATAAAGGACTAAATACATGGGCATAAAACCTGGAATCTCCATACAATATAGTTGAAACATGTTGAAATGGGGCAACTATGCCACACATTCAAGCACCCTTTTCTCAACTACATCTCTACAACTCTCAACTTGCAACATTCATAATGCATGTTGCTGCTATCCATTGTTCAGTGTGTTTTCTTTTGAACGTCGGTGACTATCTCCGTGTAAGACCAAGATGCATTTACATTTTGTTGTACATACACAAACACGAAAGACACAAAAGCATGAACTGCACAATCTGTATCCGGAGCAGCCACCAGCCCCGCGTCCCTACCTTTTCTATGATGGACTTTGGCTTCACTTTGAGATCAGCTGCAGGCAGGTTAGTCACCTTGGGTGCTACTCTGCTACTACTCATTGGGTTTGGTTCCTGTGGAAGGCCATGCTTGCAGAGTTCGAGAAGACTTTCAGCCAAGACTGTCAGCCAGGACAGAAAACAATTCTCTGCTGGAACGAACAAAAAGATTTGCAAGAAATACCATCGAGACCAGCAGTACTCTGATGCACCTCTCAAACACATTCAAACACAAGATGTCGGAGCCATGAAGCTCATTGAAGCGCATTGTGTGCTTCCAATTATTGTTGAGACCATCAAGAAGACCTCATCAGTGCATTCTTAACGAAAGCTTGGGGTATTCTGCGTCATCCAGGCTCCCCGCGTTTTGAAGTGCAGTAGGCAAGGTCGGGGCCACTGACTTCGTGGTCTTTGGCTTTTCACAGGACTGCGACAAAGCACAAGATGCACAAGTCAGGCTCAGCTCCGGTTGTCAAAGTGGAAATTGGCACTTCAGGATGGGTGTCTATGAAACAGAAAGTGGTTGCAGCTTCTAATCATCACCATGGAAACATGGAACACATCAACCGTGTTTAGTTCCTCAGAATCATACACGATCATAGGGCAAGCAAATGTTGATGAGCAAATCACGTGCAGTATCGGCAGTAGTTCATGGATATATATATATATATATGGATATAATATATATATATATGGATATAATATATTATATATATGGATATAATATTATATCATCGCGTAATGCATTTTTTGCCGCGGATGAGACAGCTTGCTGGGCTACAGTGAGGCTATATAAATCTACGAAATTCTACGAACATATTCAAGATCAGGTCCATGGGTCATAAGTTGTGACTTGTCAGCTGGTTTGATGGCATACCTAATGACATCCTACAAGGGCCTTGAGGCCACAGGGGAAGTGCTTTTTAACTAAATACTGTGCTGAAACTGGATCTGCTGGACCAAAAAATACCTGCTCCAATCAAGATAATTAGTGTGAGACAATTCCAGAAATCTAGTGTACTATCAAAGGACATCAATGGAAATCAATACCCTGTCATCCAAACAGCTTTCGAGGGGTTGACACGCTGCACCTCTTCAACGCGACTTTGCTCCATGAGGCCCGCAACAATCCTTGGCCATGAAACTGTGATCGGTCGAGGCTATGAGGCCGCCCAGCTCAGAGCCCAACTGTCGCATGGAGTGAAAACGAACCACGCCTTCCTCGTCGATCCTACCGAATCGCTCGATGATTCACCGGCATGTCACGGCTAAAGCGAATGACATGGCTTCAAGGAACAACTACCAATTGACATGTCCATGTTAATGTCATCGTTTTTTTTCTGGATGGTTTGATTTGAGAAATAATCAGTTTTATTGGTCTTCAAATTTGTATCCAATGCATCTGGCTATAATGTCAAGTAAGGGAACACGGAACCTTTGTGAGATGTCATACAATCCGACGGAAAGTTCGGACAATCCAACATTTGGCTCAGAATTGCCTGCAAACATATGCGAAACTATACAATTTGATGCAAATTAACTTGTCCGTTATTTTCATTTCACCAGATTTCACCACTCTAACAGCTTCAGGAAGAACGGCTTAGCCCCGTTCCTCCAAATATTCGCATCTTGGGTCATGAAAACTTGGCAAATGAAGTTGGCCGGACCTGCCCGTCGCTCTGCAGGCCATTCAAGTGCACATGACTGACGCCAAACTCCTGTCATCTTCTGCCTTTGGGTACTGAATTTTTGGCCAAAAATGCCATTTTGAACTTCGAACCAGCACAAATGGCATTCCCAAAACCAATTCTGCAATGAAATGAAGGCTGGAAACATCTGGAAAACAAAACACATGATGTTAGTATGCTGATGTTCATCTACTTCTCACTTGGCACCAGTACACTTGCACATCTTTTTCAAAATGTTCAAACCACACATGAACAACTTTAAGAAAGATCTGACATGCGTTTCGCCAGCTTGCAAAAAGTCAACAAGTGTTGGTTGAGGCTGGCTGGGTCTCTCGCAAAGCGTGACTCTGGGCACTCGGCGGAAGCGGCACCGGCCGCTGCGATCCTAAACACATTCTATGTCGGAGGGAATGTGTTTGGACGGAAATTTACATGCATCACTTTTCCTCGATATAAATCTATAGGCCTATAGGCCCAAGCATTTCCTTGGTCGACATACCAACGATGTCCAACTCCTGATAGGACGATACAATGTGATACAATGATGTATGATGATATAGTTTGATGCTTCTAGACAAATTAATCCAAAGTCTACTTTCCGTTCTCACCTGACAGACAGGCAGACAGACAGTCCTCCAAGTCCATCAGCCGGACAGTCATCTGGGCACCAGAGAATTGTCACATGCCATGTCAGTGGTGTTGAGACTGCATCTAAAATGATTGACTTGACTTTGTGCAAAGAATAGCATGACGCACTTGCGACACTTGTCAAGAAGTGTGTGTTCCCTCCCTTCTTTCCAAGCAATTCACGTCATCAAAGAATATATCAGATCATATCAAGTCCCCCTGCCTGACTCCGCTCATCACTGCGAAGCAGGAATGGCCTCAGAACTTTGAAGCCCCAAAGACTATAATTCCTAATTAGTCCATATTAGTCCATAATTCAATCCATTTGAGGTGCACAGAATCACAGAATTTGGATCTTCCTCTTGGCGGCCCGTTTTAAAAACACCTTGGACGAGGTCCTAACGCCATCCAGCCAGGACGAGGTGTCACCTTGGGAGCTCTGACACAAGGCTGCTGAAGCCATGCTCAATCAACTGTCAATAATATGTGGGTAAAACAATGATTAATAATGGTTAATAATGGTTAACAATGGATTAAAACAGCTTGACCTGCAATTAAGCAGGAAATTGGCAACGTCGCTGATAAATTATCCCGAATGGAATCTGCACACTTCAATGTGATTATTCAGTATTGTTTTTGCCAACCGTTGCCAAAGCCAACCCTGAAGTGCCATGCTCTTTTCATGCCTCACACCAACACGCACCTGAAGTGAAATGCCACAATGTACTCCCAGCAACCAGTGGAATCCAAGATCCCAGCTTTCTCGATCACGGCCAATTCCACTTGCTGACTGCCAGTGCCTGCGGCAAGAATCGTCCATGAACATAAAACAAAACCAAAGTCACAATGAATATCCCTGATTTCTGTCCCAGCCCTCCCAAACGAGAAGATGGCATCCCCACTGTGAAAACTGGAGGTCTGTCAATTTTGCTACGGAGTCCAAGGATTCTGCTGAAGCGGGTCATGTCTGTATGTGGACAGCGAAGCAAGTGTGATGGCACGGCCACTTACAACTTGATTTGTCAAGCGTCAACGGGCTCAAGAACTATACTTCCACAATCAATGCCAGCACTTTATTCTAGAGCGCCCTTGATGGACGGACAACGACAGCCTAACAAATGGAAAACAAAACCTTGTGAGTTTAGACAGCAGGAGCGACCAGTGCAGCTCATACAATGTCTGTTCAGAAAATCAAACAAACACCTCGCCCGTGAACCTTGACGCTTCTTAAATAGTAGTATAGGACTTCACATACACCCTCTGCAATGCAGAACTATGTAGAATGAGGGTTTTGAGTGAATTTCCGTCCTCTGAATTGAGCGCTGCATTCAGCGCCGCAGATCTATGACGATCTGGCATTTCTGTACATTTGTAGCTAGTAGAACTATAAGGATGGCTAAACAACTGGTAACTAGACAAATTGGTGAAAACTGTGCTTTCACCAGCAGCGAATCTCATCATGTGTCTCAAATGGTCTCCTCACAAGGACACCTTGGCATGTTCAACACTGCCGACAGCTCAGCAATGCTACCATCACCACGTGGAAACTTAAGTAAGTCTGCAAACGTCGACAGTTGCATTTTCTTGTAAGAAACGCCACTATAGGGAGGGTACCCATCCGAACTGACAGTTTTCACTAAAGCACAAGTGCTAGTTAAACAGTTTCCAGGGACCACTCTACAGGTCCATTGGTCAATGTGTGCTCTTGCGGAAATAGTGCTTGGGAAGGCTTCCCACAAAAACCGATGGATTTAGATTGACATGTTGAAAACCGTTTTCTCAACATGTCTTGGCGTCCTGTCACAAATAAGAACCCTGTAGGCTCAGCGATGCAACCAACTAGACGACAGTTGGCCCGCGAACGAGTAGGTGTATAGGTACTTAGATGTGCTATGTAATTGTATGATGTGCAAACGCCAAAGACTTACATACATGAACATGTTCATGAAAATGTTATTTGAGATCATGTGAGTATGTTCATTATGTGTAGATGTCAAGATAAGAAGATGTGAAGATGTCAGGGTTTTAGTTGCAAGAGACAGACAAGGTATGCTGCACAGAAGATGTGAACTATATATATTATTTAATAAACAAACATGGAGATATGTTGATAGACTCTCAAACGCAGACGCACGCAGAGAATCGCAGAGAAACATGTTTACACATATATCATACAGACACACACACACAAACATCCACACACACACAAATTTACACACAGAAGTTTTACACACAAAAACGTTTACACACAGAAGTTTTACACACAGAAACTTTTACACACAGAAGCCTGTACGCCTGAACACACAAATGATAGCACACACAGAAGTTTTTACACGCAGACGTTTTTACACACAATTTTTTTTCCACACGCAGATTTTCACGCACAGAAGCTTTTACACACAGACACTTTTACACACAGACACTTTTACGCACAGACGCTTTTGAACACAGCAACTTTTACACACAGAAGCATTCACACACAGAAACTTTTACACACAGGACCTTGTGCAGACAGAAGCTCTTATACACAGACGTTTTTACACACAGAAACTTTTACACTGAGAAGTTTTTACACACACACACTGTGGGATATGTAGATTCGATCGTAGTGTGGAGAAGTAAAAGAACACCACCAGTTCCTGAATAAAGGGCCTGAAACGGATCATAGGACATGAGGCATGAATTATGAAAAATGGATTCCGGTTCTCAGCTTAGCCGGATGCTATATCGAAGTTACTTAGTTTCCGGTTCTCAGCTTAGCCGGTCCCTATCCTCTGATGCAGGTACGCTGGGTTGATCAGACCCAGTATCCCATGATTGTGGTAGCTTCGTTGAGTGCGGTCCCACAATCATGCCGCACTCCCCTGCCAAATCAATATTTAGACTGCATGTTATTAGCAGTGTACACACACACATGGCCTCTCAATATGAGAGGCAAATCAGTAAGAAGCGTACTAGCACTTCGCATAGATCGTAAAGGTTTGTTTGTTCCAAGGTAATTCCAAAGTGATAGTCTGTTGCAACGTATCAAGGTGCAAACTGGGATCCCATACTGGCACCCCGACGTTGTCGAAATACTTGGCTCCCGACCGTGAAATACGAATGATCCAACAAATATTGCACCAAGCTAGGAATATCACGCAAAGATACGCAAAGTAATAGTCATATATTGTTTCGTCTTCTCTCCAAGATCCTTGAAAAAACACGAAGAATCCGTTCCAAACGAACAACATGTAATTGCATAACAGTATCTAATCCTTGTTCACACTGAGAAGCAAAGGTGAATACAGCGAACTGTATGGCCAACAAAATACGATCATGTTCAACTTGATTGTAAAAACCAGCGATATCTGTTTGACGCAAGGAAAAGGCAGTTTCTGCAAAATCCTCCATAGAAAATAATGCACTGATACCAGTAATGACATCTTGAACATGTGCAAATTCCAAAATTCGATCCAAAAACCGCATTGAGGATGCAACCCAAATGCATCAAGTGATCTACGGAACGACACTGAAACAGCCGTCGGAGAAAACTCTTTAAATCTTGGGACTTCTTGGTTGTAAACAGATCAGGAAGTCAAGAATGCGTCAAGCCTAACAAATCTTGATTGTCCACATATCGATGATGCAACGAACGATCCCAAGTGAAGGGTGAAAAAGAGAGATGATAGTTCCATTCACGTTGTAAAGCCACGGCTGAACAAAGTACAGGTGCAAACTGAGATCCCATACTGGCTCCCCGACATTGTCGAAATACTTGGCTCCCGACCGTAAAATAGGAATTATCCAGCAAGTATTGAACAATAGCAGGAATGTGTCTCAATGTAACAGAAAAGTATTGTTTTGAGATAACGTTCCAACTTGCGAATGGGAGCCTGCAGGACAGTGTCTAAACCTTGTTCGGTTTTCTGTGCATACGCGTACACGACAAACACAATGACATCAAAATTCCGGAAAGTTGTACTTGATTATAAAAAGCAGCAATGTCTGCTTGATGCAAGCAATGCGCAGACTCCGCGAAGGACTCCATAGTAAACAATCGACGAATTCCTTCAATAACAGCTCGTACATCCGGAAATTCCAAAATGGACCGAAAGACAGTGTTCAAAATTTTGATCAGAAGAGTAGAAATCGCACTGCCCAATTTCCTAGCCCATGCTGTTGAATAATGCACAATTGGTCGAGCTTTTGCAAAATCACGGGTAGGTTTAGGCAAAATATTTATCCTTTGCTCAATGTCGAATTGCGAAAACCTAATCCCCAGGAATAAGTTTGTTGAAGAGCGGGGATGACTGGAGGTTCCACACGTGTTGAAGGCGAAGGTGTAGCCTTGTCCCGAGCCAAAGTTGCCGCTGCTGCCTTGGTAGAATCGTCCTGAGTGGTTCCTGGGTAAGAGGCAGCACAGACATCTTTTTATCATAGCATGAATTGTTACATCTGGCAAGAATCTACGAAATGAAAGTAGCCACTCCATGAATGGTCGAAAGGTGAGATCGAACTGCCCAACGAGAATCTGATCCATGCACAACATCAAAGAAATAGCCCAACAATTGATCTGCATAAACTCCACCCTGTGAGGTCCGAATGTGTGCTTGACGTGCAAAAGCACGACCAACAATACAAATAGGCCGAGCAGTATTGAGGCCGCCAAATTTCTTGGCTTGTTCCAAAATTTTTCAGCACATGTTTCCTAGAAAAGGAAGAATCATCATTGAACAGTACTCCCCGAGAGTAGAAGGTATTGGGAGTCAGCCAGTCTGGGCTCCGTACATCGCATGATGAATGGTCGAACGACCCCTTCTCGCACAGCTGAGGCCATTCCCAATACTGATGTATTATGGCCAAATCCAAAGTACTGAAAAATATCAAAATTGTCCGCACGCCACTGCGGGAGTGCCAAGTGCGCATAGATCGCAATAGGCTGTTGCTGGGAGTTGAAAATGATCTCAAATTTCTCAACCAATGAAACATTGTTGCTGTAACGTCCCAAAGCAGTAACCAGAAAGCGGAGAGATGTCAAAACAGAATCACGCAAAACAGGGTTACGTAGTTGTGCAGAAAATCGATGCTTCAAGACAGTCGAAATGTAATCATGCCAAAATTGTGTGATTCACTGCATCTTCATGAGTAATGTAACCACGGGAGGAGTTAAAATGGTCAGCATTAGGTATCCATTGTTGACATCTCTTATCTTCGATCAGCATTCCATCTTCAAAGGCATTCTTCACGCAAATGGATTATCAGCAATTGATTTGTGAATACGAAGCATCTGTTGATAAAGAAAAAGAATGTCGATCGTCTTGAACAAATCGTTTGCACCCACTAATAATTCAGATGAAAATGTCGCCACGGGAAGAGCGACCCAAAATTGAAATCCTTGTGTCTTCAATTGAGGGTGGACCATTTCTTTGACTTCATGACTGGTCTGAAAAGGATCATCAGTCTGAGTCCGTCTAATGGTAAAACAGACAGTCTCATTGCGGACTGGTGGTACCACTCGCTCACTAACTGAAGACCAAATTCGTTCAGGAGTATTACTTGTTCCAGATTGCTTCACATGATGGTAAAGACCATAGTGCGGAATCTGAACTGAGCTTGTAGCACTTTGTAGCTCATGAAGAGGATCTGGTTGGAGATCAAGACGACGACGTTTGGGTTCCGGACCACTTGGAGCAAGCACGGAAGGTCCCGGACCAGCTGGTAGAACAGCAGACTGCACCAAAGGTCCCGGACTACTTCCAGGTAGTCCATGAGAAGGATCACACAAGGTCCCCGACGATCCCAATGCTGATTGGACAAATGTGAGCGGCTGAGTAAACAAATTTCCCACACCAGGTACTAAAGAAGACATGGAAGACATGAATGCATTGCATTGAAAAGCCAATGGTAACATCATTTGTTGCATAGAATGCAACTGTTGAGTCTGAATTTGTTGCATCTCAATGATGTGTCTTTGCATCGTTGCCATTCGTTCCAATGAACGAGCATGCTCTTGTTGGGTACGCAACATTGAAGACATAGAAGATTCAGTCATACGTAAATTGTTCAACTGCTGCGAAACACTGTTGGTGATCACTCCCGGAGGAATCGGCAAGTTCGGGGGAGGTCCCGATGATTTCGCAAAAGTTCGAAAATCCATGGCTCGAAACTACGGCTCTAAGGTTAAATGTAGAATTAGATCATACCATAAGAGCACACAAAACTGAGGATAGGACCACATGTACTGGAGGAAGCGCGCATTCAAAGTACTTCGTCATACGACAACTTCTCCCTTGTGGGTACTTCGCCAATTAGGCAAAACTTCGCCTTATGGCTGTCAATATGTGTTGGACGAACTTCAATGTCCACCTTGACATTGTCTACTTCTTTTGCATGTAATATGCAAGGGAACTTCTCTGCAGCCGGGAAAATGCCCGGTCATAACTTTCATATCCGTCGAAACGGACAGACGGTACTACCAAGTGAGGTAAAGTACCCGAAACACACTGTGGGATATGTAGATTCGATCGTAGTGTGGAGAAGTAAAAGAACACCACCAGTTCCTGAATAAAGGGCCTGAAACGGATCATAGGACATGAGGCATGAATTATGAAAAATGGATTCCGGTTCTCAGCTTAGCCGGATGCTATATCGAAGTTACTTAGTTTCCGGTTCTCAGCTTAGCCGGTCCCTATCCTCTGATGCAGGTACGCTGGGTTGATCAGACCCAGTATCCCATGATTGTGGTAGCTTCGTTGAGTGCGGTCCCACAATCATGCCGCACTCCCCTGCCAAATCAATATTTAGACTGCATGTTATTAGCAGTGTACACACATACACACGTTTTTACACACAGAGGCATTGGCACACAGAAGCTTTTACACACAGATTTGTTTTTACACACAGACACTTTTACACACAGAGGCTTTTACTCACAAAAACTTTTACACACAGACACTTTTACACAGACGCTTTCACACACACAGAAGCATTTACACACAGAAGCGTTTACGCACAGACCCTTTTACACACAAACAGTCACATTAAACGTTTTACACACAGGCCGCCCCTTTTGCACACAACGACTTTTACATAGAAACATTTTTACACACAGACTCTTTTACACACAGACGCTTTGTCACAGACCCTTTTACACACAAACACTTTAAACGCAAACGCGTTTGCATACAAACACTTTTACACACAAGCACCTGTACATGCAAACCCTTTAACAGGACCAACGAAACTCGCAAAAAACCATCAGTTTTTGACACTCGAACCTCATTTCGTGCGAAAGAGTGGCCATATCGTGGCGCCTCGTGGGCACTGCCTGCGGCCTTGAGAGTGAAAAGAAAAAGAAGGAGAGAGACCGTGACAGGGGGCAAGAGAAAAGAAAGAGAGAGAGAGAGAGGAGAAGATGTGCGAAGATGTGCAGATGTGAGGATGTGAATATGTGAAGATGTGCAAATGTAAGGATGTGAAGATGTGAAGATGTGAAAATGAGAAGATGTGAAGAAGTGAAGCTGAGAAGATGTGACGATGTGAAGACGTGGAGATGAGAAGATGTGAAGATGTGAAGATGAGAAGATGTGAAGATGTGAAGCTGAGAAGATGTGAGGATGTGAAGAAGTGGAGATGAGAAGATGTGAAGATGTGAAGATGATAAGATGCGAAGATGTGAAGATGAGAAGATGTGAAGATGTGAAGATGATAAGATGCGAAGATGTGATGAAGATGTGAACATGTGAAGATGTATAGCAGACCACCACTTTTAGAAGAACCCTTCGTTCAAACGCTCTCCGGAAAAAATCCAACCAATGCAAAGTACCAGCACCAAGAATGCCAGCAAAATAAACGGTATCATCAAACACTTAAATAAAAAAGCATTGTGACATTCTGCCAGGCCAAGTGTCTGTTCATCCTGTTCATCATCTGTGTATACGTCCCCAAGTGGTATGTCTTTGCGATGACCTATGTGGCAAGCAAAACGAATCACAGTCTGCGGAAATCTATGCCTCGCCCCATGAGCAAAACGTTAACTTTTCACAATTTCCAGATGGCAGTTCAACTCGAAGCGTCAAACACAATCAGGGTCTTGACAATTTGACACATTTGGTATACATTCGTTGTGAATCACATTGTTCCACAAGCAAAGCCGCAGAGCCAAATGGAAGAATTGATATGTTTCCGGGACATTGAAGTACACATTTGCTTTATAGAGTTTTTTTTAATGAACCTTCAGGTACACAAAAGCCAGACACCAGTTCGGTAGGATAGAACGGATAGATGATGTCTTGCCGAAAGCAAACCATTCAGCAACGACCATCATCTTGATTTTGTAGCACGAGTTCGCCCGGGTACCGGTTGATGTGAAGAGATCGTTTCATGAAAGCTTGATTGACTAAGCTCAGCACAGCTCGGGCACTGTGTATCGTTTAAGCAATCGACACCTAGCATCAGCAGCAGCCGGGATATACATTTTCCTAAAATTTACTGCCCGAAAAAGAACACATCTACCCCTGCATGCCTTGTGAAGAAATCCCGCTTGATTTGGTTCAGGCGTGAAGTGTGTGGGCTCAGAAAATCAGGAACAAACATCCAAAAAACAAATCGCGTTCAGCATTCAACTTTGAGTTCGTGTCACCAAGTTTCTTCCGTTTGGAAGCAACGTATCATTTGCATTTTGCGGTCATAGTTTGCCATTTGGTGGTCCGATGCAATGTTGCTAAGTTACATCAAGCAAACTGGCAGTATTTTGTTGCTGTGACCCAACATGTAGCTATAGAAGTCACATCAAAAAAATGTATCAAAACAAACACTTGGCAGAGACCTGCTTTTCGATCAGCAAGCAACTGCTCAAAACATGCCAGAATCACACATCGGAGTCGAATGCCCGCAAAACGAGCATCTGAGGCGCTTTTTTGGCGTCTGCGCCAAAACGCAATTCTTCTCTAATGTTGCCCCGGTCATGGCAGAACACGAAGAATCGCTTCCGGACGCACTTGTGGTCTCGTACGTCTCATCATGAGAAAGAGACCTGGAGAGGCTCCACAGCCGGGGCAACCCAGCAAGTTCTGCCATGTCGAATCTGTTGGATCAATAGTTCTGGCCTCTCTTGATACTGAACTCACATGAAACGGGAAATGGCACATTGTCCCCATGGGACAGTCATCAGCACAGAGAAGTCACATCAGGTAAAAACACGCACCACCTCCACGGCGTGTTTCAGCTGTAATGGTACACAAAGCAAAAACTGGCCAAAGCGTTGCGCAGAGTGATGATTTTGAAGAATACAAGTCAATATAGGTGGAGTATTGGGTATTCAAACCGTATTGGCATGAGTATGTCATGTTCTTATTTTGATGTCCTGTTTCTAGTGGTGCAGCCCTTAAATTCATTGCTACATAAAAATTGGTTAACTGCAGCAAATCCTATGGGCAGGGCCATGATGTCTCGATGTCTTGCTTCCGTAGCCATATTCAAAATAATCGAAAAACTAAGTAATTTTGATGCCTGTCGCATCATTGGTGCCATTGAACTTGATGTTTTGGAAAAACAATATGTAAACACTTCACCAATGTGGGTTTGAGTGAAAGGAAATTATAAAGGTTTCTTTAGACAACGTTTCTTGGCATCCTCACATAACAATGCAATTTCGAGAGTAATTTGAAGTGTATTATGAAGTTTTTTGACGCTGTCCCGGTTACTATCCATCCAGCTACCATTCTTCAGGCATTAAGTCTAACGCTCACGTTATGCCAAGGCAAGTGTCTGTTGGAGTGCATCCTCCTCATCTTCGTCCTCTGAAACGATGTCGCCCAACGGAATAGAAGTCCGATGGCCTATAGACCCATTTGGCACATGCTGCAGGGAAGCACTGCTGCGCAGCGTGAGAACAAACTAATTGCGTCATGGAAAACACACTGACATGACTGACTAAGCTCAGAACATTTGGGGCACCATCTGCTGTTCAAGCATGAGGTGCCTGGCATGACCAAAACTTTCCGGCACATGCCGTAGTATACTACCAATCCAAACGTCGCAAAATGAATGGCAGCCCCGAGCCAGGAATTATGCACTGGAGCGTTCAGTACACAATTCAGCGCAATTTGGCATACGCAGATTGCACTGCGCTTCCAGCAGAATTTGCAACCCTGGGATTGGGATCCGGACAAAACGCAAATCTCTAAAGTGCTGAACTTGTCACAGAAATGTAAGCCTGCAACTCGTTCAAGTGCTGTGCCCGCCACGAAACCATGACTTTGTCTCACCAACGTCTCGAAAATCGTTTGCGCCTGCCACACCTACTGGTGATTAATAGGACCAAACCTGAACATTGCATCTAATTTCATTTTCCTATTTATTACTAACCCCCACCGAACTAATAGAAACAAATCTAGATACATCAAACTTGTCATTTTGACAAAATTAATGTTGGTCAATTTGTTTTTTCTTGGCTATCTTGAGAAAATACTAAAATGATCTAAAATGTCTTTTCATCGAGGTATAGATTTGATTGTCAGGGTAAAACTTCGAGAGCCAAATCTTGACAATAATCCATATATTTTCTAAAAGGGATTCGATCGAACATTGCGTTGAAAACACATGGTAAAACCATAATATGCCCAAATAGGAAGCGGGTTTAGGGCTTGCGGGCTGCTGTAGACTGTTGCGGATGGTTGCGAACCAAAAAGAAGGTCGAGGCCATCATGTTCCAAGGCATGACCCAGGTAAACGTAAAAACATAGCGACGCGTTTGGGAAAAAGAAAAACAACACAATATCAATTTGCTGGATAAGAATGGCACTGGATGTGGAAAAGGCAGGGGCAGGCATCCAGTCACTGGAACAAGCAAGCAATCTCACAATGTCAGTGGACATTCAAACTGCATGTCTCTCCAGCTCAGGTCTTCCAAACCTTCAAAATAGTTCAAAATATCTGGGCCAATTTTCTATGGTCTCAGCCCTGTGTTGGCGGCCCTGGCCAGGGATATAGAAACTGCTTTCTGCCATTTGATGGGATGGACAAACGTCTGCTCGTGCCAAAGAGCGCAGCTGCAGGCAAAGCACATGCAGAGACTCAAAGAACAATCTCACTAGCGTTATTATCAAGCAATGCTTGCCTGATGGGTTTGTCCGCAGACACGTGCGACAAACAGGGTACAATGCAAAAAAGTTGGTGGAGTGGCCGAAATTGAAGAAGTATATACTGTAATTACGTTGCTTCATTATTACAATGCGCTCATATCCAGCTTACTGGGTGCTGCACGATTTATTACTGGAACCTTTGCCGCAGCAAAAGTCCCTTGAGTTGTGCGAAGCGAATGAGGCTGAGACAACCGACAAATGCTTGAAGCAGGCCAGGATCACACATCCGAGTCTGATGTCCACACCGCGAGCAAAGAAAGAGCTTGGCTGGCGTCGCCAAGCAATGCTTCATCGTCGTGAAGCAACAAACTGCCATGGCCCCTTGGGGATTTTTTTTCTGCAAATGGCTGCAGAAACCTGCGGCTCAATTTGAACCAGCAGATGGAAACTTACCAGGTCCAGATTATAGCACGGATTCGCGGATTGATAGCTCTACCTTGATTCTAATCCAGGCAGGCGGCCACAGCCACAACATTTCAAACTGCGCCCATGTTTGCCTTTTCAAATCTTGCAGAGGTATGTTGTAAACATGTAGTTCAACAGAAAAAAAAGGCCTCACCTAGTCAAAACCATTGAAGCACTTGAGACCTGATATACTTTGCTTAAATTCTTGACTCAGGCCAGCATACTCTGGATTTCAAAAGAATGATGTCGTTTCATTGCTTAATGATTCGCTATGATTGGTTGAAGAGAAAATCTGCAGGACAACATTGGTTTTTCCAGCCGCGGCCTGGCGAAAGCTCTCCACGGACCACCAAGGCGCAGAGGGGCTCCTGGTCGTTGGACGGGGTAGCCTCCAATCCAAATGGCCAGTTTTGTGGAGGGAAACTGATGATAAACTATATAATGGACTGTAAATGATTGTAACATATTAAATTTCATAATATCAAATTAACAATTTGGATTTTGGGATACCCAAATTTTCAGACAAACCCAGATTGTGTTCTGTTCTACTACTCTTCCAAAACAACAGGGGCGTATTGTTCGGAGGAACACCATATGATATGACCAGTGTGGGATTTCTTCGTGCCAGCAAACCATCAGCTCCTCGATAAAGGACGGCAATGCGTTGATTCCCTGGCAGGTAGCAGCATTTTAGAGACGCTGCAGGACTTTGTACAGGAGCCATTTTGCCATGTCAATATTTCAGCTATTGCACTATGATGCCAAACAAGACAAATATAAACATCACTCAGTGTTTTTTGCATGCTGAAGAATGAAGAAAAGAAGTTCATGAATCTCTACGTCTCACCATCCTGGTCATTCACACAGCAAAGATGTCGTATTCAAACTCCAACAATGATCTGTCTTAACTAGATTGTCAAAGATTGGCTAGGTTTGTTTCAACCTGTATAGTCAGGGAAGACATTTTTATCTAGGGCACATCCCGGAACGTCCGACATCCCAAGCAAGACCTCAGGTACGGGACGAAGCGCGTCCTCCAGCATTTCACGATTGTCTCCATGTGCCTTTGCAAGGGCTGGCAAGCCAGCAACTAAAGGAAACAGGCTGATAACGCTGCGGCTTTGCTTGCCCTGGCGTTGGTTTGATTACCTGAGCGTTAGTATCCTTGTTTCTGCACAAAGAACCAGAAAGCATCAATGCAGTGTGAAAATATTATCCATATTTCGAACGCGTAGTTTCGCACCCGTAGATATTCATACCTTGGACTTCAGAGCCAGCTCTCATTTTTTGACCCTTCAAAGGTCCTGCCATAATGAACTGATCCACCACCATCCACCATGATCTACCTGTCCCACACCAGCCCGACATTGCCTCGATACGTTGATATGCCCGTTGCAGCTCGTGGCCCAGCAAAAGCCTGTCCAAAGATGCAGGGGTTTAAATGGTTTCAAACAATTTGTGAGGGTGTGTCAAAGTTACCGCCTTCAAGAATTATGCATGTGAAGAAGTCAAACAATAATTGCTTCTGAAAAAAGAAGGAAAACATTCTCATATAGGAGAAGTGCAGTGTCATTTTGAGCAGGTCTATAGCCCCCCAACAAGTGAGATCATCATCAGCCGAATCAATCAGTTCGCTGATCCGCGGCGTTGGCGGCGTACTGAGTTGCAGGATGCAAGCGTGGCACGAGGCTCAAGCTTTCCTGGCCATGTGCAGCTGGTCTGGACCTGGATGGACCTGGTTTCTAATCCGACCAAGATCATCACATAATATGCTGTATATATATATACACATATCTATTGTAAAAAAATATATATATATATATACATACACAAATAATACATGTATATATATAAATTTATATACACACATTATTTGATATATAAATTAAATATTTTTGTAAATATATATATATATATATGTATATTGTGTATATATATATATTAAATGAATATATATATATAATATATAATATAATTAGACAGTTATATACAATTACTGTCCATGACTCAAATTCATGCATTGCCAGGTTTACACACAACTCCCTGTTTCGTAGTTGTTTGTTGCCTCATGTTGTGATCTCCTGTCATCTACAGTATGTACTGCGGTGTGAACACTTGTAGCCTTTTAATTACCTACAATTCATACAGTACAGTGTGTAAACAACAAGTCATGATCGAACAAGGCATTCATGCAACACGAAGCAACCGAAAACTCAAACATCGAGATAAGGCAGGGCTGGTTGGCTGTGCCCTCTCGCGTAGGATCCTCGGGGTAAAATGACTTGAAAACTGAACACCAATGAAAACTCTTGCCATGTACAAGGACTTGAACCTCCGCGAACTGCAACAAGAAGCATTGAATTGAAATGAAATCACACATATTCACAATGACTACATGTTTTTTTAATGACATGACGGCATATTGCTACCAAAAACTATTGCTCTTTACCTGGCACCGAATTGCCGCTTCTGCCTTTCCTTCCTGGGCCTCTGGCAAGAAATGATAGCTCGGCCCAAGGCGAGCAACCTCTCTGCCGCTCTCTTCGCCTCCAGACTTATGCTCAGGGGACAAACAGTGAAACAAGCCCAGTAGCTTAGCGGTAGGTGTTACTTAGCATCTGCGCAGCCAAGTGCAATGAACTTGCTGACCCAGCTCAATCTTGGCCCCATCAGCAACACAGTGGTATCACCCTCGATATGCTCTTCATTTCATTATCAAATTCAGCCGTCGTTATTGCCTTGCCAGGGTTTCCGTGCAATGATTATAATGCAGTTATTGAAGATGCAACATTGGAGTTGTTGCCTGTAGGCTGCATGTAGCGCAAAGCCACGTTCAAACGCGCGATCTTTGAGTTTACTCCTTTCCGTTTTGCATTGACTGGATTCCACAGGCACTCTGTTAGAGCGCCACAGTGCGTGAGACGGGAAACTACAGCAGTGAGACGGTTAAGAAAATCAATTACCAGGTTCCCTGAAGCAAACACTGGTTTGCAACAAGAATATCATCAGGGACCGGGGACCATGTTGTTTTCATTTGCAGTTTGTGTACTCCAGCATCCTGCAGCTAGTTTCAGCAAACCAAATCTACAGATTTGTTTCAGAAATCACTCGTTGCCCGCGTGGATGTCTTGACAAAACGACCTCGGCATTGGTCGGACTTGCTGCAAAGAGCTGAAATCGAGTCTTCGGAGTATGGAATCAATAGCTACAACCAGTTGTTTCAATGGAACACGCTAAACATGCCACATCCTGCCCAACCCAGCAGTTCTTTTCTGCGACAAGCATTAGCTCGGTGTGAAAAATACAGAACTCAGCCAGGAAATTTTGGTCTGTATTGAGTGTAGTCAGCTGCAATCAGGTCATCCAATGCTCAATGATTCAGGAACCCATCTAAAATATCCCATGGTATTCGTATTGCTATTTTGTTCTTTTTTGCAGTTTGGATGAAACACTGACCAATGCACAACGAAGCTGTGTTGATGCCAACATGGATAAGAGCCTCCTTCATTGAATCATGAGAAACAGGAGCCGCAGTTTCCAGATTCATCGGAATATGATCATATTGAAAAAACAAGATGCAGCCCACGAACCCGAATGTAGTCACGTAGAACCCTTTGTGAAACAAGTTATTTGAACAGTCTTGTACATTTTCCCCTGTTACCGCACCAGTGCACTGAAACTGCGGAATACAGAAGAGGGTGGGGTGCAAAGTGCGGAGTGTGGAATGTAAAGTGTGGAGTGCGGAGTGTAAAGTGTAAACTGTGGAGTGTGAAGTGTGGAGTGTGGAGTGTGAAGTGTGGAGTGTGGAGTGTAAAGTGTAAACTGTGCAGTGTGAAGTGTAGAGTGTCGAGTGTAGAGATCGGAATACAAAGTATAGAGTGTAAAGTGTGGAGTGTAAAGTGTGGAGTGTAAAGTGTGGAGTCTAAAGTGTGGAGTAGTAGAGTGTAAAGTGTAAAGTGTGGAGTGTAAAGTGTAGAGTGTGGAGTGTAAAGTGTGGAGTGTGGAGTGTAAATTGTCAATTGTAAAGTATGGAATGTAGTGTGTAGAGTGCGGAGTGCGCAGTGTAGACTGTAAATTTTGGAGTGTAAAGTGCACAGTGCAGAGTGTAAAGTGTAAAGTGCGGAGTGTGGAGCGTAAAGTGTGGAGTGTGGAGTGTGAAGTTTGGAGTGTGGAGTGTAGAGTGTCGAGTGTAGTGTGCGGAGTGTGGAGTGTAGAGTGTGAAGTGTAGAGTGTTAAAGTGTAGAGTGTATATAGCGTCCAAAGTGTGGAGTGTAAAGTGTGGAGCGTAAAGTGTAGAGTATAAAGTGTAAAGTGCGGAGTGTGGAGTGTAAAGTGTCAACTGTAAAGTGTGGAGTGTAAAGTGCGCAGTGTAAAGTGTAAAGTGTGAAATGTAGAGTGTAGAGTGTGGAATGTGAAGTGTAGAATGTAAAGTGTAGAGTGCAAAGTGTGGAGCGTAAAGTGTAGAGTGTAAAGTGTAAAGTGTGGAGTGTGGAATGTAAAGTGTAGAGTGTAGAGTGCAGGGTATAGAGTGTCAAGTGTGGAGTGTAAAGTGTGGAGTGTAGAGTGTGCAGTGTGCAGTGTCAAGTAAAGAAATGTAAAGGCTGTAAAATGTGGAGTGTAGAGTATGGAGTGTACACAGAAAAGTGTGGAGTGTGGCCGCGTGTAAAGTGTAGAGTGTGGAGTGTAGAGTGTGGAGTTGAGAGTGTGGAGCCTGGAGTGTAGAGTGTGGAGTGTGAAGTGTGGAGTGTAGAGTGTAAAGTGCAGAGTGTTAAAGTGTTGAGTGTAGAATGCGGGGTGTAAAGTGTACAGTGTCAAGTGTGGAGTGTAAAGTGTGGAGTGTGAGGTGTGGAGTGTAAAGTGTGGAATGCAGAGTGTGGAGTGTAAAGTGTAGAGTGTGGAGTGTAGAGTGTGGGGTGTGGAGTGTAGAGTGTGGAGTGTGGAGTGAAAAAAATGTAAAGTGCGGAGTGTAGAGTGTAAAGTGTAGAGTGTGGAGTGCAACGTGTCAAGTGTAAAGTGTGGAGTGTAAAGTGTAAAGTTTGGAGTGTAAAGTGTAATGTGTGGAATGTGGAGTGTGGAGTGTAGTGTGTGGAGTGCGTGGAGTGTGTGGAGTGTAGGGTGTAGAGTGTAGATTGTAAAGTGTAAAGTGTAGAGTGTGGAGAGTAGAGTGTGGAGTGCGGAGTGTCATCGCATGTCACAACATGCCACGCCTGCCACGGTTTTTGCACAATGTCACCACTTCACGCAGCCCTGACATCGCAATTCGCAAAAACACGCAACACGGCATGTCTAAAGCGCTGCGCCTGCCACGTAAAATGATGATGGAAGTCTTCAAAGTTCTGCGCCTGCCATGCAAAAAGTAGCTCATTTTGCTGAAGACCTTGCAAAAGTATTGTGCCACATTATTGTGCCTGCCACACAAACAAAAAATCGTCACTTTTGCAAACACGTGAGAATGTCACCAAGTGCCACGCGTGCCACGCAAAACGACATGACATCCTGCTTGGAAACCTTTGAACAGGAGGGGTGTATAGCAGCTTCCCCCAAAGACACGGACGTTACGAAACACGTCTGAGTGGTGGCACTTCATGACGCCTGCCACGCGAAACGAGGCTGCGCGACATGTGAAACCTCCAAAAGTGACCCCTGTTGCAGAACTTGCCATAGGCACGGCCATAGCAACCTCGCGCGGATGGTTGCAAACGGTTGGGCAACGTCGAGCGAACACACCCTCAAGCCACAGACCCCCACAGAGTGAAACGGGAACCCTTGCCAATACGCATTCGGGAAAAATATTCTGCATATCTGTACGAACGACCAAAAAAGATGGGGAATGGGCAAAATGGATCAACCAAGTTCATGGCCAAAGAGATCCACAGAGTCTAAAGAAATTGAGCACCCCTTCGCAGCGCTTCAGAGTTTCCCAGCCGAGCTTTCCAGCTCGGGCACCAAGGCTCTGACCCTGGGCCCAGGATTGGTGCCACGGCCGTCCCTTTGGGAGGCCGACCAGAAAATCGACGTGTGGTGCTACCCATTGGACTATACTGGACTGCGGTCATGGAAGCAGTGGGGAAATAACAACACACACTAACAAATTAGAGCAAGTTCTGCCCAAATTCCATGAATTCCTGCAAACAGATTATTCAACAAAACATGGGACTCTGGATGACGTTGGCCTTACCATGCCTTACCGTAACATCGTTTACATTACGCAGAAAATGTAGAATTATTCATGCCATTGGCTTGACATCGCAAATTAGTCCGCATCAGGTTTCGTAGCAAAAAAAACACGCGGGAGTTGGGGTGTTCAACCGGCGCTGTGAAACTCTGCTGGGCACAAGCCCCCAAATTTCGCGCAGCGTCTCTGCAGCCTCAGAATGTCTCCTTTCAGGTGACCCACTGACCTCCCTTCCCAGAAACCTAATCCAATCACCAAATCCATGATAGCTCTGTGATGCTCCATCATAAAAAACACATATATATATATAATTACTCCATGCATCTTATTGACCTTTGGAGTATTTCTTTAGGTGTCAGCTTCAGGCTGTTATCATTTGTGTGGCTGCACTTGCGGCTGGCAAGTGAAACCACCACATCTGCAGCATGAGACCCACTGCCATTGAGTTTCTTTTGGGGGAAACCGGAATACGAAGCGCTTGTGTGGCACTATACAATATGTTTTGACGAGGACCTACGTAAAGACTTACACACAGCCAGCAGCGAACTTTTGAAAAAATGATCCAAATTGAAACAAAATGTTCAAATACTAAGTTCATATTCTTTAAGCATGTCGAAGAGTGGTCTTTCAGGCAAATCATGACTCTCGATGACCAACTCCCTGTCGCTCCTCTTGAGGAGATGGTTTCTCGGGTTTGATCTCGGGTGTGACTGGCTCCGAATCCATGGGCGCCACCGGCTTTGAGATTGTGGGAAACCCTTTGCTGTCCTGCCACATGGAACGTGTGCTCAACAACTACCTTCAGCTCTTTGAACATTTGTTATCAGCAACGGAAAAATCCCACCATAGGTTCATGTCTAGAGATGATGACCTTGACAAAAACGCATACAAAATGGCATGATAATTATATGAACAAAAATTATTAAATAACAAAAGAAAGGAATAAACACAAAGACGCACCACACAGCATAACTCTCACAATGCTTTTCACTCCAGTCCAATCCCACCAAAGCCCGATATACGTAATCGAAGGAAAATTTGAAAACAAATTTCCGACTTATGGCCAGAGGCAGAGAAAGAAAGAGTCAGCAGAAAGAAGATCAAATACGAGAAGTTAGAAAAGTCTCGAATGACTGTCTTGTCCCAGAATGAATGCTTTGTGGCTCCGGAGGGTCAAAAAGTTGGTTCGATAAAGCGGCCGCGCGGAGCCATCTGGCCGGACGAGAGATCGAAAACTGCACACGGTTGTGGCGCGAAACACATTTCCAAGTCAAAATCATAAAAGCACACCGGGTTCGGAGCACTTTTGGAAGTTCGTCAGCTGCGCAAAAAGTGCACGCCGCAGTGGCGCGGAGAACGTTCCCACAGCACAATGCTAAAAACGACTCAGCTTCGGAGCACTTTTGGAAATTCAGTGGTTGTGAAAGCGCACACGTCTCTGGCGCAGAACGCATTTCGAAGTCCGAAGCACTTCATTCTCGGAGCACTTTTTTAGAAGTTAAGTTGTTGAAAAAGTGCATGGCGTCTGTGGCCGGAAGCAAATTCCGAAATCAACATGGTAAAAATATCACATGTCCGCTCACTTTTGAACGTTCAAACATCGTTTTTCAAGGCAGGGGCAATGGAGCCTGCGCTTTCAAAAGTGGGCCAAACGTGTGGTTTTTTGTTGCAGTTTCAAAAACAAGCAGGTGCTCGGCCTTCGAAAGGATCTGCAAAGATGCATTTCGCATGGCAGGCGCAGCGCAAGAGACATCTCCATCAAACATGTTAGGAGGCCAGGGCGCTGATCTCCTCGCAATGGTTGCGTTGTGGAGCATCAGATAATTCAGGTTTGCTTCGCTGATTTCGCGTGACAGGTGCGGCACTTTACACATCTGGAGCGGACAAATCGCAAAACGCATTGGCACTAGGCTGTCAGCTCTTTACTCAACTTTTCATTTTTTGAGGGATGTCTCGCAGAATTGGTCCGTTTTTGATGGTGTCAACTTCGGCTTTTTGAGGAAATCTCGTTGAATTGCTTCCTTTTTGATGTTGTCCGCTCAGAATTTTGGAGGAAATCTTGCATAACTGCTGCCTTTCAGATAGATAGATAGATAGATAGATAAATAGATAGATAGATAGATAGATAGATAGATACATAGATAGATAAATAGATAGATAGATATAGATAGATAGATAGATAGATAGATAGACCAATCGATCGATCAATCTATCAATATGGAGGGAGGGAGGGAGCGAGAGAGAGAGAGAGAGAGAGAGGCAGAGAGGCAGAGAGGCAGAGAGGCAGAGAGGCAGAGAGGCAGAGAGGCAGAGAGGCAGAGAGGCAGAGAGGCAAAGAGGCAGAGAGGCAGAGAGGCAGATAGGCAGATAGGCAGATAGGCAGATAGGCAGATAGGCAGATAGGCAGATAGGAAGATAGGCAGATAGGCAGATAGGCAGATAGGCAGATAGGCAGATAGGCAGATAGGTAGATCGGTAGATGGGTAGATGGGTAGATAGGTAGATAGGTTAAGAGATGGAAAGAGATGGAAAGAGATGGAAAGAGATGGAAAGAGATGGAAAGAGATGGAAAGAGATGGAAAGAGATGGCAAGAGATGGAAAGAGATGGAAAGAGATGGAAAGAGATGGAAAGAGGTGGAAAGAGATGGAAAGAGATGGGAAGAGATGGAAAGAGATGGAAAGAGATGGAAAGAGATGGAAAGAGATGCAAAGAGAAATAGAGAGAAATAGAGAGAAATAGGGAGAAATAGAGAGAAATAGAGAGAAATAGAGAGACATCAAGGGAGAAAAAGAAACAAGAGAGAGGATAGAGAAAAAGAGAGATACCGACATTGGGACATTGGGAAAGATTGGCAGAGAGAGAGAGAGGGGGGGGGAGAGGGAGAAGGAGAAGAGAGAGAGAGAGAGGGAGAGAGAGAGAGAGAGAGACGGAGATAGATGGATAGATGGATGGATGGATGGATGGATAGATAGACAAAAGGATGGAGATATAATAGAGATATATATCTAAAGAGATAGAGATGATATGAGGAGAAATAGAGAGAGAGAGAGATGGAGAGATGGCCAGTTAAATTGGGCAGGCAAACATATAGATAGGTAGACAGATAGCGAACAGAGAAATAGAGAGACATAGGGATAAATAGAGGGAAAGAGAAAGAAAGAGGGAGAGAGAAAGAGAGAGAGAGAGAGAAATAGAGAGAGAGAGGGAGAGGGGGAGGGGGAGAGATATATATAGAATGACAAGGAAAAGACAGATACAGAGAAAATGGGATACAGAGGATACAGGACTTGGGAGAGATTGACAGGGAGGCAAACTTTCAAAAACAAGCAGGTGCTCGGCCTTCGAAAGGATCTGCAAAGATGCATTTCGCATGGCAGGCGCAGCGCAAGAGACATCTCCATCAAACATGTTAGGAGGCCAGGGCGCTGATCTCCTCGCAATGGTTGCGTTGTGGAGCATCAGATAATTCAGGTTTGCTTCGCTGATTTCGCGTGACAGGTGCGGCACTTTACACATCTGGAGCGGACAAATCGCAAAACGCATTGGCACTAGGCTGTCAGCTCTTTACTCAACTTTTCATTTTTTGAGGGATGTCTCGCAGAATTGGTCCGTTTTTGATGGTGTCAACTTCGGCTTTTTGAGGAAATCTCGTTGAATTGCTTCCTTTTTGATGTTGTCCGCTCACAATTTTGGAGGAAATCTTGCATAACTGCTGCCTTTCAGATAGATAGATAGATAGATAGATAGATAGATAGATAGATAGATAGATGATAGACCAATCGATCGATCAATCTATCAATATGGAGGGAGGGAGGGAGGGAGGGAGGGAGCGAGAGAGAGAGAGAGAGGCAGAGAGGCAGAGAGGCAGAGAGGCAGAGAGGCAGAGAGGCAAGAGAGGCAGAGAGGCAGAGAGGCAGAGAGGCAGAGAGGCAGAGAGGCAGAGAGGCAGAGAGGCAGAGAGGCAGATAGGCAGATAGGCAGATAGGCAGATAGGCAGATAGGAAGATAGGAAGATAGGCAGATAGGCAGATAGGCAGATAGGCAGATAGGCAGATAGGTAGATCGGTAGATGGGTAGATAGGTAGATAGGTAGATAGGTAGATAGGTTTAAGAGATGGAAAGAGTGGGAGATGGAAAGAGATGGAAAGAGATGGAAAGAGATGGAAAGAGATGGAAAGAGATGGAAAGAGATGGAAAGAGGTGGAAAGAGATGGAAAGAGATGGGAAGAGATGGAAAGAGATGGAAAGAGATGGAAAGAGATGGAAAGAGATGCAAAGAGAAATAGAGAGAAATAGAGAGAAATAGGGAGAAATAGAGAGAAATAGAGAGAAATAGAGAGACATCAAGGGAGAAAAAGAAACAAGAGAGAGGATAGAGAAAAAGAGAGATACCGACATTGGGACATTGGGAAAGATTGGCAGAGAGAGAGAGAGGGGGGGGGAGAGGGAGAAGGAGAAGAGAGAGAGAGAGAGAGACGGAGATAGATGGATGGATGGATGGATGGATGGATAGACAAAAGGATGGAGATATAATAGAGATATATATCTAAAGAGATAGAGATGATATGAGGAGAAATAGAGAGAGAGAGATGGAGAGATGGCCAGTTAAATTGGGCAGGCAAACATATAGATAGGTAGACAGATAGCGAACAGAGAAATAGAGAGACATAGGGATAAATAGAGGGAAAGAGAAAGAAAGAGGGAGAGAGAAAGAGAGAGAGAGAGAGAAATAGAGAGAGAGAGAGAGGGAGAGGGGGAGGGGGAGAGATATATATAGAATGACAAGGAAAAGACAGATACAGAGAAAATGGGATACAGAGGATACAGGACTTGGGAGAGATTGACAGAGAGGCAAACAAATGGATAGAGAACTACAACGATAGTGAGAGCGAGAGAGACAGAGATAGACAGAGAAATAGGCAGATAGAGATGACAGATAGACAGATAGACAGACAGACAGACAGATAGATAGGTAGGTAGATAGGTAGATAGATAGGTAGGTAGATAGGTATACAGATAAAAGATAGATAAAGAAGGAGAGGGAAAGACAGATGGAGAGGCAGAGGGAGAAGAAAATAGAGATAGGTAGAGAGACGGGAGAGAGAGAGAGAGAGAGAGACGGAGATAGAGAGAGAAATAGACAGATAGAGAGACAGGTGACAGATAGACAGATAGACAGATAGACAGATAGACAGATAGACAGATAGACAGATAGACAGATAGACAGATAGAAAGATAGATAGAGAGATAGATAGATAGATAGGTAGGTAGATAGGTAGATAGATAGGTAGGTAGATAGGTATACAGATAAAAGATAGATAAAGAAGGAGAGGGACAGGCAGATGGAGAGGCAAAGGGAGAGGAAAATAGAGATAGGTAGAGAGACGGGGAGATAGAGAGAGAGAGAGAGAGATAAAGATAGAGATAGAAATAGAAAGCCTTAGCCACCGGTCGGTCGATCAGTGAGTTCGCTGAGCCATCCATGCATCACAACAGCTCACCTCTCCTATAGGTTTCCTATCTTTGAAACTTCCGCCACCGCCTTGTGCGGTACTAGTGGTATTATCATAGTATCCACCTTGTGCCATCACGATATTTGTATGGTTGCCAACAGGTTTGTCTCCTTTGCAATTGAGTGAATGTGCCGATAATACGACTTGTTGAAGACCTTCTGAATGTGTGAAACACCTTCGTCCTGCGGGCGACACTGCTGCAAAAAACTTTCTGTAAGAAAGACTTCAAAATGTGCATCCTTTTTTTCATGTGGTTCCGGAAGAAACCATACATGTCAGTAGGAAGAAATCAAAAACACACGCGGAAACACTCTGTCCATACCCTGTCAGACACAACATGTGATACCTCAAGTCCAAATTTGTTGGGCAACACTTGCTCGGAGAACCAATCCTTTCGCTCCCCTCCTCCTCTTCTTTAGCCAATGTCTTCAGCACTTCACCCATCAATACCTGGAACCATTTGGGAAGTAACCCGGCACTCAATGTTCATCATCAAAGCCTGAACGGTGAACCCAAACCTGAAAACACATTCGGCGCAACGCAACCATCGAATGATTTTTTTACAGCAAATAGCGTTACAATTCCCATTGCTTGCAGAAAAAAAATGTTAAAACAGCCATCAACTCTGAACTACACCTGCATTTTTTGCAATTCATTGGCCGTCATTGTCATAGTGCAAATACATGCACATCATCACATGCAAATCGTTACTGCGTGCTCCAGTGGCCTCCACTTTGGTCTCCAAGCGCCAAATATCCACCGCCTTCCCGCTCCCACGGAGCCTGGAAGCCCCTTCCTGACAAGGTGCAGCAACCACCAGAAATTGCAGGTCAAATTGCGCGTGGAATCTGCACTGATGTTGTTCACATATGCAATATCAAGTGATTTGTTCCATGGCAATTGGCATTTCTTGCCTTTCTAGCCAGTACTTTGGTATACTTTGGTTTGGTTGCCCCGCACGGCAAAACTCGCACGCAAACAAAAAACAATTTTGTGCCCCAGATGCAATGAACTCTGTAGGTGTAATTTCACCGTCACCATTATCCAAGAACCTCAGTCACAGGAGAATTCAAGTTGAAATTTGGTCCACGTGACCAGAAACACTTGGGACTGAACAAACGCTACGGTGACCCAGTGAAGCATGCGTTCTCACGCGCAGGCGCAGAAGGGACTGACTTCACCCAGGTTTGCACCCACATGCACACTTTCTAAAGGAGCACAGGACCATGCTAGGATAAAATCCACAGATGAGCAGTGTTTTTTTTGGATGCTTGGGTCCTATACACTACCTACGCAGTGTGTACGCGGGCCTACGCTGTGTGGGAGGTAGCCTACGCGGATGAACATGTCAAAAAAGACACCTAGGCAAGCGCCTACGCAAGTTTTTTGGCCAAGCAAGCCGCTTGCAGTTCAGCTTACGCAAGCTTTCCTACACCTATAAATCAACAAGTGCCTACGCGAAGAGCCTACACCGCCTACGCGGCACTGCAAAACACACATGACCAAACTACACAACATATTATCCAGTTCCCTTTTTATCTAGATTTCATGATCTCAAATAAATAAAGGACCGGATAACCCCACAAGTGAACTTCTTCCAATAATCAGAACCAGTTGAAGCGGACGGGGCAAGGAGGAAAGAAAAAGGAGGTGGTGGAGGATCGATAAGTTAAAAAAGTTGTATGTGGAAGACTTGTGTTTGACAAATTAGTGTGAAAGCGCGGTGTGTGAAAAGAGTTCAGCGTGTCGAAGTTGTATGCGAAAGAGTGTGTGAAAGAGTTGTCTGTGAAAGAGTGGTGTGTGTGTGTGTGTGAAAGAGTTGTCTGTGAAAGAACGATGTGCGAAAGACTTGTATGTGAAAGGGTTGTGTGTGAAAGTGCTGTGTGTGAAGTGCGATGTTCAAGGTAGGAAAGACACTGGAGATGTTGCGCGCGCGCGTGTGTGTGTGTAACATCTAAATAGATGTAAAACTTCTCTCTCTTTTTCTTCCTTTGTCCTCTCCCTTTCTAATTCTAAATTCAATGCAGGGGGCCACCGGGGTCCCGGGGGGGTCGGTGGCCACCGAAGACACCCCCCCGGGACCCGTGTAAACGTACCTGCATTGTTCGTAGGATGCATCGTTAATTTCATTGTTTCGTATCTAATCTGCATGTTTCAGGATTCAGTTCCTGCCGGATCATATAATGATCCATTCTTGTCTAGTGTGATTTCCATGGTGGCTCCGACATGGTGACATGGAGCCATTTGAGGCAACCCTCTTTAGGGTGAGTGACGACTGTCCTGACTGCCGAATTAACACATTTTAATTTGGTAATTCATCTAAGTAAATTGCAACAGCTGGCCTTACGGTTTGTCAGCCATTTTGAGTTCTCCTGCTGCTCCGGATGTCCCAGGGATTACTCGCCGATGCGTTTCTTCAACTGTGAAGCCGTGCCGAACTTCAGAAACCTCCGTTTTTTGCAGCAACCTTTGCAGTTACATGACATCATGTCAAGTCATTGAGAGAAGGCAGGCACATGTCCTTCAGGTGTGGTGTTCCTTTCTTTTGATGGTTCTCTGGTGAGGTGAAACATTTTGTGCACCTAATTCGTTGGAACTCGTATAGCTGTCTATGCCATTGGGGCACGACTTGACAACGGGCCTGGATTGGCACAACGCACGACCTTTAGGTTTAGGAGCTGAATCCTGTCTTTAATTAATTGTTTTGGTTTTCTTGCCTGTCATTAACTAGTCCCCCATTTGGTCCCTAATTTTCCCCGCGTGCCTCTCCGTAATGTGTTGTGGGGTTTAGGTGTGTGCGCTGTTTTTGTCAGGTCCGTTTCGCCGTGTAGGTTGGTTCCGGAGGTCCGTCTGTTCCCCTTCCCCCCCCTGCGCTGTTTTTGGCCGTTTGCCCGTCGTGTGTCCGCTTTTTTCTTCCTCTTGCCTTTCAGGGTTGACCCGGCTCCGGCCGGGTGTGTGTGTGTGTAACATCTAAATAGATGTAAACTTCTCTCTCTTTTTCTTCCTTTGTCCTCTCCCTTTCTAATTCTAAATTCAATGCAGGGGGCCACCGGGGTCCCGGGGGAGTCGGTGGCCACCGAAGACACCCCCCCGGGACCCGTGTAAACGTACCTGCATTATTCGTAGGATGCATCGTTAATTTCATTGTTTCGTATCATAATCTGCATGTTTCAGGATTCAGTTCCTGCCGGATCATATAATGATCCATTCTTGTCTAGTGTGTGTATGTGTGTGTGTGCGTGCAAGTATGAGAAAGTTCATGTTGGAAGAGTTGAGCTGTGCTTTGGCAGGATGTCTGACAAGCACAGGCTTTGACAGCATCCCATGAAATCCGCTGGAATGCGAAAGCTGGCCCGTCGTTGTTTTCTTGCGTCTCTTGATCCGATCACCATGGGGGAGGTGACCAGACCCATTTGCTAGCCGAACATGACATGGGATGTTTGAACCTTCATTGCATGAACATGAACATGCTCAGTTGAATAAATCACACATGTTGGAAAAGGTCACTGGGCCACTGCCTTAGGTGAAGACTGGCAAACACAATAGTAAGAAAAAATGGTTTCCGGTTCGAATCGCACCCAGCTTCTTGTAAGCATAAACCGGTGGGTTTTTGAAATCCTTGCTACAATGGTTCGTTTTTTGGGGAATTTTGGCCCTTACAAAAAGCATAGGTTTTTAGCACCCACATTCGAATCTAAAATCCGTCATCATTTTGTAAGGTGACAACTTTTTTCATGTTGTATCCAACTCGATGACCTTTTTATAAAAAGTTGTGACAGTTGTGATTTCAGATAGCGTTTTTTGGTATCATTTTGTAAGGCAGCAACTTCTGGTTCCCTGCTTCTTTTTTCCCGGTCTCGTTGATTTTCAAGAAGCCTTTTTGTAAGGATTCCTTTTCTTTGCCACCTTTTGTATTTCTGTATTTTTGCTTCTTTGGTACCATTGCCTGCGAGAACTCCTGATGATTGAGTCGATTCAAAAACATTATGTACCAATCTGAACAATAATTTGTATCAATGCCTAAAAAGCATATATATATATTCTTACAAAATGGTTCTTCTACTCTTGACGACATCTCCTTACAAAATGTCATTGCACACCCTGCTAAGTTTTTTGTTTTTTGATGTTTAATAACAGCATCTTGACCTTACAAAAAGCCTCAAAAAAACAAACTCGATGGTCTTATAGAATGAGTTGGCCCCTCAACTCTTACAAAATGAACACTTCAAAATGTACAACTTTGCCTTTTTGGTGTCCTGTTACAAAATGCCCTGGTTAGGCGGCTTCTTGCAACTACAAAATGCCCCTACAGAAACCATTTATAAGAGGGTCGACCTCCCAAATTATGAGGGAAATTCCAACCGGGATGGCTGTACTTATTTCCACGTCGAAGCTAGCACGGACAAACCGACGACACACTCATATAGGCTCGATGATCATGAAGAAGTTGGGATAGGGACCTGGCCGCAAAGCAAGTGTGGATGCAATAGAACTGAAACTCACAGTGGTGAACGGCGCCATGCAAGCACTTCTTCCCACATTGGGTCGAAGATGGTCGAAGCTAGCACAGACAAAACAACGACAGACTGTCTATCGGGGAAAACTACGCCTGCCACGCAAAACCAACGTCGATGTCGCCAAGCGCCACGCCTGCCACGCAAAAGCAACATGGATGTGAGTCTGAGCAAATGCCACGGCCACGCCTGCGACGCAAAGTGCCGCAGCGAAACCAAGGTCGATTTCGCCAAGTGCCACACCCGCCGCAGAAATGTTGATGTGAGCAAGTGGCACGCCTGCCACGCAAAACAAAGGTTGATGTGAGCAAGTGCCACGCCTGCAACGTAAAGTACCGCGGCGCCCCGGGCGACAACCAAGGGCGCCACCAGATCCAGCCCAGAGCCATAAGTGCCATGCCTGCCACGCAAGACCAAGGTCGATGTCGCCAAGCGCCACGCCTGCCACAGAAAATAAAAGTTGATGTGAGATGATGTGAGCAAGTGCCACGCCGACCAAGCGCACCAAGTGCCACGCCGCATCGCCAGATCCTACCACGCAAAAATAAAGTCGATGCCGCCAAGTGCCACGCCTGCCACACAAAGGTTGATGTGAGCAAGCTCCACGCCTCCCACGCAAAACGAAGGTTGATGTGAGCAAGTGCCACGCCTGCCACGCAAAGTGCCGCGGAAGTGACACGCCTGCTACGCAAAGTGCCGCGGCGCTGTGGGCGACTAACGGCGACCAAGCGCGCCACCAAATCCAGCCCAGTGCCATAAGTGCAACGCATGCCACGCAAAACACGAAAGTCGATGTGACAAAGTGCCACGCCTGCCACACAAAGTTGTGTGTGAAAGATTGGGTGCGACAAAGTTGTGCGTGACAAAGTTGTGCGTGTGACAAAGTTGCGAGTGACAAAGTCGTATGTGTGAAAGTTGTTGTGTGAAAGATTGTGTGTGACAAAGTTGTTGTGTCAAAGATTGTGTGTGACAAAGTTGTGTGTGAAAGATTGTGTGTGTGACAAAGTTGTGCGTGACAAATTGTGTGTGACAAAGTTGTGTATGACAAAGTTGTGTGTGAAAGTTGTTGTGTGAAGATTGTGTGTGACAAAGTTGTTGTCAAAGATTGTGTGACAAAGTTGTGTGTGAAAGATTGTGTGTGTGTGACAAAATTATGTGTGAAAGATTGTGTGTGTGTGACAAAGTTGCGTGTGAAAGTTGTTGTCTACGAAAGATTGTGTGCGACAAAGTTGTGTGTGAAAGTTGTTTTCTACGAAAGATTGTGTGTGACAAAGTTGTCGTGTGGAAGATTGTGTGTGACCAAGCTGTTGTGTGAAAGATTGTGTGCCAAAGATGTTGTGTGACAAAGTTCTGACTGAAATATCAAAGTTGTGTGTGACAGAATGTGTATGTGTGCGTGCTTGTGTGACAAAATTGTGGGTGAAAGATTGTGTGTGTGTATGACAAAGATTCTGTGTGACAAAGTTGTGTGTCGAAGGTGTGTGTGTGTGACAAAGATTGTGTGTGACAAAGTTGTGTGTGACAAAGTTTCTGTGTGACAAAGATTGTGTGTGACAAAGTTGTGTGCGTGTGACAAAGATTGTGTGCGACAAAGTTGTGTGTGACAAAGTTTCTGTGTGACAAAGATTGTGTGTGATAAAGTTGTGTGTGTGTGTGACAACAGTTGTGTGTGACAAAGTTGTGTGTGAAAGATTGTGTGTGACAGTGACACAATTGTGTGTGAAAGATTGTGACAAAGTTGTGTCTGAAATAATTATCAAAGTTGTGTGTGACAGAATGTGTGTGTGTGTGTGGCAAAGTTGTGGGTGAAAGATTGTGTGTGAAAGATTGTGTGTGTGACAAAGTTGTGTATGTGACAAAGATTGTGTGCGACAAAGTTGTGTGACAAAGTTGTGTGTGAAAGATTGTGTGTGTGTGACAAAGTTGTGTGTGACAAAGTTGTGTGTGACAAAGATTCTGTGTGACAAAGTTGTGTGTGACAAAGATTGTGTGCGACAAAGTTGTGTGTGTGTGACATAGTTGTGTGTGAAAGATTGTGTGCTACAAAGTTGTGTGTGACATAGTTGTGTGAGAAAAATTGTGTGTGACAAAGTTGTGAGAACGATGATTTTACCAGCTCTGGTATTTCTGACCTGCTGTCTTCATACATTTATGAAATCCCAGCACGCATTCAGCAAGCCACGTGTATTTTGTTTCTCATGTCTTCTACAGGGTTGCTTTTTGATGGCCCTCGCAAACAGAAGTTGTTGTGATTTGTTGTGTGCCCATATTGTCAAAGCAGCCTTATACCATGTTTAACGACGGCGCGGTCTTGCAAACCACATGCAAGTAGTACTATAGAGACGAAGTCTCAGTGCTCACCACAATATACGGCCTAGATTTAAGCCTGCGACCCGCCTGCGACTGGGACCGTGTGAATACTTTGCAGATTTGCTAAGACCAAGTGTAATCATACATCTTAGACACGCCTCACACGCCAAGGTTGCAATTACGTATGTAGCGTATACGCGGGGAAGTAGATGCATAGGGTGCTCCAACTCCACTAATTATGGTTCTGACGCTGTCCAAATTTCAATAAATTTCATATATACATCAATCAAACTCAAACGAGTGTCGTCTAGACAGGAACTCCTTCACTGATTCCACGGAGGTAATAAATAGGGTTAGCCTAGTTGCACAGATTTTCCGGGAACATTGGGCACCCGCAAAAAACGCAAAAAGAATCAGGCAAGCCGCTCAAACAGACTGAGTAGATCGTGGTACTCCAGCTCCTTCACAAGGCAAAAATACAAGTCTGCTTGGAAAAATGTTCAAGCCGCCAAATATATTTAATCTATATAATGAGGTGGCCACCTGGAACTCCCAAGTCAGAAATGCACCTCTGAAATCATATGAACTCTCGGCAGCTGCTAAACACAACAACCTATGACTCGTTGCAAATAGTCTGCGACTCCAGCTGGCTCATCCAGAATTTCAGCTTTGGAGACTGAGCCAACTTCCTTGGAAGTCTCAGGAAGCGTCCAAGAAAGGGTTCCCTCCATGCATTTCTCTGGGGGAACCTTCTTAAGGACATATATGAGAAACACGTTTGCTTCAACTGCTGTTTTTCCGTGACATCCAAGACCCTGTCACAGCTAGTCTGCAAACATATTTTCTACGTTTTTCTAGTGAACCTTGTGAACAAAGACTGCCGTGCAAACAACATCAAGGGACTCAAGGGACTGAAAACGCACATTCCTGAAAGAAACACATTGCATGTTTGGATTGCAGTGTGAAACAGGACGACCAAAACAGCCTCAGAAAGATCCATTCCCAGCTTGATTTGATCTTTGATGCAGCTGTGCCAGGCAACTGAAACTCCTCGAGGTTCAAGCAGCCGTCACCCGTCTCATCCATCGAGTTAAACAATTTGCGAACCTGGCTCAGCAGAAGGGTCGGAAACCCTAATGATCCATCCAACAATGTGGTGAACACAAGTGACCTCTAGCTACTTAAACAAGTGCAACTCTTCCGCTGGGCCTTGGGATAAACACCCCCGCCTTGCGAGTGTACATAGCCACATCGCGTTCTTTCTGTTTGAAGGCTAGTTCTTCATCTGAACTGGCAGTTTTCATCGTCTGTTGCACCTTAGCGCAGATGAGATACCTACAAATGCACAGGAGGCCATAGCGTCACTCGACACGCAGGACTCACGCCCTGGAACACGTCACAATTCGGCATCAGCTGGGTGGGTTCTTCTGGCGTTTCACATGGAGGTCTGGGTGCGCCTCTGCACTGCGTGTCGCATGGAACACGCGTTGACTAATCGCAACCTGATTTCCATGTTCTTCACAGCTGAATCTGCATCAATCTGTTTCTAGACAATCTATCTCCAGATCTGTTCTCATGAATGCTTCGCAAAGGAGCTATGCTTTTTATTGCTTAGCTTAGCGCTTTAAACTCATCAAGGCTACGTGAAGTCTACGCGAAGCCTACGCGGACTGCAGAGGTAGCCTATGCGGGGGGGACTTCGAGCAACTTATTTCCAATCAAAGCGGTGGAAGTATGACCCCTAATTAGTTTATTCTATGTTATCTCAAATTCTCTTAATATCTATCTTTCTATGTGCCCCTATCTCCTCAGCTCATTTATCTCACAAGACCTCAGCCTTTTTTCTGAACTGGTCTCCGCATGTCTAGATTTACCTGTTTGTCTGTCCACCTTTGTCTGTCTCAGAACCTGTCAAGTGTGATCTGCTCTCCTTTTTTACATGCTGGTTCATTGATGGGAACATTGAACATGTAGGGCTATCAGGCCCTTGATTGTTTTTGTCCTACATCCCAGCCTTCTTCTCCTCCCCATCCACCTGCGCGGCCTCTTTTTTCTCCAGCCTCTCCAAAATTTATCGTTTTGATTTTCTGAGCCCAAATATGTGTATCAATTGTGTTTCTCTCCGTGTTTCTGTCCTACCAACCTTACATGTTTTTTTGTCATACTTTATCGCGATATATCGCCATATATCTCGATCGACCTCTTCCACGTCAGATGCAACTCAGTTGAAGCGTTCTTTGCCCAAAGCTATCTCTATCCAAAGTCGTCCCCGGCATGAATCTTCTTACTGTGCCTGCCTCTATCACACCTGTCTCTGTCAACTTGTCAATGTCCAAACCTAGATCTTACTTTCTGATCACCTCACATGCTCGTCGCCCTTGGGTTTGGGCGCGCGCACGGCGTGAAGAGTACTGTATCTGATTCGGATCTATTGTGCACTGCGGTTGCATGAGCTTTGGGCCGGCGGCATACTGTCCGGCTAGCTTTGCGAAGCAATCTTCGGCCTCTTTTTCTCTTTGCCCGTCACAGCATGACCCAACCCTCTCCACTTGCCCCCAACAGCCTATGCCTATACGTGTATCTTCAACATGTCGGGGCGGCAGGTTATGAGGTTTTCTCTTAGCCACGATACTCCAGCAAAAGTCGAAGCCTGTGCAAAGCAACAAAGAACCAACAGGAAACAGTGGAGCAAGTTTGGCTCCGTTTTGCATTCGGTGAAGGCAAAATAAGCACAGAAAAGAAATCCACAAACGCAACTATGACCAACACAGGGCATTCTGCGTGATTGCGCGCGTCACAATCTGCTCTTCACATGTTGCCCCACACTCCCGCGAGGATGAACAAAGAGAAAGACACAAGCACATTGCAAAATGCCTCGGCCTAGCAAGCACCATGACATGGTTTTGAACTGGCACTACTCAAACCTCAATGGGACTTGGGCCTCTCATTTCCATTCGTGTGCCACACTGGCTTTCCACTGCACTGCTGGTGTTGTCTGTAGAAACTATGGACTAAGGTCGGCACAAATACTGCGTTGACCACATTTAATACGGCGAACCCCAGAACCTGAGAGGTGAAACATGTCGCTTTCATGGACGACAAATCCTGTTTTTGCAAGCACTTACAGTTACCTGGTGTGCCACTCAGGTTCGAACACATCGATAGAGCAGAAAAAAAAGGGAGAACCATTCCTGGGTACTGGCAGCCGAAGATTGGGTTGGGTGGCTTCTTTGTGAACGATTCTTCCTCTGCTAGCTACAGGCAGAAGAGGTCATGAAACACTGCTTCATGACACATCATGACACATTCATTCGGTATACGCAAACTTATTAAGGTTATTAAGCCCCACTGTCATGCAGTGGAAAATATTGGAAGATAATCAGATCATCATCATCCAGGGTCGACTTTTGCCGAGTCACGCTGATGTTCTCCACCACCACTCGACATGGTGGTCCCCAATTCGCGAACCTAGGTTCGCGTCAAATCAATAAGAAAAAAACACGTTGGAGCGACCCCGAAAGACCTGCAACCCAAAGAAAACCCCGTACCCCCAAGAAGTTAAGAAAACGCTAAGAAAAACCAAGAAATCACCAAGAGCCCCCTCCTGTTCCCAAAGAAAACCGAGGAAAAAGCATGAAACAACTTGTGGCAAAAAAAACACCAAGGGAAAAATGAAAATGATTCTATATATTGTTAAGAAAAAACGTAGAAAAACCTACGATTTGTCACTCAAGGAACAATATCTCAAACATCGACAGGAAGGTGCGGGTGAAGGTGCCATAGTATCGAAACACTTCCTGGGAGGCAAACAGTTTCGAAATTGGGAAATTGTGGCAGGGGCGGAGCGGGAGGCTTGCCCGCATAAAATAACATGTCATGTTCAGCTTTATATTGTTCGATCAGAAAAAAGAAAAAGCTGCGGAATCATGTCTCAACTCAACTCTTTGGAATTCTCGCACACTGCATTCGAAAGCTGCATGGTAGGTTTACTCGAACTTGAGCTGCCCTCGCCCACAGAAAAGGGATCGACATAAACGTTTGAGATGTCGGCACACACATGGCTGGCATTTTGGCGGACATGTGGTGGCTAGGGCTGACAGTGTGCTGGCATGTTGCGACAGTGGGCTTTGAGAAAGGCTCTACACAAGTGAAATGGGTCTGACGCGTGACTGTGCATGATTTGTATGTTTTTGGACGTGCTTACTGAGGTGTCGACTGGCATTTGCACTGGCACATGGACTAGAAATTCGCCTTGACACATGCCCAAACATGTCAGGTTATATTGCTGTATATGTTGCCTCTACTGGACCTGGAGTATTGGCACAAAAACAGTACGAGTACTGCTATGTATCAGTATCTGGCATTGACAATGACAAATGCCTGACATATTGGCTGACAAGGCTACGTACGGACCTGCAGTCGGAATTGTTTTGACAAATATTTAGTTACATGTACTTGCATATTTGCTGGCATGTTTTGGCCGCATGGGCTGACGCATTGATGAACGTGTGCACCTCTAACATTCGTACAATTAGCAGGTGTTCTTGAATAAACCCATCCAAGAGATGCTGACCCATGTGTGATCAGTTGTTTAACATGTATACCAGCACGTGCGAAAGCATATGCATGTACATGTTTTCAATGACAGGTGCATTGACGGATCACTTGCACATATGTTTTTGCTCACATATTTCTGCATGATACATTGACAAACCCCTCGGCAACCCGCAAACATGTGGATTGGATTGGATTGTATTGACATGCATATACTGCCGTGATCTGGCATGTACATACTGACATCATTTGTTTGACGTATGTATTGACATTTAGTACATTTGGGCTGACGTTTCCGACATAAATACTTTGCAATGGCATATTTTGGCCGACACTTGGCGGCATTTGCAGGAGCCTTTTGGGCGCTTGACACCTGTGCCACTGAAAAGAAGGGCTGCGGGGTCGGGAGCTGCTGTGTTGAGTACACGATCTTGTATTGAGTCTTACAGTCTGCGCACACAAGTATCACAAGTAAACAATTATTAACAATTGGTCTAAGAGCTGTGATTTGATTGCACTACGCCAGGCGTTTGTCTTTAAGAAATGGTTAAGAAATGGTGCTGGTCGTCAGGATCTCCCTGCAGTGCCAAGCATCCTCTCGGATACTCTCATTCTGTGTTTCATCCTCAATAAAATCTCGAGATAGGGCGCTCACCACCATCCATGCAGGGCGCTCCCTTTTTGAAGAGTTTCGGAACAGTAAAAGAGACACCAGCCAAAAAATAAAAAACCTGCGAGATATTACCATCTTACCTAGAGTCTGCGGTTTGCTTCTATATTTTTTGTTTGTACCTCAGAAGCTTCACACAAAGTGCAAGCAAAATCAAAGTTGAGTGCAAATGAAACACATCCGGAACAGGATCGAATTTTGAAATTAGGGTTTCAAACGTTAGTGACTCAAATGGCCCGCACATTGGATTCCCATAGCCTGCAACACATTGGATTCCCGTCAGAAGACAGAAGGACCAAAACAGCATGTCCTCAGGCTTGAGCGACATGAAGGGAGTGCAGACTCTTCGAACAATTTTCCAACACCCCATCTGCCCCCTTTTGTGTATCAATAGAAGAACCCTTAGTCATGCTTCATACTGGGGCTAGCATGATCTCTATTCCTGACATGCCAAAGAGTGAATTCAAAAAAGCAACGTGCAGCAGGGCTAACCAAAATATCAATGTCAAAACCTTGCGACCAAGTGGCGACACTGGACTGTAAGCACTTTGTCAGCAGCTCCAAGGAAGCCAAAGTATTGGACATGGTCACAACTCGCAAGGCTCGCGCCAGCTTGCCAATACGCAGGATGCGAAATAAAACCTGCCAATGTGCTGAGACTCAGATTTGAGGCACCATATCATATCACACAACTTCAAGCAAAGATATGGAACGATCATACAGTGGAGGTGTGTGATTATTTCATTACAATGCATTTATATGTCCTGTTTGTAGTCAAGGAACTGGGTTCACATTCGTCCACGTGCTGATCACGAGTTGAAGCAAAGATGCCTCCAAGCTCGGTCTCTGATATGCGGTCAATTTCTTCAGATTCAAAAGAACAAAAAACAGAAGTACCATCCGGTAATTCAAGGTAATTCCCCATCCATAGATGATTTTCCCAGCTTTGAAGCTCCATTTAGTTCGGGAATCTCCCATTCAATATGTTTGATGACCAGGAGGTATCGGATAGGATTTCAACATCTTCAGGTTGAGGGACTAAGGTCACTATCACGTCGATGTAGTTCATGCAATTCTTCCAAAACTTCCTGAGAGCTGAAGTGCGGCCCACTTGAACAGAATGGGTCTAGCAGAAAGGTAGTATTTGTCATTGAGCTACAATATCAACATACTAGAGCATATTTACATTGTTATCATCACAACAACACATACATAAACCCATGTTGCATCTCCGAATTAATTATATACACATATAAGGCTGCTTTGCTTTGTCAAATTAACATGTATTTTCCACAGAAAATATGGAACCCAGCTGGGGACAAGAAAAAAAATCTGAGCATTGGGAAAACCTGGGCATAGGGAGCCGTTGGCATGTTGCAGACAAGTCTCAACCTGAGGACCACAATCCTCACAACTACATCGACAGTAAACAGCGCCGTAAACACGTTGTCTCCGACCATAAACATGACATCCTTAGCTGTGCAACAAGTGTGTGAATCATACAGGGTCCAAGCAATGTCACATCAGGTATATAGTAGCCTGTGGAAAAAATTAGCAGCTTTGCCCCGAACAAAGAGATACAAAGAGTAGTAGATCGAAACATCAGGGGGAAACTGTTCGAATCGACCCATGACAATTGCCATGGCAAGTTTCAAATGTTGGCCGCAAATGCACCGGGACTACCGTGTCCTGAGCTATGCCGATTTGAACTTGGTGGTGACAAGTCAATTCTCAGGTCTCAGTGGATCAAAGAAATCCAGTTTTTTTTGACACTCACAAGTTCAACTCCAAACAGCTGGAGTACTTACAACCAGTGGAAGACTCCCCAACTCCAAACAGCCGTTCACCTGCGGTGCTGTCCTTGAAGACGCCCAGTTTGACTCCAGTCCAAGCTCCAGAATATTGCAACTCCAAGCCCATCCAAATTACCTGTGCCGATCGGATTTGAGACACATGCACAGCAACTTGGTACATGGGGGATTGAACCACGTTAAAATTGCAAAAGACGAGGAAACACAGACAAATAGAGGGAGAGGTTCAGACATTAAGACCTTTGAACCAGTGAGGGTCTGCAGCCTGCTAAGCTTCTGCCAAATGTCAAAGTCAAACCTGTGATACAAGTGCGGTAAGAGTCTATCCAAAGCCAAATGAATGACCATGTGCAAATCCCAATGAATTTCATGTGCAACGTGTCTTTTCTGCCCTCTTGAAACAATGAAAATTGAATCTGCCTTCTGTCGGAGACAAAGCATCACGAAGCCAGGAGCCAAGAAACGTTGAGACATAGCAATGATGTGATCAGCATATCAAAGCGATGAGATTGTAGCCAAATGTACATGCGGTCCCAACAGGGCAACCTAACGAAACACGGGGCTGGTGCCTATATGGCGAGGCTTTCTTGCTGCCTGCTTCTACCAGTACCATATTTGTCAATCCTAATACAGTAGTCAGGAAGTGGACTTCATCTTTAGGCAGCTTTAGCGGTGGAATGCGGTGGACATGTCTTTTTGATTTTTTTTGTCTTGCTCACTTCTGACAAATGTATCAAATACATGCTAAACTTGGCCCCAACCATGTGCAAGATAACAATCTGGCAAGGTTTGACTACATGTTGGTCTGTATACCCATATAATTGGATACCCATATATATATAAGATTATATAAGTGCAATGGACAAATCCCCATCTAGAATCTAGAATGGTTAATCCCCTACAAATGGCTGATTCTGCTTGATTTTTCCCATGAAGCCACATCGGTGCCCCGTTGCTTGGGCTCTTCCTGTCCCCACCTGGCGAAGTCGGAGCCAAATCGTTCCGCCTTCTTTTTGAGACCCGATGCAGGCCTAGGTTTGTCATGGCACCTGCTGACCCCTGGAGAGCCCGGAACAATGTTGGGAAACACCACTCAGAAAACAGCCTGTACCTGAAAAATCTTGAAATGTGCCCTCTACCTCTACAGTGCTTTGATATGCGTCTTTTTGGGGACATCGAGCAACCTGCGCGCTGAGAGTGCATGTGTCAGGCCGTTTTGCAAAAGTCTCAGCTTCAGACAGCAACTCATCGCCATCTTCGCTGTCCTGGGACGATGGAAGGCTGTCGACCGAGAGCTGAAGAGTTTCTGCAAGTGTCCGCTTAAGATCTAACCAGCCGCGTGAGAACGATGGGATTGCTGGAATTGCAGGAACAGAGAACCCAGATCCGACCAATGCATCGAACATGTACTGTAATTTGTTGATGTTCGTTGCATGAGTTCTTGTGACCAATGTTTTGCAGAAGTGTTGGGCGCTGGCGTTGAATTCATTGTTAGGTCCTCCTGCGGTGCATCAGAGCAAGTTTGTTTGGTGTTTTCACCGTGGAGTCCACTGGCACAGAAAGTCAGAAAGTTGAAAGATGTTGAAAGGCCCCCCAAACTGTCAACCCAACCATGCCCAACCACTCCCACCGACACCCCTGCATGGAAACAACAGAAGCACTTTAAAATTGATGCATCAAAGGACTGAAGGTGTAACATGAATGTCACGACCAGATTGCCAGATTGCATCAAAACACGGTTTCTGAGCTGCTGCAATTCATGAAGCATTGATGAAAACTGGCCAGGCTAGAGGGATCTAGAGGGATCTAGTCGGGTAGAGCATCAGCATCAAAGTGCGCCAAGCTATGCCAAGCTTCGTTTTCAAAGAACTGCTCTGCAGTTTCATCTTTGAAGTCCATGGCCTCCAACACCTGACGCGCTTCAACTGCATGTCGAGTTCCTCAGCGTTCCACGGCGAGGCATCTCCATCAGGTCTGACTCACTGATCAGGTCTGACCGCACTATCTCCACAAAGAAAGCACTGCTGGCACAATCAGAACCTTCTAAGGCGACACAACCATTATACCATTAAGGATTTGAGTTACATTATGCATCATTATACCATTTCACGTCCAAACCCTACTGTTAAGTTAATGAGTCTGGTAGATACCTTCACCAGTAAGAAACGCAAAGGAAACCATGTTTGCTTTCCTGGGATATATCTACCTTGGTGGGCGTGCCATGTTAACATCTTTTGACACTGGGCAAACTCAACTTTTTCGTTCAAATATATAGTTAGGGAGACCACTCCATGATGGATTCTCCCTGAAAACTGTCTCCAACTCTTTCGCAAAGCATCGTCGTGCTTCTAAGGCATGGTGGCGAAACTTCTTGGCCAATGAGGCCGAACCAGTGAGGCTGTTGTTGCCGCTGGCGCTCTGCAGACTTTGCATGCTTCCAGAAACTGAACCTGCACAACATCCAAAAGTTTCCCAGTTGCAAAGATTGCGAAGGGATGTGCCTGTGAAGATCACCATGCATCCTGTGCACATATGTGCACATTACATCACAGTGTTATATAAGCATTTATATATGTATAGATTCATATGGTTCAACACCTACAATACTGTACCATTATGTGGGGAACTTCCATTTACTATGTGCTGTTCAGGATACCAGGGTTTTGACTATTTGGACTCATAGCCATATACCGTTTGGATCCGTTTGGTGATTTGATGTGCATTGGACAGCGATCCCTCTGCAGAACTGAGCAAATCATGACAAACTGGTAGCCCAAGGATCTATACGAATTTGCATCGGAACATGGACCACCTGCTAACCCAAATTGTCATAGCCATCCATAGCCATCCATAGCCATCCATAGCCATCCATAGCCTCCAAGGCCGAAGGAAGTACGATTTCTCTTCGAGTTGTCCAGCTCCATCTGGGAGACAAACGAAGCCGCCTGGCTGGTCTACCTTTAAGGACCCAAAAACATCTTCAAAAACCACATGTCATGTGATGCATGTCGTTTTTCGGAAACCAATGGCCGGGGAATCGTGCAAGAAAAGTACGTCACCTGAGTCACCTGGTCCATTGCAGAACTTTGAGGACTCATTGGAGCACTTCGATTCTCATCCTTCGCAGTGGGCAAATGAGATGCAGCAAGGGGTTTTAGAAACTCGACAAATGATGTGCAAGTACTTTTAATCCTGTTTTCCAAACCTCAAATTGATAGCAACGCGTTTTGGTCTGGTGAACTCAAGTATTGTCTTGCATTCTCTTCAGTTTCGAAGCGGAATTGTGAATCTTGTAATGGACAGCGGAAAGTCAGCCACATGCTGGCTAGGTCTCAGTTTGAGTTCACTGTCTGGAACCCTAAGCAAGTATCATGAATGAGTTTCCAACCCTGGTACTAAAGATGTCCAATGCATGGTAGTACAGTCAGTATGCTGGCATAGCATATATAGCATGGCAGAGCAGAGTGTAGCATACACACTGCATTTATAGAGGAGTGGAAGACTTGGCTTCGAGTCGTGGCGTGGACGAAATCCACGGTCCTCGTTGGATATACGGAGCTGGGAAAGCTCTGTGATCTCGGTCAGGTGCTGTTGTACCAGCTGATCTATGATCGCTTGAAAGGAGTGGGAAACTTGGGTCGACCTGGCTGGCGCGTTGATCGCTGGGAAAACAACAGGCTTGGAATGTCTTGGAACAGGGAACTCTGGCATCTGTTCAGAATCACATCCCAGCGATTTCATGCTGTTCAAAGATCTTTGAAACAATATGACATAATTCTATAATTTGTAATTCCATGTAATTCCAAGATTCTAAGGACAAACCGATAAACTGCGTGGAAGTCATCTCCCATTGTGGATCAAGTGGATACCTAGTCCATTCCCAGCCCGCCTGGACTTCTCGAGACTCGCACACCACGTGTCAAAATCATGAGGTACTGGCATGATGCTAGAAAAAAAAACATGGACTGAGGTTTCCAAGTCTGCTGCAAATCACATCCTGATCATAGACTGCAAAGCAAGTGACCAGTTGTATGTGAGGGAAATCACACTCCAACATAACATTTAACATATCATAACATACTAACAAACTTTTTTTGATGCCAACCTGTTGCTGTTCTCATGGATCCTTCGATGCAAATCAAGCTGGAGCCATTGACGGATCCACTTCACCATGCTGGCCACCTACTTGCCTGGCCCTATGAACGATGTCTTGCCGCACTCTATAGTCCTTCTCACTCTATGCACACATTCTGTATGTTTATATTATATATATATAATAGTTAGCATTGTGCTCCCCCGTCTTTCTCATCTAACCCCCCACATTATACAAGCAAATTCTATGGTGTTAATACCAAAGACAGGGGGAGCAACACCTTATAGAAATCAATAACATAAATCAAAACAACAAACAACAAAACAAAAAACTCAAACAACCTAAACAATACAATAGATTATAAAATAGTCTATACCATAAATCATAACAACAATAACAAAATCAAAACAACCTACTACAAACAAAATACAGACAAAAACAAAGCAACAAAACAACAATAACAAAATCCTAACAACCTACTATCAATAAAACCTATAACATAAACCATAACAACCTCATCATATCAACCCATCTCATCCATCTCATCCGTAAAACTTATATATAATAATCATAATTGTATTGAATAATTTTCATCAAGGCATATACAAATATACATCATCTTACCTTATCTATTTCATAGGTGTTATTTCTAGAAATCATAATTGCTAGAAATAGTCCTAGAAAATAATTGCAACATAAATTTAATAGAATTATTTTATCAAATTTATGGGGACAACCAACATAATTTTCATAATTATTTATTATGAAGATTATGGGATTAATTACCACAGTCTCCCCCTATAGGGGAAGCTTCAACCCCCAGCCAATATACTATCCCAACTCGCAGCATACATACCAGCATACATACAAACTAGCATATCACAACAGCATCACATCTTTCTCAACTCCAAATCTCTTTTAATCCGCAATTGCCATGCCCAAACTACCGCCCTTCATTAACTTGGTTATAACCATGTCTTTTTGACCTCAGCGCGATGTAAATGGCAAAGCAATCCAAACTTTTGGGGCGAAATGGCGTGAAAAAGATTTGTGTGGTGTGCGTCCAGACTTGTTGGTGCCAGTCTTCTCAAGTTTTTGGAAGGGTTTGTCTTTGCATTGTATCAGGCATGAATGCACTGAATGTCAAGCTTGTGGAGGCTCACCAGCATGAATGCTCTATTGAAACAATGCCTACCTATGTACTGTGCATACAGACCTTTTCAATCATCAAGGATCTGCTCAAAGCACTTCTTTGGAAGTCGCCCTGTTGGCGAAGCAACACATCTGGCGCACCTTCGTCGTCACCAAAACGACCAAAATTGGTGAGCAACTTGCGTCATGGTGTTCCAACGCATGTGCAGCAACCCAAATAGCACCAGCACCGGCACCGTTGAGAATAGCCGCACCCAGGATGACAGCTAGCATGGCGCAGATTGGCCTGATATGTTGTGAAGTTGCTCTGGCTGATGTTTTGCGAAGCCGACTGATTGCCTGCCCATTTGGTGTCTGTAGCTCCAGCGCTCGATGCAAGGATGATGAGGCAAGCGACAAAACGGATTTGCGCCATGAACATGCCGACACCCCTAAGCCCTAAGCTAAAAAGCGTGCCCGAGTGGTTTGAGGAAAAAATGCTGAGAAATGACACAAAATTCCAAGCTCAAACTGAAAGAGCTAATTTCTGTAGCTTTCCAATTGAGAATGTCAAAGGTGCTCAAAATGAAACAAATTCCAAGGTCAAGCTCTCCAAGAACATGTGGCGTCAAATCTCCAACTGACATATTCCCAACAGCTGAGCCCCCGGACAACTGGATGCAGAAGAGATTGATGACGAAGCCATGACTGGGCAGAAGGACACCGGAACGTGGAGCCAATCCCAGCCAATGACCCAGCCAAAGACAAAATCATGGGAAAACAAATGAAGGGCAAAACACAAAACCCTGAAATCAAAAGAGCACAACAAATCAACCATCTGATGGGGAAAAATGCTTACAAGGCTTTCTAAAAACACTAAATCTTTAAAAGTTCATGCCTCATCAACAATCTTGGGTAATCAGTTAATTTGTAATATTTTTGGTTCAACTTTTCTGCAATCTCTTGCATAACATAAGAACCTTTCAGCCAGTGGGAAGTTCTTTCTTTCTCTGTAATTGCTTTCTTTCTCATTATCTTTACTTTGTCTCCCACCTCTAATGTTGGATACATCCTTTCTTTCTTTGCTTTTACTGAAACATTAAGTTTTGCTCTAAACTCATTCCCTTCTTTCCTTGCTTCATGTGGAGTTAGTCCAGTAGCACTGTGGGCGTCCTTGTTGTTGTATGTTAGTAAAATCTCGGTTATGTAATCTATCCATTGAATATTAGTGTTTCCTTTCTTCTCATCATTATCAACCCGTTTAAAAAGTTTATCTTTAAATGTCCTAATAAATCTTTCAGCGAAGGCTGGATGACCTCTAGTTCTATAAAGTTCAATCCCTTCATCTTCTACTAGTTGTAATGTTATAATCTATATTAACTGATATACTGCATATTATTATTGTATAATATTACGCAATATTACATATATATATATATATACATATAATATAATTATATATATAATCATACACATATAGTATGTACCTAAACAAGAAAGAAAACCCTGAGCAACCCTACGAGCTGTGGGACGCTAGAACGGCGCAGCCTGGACGTTGCGATGACCGCCATCATCCCGTTGAACCACCGAGAAGAGAACAGTGCGGAAGTCACCAATCACTGATGAGAAATGGATGGAAATGGATAGAAATACGTATAATATACATAATTTTGAAATAAATATCTTGCAGTGTGTATATAATATAAGAAATAGATAGATAGAAAATAATAGAAATATAGATAGATAGAAATAGAAATGGTGGGAATATCTGCACCACCGCTGGTGAAATTCATGAAATTGTCACCATCATTGGCGACATTTATTGAAATTGGCAGGTTGTGAAATGCACCAGGCCTATCTCATGGTTCGAACGCCAAGATTTTCCGCCATGCTGCAATTAAGAAGTGTGAGCTCCACATGAAGAGCATGCCATGAGGTACACTCATCATGCATTCATGGATATTCATTGGCTTCATGACCACCCAAGCATGCTCTCCCGGCAATCTCTTTATCTTCATGTCCATGCACTGATAAAAATCGTCCATTCACCTATCCATGTTACCATGTCGAGATTTTGCCCACTCTACCAACCATGAAACTTGATTGCATTGGTCAACTGTATTGGAGAGCCACATTGACTTGGGTCTCAGGCAAATACACGTATTCAACTTAACTTTGCTGATGCTGCTGGGCACGGCCGGACATTTTCTTGGCATACTGAACCAAATCAAGCTGCAGTGGAAAGTGCGCTTGTACAAAGTCTCTAAGAAATGGCTTGGCCAACTTAGCAATGAGCGTGTTGGGACGGCTGCATGTTATTGGTTTGATGCTCAAAATTGGGAAGGCGCAGAGTTTGGTTGTTTGGAAATCTGTAACTATAGCACACCTGGCCTAAACTCCGAGGAAGATCCATCCGGTGAGAAGTACAATACCTGATGAGTCAAATGGAACGAGACGAATGGCGATGTATACCACGTAATGCCTTGCAATGCATGCTCCCCAGAAACGAATCATTGCTCTTGTAGGCTTCGAACCGGAACAAGAAGATCTGCACTTGGGCAAATAAAAACTTCAGATGCGGCAACAATCCGTGCGACAACAGAGCGGTCAAGATTGTTGCCCGAGGTATATATACGTCCCAAGCTGCAGCACTGGTTGTGTATGCATCCTAAGTCCCGTCTTGGTCACATCTTCGATGCTCAGCATCCCTCAGGTCTGAAAATGCGGCCAATGGTGCTCCATCCAGTCGCTCAAGGGACTGGTAATGACCTTGTGAAAGTGTCACCATCCAAATCAGTTCATTAACACATCCAATCAACAAATCAGCACCAAATCCAATCAACAAATTAACACTGCACAGTGTGAGTTGTCCCCAGATGTCAGCTGACGGTGCAAGCAGCCTCAACTCAACTGGAAGATTTGTGCTGACCAGCCAATCTTCACAAGCCCCCTGCGAAAAAAGGAACCCAATGATGACAGCAGTGCAGCCTCAGTGATGCAGCTTTTCAAGGCATTTCAAGGCCAACTGGTTGAGGCTGTTGGAACACCTAAGACTGTAGATAAATAATGATAATTAGAGATAAAGATTATGAAAAGGATTTCTGATAGTCTTGCTGCTTTTTTGAGGTCAAAGCAATGGCATTATGGGAAACTGTATAGACATGTGTAGATATTCCATGTAAGTCGAAAACGCTTTAAAACTAGGCACTACAGTCAATTTGACAAAGTAATATGTATATATAATATATATGTATTATATAGAAGTTATATATAATGATATAATATGTATATGTATCACAAGAAAAAAAACATGTTGTCATCTCATCACCACATCCGCTACAAGTGACCTATGACCGAGCACCCCTGCCATCGGCCGGCGCTTTGATAAAGCCTCCAGGCGCAGAAACAACATGAAAAACTTGAAGCAAGCTAAACAAATGTAAACAAGTCTATCATCTTATCGCATCAAAAAGTCATATACATAACCGTAGATGGTACATGGTGCTACCAGGGAATATGAAATCTTTGTAGCCATGCCAGTGGAACTTTGACTTGGCCCTATGCAGCTGCTTATGTTCAATCATTTGGATTCGTTTAAGGGTTGAATAGGGTTTAATGATAAAACACACACCGAGCCTCTTGTGCACTTGACAACACACCTTTTTAGAAAGTTGAAATTGCGCAGGCAGCAACATTATCCTCCATTCAAGCAACTGTCTGTCTTGGTTTCTTTCTCTAATTATTGCGTCAATCTTACTGCGGCAATGCAAGGTGCACTGCATCCAGGTTGAAATGTCACACTGGACAGCTAGCGCATATAATGTAGTACCATTGCTGCAATGAAAGTGACTGGAATGTATGGGAAAGTGATCTGCAACATTCTGCACAGCACCCGTTGCCTCATGGTTCGTCTGCTTCAGGGAAGACACATGCACTGCCATCAAGAGCCAAGCCTCAGAAATTCATTGGCATCTTCTACAGCTCATAATGCCTGAACCTGCGCGATTTGAACTCTGAAAGTTTGGGGAAAAACTGAAAAGTACGGAAAGCATGCATTGATGTGCATTGCCTTGTGACTAACTACTTCACCCATAGATTGGAGACCGCTTTCTGCCGTCTCAGGCTGCGACAACTGTGGGCAAACCGCCTGCAGCACTGCTGAAAGAGCGCGACACAGCAAGATTCAATGGTCCCATATGGTCCTGTGATGTCCCATCTGACAGGATAATTTTGGGCATTTTTTTTCAATCACATGTCATTTTGAATGTCAGAAAAGGTGTTCGAGTACCTAAACTCCCCAAAATGCTAGTTGACCCTCAGAAATCCAAACATTTTCAGAACTCAATTCGTGCTGTTCAGTGTGGCAAACTGCACACATTGAGCTTCATACTTCAAGTGTTCAAATACCAAAGGATGCCCACAGTTGAGGATGTAAAAACCCATTCATGCAACTATATGTAATTCTGAGTAAATCCACTTCAAAGCAGTTCGAGTCTTTTCTGGCCAATCAAAACAAATTCAAAAATCAGAACAGATTAAGAAACAAAATTGAAAACGTGTATATCTGTGCATGAAAAGTTTAAGCGGGAGTGTGGTCAAAGTTGTGCCAGTTTTCAATGCCAAACAACTGGTAATAGACAATACAACCCACATGCTGTGAAAATATGCAGTGTTTTTCGGGCATGGGCACCAGCCTGTTGAAGCATGGTGAAGCAACAACTATATGCTGGCTATGTCAAACATCTATCCCATCCACATCATCAGCTGATTTTGTAGCCACCAAAAAGGGGTCGAATGATGTCCAATCCCAAGTGCACGGCCATGCCCAGCTGCAGGGAACTCCAAATAGTATATAAGGCACTTTTCAGGCTCTTCGATGCTCTTCGCAAATTCAAGTCTGTTTACTTCCTGACATTTCCTGACTGCATAACTGTCATTCGTTTTTCAGAGAACTGTGATATTGACCAACAATGAACTACATACTGCAGAGGAAATACGCTCTGATGCCTCTGATGACCTAAGACCCACCGTGCCTTCTTTGGTGCGGGGAATTTGACGTTGCTTCAGCCACCTCAGTACACACAAAGATACTAATGCATACAATTTGTCATACAATACAAAGAAAAGAACCCATTCGATCCATGCACTGTGTCAGTTGAAACAAAGTCAGCTGAGTCAGCTTCAGTATCATTGTCATCATGGTTGTTGCTGCTGTTGCTATCCACATCAACTACCAAAACCATCCAAAACCTGCATAACTAACATCATTTAAATAGCTCAGAGATGATGACGAAGTTTGCGGAGTCCACATGACCCGACGTTTCCTTGCTTCAAACATGAAAGTGTGGAACCATGGAAAATAGAGGGTTGCTAGATTAGCAGCACATCAAAAACATATTATAAACAACTATATAATAACAACTATATGTACACACCATTGAAAAACTGTAACTTTGAACATCCCAAAAACCCCATCGACATCGACGTCCCACGAAGTCGTTGTGAGTCTCGGACCACTTCACACAGCGAAGGGTCAGCGTCACCAACGGCGCGACCGGTGGCTGGGGCTCTGTCGGTCGCGGTGCAGCGCCCACGCGCTGGAACTTAGGACTTCTCCCATTCTAATGGGGAAAACCATGATAAATGATGATTAGAATGGTTAACATCATTCTAATTAGATGTTTTATCATGGGGAAAACATCATTCTATATAATGATAAAACATGATACAGTGAACCATGATGAAACATCTAATTTGGGGGTATACAGCATACCCTCTTTCCAGACAACCCAGATGTGTTTTTTTCTATTTTTTCTGGTATAGGACCAGCGCATTCTGTGGTCTTGCAGAATAATGTCTCATCTTCACCAGGAAGGGCAAAGCAAGAATGTGACCGCCAGTTCTGACGGATTCGGATACTACCAAAACATCATGAAAACGATTGAACACATGCGTTGTGTGGTTTATTTCGTGTAATCATTCCAGTCCTATGTTTTCAACATGACTAACAATTCAAGTGCTACGGGCCACATTTTTTCACACTCCAATGCTTGGATGCAAAGAGTCCGTCCGATAAAAAAAATCTGCAAGAGGGCGTACCATCGCACATGGTCCAAAGGCCGCGTCTGATCCACAGACACATCCACAGCGCAGCAGTTATCTGAGGCCAGAGAAGGGCACACGGAAGGGTATGGAGGGGCATCAAAAGGATGCAGTTCTCTGGTGAAAGATGGACTCGACAGATCTGACAGGTACGGTACAGCAGCTATGAAATAGCTCACCATAGTTCTTTTTGTCGTTGACAGCAAGATGCAACTTTAGTAGATAAACAGTTGATTGCAAAGCAACCGAGGCTCGCAAATTCGGGAAACTGGCACGAAATCCTCCAGGCAGATCATGAATCATGTAGCTCATTGAGTACCGTAATTACCACCAAAAGTCTCTTGTTCAAAGAAGCAGTTGCTCACCGTCTTCATACTATGCATGAAGGTATGCATGAGCACTCATTCCTGCTTCATGAAGTTTCTCTCTGTATCTGTGCATGGGTGCCAAAGGTTGTCTTTTAGTGCCTGCCTATACATTTGTGGCCTCCCTTGCTGCGTGTCTGTGTCTGGGCTGTGCAGCCGGTGTCACCCGACAGCTCTTCAGTCTGTATCGACTTCTGTGAGGGCACAGTGTGCAATGCCTTATGCAGAGCACACTAGACATTGACCGCACAAAGTGGTCTGCTGGAAATGAATCCCGGATCCATTCAAAAACAAGATCTTAGTTACAATATGTTACAAAGAAGACCCTTGTAGTTGTACGTCGTTGTATTGCATCCCCTCAGTCAACCTCCGATGCCATCTGAAGAGGACGAGGGGATAGTATCCAAACAAAATCGGAAAACCATTGGAAAATCCAATAAAATGCCCAGTCCCCCTCTGGCAGTCTCCTTCGAGACCGAAAAACATGAACCTTCTGCGTCCAGAATCCATATCAGTGACTTGCAACAGCCCGTCCGTTGAACTGTTACTACTCTTGCAAGCCAGGCAGTCCCAATGCCATTAAAGGTAAAAGGTAAAAGTTTTGCATCGTTCCAAATGTTCCACACACACACACTTGTAACACATCTATACATTATATAAATTATATATATAAATATGTTCGCGACATGTGCCTATGTGTGCCAGTGCTGGTCCTTGCTGGAACCGGAACTTCGCTTATTCCTCGTGTCCAATGTGCTTCTAATTAGTTTCACAACGTTCGCAATATTCAAACATACAATAAGTTCTTGATCGATCTTACATCAGAAATGCAAAGGACACTACTCACTCTTTACCACCTATCTGTGACTGTGATAAACTGGTGTATGATGACGGTTCATAGATTTCCCTTAAAATTAGAGAATGTAACTGATGCACCATATTCCTTTTGAATGTTCGGTGTCAGAGAAAGCAATCAATGAATGAGAGTCCTGTTTTCTGCTACTTGTGGTTCTTGTGCGTTCTTGTGCGTTCCTCTCCTCGATTATCACTTTTCTGCACCACACGTTTCGCCCAATGGCCTTTGGGGCCCCACATCACACCTCAGCCAATGAGAGGCCAATGAACAACATAGCAGTGCCAGGTATTCAACAAATGAGAGGCGGTGATAATATGGTATAATCATATGACAAGGAACTTGCTCCAATATGCTGAAGAATGTAGTCTGCGCATGTCTGCGTAGCATGTTTCCCAGCAGCCAAACCGGTTGATCGCACCATATTTTAAAAGACGTCAATTCTATTTTCAGTCTGGATATTGACGTTTCGGGCGTCTATCCAAGCCTCAGTTGGAAGGCGGCTGAAATAAATGCGGCCAAAACATATCGCTGCACGTGGGGCAAAGTGTTGCACTCTCTGTGACAATTTCCCCTCAACGTGAAGAAGCTGTCCATTGTCGGCAGCAAATCAGTGATGGGCCAATGTGTCTTCCGCCAAAAAAGGTCAAACTGTGTCGGAACCAGGAAATAGATGTTAATATTGTACACGCATACGATATTTAGATATCACATGATATCACCCTCACTATACTCACCACTTATCCAAAGGTGAGTATATCAGGTGATAATGGACAGTGCCGAACATTTTGGGTAAGGAAGACAATGAGCTCCAACTCTTCCAGGATATTCCGGGGTACAGCCTAGCGTTCCGGAGTTCTACTACAGGCTCTTTCCTGTGCTGGGCTGTGCTGGGCAAAATTATGAAAAAGCCATCCAGAAATGGCGCAGAGTTGGGACATAGGAAGATATTTGGCCGCTCAAGAGTCTTTCTTGCTGTACTGTATTTGAAGTGATACCTCCCAGCTCCCTGACTCTGCTGGTTCAAACTCTGTACAGAAACATGTCTTTTGTCATGAGCATTCTGCTTGTTGCAGGAAATGCTGAAAAAAGATGAAAAAAGTGCCAAAAATCACCGTCAATGACATGGCAACCTCCTCAAAGAAGGGAATACTCCGACTCTTCACAAAGATCCACCATAGGTGCTTGGGAGCCCCAAAAAGACCCACAAATGTTATCAATTCAACACACATGTTTTGTTTGAGTGGTAGTATATGTGATGCCCATTTGATCTTGATGGCCCAGTAGTGAAGTTTGAGATGCCTTACAGCAACGGGTCCCCCGGTTTTGACACTCGAATCCCCATCTGTAGGCTGAGGGGGCTACGAGCCGTACTGAAGCACTTTAGCAGGTGTTGTAGTACTGAACGAGCCAAAGAATTGCCAAAATTTGGGATATGAATGATAATGATATATGAATATCTAAAAAAACATTGCAATGGAACCTTTCAGTTCAGGAAGAACATGGAAGAACAAGTGCCGAAAGCCTATTTGGACACTAAGGTATCGATCAAATGTGCTGGCTAGTCTTTGCACACTCCTTTGAAAATTGGCAGAACGTCCACGGTCGCAAAGAACTCACAATTGCCATTTCAATGAATTCAGAGAATTCGAGTGGATCTTGGGACGGCTATACTGAAACAGGCCGGTTCCTACATCTGCTCAGCTTTCGTCAGAGCATCCGGCCGTAGACCCTGGCTCCATCCGCAAGGGTCTACTCAACTTCGCAGGAGGTTGGCACAGAGTTCAATATCATAGTATAAATACAATAGACTATAGTAGATTATCAGATTATGATCATCAGATTATCATAAAATAATACAGTATATATCAATATATTATCTCGAACTTCTGCCGAAATTACATTTCAGCACAGGAATCGCCGAATTCTTAAAAAATTGCCGAAAACAGAAAAAAATGCCGACAATTTTCAATTCTGCCGAAATAGGGTTTTAATGGGCTGTGATGGGCTGTGTATATTTGTAACCAAAGCTGAGTCCAGGTAATTCCGCCGAAATTGCGGGCAATTCCGCCGTGCCGACATGTTTTCTGACTTTACTAGGGCAAACATTCAACAATCAATTCCGCCGAAATTGGTCTCCAATGATGGAATTCCGCCGAAAGCCGTTTTTAAGAGCGAAATCTGAAAATTCTGCCGAAATCCTAAATCGGCAAAAAAATCCATGCATTTGGAGTTCTCAGGTATATATCAGTTTCTCATAGTTTCTCAATGTGATCTGCTTCATGTGCATAGATTACGTAGAAACATCCTTGAAGATCCCAGGTGTCTGCACCTGCAGCCGGCTAGGTCAACCTGTTGCCAGCGGTTGGTTCATAGGATTTCCCGTGTTGGATTGTGATGATTGTGATAGTCCCCCAATATGTTGGAATAACTCCCTCTAATCATCAACCCACTGGGGTCCTGTCCACACTATTCCTAAGCTGGCAAAGGGGGATACTTCTTGGGGGCTTTCTTGCGGGGGTTCCACTCCAGAAAATACATTGAGAAAACTAAAACAATGCATATCCAATCCGAAGGAATTTCTGTGGGATGCTTTTGGTATTTGTTGGGTTTAACGGTTTAACTCCCCATTTTGTGGATGATTATCGGATTTTGTTGGGTTGTGTCTGGACTTTTGCGGAATTATGTTGGGATTGTCTTGGGTTTCTTCTGGATTTTTATTGGGATTTCTTTGGGATTTGGATGCTTTTTCAACTGATTGACTCGATTGTTTGGGATTCCTGTGCGAATCTCAATTCTTCACGAGGAATTTACAGGTATCCGCTGTGAATTCCTAGCATTCAAGGGTAAATTCTAGATTGTATTGGGAATAAGATGTGGTAATCGTGGGAAGCACCCAATTAGAAACATCCTTTACAACAATACATAGCCTTATTATATGAGACTTATGAGCTACGCTCAGCATGCGTGTCGCATGCAAATATGCAACTATTCAACGCTACTGTGAAGCGTCACGTTGACACGTTTTGCACATCCGCAGCCATCCTAAAAAAGGATATGCAAGCTGTTGTGTTTCACATTTTCACGGAGTAATACAGAGTATGCCAGAGCAAGAAGCAAGACTTGGAGTCCCATATTACTATGGGAAGCAAAGCATCCACGAGAAAACATGTTTGGTAAGCTTGGATTCTGTAAAGATCCGTACTCCCAGCATCACCATGAATCAAAGATGAAGAACATAGCAATGTGCTGCCAAGGCAGTTTCTATAGAGTATAATTTTTGCGACCCTCCGACATATTCCAAACTGCCAGCAAAAGAGTGTCTTGACAGCAGTGGAAACAGTTTCCTCGTAGAGAAGGCACATGAATGCTAAATATACGTACATATTTAAAGACTTTTTAAAGTTTTAAAAATGTTTGAAGCATATCGAGTTGCATTGTGGAGGTATGACTTCGCCGTGGCTGTGAACACCGAACAAGCTTGCAGTAACATGAAATTTTGACAGTAGGCCTCAGGGAAGGAAAAGACCCACTGAAGTGGCCTGATTGTAGTCATGGCTCTTGATTTAGGTCATTTTAGGCCACATATTGTGCATGTAATGACACGGATCAGAAATAATAAAAAACATAGAAATATAATAGCAAGAGGAACTGGCAAAAAATGAGGAGCGGCGAAAACCACAGCAGGAAGCAAATTGAAGGAGAAGCAGAAGAAATATTCTAGCGATTTCTTGCGTGTCGAGAAAAAGAACATTTGATGGAGCGTCAGCACTCACATGCCGTCCCGCTTCCAGCCTGCGGTCATACTGCAGTGTCAGAAGCCACAAGCTCTCCACCTGTGGAATATTTCAAGCTTAAATGCGTTAAAATCGTTACAAAATTGCAACAAAGTTGAAGCCACTTTGAAGTCTCAGCTTCGACCTGTGTATTCTTGGGCTAAAGTCTGGCAACTTAAGGAGGAGTCAGACTGTCGTTTCATGTCATTTCAAGATGTTTGAAGTCTGGGTACCAGGAAGTAGTGACCTTGAATACACAAAGCCAAGTTTTAGCCCACTTCTTGGTATCCCTACTTACTCTCCGGGGGTTCCAACCCGGAGAGAACCTCTGATAAAAATGCCGTCAAGCTGCGGCACAGAGGGCAACTGCCGACCCGAGAAAGCCAGGACTCTGAACAAGACTGGTGAAAAGCATGACCACCTGCAGAGTCCAGAGTCCAGAGACCAAAGTTGGAGGAGCCTGACTGAAAACTGAAAACTCTATTAATTCACATTGTCAAGTTACAGTAGATTAATTTTCACTCGGAGCACATTGCTAAAGTGATCTTCATATTGCAAGTGAAATAATATGATGTTGCAACCCTTTCAGCCAGCATCCACGAAAAATGGACAGCTGAGAAAAATGAGTTGATATACCACGATGAAGATTTCAATTCAATTAGAACTGGATCCGATGAGTTACGTGGTATGAGTTCACACAATTGCAACATGTGGTGCTCTATTGAAATCAAACAACGATGAATCCAAATCTGTTGCAAGAAAGCATGGCTGCCATGACTGATCTGTGAAAATCACATCTTAAGTTGGGAATCATGGCAAATATGCATTTGGCTCATTCAACCTTCCCGCATGTAGCAAGTCACATAATTCTACCTGACCTAGTGTCTTTCATCAACATGTGTCTCACTCCACTTTGTTTGCTTGAGCAAAGCTTGATGAACACAAAGACTTTAAAAACAAGCAAACAAATCAAACAAAAAATGACAATTGGTATTAAACGGCAAATATTTTTGGGTGTCTAACAATCCGTTGTCACTGGTGGATGACAGGAACACGTCATAGGTCAATCAAACCAATATGCTCTGCATCTGAGAACAGTCCTGAAACCTACAGTAAATTAACAATTGTCCCGTACGGCCCCACAGCGTACAAGGGAGACGTCGCAGCATTGCTGACTCCTGCAGCGGCAAGTGATCTTGAGGCTTCTACTAGAATCAAACATCACAACGATGGAAAAAATTAGGTTTCTTCTTAGATCCTCCTTTTCAATGACTCGATCGATGCAGAGCTAGTTCAACTCCCTCACCTGCCGCACTCAAGCTAAGTTCGCAAAGGGAAATGCTACCGTATTACCCTACAAGGCAGTCATAGAGTCATAGAGCCTTTGCAAATTGAAATGACAATGTATGCCCTGCTCAAAAGGTCTGCAAAATGCAGGATCAAAGGCCATACAATAATAACTTTAAGAGCTTTCAGGGCCTTGCCTGCATTTGCTACTCACTATAAGACTTAATTTCTATGTAACCTGATTCTGTTCATTGACCCAAATGCCCGAATGTGAGAAAAGGTTAACGCCTTGTGCCCGTTCCATGCATTTTACCCATTTCGCCCAGCAGTGAAACATACATTTTGCATATCCAGCTGCTATCAGTGCAGCTCCTCAAAGTCGCTTAGGCAAATGGAGCAGGTTGTTGAATGGCTACAGCCTCAGGTCCAGGATGGATAGCTTCCAAGTCAAACACTCAAACACAAAATTAGACATTGACTATACACATTATATATTATATATAAGTTCATATCATATAAGTACACAAGATTACCTTGTTCTTTTTCAAGAACCTGTACACTGTACACCAATGTATATATAATATGTTGACAATCTTCTCAAACAAGTCTACCAGTCTCTCTTATGGTGCCATCAGCGATGATGCGACAGAACATACTGGCTCTATGCCGTAGGTCATCAAGCAATGTGAGTTCCGGCAACAAAACATAAAAATTATTGCAGTCAGTGGCTAGTGCCGCACCTGTCAAATTCTCATGCTTCTTCTTTGTAAAGACTTCCAGCTCAGTTTGCTTGAGAACCTGCGCTCCCAATTACCAGAAACAATCTCACAGCTAGCCCACAAAAAAACACTCTGACTTAAACCCATCAAAGTGAATTTGGAGAGCACACAAGTATCGATCTCTGCCTCCCTGTGTTTTGAGCATGCATGTCTATTACTCATAATCTTGCTGCGTCTCTAAGCAGCTTCTCGCTACCTGTTCGATCTATCTGGAAGCTAATTATGATGCCGGTCACAGTCAAGCAACCAGCAACATACTTGCCTCTTTACCCTAAAACGTTGACAATCAACAGAAATCCTGTTGCAAACCCGAAAAGATTATATACTTCCTGTGGCGGAGGATGCACCTTCTTTAGTCTCTGTTTTTCGTCGAAGCTCAATCCTGCAAGTCGACAAGTTTCAAGAAACATAATCGAAATGCTCAATTCTGATTCTGATTTTGTCCTTCGCATCAAACACAGTGTGAATCCAAACAAGTTGAAAAATCCCTCCGTGGAGTCAAGCAACTCTGAAGGAGTTCAAAAAGGTTCAAAGGAACAACTCCAAATCACCATAATATAGGTTCGTCCACGAAAGGATGATACCCCAAAATGATCGGAATTGGCACTCTTCTACATTTCTAATGGGGAAAATGATAATAAATACACCATGGGTTTTGGGGTACTCGATTTTAGACAAACCTACTTATCACTCTCTCCTGTTGTTGGTCAGAATCGATAGCTACGCACCGCAATAAACGTCAAGCCTGGTATTAAAAGGGACGGTCGACGAAAAATAGTGTAGGCGAAAAAGCCACCAAGCGCTGACAAGCAAAGCAAACCTTAGTCCCAAAAATGGCACATCAGTTGCAGCTGCAGATGCGCAAGTAAGGTAATGCAACTTACTGAAATTATCGATCTTGGAATTTGTATGAATTCGTCCGTGCCTGCTTCGAAAAGAAAGATTCATAAGAGACCGCACTCAGACTGGATAGCTCTGTGGCATCATTGTGGCATCTGCATGTTGGGCACAGCAAATTCGTCAGCTGCACTGCCACCAAAGAGCCAATGAGGGACGGAATTAGCAATTCCAGCATCGCCTGCGACCGTAGGCAAGTCCATGTTCACTCCAGCTAGAATGTGTTTGAATGAATTCGTGCAGGTTGGTAGATGTGGGGGAAATGCGTACAGTGCAACAGAATGGGCTATATTATATATATATATATTGTATATAATACAATATATATATACAGTATATGACGGACATATTTTAAGAATGTTATTGTCTGATGTGTGTTTTACAAAGTGGCAAAACGATGCAAAACGTAGAATATGGACGATACGTCATGTCCATGTCATGTCCTTTCTGGTCCAATAGTCAAACTCACCTAGAAAATCGGAAGGGCCATTCAGCACTGGTTTGGGTTAACCCAAACTTTGGAAAGGGGGGTCGGATCTACCATTCGTTATTTGGAACCCTTCCAGCGAAGAAATAACCTGTCGCTCCTGTCGCTCCTCAGAATCCAATTATTGACAAATGGCAACGATATATTCTCAGAATGAAATAGAATAAATATATTCTCAGGATGACAATGGTCATGATCAACGAATAAATGAATAAATGAATGGATGATGAATGCATGGATGTATGGACGGATTGACGAAGGGACAGATGAACAGATGGACAAATGATGATGATTCCAGTGGAAATTCATCATTGTTGAATACAATCGTTACAATCAGCCGTAACTTCATTATGTTCTCAAAAACATCAACAAGAAATCTTTCGTGTCTGGTATGCTGTTTTGGTACGTCCACTCACTTGAGCCGACCTCGCAAGCCTCGCACGACATCGGGAGGAAAAAAATGATGCGGAAATGTGGAAAGAATCTGCGGAATGTTGGACAAATCTTGATTAAAGGTGAGGCTTGTTCGTGGCTGTCATGCTAATATGTTCTGTGTATTTCTGTGTTGTCTATAGTACCTATAAAATCCTATAAATAATTATACCTACAGAATCCTACAGAATATATACAGTAATATTGACTGCATCGCATAGCACAGCATCACCGCATTGAAGTGAAGTGTTCATGGCACCATGGAATCATCATGGAAACTGTTTGCTTCAATACTTCAGATTTGAGCATCCAAGGTGCGTGCCCCGGTGCAACGGTGGCAAAGGTTTCATGTATATGTTCACATGTGAAACGCCCCAGCCTCAAGTGTTCATAATGTGTTCGATATCTCGGGGAGTTAGTTTTTCAGTGACAAATCGATGGAGGGTTGAAGTTGCGCCCTCAACCCAACGCCATCAAAGGCTTCCCGGACGTACCTTCGAAGTGCTCACGGACAATTTTCAGCTGAAATGGCAAATCAACCAAAAGTCTTGGGAACATAGATACCCTCTGGTAAACTAACATAGCTATTGAAAATGGCCATTTATAGTGGATTTTCCCATTAAAAATGGTGATTTTCCATAGCTATGTTAAATTACCAGAGGGTATTCCAATTGTAATCGTTCCACCGGTTGCCACGGGCACAATCACAAATTTTCATCCACGGGACTTGGCAAATGTTCCGTTTGGGAAATCATGGAAATTCTAGACACCACCTGATTCGAGGGTTGTTGGTATCGTTATTCCGTTATTCCCCTCTCATGGGTCGTTGGGCGATGTTTATCTGGGTTGGGCGATGTTTATCTGGGATTGGTATCACCACTCCTGCAGCATTGTCTGTTTTTAACAAACAATTTGAATCACTCTTACTGGCTCTTACTGCCATTGAGCATCAATATAGCAATCTTCCAATCCACCAAAAAATGCTAAATTGATGTTGCATCAAACATTTTGTTTAATGGTTGCAACAAATTGCAACATACTGCGAAATGAATCAATCAATGTCCATAGTCTCCTGTCCTGTTTTGGGGTGGGTCCTCCACGACCTGGAAAATTAGGTCCCCAGACGCAAAATTGGCACTCGGGCTTCATCGATGAGCTCCTGTGCTCGGCATGTTTGAATGTGAAAGAAACATGTTGTGTGTGTGTGTGCAATCTGCATGGTATATGGCATATATGATATATATATATATATGGATATGTGATGATACAAACAAATTCTGTAAAAAAATGGAAAAGGATGCAAAAGGCTGCAAAAGGCATCTTGGATGTATGTAATGCCTCAGATTTCGGACAGTCTAAAATGTAGGATTTTTTGAATACGTTAAGCCTAGGTTTTGCTGATGGAGAGACATTTCCTTGTTTTGCTCAAGAGCGTGTGGAACTTGAAGAGAAAGTTGTAAGACATCTCTCTAGCGTAGCGTCAATGGCGTGCACAAGTTCAGTAACATGAAGGCTAATACCCCACCCCAACGTACGACATCTCTAGCGTAGCATCAATGAGCATCAATGGCGTGCGCAAGTCAATATGTATGGTAATACGCAACCTTGCACCACCCCAATATGCAAACATGATCAAACATGTTAATCTTCCAGGGCCGCTATCGGGGGCGTGAGCTAACTTTCTCAAGTAATTTTCACACGTCATTGATGCTTCTTAATTTTCTCAAGTAACTTCCACACACACATCAATGCCAAAAAAGACCAACTCCAGTTGGGAAAAGTCAGCTTCCAAAGGCCTTGGTGTACGATATTAAGTCCATGTAACAAATGTGTTTTGTGAATCTGGGGTCCCAAAAAACAACACAGTCTAACGAGTGGACTTACGGTTTCAGGAATATAAGGTGCTGTAGTTAACAGGAAAAATCAAATCATGATGGCAAAATGCACAAATTCACGAAATCACGCCAATGCGCACATTTGGCTGCAATAAAAAAAACAATGGCTGCAAACAGCGAGGCCGTTTTTGGGGACGTGACCTATTTTATCTCATATCTCAAAGGTCCACTTCATCTCATGCTTGTGTCTGAGGATATCTCAAGGACCTGACTCTAATTGTGGTCACTCCCTTGCTACGCATGTGAATCTTTTCTCCATGTTGTTCACCTCGTTCCGCATGTTCCGCAGTTAAATTCAATCTGCCCACACCTCTCTGATCAAAATGGCCTTCGTTTCGGCCATCGTGGCTAATCCTAAAGTGCTTTCTGTACATGCCGATGCTTCCTACGCGTTCCGCAAAAGAGCCACGTCAAAGTTATCAACGGTGGACGAAAAAAATGGAACCATTGATCCCAACTAGTTCACAGAGTATGTCATTACAACTTGGATACAATCACCAATGGCAAGATGTCAACAAAGATTGCTGTAAGGTGTTGAAAATATCGCACACAACCAGTCGTGTCACCAAAGTTGCACACGATTATCTCAACAGCTTCGCAATGCTGGGTCACAAGGGCTCTTGGTGCAGCGGATGCAACCGGCTCTCAGTGGTTCCAACCCCCCTGTTCAGCACCAGGGCGTTCACATTGAGAACTTGTTGGGATCCACACAGGGACACTTTCGGTTCTGTTTAAGATTGTCTAAGCTTTCATCTTCTGTTTCGGTCGTGATATCTCCTGGTTAGAAAGAAACGCCAGAGCCACACTGAATGGCTTCTCTCTCTGTGTTGGTTGTGTTTCTCAGTTGGCTGAAGTGCATGCTTAAGCTGGGCAAAAAAATCTGAGGGCAGCACCAGGACCATACCAATGCATTTTCCCCAATTGCAATGGTTTCCCCAGCATCACCAAAAAGTCCTGTGGTCTGCATGTCTGAAAACTTGTGCTTCCACATTGAATGTTTTCCCTGAACCAAAACTGGGGGTCTCAAGACTTCCATTCAGAGCTGTCTTTTGCTGATCAGAAGGCACGTATGGTTTAATAGAAGGCTGATCCCGGAAATAAGAAATGTCGCATAGATGGGAAAAAATATCAAATATATATAGTTTACATGTTAGATTGCTCTGGGTCAGCGGTTTCATGCTGTGTGACTGTGTGCAATCACGTTTCAAAAATCGCGAACCCAAAACTTTGCAAACCTTAGCTGGCCTTGATTGTCAGGACCGTCTTGGCAAGAAAGAAGATCTGGAATCCGCAACGGCCTCATCAAAAGAAGTTGGATCCGATCATGCGCAAGTACCGAAGCCAAGCTTTTGAGAAAGTTTCTCCAAAGACCCAATCCACTCCAGGAGTCGGTGGCCAAGTGCATGAGTTCAAGCATTCAAAGTGAAGGCGGCTTCTTCATGCTTCTAGACATCATATCCTGCTGAGCCTGTGTTGTCTGTCCGAGTCACTCACCATTCTCTTCTCCCCCTGCTGCGTTGATTTCTATGGGGCAAGCGAGTGTTTGATGTGTTTGGCAGCCTTGTGCAGCCTTGTGCAGTCTTAGACTTGCATAACATGCTGATTTTCCTGCAGGCAGCACGAAATGCACAGGCTCTGGAACCTGGTCGAAAGAACATCGAATTTGCTGTACAAGTTGCTTGCACTTAAAACATCTTGAAACAGGATTGGAAGCGCAGGCCTGCATAGCTTGCACCAAAAAGGATTGGAGGCACAGTGGCTAGGCAAAGTCCTACGGATATCGAATTATCTATGCATCGAACAAATTCTCATTGCATGACATTGAGCTCAACATTGAGGTCAACAAGGGCCGGGCTAGTTGGTGTCCACCTTAGTCTCTGGTTGCTGCACTGCGCTAGTGAGAAGTGTCGGCAAAGGGGCAGATCTGGGAGATTGGGTGGATCGAGATGAGGAGTCTCTTGAAGTCAAATTCTTCACCAAGGTCTTGAAAGTGCTCTCGTAGTGAAGATGGGAAGCCTCCAAAGCACTGCAAATCGTATCCCGCACGAAGCTGTTCATAGTATCGAAACCTCCTGGCATATTCTCAATGAGTGAATGAATCATCAGCCGATCTTTTTCGTCAGTTGCTTTGGCACTGCGGGTATCCAGCTCTGCAACTGTTTTGGCCACCGCCACAGCGACATCAGTACCAGCGTTGCCCTGCTGCAACACACCAGTGGATGTACAAAGGAGCAGTCCATGAAAATGTTCACTCCGTGATAAGGAAATGGTTTGGTAGACCTCGAACAAGCACCAAATCCTCTGCAGGGGAAAGACCGACTCATCAATGATCATTGTGGTGCCTTGGCACTCTGGAGATCTAAG